CTCGAACCCGTCTATGTCAGACTATGATAGTAAAGGTTTGCTTTAAAGCTGATTTCACAGATTATAGGAAATCAATTCATGAATAATCAGCCCACCAGGACCACTCAGTGAATTTGAAAGTCTTTTCAGCTTCTGCTCTGTTTATTTTTCTGGGTTTTCCTGCAGCGTGGGCATGTTTGAGATTTAATCAGTCAGGATGTAAAGATAAAGACTCTCTGCTGCTGCTGCTGCCCTAATTCAGGAATCATGTGCATCCATCTGCGAGTCGACATGAGGCGGCTTTTTTCTCGATGCGTACCTGTTTTGAAGCATATAAGCGCTCTTACTTTGTGATATTGAATGTACGTTTCTGCAGCTTTCCAGCTCAGATTTTCACCAGCGCTATGGTCTGCAAAAACATTTCTCACACGCCGCACTTTCTTTGCCGATCATTTGCATCTCAACCAGCAGCTTTGACTCCTCAGAGCTCTCATGGCAGCTTCTCAAAAAATGAAAACTAATCGTGTTTTTATTGCCAAAGAAACGAGTCGTCTCTGACCTTCTCCCTGGAAGTGTTTCAAAATAAAATCAGTTGTGAGTTGTTGTTTTCTTTTAACGCCAGCAGCTATGTGAAGAGTTTCATTCCTCTTCAAAGTAAAACCTCATCGAGCTCCACCTTCAGATACAAAGTGGTGACATTCTGGAGGATTTAATCATCCCTGCTCTTTCGGCAGTCACCACGAGGCCACGTTTTGTTTCCGAAAGAGGCGTTTTTGGAATGAGATCCTTCATATCTGGTGGAGCTGCAGCTGTGATCTGTAATAACAGATGGTTATCAGTGTTTCCTCTGATCTGAGCTCAGAGCAGGAAGAAAAATCCCTCCAGTTGGAGGCAGATTCACGTCGCTGCTCAGCCCGAGCAGCTGTGTGGAGAACATCGGTCTCTCGGCTGCTCTGGGTTCACTTTGAAGGTCTCTAACTTTCAGCGCAGACGGGTTTTGTTGGTGTTTGTGGACTCATTCGTTGATGAGTTTTTAGTCCAGCTTGTTTTGAGGTGTGCTAATGGAGGGAAAAGTGAACGAACCAGGGAAGAGTTTATGTGTGTTGTTTTTTGTGGGATCTGGATGATGTTTTGAATGTTGCCTTGGAAGTTTGTGATGGATTCGCAGGTTAGAAGAAGAAAAAGGTTGTGTTTGAAATCACCAACATGAGCCTGATTATCTCATCTCCTCTTTTGCTTTTTTGTCTTTTGAAGCTTTAGTTCAACGGCTGCACAGCCTCAGTTCTTATTTCCACCTGGTGTTGATTTGCAATCTGTATCTGCGTGATCTACACACAATCTAATATAATGCACAGTCTATGTCTCCACATGCTTTAACAACATGAGCAGGAGATGTAACCTGCACATCTTAATCTGCTGCAGGAATAAAACAGTTTTAAAATATCTGTTCAAGCGCAGATTCTTCAATTCCAGAGCATTAAGAGGCACCACATTTGCACTTTTCAGTCAAGAGTCGTGGGTAAAATATGAGCCTTTATTTGAGGATTTACGGTAATCGCCCAACCGAAAAGTAACCCCCTACAATTCAAACTACATACATCACATCTAGGCTCTAAAAAGGGAAATTTAAATCAACTCTGTGACAGCGTTTTGGTAGCTGAACGTTGCCATTTGATGTTTTTGCAACAATCGGACAGATTGTAGAAGTTTTCTTGAAGATACATATCATCATATTTTCTAACCGAGTGTTGCAGCTCCACTAAAAATTAGCCTTCAAAGTTGCATATATGAGTGACGGTGCATTTAAATTTTTAATGCACCACAATCAGTTAACAAAATGACTGATTTCCCCTCATCACAACACCAACACGGGCTCCACTTTTCCAGAAACAAAGGGGCGACCCGTGTTTTATTCTGGATTCTGCTTATTGAATCAGTGCCGATGGATGATCAGATACAGATTGCATCTTTACACCTGGTGTGACTGAGTCTTTGCGCCGTCTTCACCCGCTCTGGTCGTGTCGTGTGGCTCTGAAACTGCTGCAAATGTCTGACAGTGTGGACAAAGCTTCAGTCGATTCTTAGTTTGGAAATTAATTAAGAGCAGGAATTGAATCTGGTTCAGAATGATTCATGAGACTGATGCAATATGATTTCTCCTTTTATAGTTTTTGGCTGCATAGCGTCTTCTAGCTTTAATATCATAGTATCATAACTCGACGTGCTTTTTATCGACTAACTGCATGATATCGTGATATCGCATCGTCAACCTTTAAGGGGACTCTGGGTAAATATGCTGAAAACAAAAACCTGCATTAAAACCAGTTCTTCATCCTGAAACTCTGATTTTTCTCCAAACTGTGTTAAAATAAAGAAAAGTGAGCCAGCACACGTAAAAAAAAAAACACGTCACAGATTGTTGTTTGGAGGAAAATCGGAAAAAAGGACGAAGTCTGTGTTTGGATGTGACTGGAAGACATGATCACTTCCTTTAAATGAATGTGTCATTATAGCAGTATATCATATATTTTTGTACATTTTATGCATCATGCATCGTTGAATTATTGCCTGGTAGAGATTTAGAGACATTTAAAAAATATATAAATGCTGATTTCTTTTTAGACTTTGGTCGTTTACTTTGACGCTTCAGGGTTTCAGTGGGAGTGTGCAGTTCCTATGAGAGAATATCAGAGTCGAATCATGGATGAAATGTGTTTTTTTTTATTGTACAATCCACTTTATCATTTCAAATATGCTGAGAGATTAATGGTTATTATATCTAGAGTCAGTTATTTTTGCAGAGATGAGTAAATCGGTGCAATCTATGTATTTTAGCGTCGAGATTATTGTATTGAGAAGATGCAGATTTGTCTCACTCAGAGGTTCGAGTCTCGGCTCCAGATTCAGATTCACTCCTGAGTTTGAAATTCGTCACTCTCTCTCACAGAGAAGTTTAGAGTCAGTGTCATTTCTACAAATCCTGCTCCAACTGCTCAAAAGTTATCTTGTTACTCAAAACAAACAAATCTATCAACAACTGAAACCAGATTATATCGAGGAAGAGATCAACATTTGTGCTGTCGAAAAATTTGAGCAGGATTATCAGCTGAGGGAGGGTTTTGTATCTGACTCTTAATCTCACCGAGCCCCTCAGGTTACATTCAGGTTATCTTGTTTCCTAAAGATCGGTATCTTGTGCGCACAAGTCATTAACCTGCCCATAGAAGATCATCCTCTGGGGAAGAGTTGTTATCTTGTTTGCACAAGTTATTACCTTGAGTGTACAAGGCATTCTCCTGTGCTTTCAAGTTAATTATCTTGCGTGCACAAGATAACAAATTCGTGTCTTGCACATTAATTTGATTACCTCAAGTAAAGAAAGTTATCATGTACCAACAAGAAACTTATCTTGTGCGCACAAGTAGCACAAGTCAACAGAAGAAAACAAAAGTGTATCTTGCGCAGTAAAGGTAATAATATTTGGGAGACGTTATCTTGAACTCAAATTATTATCTAGCGCACTTAAGTTATTGGATTGAGCGGGTTGGTATCTTGTCCACACAAGTTAAGTATAATAACTAAATTATAGAAACAAGATATCTTGCGCAAAAATAAAACCTGCGTTTAAGGAAACTAGTTTGTATCTTGGGCGTCAAATGTGGTTTTCTCCTGGGACAAATTTTCTTGTGCTGGCAAGTTAGTTATCTTGTGCACACAAGATAACTTTTCGGGAATGAGATGAAACTTTTTTTGAACAAGTTATCTTGATTGCACTTGATTACTATCTTGTTGGAAGAAGGTTTTATCTTGTGTGCACATGCAAACAAGATAACTAACTTGTATGCACATAACGATTGTGAAACTAAATGATCTTGTACGCACAAAATATCACGAACTCATTTTTATCTTGTGCACTTTTACAATCAGGATCTATCTAGATTGAATTAGCATCTTGATCTTGATTTGAGTGAATCTGGACCTGGATCAGCAGCCGCTCCTCTGTAGTTTGAGGGTTAGTATCTGATCCTTTGGACGGATCCGCTCCAGAACTTTTGATAAACCGACAGGATGTTTTGTAGATCTTGACGGATCTGAAAGTCGTTCCATCAAATATTAGAATAAAGAGCTGAAGAGTTCGTCAGCAATGCAACGTGGTGTTTGCACTTTGTGTACCTGGTACTAAATCTGCCGAGTCATGTTTGGTAAAGGTTTTTTTGTTTCTTTTTGAAAAAAGGTTTAAAAGAAAAATTCTGTAAAACTGTTAAAAAAAAAAAGAAAGTCCCTCCTAAAAAGTGAGCGAAGACGATTTTTAAAACCTTAAATGACGACCGGAGAGAAAACGTCAGACTGTGGGTTGAATAATTTCACTGCTGACCTGCCTTATTTCAGAAAAAATGAACGTTCTTCACTTTTTAAGACGGACTTTTTTTTTTTTTTTTAATTCGGACGAACAAACAGAACAACGAGAGCGTCTGATGATGATTTTCTGACGTTTGTGATGAAGCAGTTTGTATTTTCGTGCCAGTTTTAGAGATCAAAGTTGTCACGTCTGTGTTCGGCTTTCACAGCGACAGACCGCTAAAGCTCGGCTTTGTTTCAGTCACAGTGATGATTTTTAACCACTAGGGGGCGCTGAGGTTCTGTTTCTGTACATTTCAGAGAAGAGATTCAAGTTAATTTAAAGATTAGGATGTTTCCACGTGTGTAAAAGCCCTATAATTTAAAAAAGAAGTGTTTTCAGCAGACAGCAGATCCTCGGCGCTCTTTTCTAAAGTCTTTATTTAATGGTTAATTGTATGTTCAGATTAATGTTGGAGAATAAAATAAAGTGTTTCTATCGACAGGATGTGATGGCTGTGGACTCTTTATTTCTCCTCAAACTCAAAAAAAACACTCAGAATCAAAGTTAACATCTGATTTCTTTTAATTACAAACTCTGACATCAGGATAAATTTTCAGTAAACATCGATTCACCTCAAAAAACTTTCATTTACAAATCTGCATTTAGGAAGAAACCATGTCTAGTTCCCCTCTTCTTCTTCTTCTTCTCCTCCTTCTTCTTCTTCTTCCTCATTTCCTTCCTCTTCCCCTCCCCCCTCCTCTTCCTCCCCTCCCCCCTCTTCCTCCTCCTCTTCCTCCTCCTTCTCCTCCTCCTCTTCTTCACCTTTCACTCCTTTGCCTCCTCCTCCTGGTCTTCCTCCTGGTCTCCCTGCTGGTTTGAGCCCTTGGTTCTGCCCTGCGCTCGGTCTGTGGTTGTCGGTTTGAATCCCGCCGTGTGTCGGAGTCTCTCCGCTCTCCTCGCTGGAAAGAGGAGGAAGAGGAAGAGGAGGAGGACGTGTTGGCGATCCAGCAGAAGAACTCGACTTCGCTTCATCCTTCAGGTCGGGGCTCTCAGCGCTGAACACAGACAGACTTTTTTTAACATTTTATGGACTGAGAAACAAAAACTGCACAAAAAAATGACATTTCAAAAAGTTATTTCTTAATGCAGCCTAACCTCCAATTTTTACCACATTCAGAACGGCTATGATTTTCACCGCTCGCCAATTCCTACTGGATCTGTTTGTGAGGCGAATTTCGTGGCGGATAAAGAATCATGACCATTTTAACCATTTCGATCATTTGCAACATTTCCTGCACGTGTTTTTTTTTGTTTATTCAGACACCTGAAAATGCGACCCCTTCCCCTCACCTGTTCTGCGTTGGTTCTGGAGTTTGTGCGTCTGTTTCCTTCTCTCCGTTAGGCGACTCTGCGTCCTGCGGCTCCTCGCTCTCCTCGCTTGACTGAGGGGTAAGCCGCGGTTTAGGGGGTCTGCTGGCCCGGCGGCACGGCGGCTGGGGCCCGCGGCACTGCGGCGGCGGCAGGCTGTGGTTAAAGTGAGCCGCTGCCATACACTCCGCTGTGGCTTTGTCACACACGCACTGCAGCTTGTCACACACGGAGAGGCCCTGACCTGAGGAGGAGACGGGAAGGGTTCAGACGAGGTTAAAGGTCAAGAAGTCCTCTCGGGGGATTTACAGGAAGTCTCTGAGTGGACTCACATCGAGGTTTCCCGTTCTCACAGGTGATCTGAGCTTTGAGCTTCCTCTCGGACCTGCAGCCCATGGAGCCGATCTGCTTCAGGCAGCAGTGATGAAAGAAGCAACACCTGAGGAAGAGGAACAGGGACAACATGGAGAAACCAGGTTCAGTTTTTATCAGCCTCTTCTTGTTTGCATGTCTGCAGTAAAGACGGTAAATGAACACGTAATAAATCTGACGCTGACCTGTCCAGGTGGTCCTGAGGTTGACCCCCGCCCTCCTGTCCGCAGTAGCAGCCGTACATCTCGTACTCGTGCGGACACCGTCCCGTCAGGCAGTGCAGCATCTCCCCCAGAGCAGGCATCTCCCGCTTGGCTCGGCCGTCGCTGCCGTACAGGGTGAACGAGCGACTGCACTCTGTTTGAAGAAGAAACGAAAACTACAGGAGCGCTCCCACTAAAATTACGGTAAATTACTGTTTTTTTAAATGAGGTTTGGTGGCTGTGAAGAGAGTGATGCAGCAGCTTTTTCAGGTTCAAAATGATCTTTTCTGTACAATAACAAACTGAGCTTATCTGTGCTAAAAAACAAGAACTAGGACTTTATCTTGTCCTGGTCTGCAGAACTAAGTTTAAATTCGACATTCTGATGATAGCAGGTGGTTTTCAGTCCCCAGACCCTGATCTTTTTAGGGACCTCGATCTGTTATTACATTTCAAAAAGTTTCCTATGTCTTTATATGGTTGTTAAAAAGTGGTTCAGCTGTTTTACCTTTGCTGTCTAACTGTATTTGTATGTCGGTCAGCCCCACAGACTCCAGCAGGGACCAGGCGAAGAACGGCACGGTCCTCTTCCGAGCCAAATCCAGATCTGCCAACACAGAGAACTTAAGTTAGCTGATAAAGCAGATGTAACTTTTAAAGGTTTAAAAAGTGAACTTTACCAAACTCCAGGGAGAAACCTGATCATGGTACCTCTGATTTCATTCATGAATTCGAAGAGGTAGAACTCTTCTCACCTGTGTCTCGCTCCTGTGAGCTGTCCATCTGCTGTCCGTCTTCACATGGAGGTTTCTCCTCCGGGTCTGTCTCCTCCTCCTGCTGCTCCTCAGACTCGGCCTCGGGGGTCGTGTGTGCAGGTTCTGGTGTAGTTCTCCTGGGTGTGTCGACCTCAGATCTGGGTTTTAAAGCTGTAACTCGTCTTGCCGGTGTGGACTGGGAGACGCTTTTCACTGGAGGTGTTGGAGAGGTTGTGGGTTTACCTGGAGGATATGAGAAATGATATTTAGATGTAAAATACTGAATCCTGTTTACTGGAGAGTCAAGACCCTTTCTTTTAAACCAAGATCATGAACCCAAAAACTGGACTTTTACATTGCAGACTGAGCAGTCTGAGGGGCCACTGGACCCCAAATATCTCTAAAAAAGAGACTTTCTGTTCCGCAATCTGTGCACCAACAGCAGAGCCACAGAGAGCATCCTTATCACGCTCATGATTTTAGGACGTCTAAAGCTAACTCTACAGTCGGGCTCATCCTGACGATAGAAGAAAAAAAGACACTCGTAAGCTAGCTCTAACGGCCCTCTGAGAGTTGGTTAGACCCTTTTAGACACATTTAAACATTTAGCGTGATATGATTCCGGTTAGTCCTCCAAGTGCAGCTGCATCCCTAGCAACAGTCTGTTCTCCCTAGCAACATCTATTCTCTATTGCATCGATTGCTATCCCTAGCAACAGTCTGTTCTCACTAGCAACAGTCTGTTCTTCCTAGCAACAGTCTGTTCTCCTTAGCAACGGTCTGCTATCCCTAGCAACAGTCTGTTCTCACTAGCAACGGTCTGCTTTCCCTAGCAACAGTCTGTTCTCCCTAGCAACAGTCTGTTCTTCCTACCAACAGTCTGTTGCCCTTAGCAACGGTCTATTCTCCAATGCAATGATCTGCTATCCCGCCCCAGCAACAGTCTGCTATCCCTCCCTAGCAACAGTCTGTTCTCTCTAGCAACGGTCTGTTCTCCCTATCAACAGTCTGTTCTCCTTAGCAACAGTTTGTTCCTCTTAGCAACAGTCCGCTCTCCCTCGCAACAGTCTGTTCTCCTTAGTAACGGTCTGCTGTCCTTAGCAACAGTCTTTTCTTCTTAGCAGTGGTCTGTTCTTCATTGAATCGGTCTGCTCTCCTTAGCAGCGGTATGCTCTCCCTAGCAATGGTCTGTTCTCCCAAGCAGCGGTCTGCTCTCCCTAGCAATAGTCTGTTCTCCCTAGCAATGGTCTGTTCTCCCTAGTAACAGTCTGTTCTCCTTAGCAATGGTCTGCTCTTCATTGCAGTGGTCTGCTCTCCCCTAGCAGCGGTCTGTTAGTAAGGAATAGCAGACTCATCCTAACTTTTACTCAATAGAGCCCATTCAACATCCCCAAGTGCACAAATAAATCTGCCTTGCCTCATACATCGTGAGATTTTGAATCTATAAAACACAAACTCATTTTTATTCACCTGCACTGCTCAAACATCGATCCAGGAATGTCAGAGACAAATAAGAGCAGAGATCCCTCACAACCGTGTGCACTCACTCTCCCTCGTGTAAACGCCGAATGCAAGCGAAAGTGATTCTGACACTTTCTGCAACAAATGCAAATTTCCAAGAGGGTGCAAACGTCAAATTAATTCCACTCTCCCTCTGTGTCGACGTTATGCTGATTCATTTCTCCAGATTTTTCAGAGTGAGGAGCTGCTGTGCCCTGGAGCTGCCTCACCTTTGTTCAGGAGGCTGAGAGGAGCAGCGGCAGGTGTCTGCGGCTTGAAATCCTCCTCCTGTGAAGTGTCAGGATCTGTGGGTGAGACAGCAGGGGGTCTCTCTGCTGATGATCTCTCAACTGCCCTGGTAGTAGCTTCAGGACCTGTGAAGGTAGAAAGCAGCACTTCCTCAATCATATTCTAAAAAAAAAACATCTCTGTTTGTTTATAACACTCTTCATAGACTTGAGAGGCCAAAAGTGTTTTTTGTTGTTTTGTTGGAATTTAGAAAAAGCTCCAGCAGACAAATCAGTCATGTGGGACTTTAACTGTGTGCTAGTACCAAGCCAACTGTGCCCTCCTTTCTTTGGAGTGGATGCAGTGTCCATGATTTCCAAAAAAAGTCAGTTTTATTGTCTCAGTCCAAACCGTTTTAAAATGTCTTTGAAAGATTTGAAAACCAGCAAAATCTGTTTCTATCAACATATAAAGCGGAAGACAAGAACAACCATGGGTTATTCTTTTTTTACGCACTGTTATCTTGTGATAGCGACTTATTATCTCCACATAACAAAGATCGTTTTCTCATGATAATGAATTTGTAATGTGTCCGCCATTGTTACTGTTGTTGTCCAATTCACGCATGGCTGTTAAATGTTCCCAAGTCAAAAGTGTAATTTGTAAAGTTTAGCGAAATGTCGGCGTTTTCATCAAAAACCTGTTTCAGAAATACCCCAATCTGGACAGTGTTTACAAAAGTTAAAGTCTTAGGTTGGTTATATGATACGTTATGATACGTTGTCATGTTGAGATAACGAAAAAATACTAATTTGTTGTTATTAGAACATGAAATTTATCCTGAGATAACGAGAGAACAATCAGGAATTAATAGTGCATAAAAAAAAGAAAAATCCATAGCTTTTTCGTCTTCCATAATAAACACAGCATTTAAAAAAAAAATTGAATAAGAGCCAGTTTTGATGATAAATTATCAGACATCTCCAGGAGGGTTCTACACTCTCCAAGTCCCTTTCACTTAAAAAAAAAAAAACACCGGGCTATTCCTTTAAATTAAATTTATTGAAAAACAGAGGAAAAAGTTTCTTTGGAGCTGACCCTCAGCTGGTCTGTGAAAACTTGTGTTTTCCTCTTTGCTGTCCTGTCCGCCCCCCTCTGAAGTTAAAGTAAAGGTGACCCCTCCTCCACCTGCAGAGATCAGAGACCTTCAGACATTCATACATCCAACTTTAACAAACCAGGTATTAAAGAAAACAGCTCTCAGTTTTGATCTTTTTTCTCGGAGTTGGAAATGTAGGCTTCACAGTAATTTATGTATGGAGTGAGCTCCCGCCTCCCCTCAGGTGTCAGACTCCTGTCAAAGCCTCGGTGTGTAGAAGCACTTAAGCTGTAACATGTTTTTTTTAATCTGACAGCGGAGACGTGACGCTAAATCACATCAGTTTGCTGCTCCTGCGTCTTTGTTTTGGCAGAGTTTTGATATTTTTAAACCCAGTCAGTATATTTTTGGATCTTATTGATGAACAGATGTGGAAGTGAGGAACTAGTAACTTTAGCCAAAATAAGCTTTCAGAGTAGGCAATTAAAGATAATGTGAAAGTGCTCTGAACTGCAGTTCCTCTAGTGTCCACTTGAGGCCCAATAGGACTCACTTCGTCATGTCTGACGTCACATGTTTACGGGCGTCCTAGCTCTAAGTCATGATTGACGATTGGAGAGATGGTAACTATTATGAACCTCGTTTCTATGGCGATCATGGTCCTATAGTGCAATCTCCACAAAGTGAAGAGAAAAAAGAACAGAAAAAATCTGTTCACCCTATCAGCTGCAGGGCTGCAAAAACATTGACCAATGGGAGCCATCCGTCCCGGACAGCTCCTATTGGTCAATCTCCTGCTCCACCCAAATCTGCCTCAACGGGTCAGTTTTTTTCAACTGCTTCTCAGATCGTGAACCATGACTTTAATAAAACAAGTCAAAGCGAGTTAGTAATGATATTATCAAGTTGACGCCAAAGATGGGAGGAGCCGATCTGAGAGGTAGAGGAAGAAAATGAGGAAGATCAGGAACAAGAACAGAGAAAGAGCCTGTCTTTGAGTTCATCTCCTGTTATTCGTCGATGATTGTACCTGATGAAGATCGGAGCACCACCTGATGCTTAAAAATCGACATTTATTTCTCATCTTGTTCAGCGTTTCACACTGACCTGTCGGAGATGTTGTCGTCTCTGAGGATGTCGTTGGACTTCCTGTCACCTCGTCAGACTCGTCCTTGGTCATAGTCTGCGTTAGCGTCGTTGTCGTTGTAGTCTGCATCGTCGATATTTTGGCGGTTGTAGTTGTAAACAAGGTCGTGAAAGTATCTACATCTAAGGAAAGACAGATAAAAGAAGGTTAGGTCGCCTAGCATCTCAAAAACCATTAGCTCAAACTTGACACGCCACGAAAGCTTCTCACCATCTTCTTCTGACGCTCTCTGCTCCTCTTCCTCCTCGTCTTCATTCTCATCTTCCTCTTCAGAAGACCCCAGGGCCTTAGCGGTGAATCCATCATCCTTTCTCTCGGATGAACTAATTCGTGGTTTCAGCGTCGTTGTTGTCGATGTAGTTGAAACAGAAACTGAACCCACAGAAACGACATAAAAAAAAACACTTTTAGCAGCTTTAGAAATCGTTTTTATTTCCTGTTCGCGTTTACTGAATCACCTTCCTCCGATGACTCCTCCCAGCCGGTTGGCGCCGGTTCTGTGGGATTTGTAGTCCTCAAAGGAGTTGTAGTCCAACTGGATGCTGTGACGTCTGCACCGGAGGTCGCTGACGTTGAAGATTCGTTGAAGGTCGGATCGTTTCCTGCTTCGCTCGATGTTTCTCTGTCATTGACGAACCAATCTGAACCTGCGACAGAAACGTTCAAATCGAATCTAATCGATCTATTTATATTTACGACAAAAGTACATCCTGGTGACGGAGACGGGCGGGTTTATCGCCTCACCGGGGCCGACTGTAGGAGGACTGTGGGCCGTTTGAGTCTTATTTATCTCTTCCAGCTCGAGTCCCTCTTCTGTCACAGCCTCATTCAAATCTGTAAAAAGCAGCGACAAATAAAAACAGCCTCAGGAAACGTCTGAGCCAAGTGAGTCATAGAGCAGCAGGAGACAAACAGCGGGGAAATTATTTCTGGTGTTTTTGGAAGCCGCGGAGTGGTCAGCTTGAGCCAAATGTAATTATGAGCAGCTTGGAAAAACACAAGTTTGGCAGAGGAAGACTTCAGGGGGGATCTCAGTAAGTGCGTACAGATGGAAACGAGAGGGTGAGTAATGCAACTGTTTTACCTTTGGAGATGAAACTCGAGTGTGTCTTCTCTTCCTCTTCTACCTCCCCCGCGCCACCTTCACCTTCCTCAAACTCCTCTGAGAAGAAAAACCACAGGTAACCCACGGCTCATAGTCAGTAACTCCCAAAGAAATTAACCCACGGTGACACCAGAGGGAAAATAAAAAGTCCACCAGAGTTAGGAGGATTTATTCTCTGTGGCTCTTAAACGGCTGTATCAGATTTTATACCATCAGAGTTCATCCTCTGAGGGCCAGGAATGAGTGGTAGGTGGGTCCCTACTAGCGAATCAGATATCCTACTATAACTGGCAATAAAAACCACATAATGGTCCCAAAGAAAAAGTAAGTTTATCAGGTCAAATGTAGAAGTTTTATCCTCTGGAGACCACAAATGTCTGTCGAATAGTTCAGATATTTCAGAAAACTCAGGCACAGTTTATCCTCTGGAAACCATGACAAGCTGGATCAAATTTCATGGATATCTTAATAAAGTAATCGATCATCAAAGTCAGTGGGATTCATCCTCAGGGGACCTCAAATGGCTCTCCAGAAGAGCCGGTTTTGTTTGTATGATTTACCCACTGGGGAGCATGAATAGCTGAACCAAACTGATGCAAAGTTATCCAGTAGTTGTACTAAGATTGATCTTTGAGACTTGATGCTGGTAGCAGACATTAATACCGATATTGTCGAGTTTAACCTCTGGAAACTCTGAATGGCTGCACCAAATATCTAATCTACTTAAACTCAACTCGAGTTTATCCTCTGGGGAATATGAGTAGCTAAAGCGAATGTGATGTGTTGTGTATTTAACAGTCTTATTATCTTTATCTGGCACTTCGATTTAAGTTAAAGTTTGCAAATAGGTTAGATCCTCAGGGAACCATGAACGGCTGGGAACCAAATGAGCCGGTAAAGCGTACAACAGTTGATCAGATGTTTGAATATGATCCGAAAAGTTAACATAAGTGGATCGTGAGGATTAGTATGATGTATCCTCTGGGAACCATGACCATGAGAACCAGGAATTGCTGCACATGAAATTATGGCGTCTGTTTAAAAACTGATGAATGCTCAGAGCGGAGAAGAGGACAGGGTTAATGCGAGGTGCTGCCCCCCGTTGACCTGTCGAGAGCTCTTTACTGTTGAATATCATCAGTGCGGTAACACACACGTTCATATTCTTTAACGTTCACCGTCAGGCTCTGATATCAATAAGTTTGATTCTCATCAAAAGTTCTCGCCACTTTTATAATAATCAATAACTGCAGAAAAAGAAAGTCGAGGTGATCCGTGTCCGTGAACAGGAAACCCATCTGTCTTTGGATCACCCGGGCTTCGCCCTCTACTCGTCCCCGTGTTAAACCTGTGACCTGCAGCCCAATTAGAGAGCGTACCATCAGGCGTCAGCAGGGGGGGCGGGCCCGGCGGCGAGGTGACGAGGTCGCCATCCGTCCATGGTGTGTCACTCCGGTTATCCGCCCTGCTGGTCATTAACGGGTCGGTCTCTGCTGGACAGACACAGTGACGGTCGTCAGCGAGTCACGCTCATCCCTGAACTGTATGAGTCACCGATGAAGTGGAGGAAGTTCTGATTCTTTTTATACTTCAGCCACATATGGTGCGATTTTTAATAAATGTGTTAATAATGATATAAAACTGAAAGATTTCAGCTACAAATGGAAAATATAATCCTGCCATATAAATCCATTAAATTTCTCACATGACTTTAATAGTATAAAGGTTCAAAAATAGTTATTTAAGTAAAGGATGGAGTTGTAAACTGGAGAACATGTAGAGATTATAAGAATGAAATTGTCCCAAGTTTTGGTATTCCAAGAATAAAATCATAAGGGGAAAAAAAATGGAAATATCAGTCATTATATTCTGCTGATTCAGCCATAGAATTACAAGAAATAAAAAGTAACAAAAAGTCAAAATATAATTGGATTGGAAAAAATGTAAATGTTAAAAAATTTGTAAGTAAAGGAGAATAGTTTGAAGAAATAAGTTAAAATTTGGTTAGAAAAATCTTACAATTTTATGAAAATTAAGAAGTGAAATATCACGACAGTTACAAGAGCAAAAAGTCTGAATACAACAAAATAAAAGGTTTTAATCAATGAAAATAAAGTTCTGACATTCCAAGAATTACGTTGTAATTTTATGGATTACAGACTGAATATTATCAAAATAAAGTTATTTTACAAGAAATAATTCAAAGAGAGAAAAAAGATTCAAAATTTAAACAATTTAGTTTTTTTTACTGGATTTAAGTTCTGATTTTATTTTATTCTTTCTGTAAAATCACGTTTATAAGAATTGAGATGTTGATAAAAAAAGTTGCGATGTTACAGAAGTTAAATCATACTACAACTGGAATAACAGCATTATAATTATAAATAATAATTATACGGACAAAGTTGTAATGTGAGAAAAAAAGTCTCAAAAGGATAATATTTTTAAGAATTCATTAATTTCATGAATAAAAGTGATTTTAGAGGAATAAAACGTACACTTCATGGATAGAAAAAAGTTTGTAATTTTACAAGACTGAAGTTTTCAAATAAGAAGTAACTAATTTACAAGGAAATACTGTAATATTACGAGACTAAGACTGATTTTATGAGAAAAAAAAGTCCTCATGTAACAAGATTCAAATCACAACTTAAAAAAGTCGTTAAAGCCTGTGTTTTATTTTGAAGGGGAAAGACATAAAAGCATAAAGACATACAGATGCCTGAAATTAAGATTTTCACCTCCTTAAATTCAAATTTTATCATAATTTTGACTTTTTCAATACTTTGTGTTTTGGCTTATTGGAGGCTGATATGTAACAATGATCCGAAATGTAATAAAAGAAATGAAATAACTGGTCGATAATGTTACATCTCGGTTTTATTACATTGTTTATGTTACGTTTCAGGTTCAGCACCTTTGTTTTATTATTGACAAATTGTTACATTCTGGGTTTTATGACATTTTTTATAACATTTGGGGTCATTATTACATATCGGGCTCTAACATGACTCTTGTACTTTTGTCGTAAGAATGAAAGACTTGATCCAAACTTCTAGGAGCCAAATCCTCCATGTCAGGGCCTCAAACTTTCTTTATCTTCGTTATTGTTTGTTTTAATATTTAAATTATGAAAACAAAGTTCAGAAAAAGAGTGAAAAGAAGCTGAAAAGAACGTTTTTGTCATGCCACACAGCAGCAGATAGAGGAGGAAAGGTTATTTGAAGAGGTGATACTGAGAGTCTGGGCTCTGAGTAACGGCAGCTTTGAGAATTAATGTGAATGCGCTGCTGTCAAAACAACAATAGGTTACATAACCGTCTTCACGGCTGTTTTATAAGCAAACTTCCCCCTTTTTTTTGTCTGTTATTCCCGCAGATCTCCTTCACAGAGAAGGAGGAGTTTTTTGAAGGACTCTTACATCATAACTCTCTCACGGTAAAATTGAAATTGGCCTCCTCCGGAGACGCGCTGATGTGATGAGTGTGAAGTGAGAGCTTCGCAGAGTGAACTCGAGCACAAATGGGGCTTTTACCTGCAGACAGGAGGGACGAGTTGAGGAGCTGCTGGCTCATGGAGGTGTTTCCTGCTGAGAGGACATCTGGAGAGGAGAAAGACGAGGATTAGACCGGCAGACGCTGAGCAGGAGGAGCGCAGTTTCTAAATATACTCCAAATAAAAAAAACAGAGCGACGCAGAGCCTGTGGCTGTTTTGACTTGAGTGTACACAGAAGTAATAATTATGATTTTACAAATTAAACAAACTCTCCCTGTTGTCCTGAATCTAATCCAGAGACAGTTTTTAATGATCTCTTTTCAGACTCAGGAGACTCTGCTGTCAGACCTGACTGCCGACAGGTTAATATCTCCGACATCAGAGGTCGTCCTTAAAAAGTTTCAGTCTGACAGAAACTTCTGCATCCATTTTTGCCAATTCGACACAGGCTCTGCGGCTTGTGGAGTTCCTCAAGGCTCCATTTTAGGTCCTTTCCTGTTTGCATTCTTTCCAGTGTTTTTCAGATAATTTGCAAATTTATCGGCTAAATAAAAACAAATAAAGACTCCAGGAAAAGTCCTGCTCAGCTGCACCGAAGATGTTTCATCATGGATGGAGTCGAACTTTTCAAATCTATTCAAGAAGTTTAACTCTACCTACAATTTTATTCATGAGAAGAAACTGAAGTAGATGTCTTTGGAAAACCTGAGCTGGAATGAATGAAGTCAAGCCTGAAAGCTGAAATTTTTGTCATACTGTACTATGATATTTTAACATATTATACTATGATATTTTAACATATTATACTATGATATTTTAACATATTATACTATGATATTTTTATCACACTTAACTATGATTTTTTTTATACTGTCATACTATGATATTTTTCCAACATGCTAAGCTATAACATTTTATCATACTAAAATGTGTAACTTTTATTGTACTATACGATGACAGTTTTATCATAATATACTGATATTTTTGACATACTACACTATGATATCTTCCTCATACTATACTTTGACATTTTATGATATATCTTATCATACTATACTGTGATATTTTATGGTACTATAGATGAATTAAGTCAAGCCTGAGAGCTAGTTCAGGCAGGCAACTGGAGCTGCACGAGTTTCAATATAACTTTCTTCTTGTTTGAATTTATGTCGACGATGTTGATCCTGATATTTCGATATTTATGTTGTTGAGCTGAATGAGAGAATTGCAGCAACATTTTTTTTTTTTTACTTTCAACAGCATAAAAGTTTCACATTATTGTTCAGTACTTAATAGAATTATTTTTGTTGTGTATAAAGTCTCTTTATAACACATATTTTCTTATATTCATATTATCTGTTTAAGCTTTTACAGCCTTTTAAGGAAAGTTGTTTTAATATTGCCTTTTGTATCATATTTGATAAATACTTTTATATACTTCTATCAAATCAATATGATCAACAAATTACTAAAAAAAACTCCTGAATACAGTCGGATAAATGATAAAAATGACCTTTTGTAGTTTATCAGTTTCCAAAAACATCCAATTATCAAACAAGATAAATAAATATATTTGTTATTTGTATGTTTGTATATTTGTTTGTATATCATAAGGACATTTAAATTTTGGGGGTTTTCAGTAGTAAGTAAAATAAACATTTCAGCTCCAGAAAAATTGAATTTTCTGGCCAATTTGTGGTTTCAGGCATTAAAGGGCTACATGTGCTGTAAAAATAAACTTTATCTTGACTTGAGGTGATGGAACCAGAAAAATCTTGAAAAGACAAACCAGGATTTTGTGAATATTGTTCACCTGAAGCAGGATCGAGGTCTGCACCTGCATCCTGAAACTTTCTCCAACAACACGCGTTACTCTCTTTTCCTCTGAATCTGACTTTTGAACTCTGATGTGTTAAACTTAAACTCCCGTTCATTCAGAATGAGAGCAGCTCAGCTGGGACAGGGCGTCTATATTTGGACCAGCTGGATCAGAGGTACACTCCACGCTCTTTCAGTTTTTCATCCTGACCGTGTGTAGGCAGAAAGCAGCAGGAGTAAACGTCAGGAGGTCACTGTTTTAATTGGCTGAGAGCCACAGAGGTGTGACTCAGCCTTTCCACCGTATCGATCGCTCGCTCAGATACAACATCGCTGACCGGCACGCTATCTGCAGAAAGCTGACGTGTCCTAAAAGCCCCCTGACTCGGCAGGAATCGATCAGCTGATGACGTCACTCAGACTCACCTGGCTCTCTGAGGTCCTCTGTGGTGTCGATAAATCCACTGAGAAGATCTGAAACAGGAGAAAGCTGGTCAGACCCAGACTGATGTCGGGTTTATTTAGATTTCTTCTGTCCATGTTACCTGTTTGATTCGACGCCCAGCAGTAAGACTCGGCGAGGCCTCTCAGTGTTGAGTTGTACGAGCTCTGAGTCATGCAGTCGACGGCGGCCTGGTCACATTCACAAAACCTCTGCTGACACCAACGGCCATCATCTCCAGGAGAAAAAAGACCACAGCTGATTCACCCTCCTTTTTATGCTGCATCACATCAGGCTGTTTACACATGCAATTACCACAATGTCTTATTAAGGTCTAAATGAAGTGTTTGTGTATTACCTATTTTGTCCACAGGGGGCAGATGCACACTTTGTTTTCATGAAGCTGGTTTTCCGTTTGAATTATTATCAGTATTTTTAAGTATCAGGTGCAACAATTTCTCATAACAGAAGAGAGAAAATTATTGTAATTATAAAAAAATATGAGTCTAAATTTCACAAAAATGAAGTCGTAAAAGAAAAGAAAATCTATAATATTATGAGAAAGTATTCATAAATTCTTATTTTTGTTGCTGGTTCATGAATTTATTCCAAATCAACATCTCTCAAAGTTTACGCCAAAGTGTCTTTAATACAGACTGAAAACAGATGCAACTACCATTATATCCTATTAAGGTGTAAATAAAGTGTATGTGTATTAACTATTTTGTCCACAGGGGGCAGAAGCACTCGTTTTCATGAAGCTGGTTTTCAGTTTGTATAATTATCAGTATTTTTAAGATGGGTATCAGGTGCAACAATTTCCCAGAGCAGAAGATTAGGGCCAAATGAAGGACAAAATTATTGTAATTTTGAATATTATGATTCTAAATTTCACAAAAATAAAGTCGTGAAAGACAACAGATCTATAAAATTATAAGAAAGTATTTATAAATTGACTAAAATTAAGCTTACTAAAGCATGAAGACTTTATTGTTGCAGGTTCATGAATTTATTCAAATTCTTCAAAGTCCTTAATACAAGATTAAGAGTCTTATTACGTCTTATCCTTTAAATCGACAGTCTGGCATCATATTTATGTTACAATAAGAGACCGATTTTATCTCCAAGAAACAAAAAAACTGATGTGTCAACATGTGAGTCTTACCACAGCTGGTATTTGCTGCTGAACAGGTCAGGTTGTAGGAAAGGACAGGTAGCTCCTGCCTGCAGGGGGCAGCATTCTGGTAACACAGTCTGTGAGTCTCACAGCAGCTGCAGCAAAGAAGAAAAATGAGTTTTAAGCATTAAAACAGAATCTTTTCCAGCTTTGATTTAGCAAAAAAAAGCCTTGAAATTAATAAATAAATAAATTCAGACTGTTTCGGGTTTTCAGTATCTGCTTCTTGCTGCAGTTAAATTCTCAACATACGTATCCAGAGAGTCTACAGGATTCCCAGCAGCCGCATATCTGCAGGAGCAGCCGTAATCCTCCAGATCCCGAGGACAGAGCCCTGTGGCACACCGGAGCTTCAGAGCGAAATTCAGCAGCGAGGGGAAATTATCGTAGACGGAGTGGAGCCAGGTGAAACGTAGACCGAGACAATCTGAAACCAGATGAAGGCGAGACAAACACAGTGAGAATAAACCAAAAAGCTCTTCCTCTGACTCGATTTGTCTCGCCCTGCAGGTAGAAAGCAGAGTGATTTAATCATAGATAATCCTGTTGGCTGGTTCCAGTGACACGAGTCCAGAGGAACATGTGGGGCAGAAAATGATTTGGGCCACAGCTCTCCGCATGGCAGATGTACCCAAAGATCTGATTAGGACTGTAGGAGTCCCAGAACATCACAGAGACTAGATCAGTCCACCTCGACTGTCAACAACATCAGGAAATGGCACAAAAATCCAGCCAGCATTATGACAGCTGGTCGATCAAGGGGAAAGAAGCTGTCGCAGTCTTCAACAAACTGCCGGATAAAACACAGTTTATGAACGTTTTTTTTTTCATTTTAGGGTTCTGTCTGAGAAGTGCTGTAAAAGTTATGAGAGTCAGAGGGAAAGGAGCTAAAATAAAACTACTATTATGCTGTGACATTTGTATACATATAGTACTTTGTTATTTAAACTGCATTTATTTAATACGATCCCTGGTCAGGATTTGAACCCAGAACCTTTGTGCTGACAGGCATGTGTGCAAACCGTTACACTATTGTGGCTTCCATGTCCAATAAAAGACTTTTGTTATACCGTACAATGAGAAATTATTTTAATACTCAAATATGGCTTTTTTTCGCACTAAAATATAAACATTTTAACATACTATACCACGGCATTTTTATTGTGCTATACCATTGTATTGTATCGTACCATTTATCTTCATACTCAAACATCAATTTATTTTTTCACACAAAAATATTTTTTTAACATTCTATACCATGGCATTTTTATCATAATATATGATGACATTAATTTACATACTCTAATTTGAATTGTTTTTCACACAAAAAAATATTTTTTGACATGCTAAACTACGACATTTTGATCATACTATACTATGAAATTTTTAGCATACTGAAACATGAATTTTTTCTAACACAAAAAAATGAACTTTTTGACATACTATACTACAAGATTTTTATCATACTATACTATGATATTTTTAGCATACTCAAACGTGATTTTTTTTCACACAAAATAAAAATTCTACTATACTAAACTATGACATTTTGATCATACTATACTATGACATTTAGTTTCATACTCATTAATGAATTTTTTTCTAACACAAAAAAAATAATTTTTTTGACATGCTATACTATGACATTTTCATCATACTATACTATGACATTTTTATCATGCTCAAACATGATTTTTTTTTCACACAAAAAATAAAATTTTGAACATACTATACTATGCTATTTTGAACATACTGTACTATGAAATCTATTTTCATACTCAAACATGAAATTATTTTTCGCACAGAAAAAAGAATTTTTTAACATGCTGTTCTGACTTTATCATCATAGTATACTATGACATTTTTAGCATACTCAAACATTAATTTTTTTTTCACACAAAAATGAAAATTCTAACATACTAAACTATGACGTTTTGATCATACTATACTATGACATTTATTTTCATACTCATTTATGAATTTTTTTCTTACACAAAAAAATTAACTTTTTAACATGCTATACTATGACATTTATTTTCATGCTATACTATGACTTTTTTTATACTCAAACATGAATTTTTTTTCACACAAAAATGAAAATTTTAACAAACTAAACTATGCCATTTTGATCATACTATACTATGACATTTATTTTCATACTCATTTATGAATTTTTTGATAACACAGAAATTGAATTTTTCGACATGCTATACTATGACATTTTTATCATACTATACTATGACATTTTTTTTCGTACTCATATGTGAATTTTTTTCTAACACAAAAAAAACGAATTTTTTGTCATGCTATACTAAGACATTTTAATCATACTATACTATGACATTTTTATCATACTCAAACATGAATTTTTTTTCACACAAAAATGAACATTCTAACATACTATACTATGCAATTTTGATAATACTTTACTATGACATTTATTTTCCTACTTAAACATAAAAAGAATACTTTTACACAAAAAATGATTTTTTTAACATCCTATAGTATGACCTTTTTATCATACGATACCATGACATTTTTACCATGCTATACTATGACATTTATTTTCATACTCATATATGAATTTTTTTAACACAAAAAAATTGAATTTTTGACATGCTATACTATGTCATTTTGATCATACTATTCTATGAATTTTTAATTATTCTATACTATGACATTTATTTTCAAACTCATATATGAATTTTTTTTGACATGCTATACTATGACATTTTCATCACACTATACTATGATATTTTTAGCATACTCAAACATTAATTTTCTTCACACAAAAATGAAAATTCTAACATACTATACTATGACATTTATTTTTTTACTCATTTATGAATTTTTTTCTTACACAAAAAAATGAATTTTTTAACATGCTATACTATGACTTTTTCATCATAGTATACTATGACATTTTTATCATACGTAAAGATGAATTTTTTTTCACACAAAAATGAAAATTCTAACATACTAGTTTTGATCATACTATACTATGACATTTATTTTCATACTCATTTATGAATTTTTTTCTTACACAAAAAAATTAACTTTTTAACATGCTATACTATGACATTTATTTTCATGCTATACTATGACTTTTTTTATACTCAAACATGAATTTTTTTCACACAAAAATGACAATTTTAACAAACTAAACTATGCCATTTTGATCATACTATACTATGACATTTATTTTCATACTCATTTATGAACTTTCTTATAACACAAAATTTGAATTTTTCGACATGCTATACTATGACATTTTTATCATACTATACTATGACATTTTTTTTCGTACTCATATGTGAATTTTTTTCTAACACAAAAAAAATGAATTTTTTTGACATGCTATACTAAGACATTTTCATCATACCATACTATGACATTTTCATCATCCTATACTATGACATTTTTATCATACCCAAACATGAATTTTTTTTCACACAAAAATGAACATTCTAACATACTATACTATGCAATTTTGATAATACTTAACTATGACATTTATTTTCCTACTTAAACATAAAAAAAATTCTAACGTACTTAACTATGCCATTTTGCCCATACTATACTATGACAGTTATTTTCATATTCAGACATCAAATTTTTATCAAACTATACTATGATAGTTTTTTTCATTCTTTATAATGACACTTTTATCATACTATATTATGACATTTTACTTTCCTGTAATTTTTTTATTATTCTATACTCTGACCTCTGATGAATTTTTTCTTTCACACTTGAATATGAAATTTCTTTATCAAACTATACTATGACATTTTTATCATACTATACTAAGATATTTTTATCATTCTCTACTAAGATATTTTATAAAACTTTACTTTGAAATTTTTCGTCATATTATCCTATATTAGTTTAATAAGACTTCACTTCGACAGTCATTTTCTGGTAAGGTAACTATACTTACTATACTGTAAGTATATTTGTTTAGTACCTTATACAACACTGATTCTGTCAGCACTTTGACCTTTCTGAGAAAGAAATCTCTTCATCCCCTGCAGGCTTCAATTAAACACCACATTATCACATGACAAACTGCATCACTGATCTTTTAAACCCAGACGACTGACCCGCTTTAATTAGCTGATTTCACAGAATTATTATAAATCACCACTATATGCCTCGTGTGACAGTTATTGCTCAGTACATTATGTTTCACCCTCACCGATCATGTGATCCGTGCTCTGGTCGCTGGCCTCTGGGTTTTGGCAGAGGATGGAGCTGGAGGACAGAGCTGAGGACGAAGATGGAGAGGGGTAATTACTGTAACAGTGATTTGATTAAAATTTGACACATGAACAAACCGTCAAATTACATTATGCCACATCAGTGTAATTACACAAAACACATGAAACATTACAAGAAACGCTGCCAGCCTCGGCCTGTAAAAGCCTGTTTGACTATAACGTGTAACAATAACGTGAAGCAAATTGTATTTTTTTTATAAGAAGGTGTGGCTATATTAAAGATGAACCAGGTGTTTATGGAAATTAAAGAGTTAACTTACCATGTGGAGCAGCAGAGAGCATCAAAACCAGGATGAAAAGCATGGCTCGTCCCTATGATCAAGATGTAAGAGAGATTACGTGTCATCTTATTTCAAATAACTTTTTTAGCTTTACGTTAATATTTTTTTACTGACATCTTTATATGTCAGATAATATATGAGGCAGCAGATTCTGTCAGGTTCAGATGACCTGTGATGGAAATCTTAATAAATAGAAAAAAAATAAACTTTTCTTGTTTCATGGCGTTCTTAAATTGAGAAGTTGTTCATATGTCTTATTCTTGAAATGAGACGAATGATTTTGTTGCTCCGCTGGATTTTATTGTAAAACATTTTTTTACTTTATTTCTGGTTCATTCCATCTCAGAATTAGCTGGAATATCTTATCAAGAAAAGTTAGCTATTTTCTCTTTTCTAATACCAAACATGCTCGACAAGATTAATATTCTTCTTGTTCTAAAAATAAGACTTGTTTCCTTAAGACAAGGCTGTTTTACTTTCTTGAAATTCCTGTTTTGCAGTGTGTGAAGAAAAAACGGGGACCAAGCAGTGACCCTTGGGGTACTCCTGTTGATTAGCAGCCAGTTTTGGGCGATTCTCCCATTCATGAAATCTCATTCATGAAAGGACAAGTATTAAACCTTGAAGTAGAGCAGTCAACCAAATTTACGTGTAATCTGTGAAGAAGTGAGAAATTCGTACCTTGTTGGCTCTTCCTTCATTGAACGGAGGTGACGGCTAAACTGAGAGTCATTGTAAGAAATCGGACGCAGCTCTGACGGACATTAGCAGCAGATGAAGACGGAGGAAGTCTTCTCAGTCTTGTTTCCCAACAGAGTAACCTCTCAGATCCTTTACCTGTGTTTAAGAGTCCTACCTGAGGAGAGGAGGGCGGCCCTTCACTCTTATTGGCTATCAGGTGACACCTGAGCAGGAGCTTATCATGGTTTGGTTCCTGTGCGGGTATCTGAGGCTTTAACAGAGGTTAGGTTCTGACAAGGGGGACCCACAGAGTGGTCTTTGTCTCAGAGGGAGGGGGGTTTGGATCTGTGACCTGGGGGTTGACCTGGTCTAATCTGATCCTCCCAGGAGTTTAGATCAATGAGTACCTGTGGAGAGGAGGGGTCATGGAGCAGAGGGGCGGTGGGTTTAATGACAGGGGGGCTGATAGTGGGGTATTGTGAAGGACAGGTGCATGTGTGGGGGAGGACAGTACACATGTTTATGTCAAATGTCATGTTACACACAGGTAGGGGGTAAAATACTGATGGTTACCAGTTTACTACGGCAGCCCTAAAAGGACATCTCTGTCAAAAATGTGAGTTTCTGTCGACTCTCAAAATCGGTAAATAAAATGGAGTTTAATTTTAATGTTACTGAGAGAACAAAGAGTCTGTGGTCGACAGGCAAAGAAGAAGAAGAAGAAGAAGAAGAAGAGAGGAAGAAAGTGGAGAAAAAACTGTGTGGGAAGTGAAAAGACAGAGAAGCTAAATTAAAGGGACATCCAACAAATCGAAGAAAACAAACAGAGCATACTAAGGACTTTGAGAGTTAAAAGAGAACAAAATATGTTGGTTGGAGCTTTGTTCAGGGTGTATAAATAAAGGGGTAATCTGAGTTCTCAGTTTATTTGCCTTCATAAAAAATAAACCTCCTGTTCTTCCTTTGATGACGAGTATATCTACGACGGAATATTAGGGCCACATAAAGAAAAAAAACGACTTCGTAATTAAGTACTTACGAGAATAAAGTTGTAATTAAATACTTATGCGGATAAAGTCATAATGAAATCAGTACTTATGAGTATAAAGTCGTAATAAAGTAATTATAAGAATAAAGTTGTAGTAAAATTATTACTTATATGAATAAAGTCGTAGCTAACAACTATTCTAACCTGTTGTTCGTTGTTTAAATGAGCGCTGTGGAGTATTTAGATGAATTGAACTTCAGTTGCTCGGTTTCACAAACAAGGAGATACTAAATCCTTCGGCGTTTCAGCATCATATCGTCATAAGTATCAGGACAAATGCAAGAAATGCATCTTTTCCACAGAAAGAACCAGGTGGACTTGTAGGGAATCGCTGTTTTTGAGGAGGGGAAATGTCTGGAAATGTCTGTGCAGAGGCTAAATCCCTAAATGCAGCTGTTCATATCAATAACATATGGCTTTAGTTTATCGTATGAATCTATTTGCCATAAGATGTTGGTGCCTCTGCAGGTGGAGGTTGCTGCCGGTGTTGTGCCGGCATCAGAGACAGACGCGGTTCTCGTCAAAGCTTGACTCCCTCTGAATCACAAATATTGATCATCAGTTGGATTATCATCAGTCTGAATGACCCACTGATGCACCCACTGATAACTCTTCGTTTACTTTACCACTTCATTCTCATAAATTATTACGACTTTATTCTCGTAAGTAATAACAAATCTAAATTTTTTTTTGTTAATGTGGCCCTTATACTCCGAGACCTTTTGAAGGTCTCAATTTGTATTTTTTGACCATGATGGGCTTGTTTTCCTGTCATACTAGCAAAGAATTAACATATCAAACTCATTAAAAGTATAAAGAGATGTTGAGGTCTGAGTTTAAAGGACTAAAAAATGGACAACAGAGACGAAACTTGGACCGCTTGGAGGATTCACCAGATTTTTATTGGCCATGAAAGTCCAGATCTGTTTCTTTGGAAAGACATTCAAATTAATTCAGATTTCTTTTCTCTGTTTGTGTGTCAGACCGTCTCTTTTCAGTCCTCAGTTGGAGAAAAAAGTCTTTCTGCAAAAGTCCAGGACGCCATTTTTTTCAGTGTCCAGATTTTGACGATCAGCTCCAGCGATCCAGTAAAAGTCTGTGTGTCGATTATAAGAAGAGTTTTCCTGGTGTGACCGTCCAGATGATGAAACCAGCACTGATGAAGAAGAGCTCTTTGTTTCCCTCCTCTTCTTCTCCTCTCGTCACAGTTTATTGCACATCTTCATCAGGCATCTCTGTTTCAGATCTGAGGAAGAGGAAGAGGAGGAGGTTACGGACACTACAGACACTCTGCTGTCAGCTGTGGGTTTAAAAATGCTCTTTCTCAACAGATGTGACCTTAGGGGGCTTCAGAGTAAGAATTTCAAGTTAAGAGACATGATCACTGACTTTCTTCAAAAGTTATCCCTCCGTTCGTTCTTCTTCACATCAATCAAATCTTGTATTAAATCTAAAAATGGACGCTGAGGTCTGATTAGAGAAGAGGAGGAGGAGGGGCAGAGGCGACAGAGTGATGGAATCAGAGCTGAATGATCGTCGTGTCAGCAGCAGCTGGGAGAAAGGAGTCTCTCTGCGACCTCTTAAGCCCATTAGCTGGAAGGATCCGGAGCTGCCTCCTACAGAGCTGCAGCTCTAATGAGCCCTGATACCACTCTCAGCAACATGGCTGACACGTCCCCATCAGTACAGGTGACAGCTGACGTGTGCTCTCCAATTATTTCTGAATTCACACGCTGACAGCTCTGTTTGTAGACGGCTGTTTTACCAGCATCGACATGAATTCTAGCAAAAAAAGGATAAGTTTCTGCGATATTTTGTGTTTTTAAAACTAAGTGAATCAGCTCTGTCGTAAACAAATACTTGTGTTTTTGTTTCTATTTTCCGATTAAAGGTGGTCGATTAAACTCTACCCCTCCCAACCAGTTTTCCCCTCAGCTCCTCCTCTCCAGAAAAGCCCCGCCCACAAACAGACGCTCCTGTTCGCTCGTATCGTTCCAATTAAATTCAGATATAATGCAGATAAATACTTCAGATCATTAGGATTCAGAAAACTTTCTGTATTTTCTGGTTGGTTTCTGATATTGTAGTATTCCAATAATATTCCAATATTGTAGCACGCTAACTTTGTTTGGGCTCGTGAACGTTATTCGTAGTGTTTGCTTCACAACATGAGGAAGCAGCGTCTTGGCGAAATTTAAGGACATCCAGCTACATTATTGATTTATGAAAGCTGCTCGATGAGTTTAATTTATCTAAACTTAAAACCTTCAAATCCCAGCCATTTCCTGTCAAAACTGGTGTTCCACAGGGCTCCATTTTGGGGCCCCGTCTGTTTACCACCAATTTACTTCTGCTTGACTGTATTCCTCCAAAGTTTAAAAGTCATTTTTATTGTTTTCCCCTCTTTGTCAGCCTAAATGAAATCTATCACGGTCCTCCTGCACTTCTCTCAAATTAAACACAAATTAAAGACAGTTTTTCCTCACAGGCTTCCTCTCAAGTCCACATTAAAATCCAGCTGGTCCACAAGTCTGCTGCAAGCTTCAAAACCAGAACATCCACAGCTCACTTACTTCTGGAGAAGGAGACCCTCCTGACCCGCCGGCAAACTTCAGATGTGTGTTTTTCATACCAGAGGTGGCTGTCGTCACAGTATCTGTGAAAACAACAGAATTTTACTTTAACACAACTACAACACTGATGAAGTTTAAACTACAAGGCCTAAAATGCTTATTTTAAATGTCTGTTTTTGTGTAATTCAACAAACTATTTTCTGTGTCTGTGCGGCAAAAACAGTCTGTATGAAGAGCAAAAGCAGGCGGGACAAAATCTACCCAATGATATCGCCTCTCCTGGTGAAAACTCAGTTTTCTTTATTCAAACTCAGCTAACAATCTGTTCTGGATCAAACATCTACACTGAGATACGAATCAGCTTTGAGATTTCCTGATGTACTTGAATGCATCATGAATGATAGATCTGACCTCGTTTACAGTTTCAAGGTCTATCTCAAAAAGTTTTTAAGTTTAGTTTTAAAATGCAATGAATGAAGGAAAACATGAAGCACTGAGAGCAACTTCATACATACATATGATCTCTACAGAGTTGAGCAAAAGTGACCGGGACAACTTTTGTAACTGAAGTGCCGATCAGATGAGCTCTGAGTACAAAAACCTGGGAAATGGAAAAAGTCCCTTAACTGTAACAAATCTGTCTTACGATGGGTTAATTCCAGAAAAATTTCAGACCCATTATTGACCAAAAAAAGCAAGAAAATCAGCATAACATGCAGAAAATGGACCATAAACATCTTAGCACACCAAAGAAAAGAGTAATTTATGACTTAACTAAATCTACACCATACACACTCATGGCCAGACTGTTTTTAGAGGCTTATTCTGTGAAGAGACGCTTGCCGACAACACCCAGGATTGGTTGAGAGCTGCGAACTTGTACATGTTTCCTCTTCCACTTTATTTGGAGACATAAATCTTGAAAACGGAGTTAATTTCCATCTCAAATGAGACATTTTTCTGATTTATTTTCTCATTTCTAGCAGAGGAAATAACAGGAAAATTTGCTCAAACTAAGATTTCAAACTAATAAAGCTCTCAGCAGCGATTAATCGGGTCACTGAAGTCCTCTATTGAATTCCCTTTTCCTGCAGCATCAGTGCAGTTGTAGTTTCAGGTGTAGTCTGTAAGCGCAGAAACCTTTTCATGCGGGTCTTGTGGCCGAACGGTCTGCAGAGACACTGGGAGAAGAACTTGCAGAGCTCGAGGACGCAGGGCTGCAGCTTGTGAGCGCTGACCGTCGTCGTCGTCCTGCCGAGGGCCGGCACGTCGTTCAGTCCCGTCCTCCTCCAAGGACAACCTCTCAACAGACAGAGTGAGACATCTCATCAGTCAACGACAAGCTCTGTCTGAACATCTGCTCCTCTGAACTGATCTCAGTCCGTTTCAATCATAATCACTTTGCCTGTTCTGTAAAAAAAAAAAAAACCTCTGTGAATTTATTAAAAGCTTAATTACAAACAGAGATAAGATAAGATAATCACAGGTGGGTTTGTGTGTGCGATCAAAAACACAAACATCATCATAATTAATCTGTAAAAACCCACAGCAGCGATTCGGAGATTTTATGTGCTAAATAAATCATCCCCACGCCCATTCTTCACATTTCTCTCTCGTTGCATTTAGTTTGCATAAAGTGGTTTCACTGCTTGAATTCCCATTACAGAAATCACTGGTCCTGATGCTTTCTAATCATAATTAATGCGCTGCAGGTACACAGGCTCCCAGTAACCGTAAAAAAACACATTCAAATGTGACTTTAATTAAAGACTCCTTCGTTTTCTGCACTTATTTGCTCCTTCTGCATGACTTATTGTTTGACATCAAAACTGGGAGCATTTAAGAAATCCAGCATTAAGAGATTTAAGTTATTTGCCTGAATTTTAGTCTTAGTTTAGGCGCATTTAACCAGGACTGAAGTGGTAAAGACATCCTGGGTCGTATCACAGAAAGTCATCAGTCAAAGCATCTATAACCTGATGCGTCCTCCTCCAATGTCCTCAGTCTACCTCGTGAAAATATCAGGAGAGACCGGCTCCCTTTGACCCAAATCCTCCTGCAGCAGATTTTAAACTGCAGGAGCAGAAAAACTTCGTTTCACCTTGTTCCTCATTTCAAGAAGCTCTCTGGGGACACAAAGTAAAAACAAGTTTGGTGCCTGGGCCACAGTGTGGAGATTGCAGCTTGCAGCATCTTTCAGATAAACAGAGTTAAATAAATAGAGAGAAGCAAGTTAAGAAACCCCAAATAAACGGAGACTGTCAGTGATCGAGTCTCTGGGTAGACCTTCTGGGTGAAAAGTGTAAAAAAGCATCTTTTCTCGGTGACAGAGAGGCTTATATCGGACTGATGTAGCAGTAAATAACTGTATCGTCTGCATATAGTCGTATATTTGGGTTACCAACATGATGACCAACACGGTTAGTGTAAATTGTAAATAACAGAGGTCCAACGACAGAGCCCTGGGGTACACCATAGTTAGATAAATAACTTTCTAAGCATTAGATGGGATGTTCTCATAGTCCAGTATGATAGTGATGGGCACGGCAGTTCCTTTAGATGTACTCAATCACTAGAATCAGTTCACTAAAAAGATTCTTTCACCAAATCACTGAATCATTTAGCAGGAGGAGCCTGCGACTCTGACCTCCTGAACTGATACACAGCTGAATGGTTCAGGATTCAGTTCAATTCAAAGCTTCTGGGACTGAGAGACGAGGGTGTTTGGTTGCTTTGACAAACAGGTTTGTAAAAAGGAACTTGTTTATAAGTCATGATGTTTTAAGTGTACTGTCCTATGGTATACTATTTATCAGGTCTGCTCAGTAAATTGGGCTCAGTGAGTGATTCGTTCAATGAACGTTTAGAAGAATTCACACTGAACATTCACCATTCCCTCGCAAACCACTGCAATGATGGGATGCTGGGGGTTTAATGCACTACATGTTACATGCTGTGTCCGATTGGATGCAAGTTGTTGTGGTGACACTTAAGCAGTGAAAAAAAGTGTTGTCTGACAAAAATGATTCCAGAGAGTGTCGTTCAAAGCGTGATTCGTTCACCAAGTGATTCAGGCGTCGGTGCATTCGGTCCCTCGTTCGCTGTCTGCTCACCTGGCAATGCTGTTTCTGACTTCAGCTCAACTGAAGGGAGAAACGAACGAATCACTTGAGGAAGTGATTCGGTTCGGTATGTTCAATTAAAAGATTCGGTTCTTTTGAACAAATCGTTCACAAACGACACAAAACTACGGTAGGAAGAAGTCTCTGTTGATTAAGTACATGGTCCACAAAGTTCTGAAAAGTCATCAAACATGGCATGATGTTCGTTAACAAGATCACTGACAACTTTTAATGCTGCGTTTCTTTCTTTTAGTAGTTTTTGTCTTTCCCTTTAACAAACTTTAAACAGTTTGGTTTGATTTAATTTGATCCAGAATCAAGTTTTAGTCCAAGCTGGTTCTCAATTTCACTGTCAGTTTCCTTTCAGTTATTTCTTCTGACAAAAGTGAACCAAGAGAAGCACAGAAGAAAACAATCAAATGACATAAAAGTACGTTAAAATGTGTTGAAGACTGAGCCACGCCTATATTCGAAAAGTTGCCATCATATAAAAACAGAGGCAAACTGATAGCTGCTACTGCGGAGTTCATACAGTATAAATCACATAGTCCAAAAAAAAATCTTAGCAGTGCCACCTTCACTGTCATCATCACCTCTTACAGCTTCAGTACCTGCAGCTTTTCCAGCTTGACGATCATAAATAATAGACGACCAAAATGATCATCAGATTAACCTTTAATGACGCTCCGCACCCAAACAGCTGATACAGAGCATGTGTGGCATAACGCAGAGATGAGCAGCTGGGCACACATTTGACCACACATTAATGACTCAGTGACAAATTGCACAGGATGCTCCAGCCTTCTGTTTGTTGCTAGGCAGAACTCAGTAGGTGAGCAGCTGCTGTCTGAACACTGAGGTTTTAGTGCCATCTAGTGTTTCTGCAGGGACATGTTAATCATTTTCAGGGTGCACTCCTCCTCCCACACTCATGACGGTTTTTAAAGTTGGTTTCTCCTCTTGTGGGAAAGATCTGACAAAGCTTGACTCATGACGTTCATCTGCATCATGACGGCGTTTTAGATCCGTTAATGACAAGAGAACCGGTTTGTTCTGAGGTTTCATTTAAAACAAATTAAAGACTGAGTAACTTTCTATTTATGGTGAAACTGGGACTCATCAGAAACAGAAGAACTTGCTGAAGTCGATCAGAGTTAAGTCTGACTTAAACTTATGATTTACCATGAAACTAAGACTCAACATAGAAAATGAATGATCCCTTTAACTCACAGTTTACCAGGAAACTGGGATTTAACTAAAACAAGTAAACTAGCTTAACTTAATCCGGGTGAAGTCTCGGTTTTTCTCATGAATTCCAGTGAAACTGAGACTCTCCGTGAACAGTTAAGGCCAACTGAAGTCTCACTTTAACTCACAGTTTACAGTGGAACTTGGACTCATCACAAACAGATGAACTGGCTAAAGTCAGTCAGAGGGAGGTTTTGCTTGAACTTAAAATAAACCATAAAACTAAGACTCACCACAAACTGAAACTAGTCTCAGTTTAACTTAAAATACACAGTGGAACTGGGACCAACTACAAACAGATGAACTGGCTGAAGTAAACCTTATCAAAGTCTCTTTTAACATACAATTTACCATGAAACTGAGACTCACAAAAAAACAGATGGACCGGCTTTAGTTAGCCTAATTGAGGTCTCAGTTGATCTTACAATACTCATGGCTTAGCCTTTAATTTACTGTGAAACTGAGACTCACTATTAACGGTTGAACAAGCTGAAACAAGCCAGAGTGAAGCTACCTTATAACTCATAATTGACTGTGAAACTGGGACCTACTACAAACAGATTAACTGGCTGAATTGAATTGAGCTCTGAACTTACATGTCACTATGAAACTGAGACCTTTTTCTTACATTTTACAGTGGGGCTTGGACTCATAAACAGATTTCCTTTAACTTACGATTTACCATGAAACTGAGACTAACTACACACAGATGGACCGACTTAAGTTAGCCTAATTGAGGTCTCAGTTTGACTTACAATTGTCTCAGCCTGTATTTACAGTGAAACTGAGACTCACTATTAAAAGTTGAACTAGCTGAAACAAGCCAGAGTAGAGTTACCTCATAACTCATACTTGACTGTGAAACTGGGACCTACTACAAACAGATAAACCAGCTAGATTGAATTGAAGTCTTAATTGAACCTGGCTACAGTTTGGCAAATTGAGATCTCAGTTTAGCTTGGACTCACCATAAACAGATGAATCAGCTGAAATTAGCCAGAGTGATGTAAAAGTTTAACTACTATTCAACAGTAAAACTGAGACTCACCAGAGCCATATAAATAGACACCACTCTTTACACCATTAGGACCACCAAAAAGTAACTGTTACCCCCGACACGCTCACTGGTCATAAATAAGAGGAACCTACGTTGTATATTTGGCCTGAATTTTGCAGCTTAACTCGATTTAAACTGAATGAAGCTGCTGCGATACCATGGTTACTATCTCAGTCCCTCTCTATGCTTCCCACTCAGACATACACAGGCTGAGGCTGAACGTGAAGCTGTCAGCGTGTACAGAAACGACTCTGAATGGATGTGATGTTATTACATTTGTTTTCTGTGACAGCAGGTCAGCAGACAGAGTCAGCTGAGTTTTATTTGTCATAGATACTTAAACCTGGATTAAATGTCTCTTTAATGGCGTCTGTGGAGTTCAGGGTCATTAATCAGTGCTGTGTTTACTCTAGAGAGAAAAAAACACAAAAAAATATCTTTACTAAAGAAAATGACTCAACAGGCTGTTCAGCTGACGGTTTAAGGAGACCTCTGGTTGTGTTTTTGGACCTCTTGTCTCCCTATAACAGATGACTGACCTCTAACAATGGAGCTGTTTGCACATTTTAAACAATAGAAACATTCACACATTTATCCTCCTTATGTAAGGTCTATTAGTCTTATTATTCACTGTGGAAATTGTATTCATGATGCATTTTATAACCATGTTGCACCCCTACTGCTTTAGCTGCTGTTTAATCGGCACTTTAAAGGGATAGTTCCGCTTTTTAAGTTGGGTTGTATGAGGTACCTCTAACAATAGATGAATACATGGAGAAGAGATGGGATATAAATAATGATGTTACTAAAATGTTCCATTTTTGGCATCTTAAAGGGGTTTTGAAGAGAAATAAAATTAACTTGTGTAACTTTCAGCATCCAGGGACCAGACCAACCAAAGTTTAGGATTTTAGGAGAGCACCTGGGATAGCTATTAAAGGGATATTCCGGCGTAAAATTTATTTAAGGTCAAACACACTGTAGCACCAAGTTAGACACCCCGTCGAGAGATGAATGTTGCCGACAGCTTGCTTCTCTAGTTATACCAGCTTTAGTAACTGCAGTGCAAAATGATTAATATGGTGATTATTACTTCAAGGAAATGATAAAGTAATGATCATAAATGTTCTTCCTTCAGCTGTGTCACCCCACTGCAGTCGATGGACTTGCCCAGAGGTATCCGTACAAACAAACGGCTGCTGGAAGAGAGTAGGTGAGTTGTGTTAAGTCTCTTTGCTAAAGAAATCAGGCAAAGTTAAAAAGATGTTTGGTGTCTAGTACTATGGCTGTGACCCTATATGTCCTGTTGATAAAGTTAGGTGCTGTTCTGAGCATTATTTGTGTCTATAGAGTGGCGTTTTGGTTGAGGTTTGTTTATGGCTCCTCAGACCGCTGTGTATTGCTATCGTGCGGTCGTTACTAAAGTTGGTATAACTAGAGAAGAAAGCGGTCAGCAACATTCATCTCTTGACGGGGTGTCTAACTTGGTGTTAATTAATTTCATGTCAGAATATCCCTTTAAGATCTCAAATGGGCTGTGCCACCCATGGTTGTCTTTTTAGACAGACCCCTGGCTTTTCTGTGGTACTATGGACACTACTCAAAGTTTCCCATGCCACTTTTACTAAACATTACTGGGTACTAATGGTGGACTTCTCATCCTGGTTTTTATCCCATCCCAAATCTCAGTCCTATAAAGGTGAGGGATCTCTACCTGGTTTCTCTGTTTCCACAGTCATGCTGAGTACTGTAGTCCTCCTGCCCAGAGGTCCTGTAGTCCTCTTGGCCAGTGTGGGTCTTTCTGTTGTTTGGACGGGTGAAAGTCTTGTTGGCGTCATATATTGAGTTGTTGTACTTGGATGGTGTGTGGCTGTCGTTGGCGGGGTCTGGCTAATTCCTGGTGAGGCTGTTGTGTGTTCAGTCTCTGCCGTTGTTGATCGTGTCGACCTCGTGGTTGAAGCAGCAGGTACAGTAAAAACTTGTTGGGTTGTTGTTGGTTCCGTTGACGTGATTGGCTGTAAAGTTGTCGTAAATGTTGTTTTTTCTGAATCCTTTCTTGGAGCTGTCGTCTCGGCTTGTGCAGTCGCTCTTTCTGTCGTCTTTATCGTTGTGTATTGTCCATCTGCTGTAGTTTGTCTCTGGGGTACGGTGGTTGCAGGTTGCGGAGATGTTTCTAGCATCTTAGTTGTTGCAGCAGCTGTTTCATCCACTTCTGGAGGGGAAACTATTAAAAAGACAAAGAGGTGGAAGCCGGTCACTTTCCACTATTAAGTGAATAATGGAAAGACACTGCACTTATAAAAGTTTTGCAAAAAGTTACGTAAAAATTTGTTATTTTCAAACCTGAACCCCATCGATGATACCAAAAGGTAATTTGTTTTCACTGATTTTTCTCTGATGAGGGGAATCGATCAAGTGGTTCTCAACTGGTCTCACTCTGGGACCCACATTTTCCAGTGGTCCTTAAGTCGCAACCTACTTTTATAAAATTCAAACCAAGAAAATGTATTTTTGATAAAAAAAAACCTTTAAAGACTCAAATCTTAAACATAAATACACTTGTTTTATTTCAGAGCACATAACCAAAAAAAAACAACCTGTATTTTTTACTGCATTCAGGCCACATTAATAAGAAACCGAGGAGGGCCACGACATAATGCATGCCTTTCAAAATAAGCTATTTTTCAAAATAAAAGCCATGTCTTTACTGATCTGTCGTGGTGAAGAAAGAGCTGAGCCGTAAGGCGAGACTCTCGATTTGCCGGTCGATCTACGTGCCGACTCTCACCTATGGTCATGAACTTTGGGTAATGACCGAAAGAACAAGATCGCAGATACAAGAGGCTGAAATGGGTTTCCTTCACAGGGTGTCCGGGCTTGGCCTTAGAGACAGGGTAAGGAGCTCAGAGTAGAACCGCTGCTCCTCCACGTCGAGAGGAGTCAGCTGAGGTGGCTCGGGGATCTGGTTAGGACGCCTTCTGGATGCCTCCCATTAGAGGTGTTCCAGACCTCGTGGCCAGCCCAGGACCAGGTGGAGAGATTATATCTCTCGCCTGGCCTGGGAGCGCCTAGGAATCCCCCCAGAGGAGCTGGTGGAAGTGGTTGGGGTGAGGGCCGTCTGAGCTTCCCTCCTGAAGCTGCTGCCCCCGCGACCCGGATAAGTAAATAAAACGATGACGACGAAAAGAGATGCCATACATTAGAAGCGCATTAAATATTGACTTTTTGACCAGCTGTTTGCGACCCAACCGGAACGTGTCCACGACTCACTTTTGGGTCGGGACCCACCAGTTGAGAACCACTGCTCTAAACATTACCTTCTGCGGACATATTCAGTTTAATGTGAATCATAACAAATGTTTAATTTGAGGTTAATCTGTTGGCTGATCGGGATCCGTTGCCATGGAAACATAATTGAATGTATAATAAGCTGTCTAAAAGCATCTTTTAGCCAACGTCTTGTGTAAACCTAACAATATTTGAAGGATTACGACTCATTTACAGACTTCACTCTCCAACTGGAACCGCTGAAAGTCACAGTGAGAGCATTTTTCTTGCATCAGGCTGGATCCTGGTGTAGGAAACAACAGTTTTTTTCCTCTAATCTGCCTCGTACCTAAATTTGTCGTCTGCATGTGTCAGACCGAAACAGCATGATCTGACTCTCATGATTAGCATGTACCAAACATGAACGCAGACCTCCTGCAGGGGGCGGGGGGCTCACCGTGTGCTGTAGAGTGGACTCTGCTGGTTAACATGGAGCTCATCCCAGATGGAGAGACGTGACTCAGATTGGTGGGCAGTTGGTGCCATTCTGACGTTCAAAATAGAAAATTAGACACGAGAATTGAAAAGGCTCTTTAGTTTCTTTTTTCCTGGAGGATGACAGCGGGTGATTGAAGCGGCTTTTTAACACGCTGGATTACTCACCCACAGGAAGTCTGATGGAGGAGACGTTACCTAGTAGAGAGGGATGATGAAACTCTCGGTAAATTCATAAAAGGAGGGAACGCAGAGGGAAAAGGTGGATGACAGCTTAAATACACACCAGAGCAGGTTGAATTGCATCTTTTTTATAATAACTTTAAGTCTTTATGAAATACTACATTAAGTAGTCATCATTTAAGGAGGAATTGAAGATGTTTGCTCTGTTTAGGAGCCATTATTTATTTGTAGTAAATGTAAATCTTAGCTGCACTGCCGTGTCCTCGAATAGATGTTTTGATTTTAACTCAAATGTTTACAGTAGTCTGGGTTTTTTAGGTTCCTTATGTAATCCCAACAGATGTAAACAAAGTCTATGCAGAGGTCTATCCTGCATCAATGCTGCCCCCTAGTGGTTATCTGACATATTGAGTTTGCCTGCAGAGGACACAGACTTCTGTACGGTCCTTCCACGATGGTCTGGTTGAAAAGAGGAGTGATGGAGTCGACCTCCCACAGCGCGGACACCTCTCTGCCTGAACAAAACACACACATCACAGCGTATATATCATATTATATCATAAACCAAGTACATGGAGGTCTTTCCTGAGTAAGTCAATGTGCAGCAAATATTAATGAACAAGCGAGTTGGGCCCTCTCTTCTTTCAGGCAGAGTAAACAGTTTCCATGATTTCCAAAAAAAAAACCTCAGATCTTTGTTTTTGTCAAACAAACAGGTCAGTTTTCTAGACCCCTTTGGTCCTCCTTAAACGGGCTTGGGGCTGGAGATGTTGTTGGACGATGATGAGATATGGTTTACTCTTTGTTTTTGTGAAAGCAGAGATAATCTAAGTTCTAGTGTTGTGTCCTTAACGAACGATTCGTTCAAAATAACCGAATCTTTTAAGTGAACGTACTGGACCGAATCACTTCCTCAAGTGATTCGTTCGTTTCTCACTTCAGTTGAGCTGTCAGCAGGGCAGATGCTATAGCACGCAGCATTGCCAGGTGAGCAGCCGGCGAACAAGGGATCGCATGAACCGACGCCTGAATCACTTGGTAAACGAATCGCGCATTGAACTACACTCTCTGGAATCATTTTTGTCAGACAAAACTAACTTTTTAGAATTTTTTTTTACTGCTAAATTGCCACCACAACAACTTTTATACAATAGGACACAGCATGTAATAAATCCTATCATTGCAGCGGTTTGCGAGGGAAACCGTTTGCGACCGAATCACTCACTGAGCCCAATTTATCGAGCAGACCTGATAACTAGCATACCATAGGACAGTTCACTTGAACCATCATGACTTTTGCCAAAGCAACACAGACAAACACTCTCGTCCCCCGGTCCCACAAACTATGAATTGAACTAAATCCTGAAACGTTCAGCTGCATATCAGTCCAGGCTCCTCCCGCCAAGCGCGGAACGATTCGGTGATTCAATGAACGAATCTTTTGAACGAATCTTTTTAGTGAACTAATTCTAGTGATTCAGTACATCTAAAAGAACTGCCGTGCCCATCACTACTGGGTTCACAGACAGGGGTTTCTCGAGCTCATGTGATGATTTCCACTACAGAGTCACGCCTTTTTATTGCAATCCAGAGATTTTCTCTGAGCTTTTTAATAATAATATTTTGAATTTCTACAGATGATGAAATCTGCACATTTTTGCAGTTTTCATCCTGAAATTTAATTCTGAAATTGTTGGACTATTTGCTCACTCAGTCTCTCACTAAGAGGGAAAATCCTACCGGTCTTTGCCTCTGAGTGACTCCCTAAAATTACTTTTTATACCCAGACATGTTACTAAATTGTTTCCCACATCGTCCTATTTTTAGATTCAGGGTTGTGAGCAACAAACGAACCAAAAATTGAAATCCAGCAAGCTTCACTTACCCGTCTTTCCCGCCATCACGCAGATATAAATACAGTCGGAGTTGTTCCTCTGACTTACTGAGACACACAAACACAAGGCAAACGCACTCTGGGTTCATCACATCAGTGAACAACATGAAACAAACTTAATAAACATAATAAACATAAATAATAACAATAAACATACACCCACCTGATAATATGGAGGCTGATTTAAAGATCTCCTGTAGGTATGTAGTCGAGTTTCCCATCACATCCAGGAGGATAGCTGTAAAGTCTGAAGGATGACAAACACGAGTTAAACATTTTCAAATTTACATTATTAAAGTATTTTAAACTGAAAACTTAATTAAGTTAGTTTCTAAATCGTTCACCGGTGAGGTCGTTGGTCTCGTTTGTGACGCAGTAGCAGAACCTCCTCCTGAAAACGTTCCTTTCTACACTTTTAATGTTGGAAACTGAAAAACACAAAACAGACTCAGTTTAGAGAGTCTGAATCAGCCTGTAAGTCTGTGACTGATCTATAAATACCAAGTGTAGGCGTAAGACATGACTTATCTGATTTATGTCTGGTTTTAAATATTCACTGGAAAGATCTATGGGGGTGAGGAGGCAGGTTGAAAAATAAGGAACTTCTTTACCAAAACATAAAAAGCAGGATCTGAATTTATCCAACATGACGACGTTTTACAGCCAATTTCATTTTGTGTCTACATCTAAATATTGCCTTCCTCTTATTATCATGAAGTATATGTGATTAAATGCACTAAAGACTGTCTGACAATCTCTTTTTAAAAAAATCATGATTAATCGCAGGATTTCAATAGTTAATCGCGATTAATCGCATCTTTAATCGCATCTTTGAATTTCCATTATTTTGCTTTTTTAAACTGTTTCAGTTTAAATTGACAAATTTAATCAATTCTTACTAGTGTTTGATTTGCACTTCAAATAAATGTGAAGAAATGAACGTTATGTTTTTGACTTTTTGATTTATGGCTTAAATAAATGCTGCACTGCTACACCAGTGTGGTCTGAAACCAACACTCAGAGGTATAATCGTCAAATACAGGGTTTACTTTATTATTTTTCTAAATGTAGACACTGTTACACATAAAGAAATATGCAGACTTTGACCATAAAGAAATTGACGTATTGCCACTGACAGGCCTAAAAAAAGAAATCAGCAAATAACATTGTTCCATTTTTATACTGAAGTTATTCAAAATATGTATCAACCCCTTTTAAAGTCACATTAATCCACAGCTCTACCATTTATACTCATTTGTAGCTTCATTTTTTTATCAAATCAGTATCAAATATGAGCGGTTTTATCAAACTGAACCAAAGGATACACACAGTGTGATTGCAGATTAGAACCACTAGATGGAGTCAGTGGCAAAGCTATTTTTAACACAGATCTGGACCTCATCCTGCTGTTTTATCTGAATGCGCTTGTAAAAATATAAAGAACTAAGAGTCAGAGTGGGTTACTGTGTCTGCACTTTATTAAAAATTAGTTAACTGTTTGTAAACGAGTGTGTAGTTACTGTTGTAGACCAGCAGGGTGAGTTTATGGAGAGCCAGAGAGCTGTAGGACGTCACACTGAGCAAGGAGAAGAGCTGATGGGAACCTAGAGACGAGGAGAGACAGGAAATATGTCATCCTCTAAGATTAAATTGAATTTCTGATACAGGAGAAATCAAAGTGATATTTGAGTGAACTGCTCCTTTAAAGTTATTATTTCCTAACACAGAGTTTGACCTCTGAAGAAAACAGGAAAACGAGGCAGAGATCGGCTCTGCAGGTTTAATAACGACATACATGAGAGATTTACAGCCCAGGATTGATCTTCTCATGAGTGATATTATGACAACCTTACCCGATTGGCTTGTATTTATTAAAGTATTGACCAGGGGGGTGAGATCAATGGCAGCTGGGTCGATGTGCTCTGCAGGGATTTCTGGGAAATAAAAGCAGACATTCAAGTCAATGGGACATTATTCTGGTTTTAATCTCTATTATGGAATTAGCAGAATCAGCAATATGTGGATGTTTGATCGCAAAACGACATAAAAGTAACGATTATCCTGAGGAGTTCGTCCCTGGGGTGGAAGTAGTTTGAATAACTCGAGGTCAGAGAAAATGCTAGTCTCGTTTATTGAGGTGGATTAAAGCTTTTATCAAATTTAAGTGTAAATTTAAACTCTTACATGGAGCCAAATCCCTGAAATCGTCCTCATTACACCTGACATGGTTCTTATAATCTTAAAAGAGGTGAGTTTGTGCTTTTCAGTTTACTATTAAAGTTTGGAAGTAGAAAAATTGGTGGGTTATTCATGGTGTTAAGTTAGTTTGAGACTCTCCAGATTTATGTTGTTTATAATACTGAAGAAAGTTATGACAGTGAAACGAAGACTCAACAAAGACACATTTCAAGAGCGAGCAAAAGTGAGACATCTATGTTACTCAGTCTTTCAAGTGAAACTGAGACTCACCAGAAACATATATTTACCATGAAGGTGCCTCTTACTGAGATATCCGGATAATCCTTTAGCGATATGAGTCTTGTTGTGAAAGTCAAACCTGCGAACTAAATGATGAAACAAGGATTACCTGTGGAGTCGAGGAAGTCGTCTTCATCTCTCCTGTGCCTCTCCTCCTGCCGCCTGACCCCCATCTCTATAAAGAAAAAAAAACACTCTAAATCCATCATTTAGGAAACATATTTTACTGCCAATTTAGAGCTTTGAGGGTTTAAAGATTCAGAAACAGACTTGTACCACAGGCGTACCTTTACTGAAGAGGCTGAGGAGTAAAACTGCAGAAATACAGATAATCAAACAGAGGCTGGGGGGCTGACTGACTCTGAGTAAACCTGCCATGGTCCTGAAGCACGGCTGTCAACAAGAAGACACACACAAAAAAGCAAAAACTGTGTCGGCACATGAGACTGATTGGATGTCATGAGTAACAGCAGTGATAGAAGTCAAAATATGTCATCAAGCCGAGTCCAGTCAGGAAAAGAAAGAAGTAAAGTTAAATAATCTACATTAAAGTTAAAATTTTTGAACCAGGCGTTCCTGCTGAACATTTATCAAATATTCATGTTAAAGCCTTTAATCCCCTGATACCACCCACCTGCTGCTCGAATCCTCCTGGAAATGTCGCAGCGCTGAGATTCCCCCCGGCAGCATCAAACCTCCTCTAGCATGTCACACACCTGCAGTCAGATAAGGATTAATCTCGCCCTGTTTCACCTCCCTCTCAGGTGGGCAGCAGGTTGGCAGCTTACTGAGCTCTGCACCAAAGAAACAACAAAACCTGGTGTCTGTCTGCGGGCTGGGCACTGATCCCTGACCGCCATCCCCCCGGCTCCACTGCAAAAAATATCAGGATGAAGGTCTTTGACGTAACGCCTTCAGATATATTTACTTTGCAGGGTGTTCAGCTACCCTGAGCTATATGGAATAATTAGATTATTACAGGAGCAGGAAATTTAACAACAAATGATGTGAGTAAAGACAAGTTACATTTATATCTGCACTTTTTAGTAAGTTTATAACTTTATCCCTGTCTGGTGAGAACACGATATAAAAGCGCTTTCAATTAAGAAGTCGTCAAAAAAACCTCATTTTTATATAAACATACGATTTGTTCTTTCTCCATCTGTGCTCGCCATCAAAGCTTTTTTACATTACTGCTTTTGAACCAGATGTTTAAACCATGTAAAACACTTTATGTGAGCTCAAACTTATGTCCATCTGTATCTACAACAAAAATGTTGGTGTCGTCTGCATATCAAATGAGCGCCACATCCTATTGAGAATTAAAGGGGCCGAGCGTGGAGCCCTGTGGTACACCACACACTCTCTACTCCAGTTCATATGTTGTTTCCTCTTAAGGTTAAAGCTGGGTCAATAACAAGTTAGCATCAGTCGAAAAAACAGAAATACACTCGTGTGTGGTGGTCCAAAATCACGGCCTAGAATCACGCAGTGGGACGATCATCAGTTTGTATTTGTCACCAGTTTTGTTTAATTTCACTCATTGCCTTATTAGGAGTTTCATAAGACTGAGGTCATTTCAAATCAAACTGTTTCAGTTAGGGTTGTCCTGCGCCAATATTGATATCGGATATCAGTCTGAAATCAGAAAACAAAAAAAGACGAATATCGGATTATATTGACAACAGTTTGTACTAAGGTACTGACATGGACTGTATATAGAATGGACGGCGTCTGCCTCCTCGATGGGTGAAGCCACTCCGAGAACAGCACCCTCTGGTGACAGGCTGCAGTATAGGTCATAAATTCTGCCTCCGCCAGCAAAGCTTATGGAGCTGTGGACAAACTCTAAAAATTAATTGTGCTCAAGTCTTCTTTTTTCTGTGCAGCTCTGTTTTTAAAAGTTATTAGGGGGTTCATGTTTGCTATGATTGACACTTGATACAGCCTATGGGCGTACGAAGAATGCGTACAAAGTAGTGGAAAAAATGCAGAATTACCAAGAGCTTTTTGGCTTCAAATACGTATATTAGCGGAAGGCGGAACCAAGTTGTGAAGTCTATGGTAGCAAGGAGTAAGAGTGACGTCGGCTGTGTGGCGGTATTTTTCGTTCAAGTAAAAAAAAAGACATTGCAGCTGAGTGCAAAACTTGTCATGCACAAGTTTGTCCCAAAATCAGATCAATATCGGTAACAGTCAGTACTGAAGGTTACAATATCAGTATCATATCAAAAGTAAAAAAGTTGTATCAGGACATGTCTAGTTTCAGCTGAATTTGCTTTCAATCTAAGACCATGTTTCCAGGATCTGACAGCTGTATAATATGACAGCAACGGCACCAGTTCAGGAGGACATTTTTTACAGTGTAAGTAAATGACCATAATAAGCCGCCAGAGTGACATACGAGCCACGGGGAAGATCAGTGAATAAAAGGAGTGAATGCAGGTCTTTAATGATGGGGGATTGGCGGGCACTTTCTTGGGCTTCACATTCAGACACATTCAGGCACACAGCGCTGACTGGCAGAGGAGAGGGCCTGGGAACAGCTGCCCCCGGGGAAAAGTTACGCTGAGTTTATCCTGATGGTTTTAAACAAGGATTAAATCTGTCTCTGTCAACAAACATATGATAGAACGTTTATCTAAGGCTACGTTCACACTGCAGGTTATGATGCATAATTCGGTTGTTTGCAATCACTGTTACATAATGTCCACTCGTGCAACTTTCAATTCAATACTTTATTAATAACCGGTGCAATTGAAAAGACAAAAAATAAAAAAATCAAGTAAGAATACATTTGCATATTATATCATCAAAACATAATATTCAAAGTGGTCAAATACAGAATAGAAATGGCAAGTATTTCTTTTTTTTTTTATTAACTGGAATGAGGAAAATGATGCACAGCTCTGAAGGCCACTAGTGTCAAGTTGTCCAAAACTTCCCTTAAATGAATCTCAAGAACATCGAAACTGTTTCTGATGAAAAAAAAAAAAAGCCGCTGTCGGTTAACTCGCACGAAGCTGTTCGTAACATTCAAATACAGTTTGTGAAAAAAGGACTCAGTCAGTGTGGTCTACGTAGACTGGATAGACTAAAGTTTAGTCACTAAACTGATGTGGGAGGGTTTGTTTGTGTGCTTGCAACATGACGCATAGAGTGGCTACCTTGCTAACCAGATAGCATGGGCAGCTTTACGTAACTTTCAAATGTAACTTGCAAATTTCAACGTCTCTGTCTTTTGTAATATTAAGGACAACCTTCACCACGCTGCTGTTGTCAAACACAGCTAAAGTGATGGTAGTGGCGGTTAAGTTACGTGATACGAGCTATGTTAGCAAGTTAGCCAGACCTGTTGCTAGGTGACAGGTACAACCATAGACATAATATACGTAGACGCCTCAAAGCCTGACGCTGCCTATTGGAACTCACATATCAGTGCGGCCGCCATCTTGGATGGGTCCCCCATGCACCTCCATTATATTAAGGTAGGTAGGAATGCCCAACCGTCCTATTTGTGAAATGTAATCCTACATGATCTGGTTTCAATACTGTGTCGTGTTTTTCAACCATAGAGTCCAAAATAACGGGCATAGTTGTTCATTCTCCATTAACCCCGTTTGGCTCTTGAGCGAACCTGGAGTTGGGAGACCCATCCAATATGGCGGCGACGCTGGATTACACTCCAGCACGTAATGAGGCGTCTACATGTATAATGTTTATGGGGACAATGCTATGTGGGGCAAGAGCATCGATGGAAACAGCTGGTTAAAATGAGTTCAGATTCAGCTGGAGGATTGGTACACAGCTCGTCTGGCTTTAGTTGGGAATTTCAAAGTGGGTCGCCCACTTCTCTGGAATTGTTATGTCATTAACGTTAAATCATAACTACATCAGTTTTATATCTTGGTGTGCTGTTCAGAGATCAGGGTGTGTCTGAAACTTTACCAACAGCTTTGTGCTCCATTCTGACAGCCTTAGCAAGAAAAGCATGACCAAAAAAAGTCAATAAATAAATAAAAAGTACATCCAAAAATAACCGTACGGTAAAAGGCCAAGGCACAAATAATCGGTAGCAATAAAAATGTCCATAAAATTACAGGTTATGTAGAATGAGTCGATCAGTGCATTGCTCGGTATGCAGTTACAGTGAGTACAACCATCATTGACAGAATTACCACAGCAAGCAGTATTGCCCTCTTTGACTACACGGATGCCTAAAGTGCTCCTTTTTCATTCAGAGTTGACAGATTTACTGATTCACAGCAGAGAAGAGGAAGTATGAAATACACACGTTAAAGTTTACACACAGGTACAACGCTGGAGATGTGTTACGAACGCTCGTTTTACAGAAGGGACGGATCGTGGCGCTGGGAGACGGGTTTGATTTTGAGTCACACAGAGGAAACAGAATTTGGAAAAATGTATCGGCATGCAAAACCTTTCACTTGGGAAAAGACTTAAAAATACGGTTTTTTAAAGAGAGAGAGAGATCGATTGATAAGAGGTCAATCATTGCGCTAATACAACAAAATTTCATTGACAGTAACTGTTGATGTGGTGCAGTTTTGGACCCCCAATTAATACAGAAAAATCGTGGTTACAGTGTCATGGCGACTGAGAAAACAGAGAAACACAACTGTGGACATCGCACTAGAAGCACTTTTGCAGTTCAAACCAAATAACAGGAACACTAAAACAGCAGATCGAGACGGTAAAACCAAATCTTTACATACTCCAGCGCATGTATGGTTAAAGCAGGTTTGATTGTTCCCTTAGAGATTTTGTACAAACTGAACAAACGACAGTGAAAAGAGATGCAGCAAAATGCAGATTGTCAAATTAAGAGTTAAAGGGTTCTTTCCGATAAATGAGACTACATTCGGCGCTACATGGCTGCTGCTGTTGGATGGGAAGATGTTTTTAAAGTCAAACAAGAATGCAATCATGAACCCAAAACCGAATCTTTTGTGTTCGTGAAAGGCAGTTTGTGGGAAAAGTCAGGAACTTTGTGCATGGACGAGTTTCTCCAATGTGTCAGTCAGCAAGAATTCAGATCCTTCATATTTCAACTGGAAGAAGTCAAAATGAAACGAAAACAATCCCAATGTGCTGAAAAGAGACTTGTTTGAGTTTACGTTTCCATCTCGAACCATCAGCAGAGAAAATCTGCTTTGAGTTAAATACATTATTCATGTTAGTTAAGATGATTAGACTTTAATTTTACGTCTTGCATGGGACTTTTTGACTTTATCAGTCACTGGAACCAATCTTTAAGACTTGTCTCACTCGGTACATGTTGACTCTGATGGCTACAATGCAACCAGCTTTTTATTTTGGTGCATTTTAACGAATTAGAGCTTTTGGAAAGTCTCAGACAGAAGATGTTGACAGAAAGGGACCAGCTTGTTTGCCTGTTTTACTACAAGCTGTACACATTGTTTTTGTACCCCACATTTGGTCTGGGGTGTCAATATGGCAAATTGAGTCACAGGTTATGGGTCAAACATACATTTTTCTCTGCATGCTATTTTTGTTGTTGTTTTTGGCCTCTGTGTAAATTAAGAACCCATTTTTATTTAAAAAAAACAAAAACAAAAACACTTCTCCCTTGAGCTAATCTTCGATAATCAAAAAGTTCCGACATTTCAATAACTGGTGCTTTGAGTTAAATTTACAGATAAAGACCAAACTGACAGCAGCACCTGGTTTGAAAAAGGCAAAAGTCCCATGCCTGACTAAAAAGTTTCCTATTAAAAGGTCCAAAATTCACTTCCAGTTGAGATATTTTTCTTTGAAATTCAAGGTGAGTGACTTAAACCGGAGGAAAACTTGAACGCAGATCTCGCTATATTGAATTTACGACTTTTCTTGAACACTTTGTCGTAAATTCGCGAGCCACACAAAATAGTATTATTCCACAAACTTCAAGATTACAGTAAACTCGGCTGGATTAGAGTTTGGATCAAACAGCAAAAAGTAATGCTAGCACTCCAGTTTTCTCTCTAAAAATCAGGGGAAATTACAAAAAGTGTTTAAATTTGGAGAATTTGTTTTGTCTTAATTAGAAATATATTTTATGAATTATACATTTTAAAAACTTATTTATGCTGGAAAATGAAATTGTTGGAAAAATCGTCCTAAACAAAGAAAAGTTGAAGGATTTTGGTTTTTATGTTGATGTTTGTTGTTTTTCCTTAATTTTCCAAAGAGAATAACGAAAGTATTCGGTGTATAACTACTTAAATAAGACAATCAAAAATACTGTCAGCTACATTAGCTAGCATTACTTTTTTCACAATATCTCTTAGTGTCTTGGAAGACCATTTTTAAGGACTTTACAAACTATTAAATGTTGATTTTAACAGTAGTTGTCTTGTATATGTCATGGTTGATTCCAGTTTTTCAGTAAACGGATAGTTGTGTGTAAATTTTGAATGGAAGCCATGTAACTGTAATTCGTTAAAACTTCTCTGTTAATGTAACTTGTGCAAGGCATCGAAGACAGTTGCTGATGGACAAAACAGTTAGAAAATATCGAAAACCAGGAAGTGAAACGAAACACAACCTCAATAATTCTGTGCAGCTGACGAGCCAAAAGCTTCATAAAGCCACAAAACAGCATTTTACAAAAGCGAGAACAGAGACGACTCACCGAAGAAGGAAACAGAGTTCACGTTGAGAAAAGCTGTGCAGTGTGTTTGGTGAGTGGTGAGATGAAGTGGCACTGAAACACTAAATAAAGAATGACGATGGCGAGTCATTCTCCATTTTTTTCGTCTTTTTTTGCTTCAGAGGCACCATGAATGAATGTCTACAGGGATATATCATCCTGTTATGGTCTTAATATCTACATGGTGACTATTTCTGTCTGCATTGCAAGATAATCTATTTGTAGAATATATAATTGAACTGGTTTCAATAGCAGAAGATAACTGTCATATAAGAAGATAAATAGATTATAATAATCGATTGGTTCACCTTATTAACTTTAAACTACAGCTGCATCCACACCAGGCTTTAGTCTTAGCTGCAAACATAGTCGGACTGCAGTTCCTCTTGTGTCCACTAGAGGCCTGCTCAAAAGTGAGTCAGTCTCCATAAGGACCTGTATTGATGAAGACCCATTACACGCATTTTTACCTTTCATTATCCAAGTCTGGAATACTTAAAAAGGATGCTGCTTTTCACACAGCTTCGTTGTCGTGACAAAACAAAAGTTATGCCTTTACGGAAAATGTCCGAGGTTACCCATTGGCACCCACTTCGTTTCCAAATTAGCTATATTAGCTTAAATTAGCTGTTATTATGTTACTCACAGATTGATTCTGAGCCTTCGAGGAAAGAGGTAATCTACAGTCTCTCTTTCTATAATAATGACGCCCTCTTCTGATTGGCTGCCTAATTGTTGCCTGAGGATGGGAGTGTTCAGACAAGTGCAGAGGTGGAAAAACACCAAAACAAACATGGCGAGCTCACATGCCGGTACGCTCTACATGTGATTCACAATCTGAGCCAAACAGGAGGAGGCTAACGCTGCGTTGAAGCCTGGTGTGGAAGCCCCTCTCTCAAACCCACGTCACTCTGAAGGTGTTTGAACATGCGATAACTGTGTAATAAGTCATGTGTGTAGATATAGTTGGTCGTCGATATTACATTCAGTATCTGTGCCGTCCTAAATCTAAAGTAGTAAATGCTATTTAGGCCTTTTTGTGATCTTTTGTAAAGCTTTTTGTTGCAGTAAGGTGTTTAATTTACGTCCAAACAAAGTGTCTGTACCTTTAAATCAGCTTCAAAAACCTCAGTGAGTATTTCTTCATATCCGTCCAGAGTCTCTGGTGTGTGGTGCTGCTGCTCACAGTATGTGTGTTTGTTTATATCTGAACATTCAAGTTTCTTGCAGTGCAATTGTAAACTGTGCAGTAATGAGATTTTAATAAAGAAGAAATCTGGATGGAAACAGACAAGGTGACGTTTGATGACTTTAATTAGGTATTTATTTTAATAAAAGTTTAATGTTCTTTATATCTGGTGCCAGAATAACCGGTTCACTTTTGCATTAATGTCACAACCACGCTCATACAGTTAGGGATCTGGATTTTCAGTCTAACAAGGGTTCCAGGTTGTGGTCCAAGTAGTTTTGACCAACCAGGCATAAGCTAGCTTTGGCATTTCGGGTTAGAGTCGGGCTAGGTTAACCTTAACTCTAACTAATTAACTTACTTAACGAGAAATAAAGAAAAAAATGGAAGTTTTGTGTCTACGTTTCCTTTTGTTAAATTTGGACACTGACTATTGGATAGATTGAAAATATAAACAGCCTCTCTTATTGAAAAATATCTCTCTCAAAGTTCCTGTATGAGCACTACGATCATTATAAAAAGGACTGAAATCAACATCGACATCCTATGATAACCTACCAAGATCGTAGTTTTATGGTTATTTTAATAGCCTCGAACAGCTGGTGTCAGTAAAGGCGAGTAAACTCAACTGCAGATATTCCCTTTGCAAACAATTTCAAGAGTTAAAAACGGAGGAGTCTTACTGTTTTAAGACAGTAAGGCACGATTTTAAATTTTTAACACGTGAATTTTGCATGTACAGCACAAAATCAATATCATTTTTGTCCACAGGGGGCACCAAAATCAACAAGAACCAAAAAATCCTCACAGGAGCTTTAAACTCTTGTGCAGACAGAACAAACATGAAAGTCAGGGGATAGTTGTGGTCTATATTTCAGTCTGTTTAAGCGGGGAACAGATCTTAGACTCTACTTTTTAAATATATAAAATCTTGAAGAAATATTTAACAAGAAGACTGAGTGTCAGAATGAGAAAGCAACCTCAGCTTTGGCTTTATCATGAAAGCAGAAAATACCGAAAAGTAAGTAAAATTTCACTTTAACTCAAGCTAACTGGCATATAACTTTTTACCTATAATGCAATTACCAAAGGATTGTCACTCTTACCGTTAGGCAAAGATCTTCTAGTCGCCTGAACTTTTTATTTGTCTTTGGCTAACCGGGGTTGTAGCTTCAGTTAATAACAGCTAATGCTCTACTTGCCAGATGTAAACAAGCAGAGGTGACTGATGGCATCTTGTAGGCGCAGAGTGGAGATAAAAGTCATATGTCAGCTTACTTTATTGTGGTTAAACTGGCACTGAACTACTTGACCGGAGTTACAAGTAACCAGCGCAGTCATGCAGACATAAACCTGTGAAGAGGACCGAAGGCTGGTGTTGCTAGCTCTGCTAGTGTTCGACACACTCAGCAAACTAACCTGATGAAGCTGCGTTAAATAATTTGACCGTTCTGAGAATTCTCCTTCTTTATGCCATTTGTGAAATTAGTCGCTTTGGAAGATTAAATTCTTATATTTGTGCTTTTTTTCTATTCAGATGGCAGCAAGTTAAACACACAGAACATGATGTTAGGTGTGAAAATAGAAGAGTCAGTGGGGTAGTATTTTATGTTCAAAACATTTACCCTATCTCTACTCATTGTGAGGAATTTGGCCGCTATATCTTTGAGAAACTAAATCATATCCTTTAAAAGTGGTGAAATCAGTACAGGTGGTTTATATCCCTGAATTCATGTGCCAACAAAGCAGCAGATTTAGTGTTTCTGTAAAAAGTTTGATCTCTTTTTCAACTGGTAAGTTTGTATGCATAGAGTGGTGACACACTACTCAAAGCACAGTGGTGTGAAAACAAAGCCAAAGGATCAGAAGTCCTGGTTTCGGGTCAGAACTGATCCTTGAAGATTAACAGCAAGACGTGGGAAAAGCTGAAATGGTGAAACACGACTGCCAGTAACACACCAGTGTTTTGTTACCCTAGTTCCAGTTTCTCACTTTCGGTCACAAGCTCACGCACACACACACACACACACAAACGAACCAGACACTCACCCACAGAAACACACTCACCGAATGGCAAACAGAACAAGACAGGAGACTTTTGGTTCCATTATCGCCCTCCAAACCTCACCCCTCGAATGGTGCATTATCATGCAAACCATGCAAAAAACAATGAAAATGTATTCATATAAAAAATAAGTGTTACAAAATGGCATAGCAAGTATATGTATCCATTCAATCGCTTTTTCTGTTTCCTGATATCCTGAACTTTGCAGTGTCTACACTAGAAGTCGCATGCGTTACATGCAGTGCGGTTGGCTTTGCAGCAATAAAGCTTTTGGGTGTATATAGTATGTATAATAATGTTCCTTTTTATCTTAGCTAAATTTTTGCGAAGAGTGCGCTGTACAGAATTTTTACTTTACAAACTGTCCGGTTTCCCTTTTTGTTCCTGGGCAGTCACAATGCCATGGCTCTCTGTCTGAACGGCGGTCAGTTGCCCCCGAAGCTCAAAGACCTCATTCACGACCCTGCAGCATCAAGGTGGATTACGCCAAACCAACCTTTCCTCCAAGTGGTTTGGTCCAGAGGTGTGGCTTTGACCCAAGCTGATTTGGGTTTAGAGGCATGGGCTGAACTGAGTCTTTGCGAGAGTTTTGGATTCTGTGTGGTCGTACAAACTGCTCTCAGGGCGGCGTGTTCCACACAGCGTCACCAAAACCCTCCCCTGTGGAGGAGAGTGGCAGAGGCCCCCCACTGGGCGTAAATGGATCTGTGTCTGTGTCTGTCTCCCCTTCTGCCAGGTAGCTCGGCCTGGGTCTTGTCCAGCTTGTGTCCCCAGTCCCTGGTCTAGCCCCCATCGACAAATCTTCCCCTTCTCCCTCCCGCTCCCCAGAAATACTGAACCCACTGGGTGAGCGCTCCAGTTCCTCGTGGTTTACTGATAGCATAGAGAGCGGAGAGTCAGCCCCCCGCCCCCCTGTGGTCCTGCATGGCCCCACTGACAAGTCCTGCAAGGAACTGATGGGCAGCACTGTGGGGCGCTCGGTGTAGGTTGGAATGGCAGCAGGAGGTTGGCGTTGGGGAAGGTTTGACGTTGGAGGTTGATGGTCTGAAGGTACACGGCTTCCACCAGTCAACCCCGTCCCCTCTGAACCGCCTTTTCCTTTTCCACAGTACGAATCCGCCTTGCTGACAGGCACCTGGTACGACATGTGCGGAAAAGCCTCGGCATAGTTCAAGAAAACCCGACGGATCTCACCATTCCCTGTGGGGTCGCAGGTCTCCAGGGTCATACGAGCCGCACCGGCGGAATCCACCTGCAGGTGCTCACTGTGCTGGATGTGCATATCCACCAGGAAATCCAGCTTCTTCTCCATGTCCTCCACCTGAGACAGAAACAAGTTACACCAGCAGCATAGACAAGTCTGGTACATAGAAATCTACCAGCAAATCCACAACAGCAGTGACACAAAGGTTTACCATGACCACGTGGACCTCTCACATTAGTCCTGCAAGTATGCTGAGCTTGAAGGCCTGGTGACTGGTGAAGACTTACTTAAACATGAGACAAAGGACTAAATATGGGGCCTAAAAGTTCTTGTTATGGATCTTGAAGGAAAACTCCTGCATAAAACTGATTCAGGGTCAAACACATCGTAACGCTGAGTTAGATACCCCTCGAGAGATGAATGTTGCCGACCGCTTGCTTCTCTAGTTATACCAACTTTAGTAACGACCGCACGATAGCAATACACAGCGATCTAAGGAGCCATAAACAAACCTCAACCAAAACCCCCTCTTTTGAGGGGGTGTTAAGGTGTGTTTGACCCTAAATTAATTTCACGCCAGAATATCCCTTTAATTTGACTAAGTTGACGGGCCAGGAGTACTTTGGTTGTTCTGGTGTATAGATTGGTGCTCATATGAGCATCTAGGTAAAGGGTTTTGAAATCTTAACTCTTACCTGTCTTTCCACCCTGACAAATCTACCCATCATGCTTTGGTCTTCGGGATCTGGCATGGGGGCGGCTTTGGCTAGGTAGGTCTCATGCCTGAAACACAGGGACACTGAGCACTCAGGAACTGCAAAAAATATTGTGTGCTTCACATGAAGACAAATTTATTATTATATATGTGACCGCAAAGAAAGCCTTGATTGTTTTTCAGCAACTTGTACGGCAGTGTGCTCCTGTCTAGTCTTTGAACCGTCTCTGCAGCGTTGCAGTACCTGGGTGACTGATTGGATGGGTAGGTAAACGGTGTTTTTGTAGGTTTCTTCTGTTTTGGGGTGAGGGGGGCTCCAGGAGCGAGAATCATGTCAATCCTAAAAAGAAGAGAAACAGAATAAGCTGAAGGACGAGCAGAAATGTACCTCACTCAAAGAGACTCCATCATCTTTACCTTGTCTGGAGGTATTTTATTCTGCAGAGCATGTCCAGGTGTCCTGCAGAGTACTGCTCAATCACGTCTTTGACATCGTAAGGCCTCAGAGTTTCCTTAAACCGCTTCTTGTTCAAGAGAAATTGCATGATCCTGTGAGAGGAAGAGTTTAAACATAAGAGACGAAATCATGCGAAACAATGTCATGCTTTGTAGTTTGTCCTTGTCCCCTTATTGAGTGTTTTGTGGTTGCATGACTGTAATACTTGACTTTATAGTGGAAGTCCCCGCAAAGACTCAAAAATCACATACCAAAACCACTATCTATGAACGACCTTGCATGTTTTAGTCTGCACTGCCACCCACGAGCTCTTCCCCTTTGAACTGATTCGAACCCGAGCCCTCCCAGAGTCAGCGGCTGCTGCACAAGCTTCAGAGTTTGGCAGAGAGTCCTAAGTCCTGAAACCAAAACCTTTTAGGGTTTGAGGATCCCATTCAGAGGTCCATTCAGCCCTGAAATAATGGTGTGGAAGGAAGCAGCCCTCTCACAGGGTTAATCACTCATCTCACATGCTCTCATGCTAGATTGAATTCCTGCATTATGTCAGCTGTGTGGTCTATAGGTTTACCGGCACAGTGAAAGCATGAGTAAGCGCTGTCAAAACGCTCTGGTTTCACCCTCGTGTTTATGTAGACCGCCCTTGTTTAGTGATACTCGACACTTTGACTGCTTCCTCTCCTCAATAAAGATTTGCAGAGCTGCTTTTTGATGGCACTAAACTCGCCCTGTTGTTATCTGTGTTTACCTTGGTGATAGTTTTCGTCTTTCCCTCCATTTTCAGCGTACATTACCGCCATGCACTGTTGATAAGTTCAGCAGCCAGAAACCATCATCAATCACTCGCCTGCACATGCCCGTACACTAACATTGCTCAAGGAAATTACAGTAGCCAGTCTCCATAAAATGGGCTTCAGAAGCTGCTGTACAAGCCTTTGTGCCAATTGCTCCTGATGATTCCACTCCGTTCCTCGCTGTTTTTGCCGATGATTGCCCCATTTCTTTTTGTTTCAAGTGACTTACAAAAGCACAGTAATGGCTGTTAACAGCACTGTTTACAAAAGACGCTGTTGCAGAGAGAGGGAGCATTACAAACAAACACAAGAGTCATCGAGCTTTCAATAATTTGGGGTGTCTTCTTTAACTACACTGCTTCATTGTGGCTCTTAAAGAGTAAAATTCAGTTCATGAAGCAGTCCTGACCTGACTGCCCTGATGACCAGCTTCAGTGTTGGGATCATGTCCTCCATAAGGATGTCTGGTGGGAATCCTCGCTCTTCTAAGGCAGGGTCTGCCAGGGCTGCTGCATCTTAACAAAAACAGAAAAAAGGAGAAAAAAACACTGATGTTCGAACAGCGTTGGCTTTTTATTTTTGATTCATGTTTCGTTTTAGTTTGTTTTACATTGGTGTGTTGGTTTAAAAATAAGGTCTGTGCTAGGTTGAGAAAGCAAAAAACATCTATGCTTTAGACAGCGGCTCATTTCCTCACTGCTTCACGGGCCAAAAACTACAGCCTTGGACTTCACCAACTCTCCATCAATCATATAAGGGATAACAGGAATCACGGCCATAAATCAAGACAGCCAACTCCAAGCTATTATTTATACAATCACGGCCCTTATTTCCGTACCTTCAGAGCTCTGGCGGAGTGTGTGAGCCTTCATGCGAAAGGCAGTGCGGAAGCGTTCACGGTTACTAAAACCGGCTGGTTTGGGCTCCTTGGAAGGGCTTTCCTCGATGGCGTCGGCATTACCCATGAGCTTCTTTCCTGTTCCGATTGACGGTCGAGCGTTAGGAAGGCGAACCCGCTCTAGTAAACTCATTTTCTGGCTACAATAGAAGAGAAAGGCACATGTAAGAAAGAACACGAAGTGGCAAACAAGAAAGATGTTGAAAAAAAAAAAAGTACCCAGATGAATTTTTAAATGATTATCTCTCACATTGATTGATTTTTTCTAAGGCCCAGCCATGATTGTAACTTTTTGTATGATCTTTTTTGGCCATATTGACTATAGCATCTCTGTGGATTTCCATTGCTGACTGTATTTGTGTTGGCTTATCGGTTAAGAAGTGGTTAAAAGTTGGGAATCTGGGACAGTTGAGGTAATTCTCCGATCTCACAATCTGAGGGTGAATCAAATGACACCGGCATCTCCTTAAGAAATCCACTTTCTGCTCTGTTCAACAATTTCTCCTGACTGACTGACTATCACGGTCTGCTGCCGATACATTACAATGCTGCTTTCCCGGAATAAGTCGGCCTCAAAGAGCTGTGAGGAGATTGGTCTCCGTTATTGTCCAATGGCTGACAATATTTGGCAGCACAAAGACTTGAGGGTAAAATAAGACTCCTGTGTGCCTTGGAAGAGGCAGGGAGGCGGGGTAACCGGAGCCGAAAAAAACAGCCCATACGGGGCCTCTGAAATGTGGAGCGTTCTCAGCGACTTTGCTCCCACAGCAGACACACAATATGAGCCTCTATGTGGCCTCGGGCCGGATAGGGACGGCAGATTTCAGCGCTGAGAGGCTGCAGAATGGGACGCTTTAAAGGAAGAGAGAATGTCTTTCTGACTGATTTGTGACTGAATAAAGAACAGAAAATTACAGGAGATTATCAGGTGGATCTCTCTAAACAAGGCAACACAACAGGAAGAAATAATGCGTCTTATCTCCCACAGTTCTGCCCCTGCAGGGAACACGTATTGGTTTACTGGAGACACACAAACCGACAGTGACAGTGACAAATGGTTTTGGTTGAAGTTTTAATATGTTTGCAGTTATTTTGCTCGATGTTTGAAGCTTATGTGACTGAATAGACCAACACTCTGGAAAAACTCAAAATAATCAGAAAAGTTGAATAAAAAATAAGAACTTTTAATTTAAAAGAACACTGGCATGAGGTGTTTGGGAAAGTACATCAATTCTGAGGGTCATTGTTGCTCAGAATCATGGGAAAGATCTCAACATTCTGACTTAATTCTAAGAATTCTGGCTTTTATTCGTGAAAATCTGACATTGGTCTCAAAATTCTAACAATTTGGTATGAACAATTTTGGAATTCTGACATTGATCTTGGAATTCTGACATTGATTTTGGAATTCTGACACTGATCCTGGAATTCTGGCTTTGATTTTGGAATACTGACATTGGAATTCTGACTTTGATTTTGGAATTCTGACATTAATCTTGGAATTCTGACTTTGATTTTGGAATTCTGACATTGATCTTGGAATTCTGACGTTGAATTTGGAATTCTGACATTGAGCTTAAAATTATGACTTTGATCTTGGAATTCTGACATTAATCCTGGAATTCTGACTTTGATTTTGGAATTCTGACATTGATTTTGGAATTCTGACTTTGATTTTGGAATTCTGACATTAATCTTGGAATTTTGACTTTGATTTTGGAATTCTGACATTGATTTTGGAATTCTGGCTTTGATTTTGGAATTCTGACATTGATCCTGGAATTCTGACTTTGATTTTGGAATTCTGACATTGATCTTGGAATTCTGGCGTTGATTTTGGAATTCTGACATTAATCTTTGAATTCTGACTTTGATTTTAGAATTCTGACGTTAATCTTGGAATTCTGACTTTGATCTTAAAATTCTGTCTTTGATTTTGGAATTCTGACATTGATCTTGGAATTCTGACTGATTTTGGAATTCTGACTTTGATCTTGGAATTCTGTCTTTGATTTTGGAATTCTGACTTTGATCTTGGAATTCTGACATTGATTTTGGAATTCTGACTTTGATTTTGGAATTCTGACTTTGATTTTGGAATTCTGACATTGATCTTGGAATTCTGACTTTGATTTTGGAATTCTGACATTGATCTTGGAATTCTGACTTTGATTTTGGAATTCTGACATTGATCTTGGAATTCTGGCTTTGATTTCGGAATTCTGACATTGATCCTGGAATTCTGGCTTTGATTTCGGAATTCTGACATTGATCTTGGAATTCTGGCTTTGACTTTGGAATTCTGACATTGATCTTGGAATTCTGACATTGATCTTGGAATTCTGTCTTTGACTTTGGAATTCTGACATTGATCCTGGAATTCTGGCTTTGATTTTGGAATTCTGACATTGATCTTGGAATTCTGGCTTTGATTTTGGAATTCTGACATTGATCTTGGAATTCTGGCTTTGATTTTGGAATTCTGACACTGATCTTGGAATTCTGGCTTTTATTTTGGAATTCTGACATTGATCTTGGAATTCTGGCTTTGATTTTGGAATTCTGACTTTGAGATTCAAACTTTAATATTGTAATCCTTTAATTTACAGATCTGACAAACATGAGCTGCAATTTTCTTCCAGCTTTGTGTTAAACAGACCACGCACTACTGCTGAATATCTTAAGATAAAAGGTCCAATATGAGCTCAGAGCAGCCAAACACACACTCATGCAGAGGCTGGCTTATCACTGTATTGTTGGACACAGCCGGAGTGTTGCAATCTCTAGCCTTTGTCCACTCTTTTGCCCAGAGCAACAAGATAATGTCAAACTCGTCATTTCCCAGCCCCTGATCCCAGAAAGAACCACACTCTCTCTGTACCTCGCTTTCTGCATCATCCAGTGCCTTTGTGTGTTTAGGATAAGCAAAAATCCTAAAACCGAGACAATTACATCCTTAACTGTGAGATATTTTGCAGTAATTAGGGTGAAGTGACCCTGTAAGACTTGATCAGATGACACAAAAGTCTGGGTGAACTGGACTCCCCCCTCCTTTCTATCAGCTGGCATATCAGGACTCCTGTTGTTGCTGCTCAGCAGCTTTTAGCAGCAGTAATCTGATCCTGCTTGTTAACCTGAGGGCTTACTTGAGGCCAGAAGGCGTCGGAGCAGAACGCTCTGATGTAGTGAGGCTAAGTAAGGTCCAGGTGAGTCCAACCACCTGAGAAGGTGGGAGGAGTTAAAAGGCTCTGAAGTGAAATACCAAAGGACTGCACAGATTTTACATCCTGTAGAAGTCCTCAAAAGGATGCCCTACAGGTGCACGCTGATACTCCTGCGATAAATTTAGGTTGTTATGTCAGCAGCTCATGAAGACTGGATATATTTCCTGCACAAATCAAACATCCTTAGAGAGATTTTTATGTGTTGCAGCAGAGATTTATTAATATCCTTCCAAGTATCAGAGAAAAAAAGAAAACCATCCAAGCCAAAGACGCCATCTCAGGCGCTAATTACTCAAACTAAACTATCATTCATAATTGAAACTTAACAAACGGACCCGCTAATAGGTTTCTAAGAAAGAATCTCTCAGCACAAATGTCATCCAACTATCTGATGTAGAAGATAATCCTTGAAAAGGACGGTACGAGCAGGACTTTTACGTCACGATTCAGATACTAGAGATTTATTCCACTTGTGAATTAGTAAAAGAGGCTATTTAAAAGCAGACGGGGATATTCTGGGAAACCTTCATTAGTCTCTCCAGCATGCAGGACTAATTAAAGCTCTCGCAGAAAGACTCGGGGCACAGCTCTGTGTGATTTACAGGATCTCAGCTGGAGATGAAACAGCATGACCTACCTCGCAATGGCCTCCAAGTGATCCTTCCTTTAGAGAAGAAAGAGAGAAGAGTTAATGTAAAGTTAATCTAAAAGACTGAGACGTTTCAGTGTGACGCAGCATGGAGGCAAACCAGGAAGGAAATGACTTTTTTTTTTAAACTAAATGGTTGTAATCACTGAGTCTGATACAATGAACAGAAGGACACAGTTTCAAGGAGGACATAGACTCTCATTCTGGCAGGTGGAGTTTGCTTTGGATCGATAGGCTAATTGGACCTGTAGAGACTTTGGACAAAACTGCAGAAACTTAAGTATTTATACCACTGACAGAGTTCAAGTTCTGGCTCTCTGGATTCAGGAATTTATCTCCAATTTCTGAATTTGGTCGTAATATTCTTTCTGTCATCTATGTACTTTGACTTTAATCTTATAATGACAGCTTCCATCATAAACATTTGATGCTGAATTTGTTAATCCATCTTGTATCTCAGAATTCTGGATTTAATCTCAGAACGCTGGTCTTGATCTTTAACTTCGACATTTTATCTCAGAGTTGCAGCCTTCGTCACTGAATTCTGACTTTAAACTCACGGGTCTGGCTTAAGTCTCAAAATCATGGCTTTTATTGCGTGATTCTGTCTTTGATCTTGGACATGTGAGTTTCTATCTCAGAAATTTGCTTTGAGTCTAGAATTTGACTTTGAGCTCATAATTCTGACATAATTTTGAAATCCTCTCTTAGAATTCTGGATTACATCATGATGAAATTAACGCATTGATTTCAAAACTTTGACTAAAACTTTAATGTTGGAATTCTGATTTTATATCAGAATTTTTTCTTAGATCTTGGAATTGTTTTCGATAACTCAGAATTCTGATATAAATCTAAAAAACAAACTTTAAATTTAAATCACTGTCTTAGATTATAGAATTCAGACTTGATCTTGGAATTGTAGTTTTTTAATCTCAGAATTCTCACTTTGATGTTGGAATTCTGAATTTGATCCTTAAAATTCTGTGATTTGAGGATTCTGACGTCGATCTAAGAATTCCAACTTTGATCTCTAAATTCTGACTGTAATCTTGTTTTTGTTTTTTGCTTTTTTACATTTTAGAATTCTGGATTAGAACTCAGAAATCAGACTTTAATCTCTGAACTCATACTTTGATCTTAAATCTCTAACTTTGATCTTGCAGATGTATTTTCTGAATCACAGAATTCTGGAACAAATCTCAGAAATCTGACTTTAACCTTAAAATTTTGACTTTGATCTCAGAATTCTCGCTTTACTTTTAAATTCCCGCTTTTACTCAAAACTCTTTGATTTTTAAATTCTGATTTGATGTGAAACTTTGAGTTGAGGGTTAGATTGAAATAGTCACACATGGCATGAAATCTGAGCAGCATACCTGAAACAGGGAAGAGAGATGATCGTTTCATAGAATCTCCACGTGGCGATAAGGTCCTCCCTGATTGGGTTGGTGGAATAATACCTCCAGGCAGACTAGCAAAACAAACATTTTCAGCTCAACAGCAATTGAAACTTAAACTGCTGGATTCAGATGGATGACAGCTTGTTGTTGACGTCTCACCTGGATGAGCCCGGCTGCTGGGTGTCTACGCTTCTCAAAGTGCTTCTGTCTGTGCTGCTCTTGGACCTTCAGAGCCAAACCTGAACCCAGGATCCCCTACAGTCAGGAAACAGTCAACGACATGTCCGTCTCAGGAGCTGATAGTTCGTAAACACCACCAGGCTTGGCTGTCTAATACACTTCCTGATATAAGCTATACTTCCTGTCACGTGATCACTTCACTGATAGTCTTAAAAGTCAAAAATCTCCCCTACAGGAGCTATAAACTAATTTTCAGAACGTCCAACCCAAACATTACCACCCATTCACTTTACTCTATCCTTTACATGCAGTTTTTTTTCAGGTTTGTTGTGGTTTAATTATTCCAGATAGGAAAGTATACCCACTGCAGGCAAGGCGAAGAAGGACACTCCAATCAGAGCAAAGGTGCCGGCTAACAGTCTCCCAGCCCAGGTCTTTGGGGTTTTATCCCCATATCCGATGGTCGTCAGCGTGATCTGCAAAAAAGACAAATAAATCGTAAACTTTTCCAATGTTTTAAAAGTGACTGTCACATTATAGAGTTATAGGAGACTACTTGAAAGGCAGATTGGCCATTAGGAGCTCTTGCAGATCGGGGTGATGGTGACAGCATAAATCGGCACTATATCAGTGTCACAGCCTCAGAGTCCTCCCCACACGAACACACAGTAGTTCTGTTGTCTGCGAGCCCTGAGCTGCTCTGTGACCTCGGTATTGATCTGCCAAAGGACAGATCGCCGTTTCAAAAGGTCACAACATCATCTAGGATATGCGCCCGCTGATGATTGAGTATCTGGCTGGAGGACGCTTTAGTGGGGCCGACGCTCGCTGCTATAGAACTTGAACTCTGGTTGAAGGACGGTCCGGTTAATGAGGCCACAGCACTCAGAAAGGAAAGGAAAAAACGAAAACCAGGAGGCATTCATTAGGGTGTGAAGCTGTGCCAGGGCGGAACTGTTCTCCAATAAAACCCCGTGTTTTCAGCAGCTGACTTTGAAGAGTTGGAGAACGATTGTCTGGAAACTGTTAATTGTTTCTTGGCGGATGCATCAGACTTGGATCACAATCACAGCTTTGTAGCGACGACTGGAGGAGAAATTACTAGAATACAACACCATCAAACATTGATATTGATCCACGGTTATTTTATTATCTGTTTCCTTCAGACGAGGTGGATTAAAAGCAGCACCACACAAACCGCACTTGATGTACGTACCAGCCCCCACCACAGTGCGTCAGCGTAGGTGTCAAAGTCCTGTGATTTTGGCTGAGCGGTGGGATTATCATGGTCGGTTACATCCATGGAAACGTCATCCTTCTCCACCAGGTAGACCAGGAAAGAAGCCAAGATCAGAGACAGGAAGCCAATGTACCAGGCAGTGATCAGCTCCTACACAAACACATGCATCACAACACATTAGATCCAAATACACGACTTAATAATCACCAGAAATCAGATGCTGTCTTCAATGGTGGACACAGGAGCTGATTGGCTAACACTGCCTCAGCTAAAGCATTAATAAAAAACATTATACGAACATGATTGAGCACATTTAACAGAAAAGACTGATCTTATTCCTTCAGTTTCAGCTCATAGTGCAGGTGGGAGGTAGAGCCTTTAGTTCTACTATGAAAATATCTCCTTTAAAACGATCATTCGATTGGCTTTGCTACAGACCTACAGTGAGAACCCACTAGACACAGTCAAGTCGCTACCACACGCCCACCCACCGTGGCCACCTTCTTAAACAAAACCAACCATCCACTGACCCAGTCTTGAGTCAGCAAAACTGAACTTTGAGACTATGATCATGTCACATTGCATCACAAGCCGGGCATCAGCGTGTAAGACGACACTAAAGTCGATTGAAACAGTTTATAGACAAGCTTTAAAAGTACTTGATAAAAAAACAAAAATGTATCTTTACTGTCAGATATTAAGAATCTTGATTTACAAAATCTTCCATGGCAAAGAATCCCTTCCATTACAGGAATTTATGAAAAAGAACTGAAGCAGACTAACGGGAGCTGGTTCTCGAGGTGACTATGTAGTTTAGTGGTTCTCAACTGGTCTCACTCTGGGACCCACATCTCTTTATGGTCCTTAAGTCGTGACTCACTTTTATAAAATTCAAACCAAGTAAATTTATTTTTGATTAAAAAAAAAACCTTTACAGACTCTAATCTTTAATATAAATCCACTTGTTTTATTTAGTAAAGTTCATTTCAGAGCACATGAAGGGGACAACATGAGGACGAAAACCACTGAAGTTGGATGTACAGAAAATATCAAATATCTAATAAATATCACATTAAGTATTCACTTTTTTGACCAGCTGTTCGTGACCCATCCAGAACGTGTCCGTGACCCACTTTTGGGTCGGTACCCACCAGTTGAGAACCACTGGTGTGGTTCCTCTTAGAAAGAGTGCCTTCTGTCAAGACACTTTCTCCGCAACACAAAACGTGACTTTGACCTCTCTTACCAAACATCTTAAAGCTCGAACAACAACAACACTGTTCCCACAACCACGTCTAAACTCTTAATCTGCCCTTTAACAACTAATTCTAACAGTTAACACCATGTTTCATGATCCATTATACCTTTAATTGTTTGCTTTTCTTTTCTTTTCTTTCTTATTTTCTGTCCTACTGAGCTTTCAAGGACATGTTTTATGTTCATTAATATGTTAATATTGATAAAGTAAATCCTAAATCCGCTGTGTTAGATTGTCTTATATTGTAATATTATTTGCTTTAAATGCATAATTTTTCCATAATCAGAGAGGAGAGAGGGTGAAAAAGTCAGCCTGCTTTCCCTCCTCGAAGTACAATAATAATAAAACACTTTATTTCTGCAAATTACAGACTTTTTACAGGAGTGTTTGAGCTCCTTTGTCTGTCATTTCTTGTGGATTGTTGCTGTGTGATCACATTTTTGTCAAATCTATGGTTTGGCCTGCTGTAAATACACTTTTTTGTTCTCTTATTGTCTGTTTCTCTCTCATTTTTAACCCCTATCTGCTCTTCACCCAGACTGTTACCAAGTGCACGCTTTAATGAATTCATGTTGTGTACCTGAAAACAACATCACAGAAAGTGCGGTCCCAAACCTCCTCTTTGCGTGTTTTACAAGGGCGCTCCGTACCTTACTGTGTGCGTAGATGGCAGACCCCAACAGCTTCCAGGTTCCCCCTCTTCTGTCCATACGCAGCATCCGCAAGATCTGCAGGAAGCGCAGGCTGCGCAGAGACGTGGCCAACACATTACCCTGGTTTCGTACCGCCACCACCGGCACCGAGGCAATCAGCACGAAGATGTCTTGCGGAGGGAAACACATCACAGAAAAATTCATCAACGATTCTCTGTGTGAAGATTTTAATTAACGGGCCTGACCTGACACGGCTGTTAAGGCTGCTTTGTGGAGAGATGAATACAGTGTGAAGACCAGCGGAGTCAGAACCAATTGAACATGGAGGACTTTGTTGAAAACTGTTAATAAGATTAGTCAGAGCGCATCAGACAAGTCCTAAAGCCCACGATGAAAACTGAAGGAAACAGCCTCTTATGAACGCTGTGTTTCTCTCGAGTCCTCACCTAAAATACACAGAGGCTTGCGAGCGAACTTCAGCCTCCCCCTCCATCCTTTGTAGCGACAGCAGCATCCCGCCGCCCAGACCCTCAGTGCAAACTCCGCTCCGAAGATGAAGATGGCGAAGGTTTCCTGCGGGAAAGAAACAGTCAGACGGTGGCGCTGACTTTAACCAGATTGGTTTAAGAAGTCTTACAAACAGTGTTGTGATTGTTTTAAGAAAGATCTCAGCGGGCTACAAAGCTGTACGGTTTCAGAGAGGAGCAACAACCTCACACACAATGTCGATTATGAGGCACATTTTCCTGTTGAATTGGTAAAATACACTGAAATAATATTTTTTTAGCTTTTAAACAAGTGTTTATCATTAATTTAGTTCAGGAAATGTCAATAAATGAGCTAAACTTTGTAAACTTGCACATTGGTGACAAAACTTTATGTTACCCAGTGATCGTTTGGACACCAAATGAACAAAAATCTAACTTTTTAAACTATCTGAATTAGATTTAAATGAATCAAAAGTACAGGAAGTGAAATAATCTCACCAGTATGACCAGCCAGTGTGCAGACACCTTCTCGTGCTCCCTGAATGTTGTCAGAATAGCCAGAATCAAACATCCCAGAACGATCAGAAACCTGCAGAGACACACAAACAAAACAACACACAGGTCAGAACAAACGTCTCACTCAGTGTCCACTAGAGGGAGCTACATGTGTGCTGTTCACTCTGGGCAGCAGCTGCAGCACAATAATTACAACAGTCACAGGAACTCTGAAGCTTGAATCTAATTAGGTAACCATTACATCACCTCATTCAGTGAGTGTAAATCAGAGTTAAAGCTTTTTTTTGTAGCAGACAGCTGAATATATCAGCGCTCATCATGTTCAGAAATGATCTACGCTGGATATGAGAAGAACTCAAACCAGAATACATCGACACGGCTGCGAGAGATAACCATTAATCACTTTGGTATGTTAAATTAAATATTATTAATCTTATATAAACTCTGCCAGTGAGAAAATATATCAGAGCATCACATAAAAAAGCAATAACCTGTTCAACACGATAAATGGGTGAAGATCATTCATCATGTTTCACCAGATTTCAGCTGCGGTGGCTTCACCGGTTTAACGGTCCAGAGGATTTAATCCAGATGTGACACAAAAAAGGACTTTTTTAAAATACACAATAACTGAAATTCACAAAACTATGATACACTGATTAACTGGAGGACTAGAACTCAACTGATTTAAGTGTCTAAAAGTAACCCCACATATGAGCCGACAAAAATCACACGTGGAGTTCCACAAGGCTCCATCCTGGGGCCTCCTCAGTTTAACATCTACATGCTTCCACTGGCTCAAATTACAGATAACAACAAACTCAGTCAATATACACTATGCAGCTGACACACAGATCTATATAACAATGTCACTGAGAGACTATAGAAAGAGACAGCTTTATGGTACATCTTAAACACCTTTGAAATACTTAACAGCACATATCTATTGAAACACAAAAAGTTATCGTAGTAGTTCTGGTTATTATCAAAATGCTAAAACGCTGTTGGATCCACCAGCTGGAGAACTTGGTGGGACTTTCTGGGACAGTACCTAACTGGTTTAAACTTTTATCATGGACAATTAGATAAAAATCACATGTGGAGTTCCCCAAGGCGTCATCTTTGGGCCTCTTCTGTTTAACACTCGCATACTTCCACTGACTTAGATTCTTAAAACGACAAAATTAGGTTCAACAGATAAGCAGATGACTCACAGATCTTTATTACTTTGTTGCCAGGGGACCACAGCCTCATACGAGCTCTGAGAGAGTGCAATAAACAAATCAGTGGGCTGATATATCTCGATTTCCTCCAAAAGAAAAAACTATGGTAACTGTTTTTAGAGATTAAAAGTTAGAGATTCAGTCATTACAGCAGGAAACTGCCAAACAAGCCGGAACGAGTAGATGTTTCCACAAACTCAAAAACACACATTTAGTCAATTATCAGTTTTAATGTAAAGCTAGTAAACCTACTTCTTCAAGTACTATTTGTTTCTCCTGATTTGCTCTGTTTGTAATTCTTTACTTTTTCTCCTTTAACTCAAATAACTTGACAAAATAATCACTTTCATGTCCTGAAATCTCCATCCACCGCCGGCCCCCTCTTCTCCTCATACCTCCACGTCTAAATTTAGCCCTCTGCAGCTCTAATTAATTGGATACACACATACAATCGGCCCCTGCACGCTGGAGCTCACCCTGGTTGTATTCCAGATAGTCTGCAGTTAACCACCCGGATATGATATATGACGTGGAACCACACTGAGTAAACTCAACCAGCTGAAGAGCCGCATACATACAGTACAGATTAACACTTAGGCAGCGCTGCGTGTCCAATATTCCCCTCCATCACCTCTGGGGAAAAGGTTATTATGTCCTTTTCCGGCTCAGACTGCGGCACAGCTCACTCTTAAAGCCGTAACTGCCCTCAGAGGCCTCCTGAGAAAACACAGCGATGTCTTATTTGACATTTACAGGATTTTTTTATGAGTGATACTGTGTCAAACTAACAGCTTGCTCTTTTAAGCCTGTATTTAATTTAACTCAGCAAAAGTGCAATAATTTGAAATAGCGAGTCGAAAACACGAACTCGACCAAAAGCAGGTCGTTCTTTTCCATCTCGGGGAACTCTAGGAGAAAACAAACGTCTTAAATTTAGAAACGTATCCATCCAAAAGCATGCCTACGCTCTTAAATACCATAATAGCGTTAGATATTTATCGCTCTGCCCTTTAGCCCCCATCCTTAAACCTGCGTCTACCTCCTGAATCATTCATGGCCTGTTGTGTTGCCATTAGGCAGAGCTGACATCTCCAAGAAGTTTCCAAAGAGCTGCACAACCAAAACAGCATGAATATTTTACAGCCCAACAGCCTGCAGAGTTTTACATAATTCACATGAAGGAAATGATAGTTCGGAGCAGATACGCCTCCTGATTGACGTCCGGGCGCTCTGTGGAGGGGTGTTACTGTTGACGCCGCACATCTTGTTTTACTATCGCTTCCTGTCCCTTAAATTGAACCGATTCACCTCAAAGTTATCCAGAGGACGGAGATGATCGATGTTAACTCAATATGATCCGCCAGATACTGATCTGCAACGCAGTCCGCTTCACGTTTGTTCAATAAAAACACACGGAGTGACGTCGATGTCTAAATGTCTGGAAACATCAAGAGGAGCGGGTCGGGCATCAAAGGGTGAGACAGAATCAATTAACAGAACGAAGACGAGGAAACATGAGAGTCGTCAATGAGCGACGAGGATTCGATTCTAAATAAGGGGTTTCCTCGACAGCGACAAGAATCAACATAAAAAACTCCTCACAGAGTCTTTAAAACGCACATCCAGGGCTCGACGCTGACTTTTTTCAGAAGGAGCTCAAGTTGAAAAAGTAAGGAGCACTCAAAGAACTTTAGGGGAGCAATAAAAATTGATCAAATAATGTTCGTCTTATTGGTCAACATATGTACTATTGTTTAAATCAATTTTAGGTGAATTGGTCACACGTGATGGAAACTAATGAAGAAAATGTTCAAAATCTGCCTTTAAATTAAACACAAACATTTTTAGAGGACACATTAGGGAAATAAAGCGGTGTGTCTTACCGTCCGAACTTAGTATTATTATTTTAAATCAATTTTAGGTATATTGGTCACATGACATTGAAGGAAAACAGACTTTTCTGAGAACATCAACCGCTAATTTATTGACGGTCCCTTATTCAACACCGGACATTGTGAGCGAGGATGCAGAGTAGATTTAGCCGCGCTGCTGTTGTTATTCCCAGTTATGAAGAGTGAGAAGACACCGGTAGATCCTCAGTGAATGTCCGTCGATTTTCCAAACTACAACTAACTTCACCGTCGTATTTACACGAAAAAACATTTGTCGCCTTGGCTGGGTTTTTTTATGCACACATGTGCCGCTAAATACATTTTACAATTCTCTATTTTTAGTCGCAGATGTGAGTGAAATGGTCGCACTGTCGAGCCCTGACATCTCTCTGCTTATGAACGAGGTGTACTAATACCGTTATCAAGACTCCTTAATGAGTCCAGTCTTTATCAACACCGCTAACGAATGTCAAGATGACAGAAATGTTTTTTTCACACGTTTCCTTCGACAGGCAGAAATCTCGAGCAGAAACAGACTCGTGTTAGACGGAGGGAGATCAGTTTTACAGACCTGATCTCACAGCGTAATCGTCACCTCGGTTAGTTAGCTAACTAGCCTCTATCCTGCTAATTTCAACATTGATTCCAACATGGTTTTGTGGTTTTTTGGCTAACAGGACTAGCTGTAAATTCTGGATGTGTGTACTCAGGCTGCTTTGGGTAAGAGGGGCACTATTTTCAGCAGCGTATTTACACACATTTTGATGCTATTGTGAGTTGGCACTATGAGAGAATATTAGTATTCATTTTTATAGAGAAACACATTTTAAATATACTATATAATTATAAAAAATGAATGAATCCATCTGCAATAAAGGATATCATGAGACTGTAAAGTGAATGGACAGACATCGAGATGCTTCAGACGCCGTAAAACTGCTGAATGTTTCCAATGTAAACCTCCAGTACCTGCTGTTGGCCCGATAAATGAAGCGTGGAATCCAATCAGTGCTGTGATTGGAAAACAAGTGTTTCTGAGAGATACTGAGCTGGTCAGACCTGAAGAGAGAGAGAGAAACAAAGCGCTCCCTAACAATCCATTTTCCCTCTGTGAGGTTGAAGAGACCGGCTGCAGAAGCTACTAGATGGTTTTGCCGAGGACTGAACCTGTCGTCCGTCAAGTGGAATTGGTGAAGGTAATGGAGCTTTTTACCAAAGTGGGAGATTTACAGTGGAGAGATGGTCTGTGGAAAAACGGCTCTTTGCTTCGTAGAGGTTAAACATCATGTTCGGTAACAGCTATTCCAACAAAAACGGCTCTTTACTTGTTTTTTTGTTTTTCAGTTCACATTTGAGCGATTATCCTGAATTTCTCCTACAAAATATGGGAGATACCGACCGCAGGATGAGGGGACTTGTTTTGGTTGGTTGGAGTCGAGCCTTGCCTCATAGACTGTTGGAGCAGAAATCTTTAACTTTTGTTTTTCAACCAGAAATAATAAATAAAAAAATAAAATAAACACGATCGATGAATGTAAACAGAAAATTGAGCTGAGTGTTAGTTCAGGCAGGGCAACAAACCAAGCTTTGCAGATGACATTACCAGCATATATAATGTCATTGCTTCTGCTGGTTAGGCGTTTCCCCTACATTAGAGCTGTTATCAATGCGCCACAAATGATTTCAACTTCCACTTAGAGAGCACAACAACACAACGTTAGATTTGACTTGTTTTGAGTCTTCAAAGAGCGCATCAAATTTTCAAAGATTTCTGTAATGAAACATCCGCAGTGGTTATAGCGCCCCCCTGTGAAAACTGTTGTTCAGGACTGTGCGCAACATGCTTACTCATGCTACTTACCGAAGCTACCATAGTAGCTACCGTAATAACTGTTGTTCTGGTCTATGCACAACATTTTTGTCCTCATTTATAAAATGCTTAAATCGGGGACAGGTCAACCTGGAAATCGGGTACATATGGTCACCTTAGCTAATACACGGTCCATATAGCGAGAGGCATTAATATCAATGCGCCACTAATAATTTCTACTCGCACTGTGTGAGGGCAACAACACACAACTATTTTCGAGTTGTTTTGAGTCATCAACGAGCGCATCAAAATTTCCAAGATTTCTGTGATGAAACATTTGCAGCAGGTGTAGCACCCCTCGTAATAACCCCCCGTAAAAACTGTTGTTTAGGACTGTGCGTAATATGCTTACTCGTGCTTCTTACCTAAGCTACCGTAGTAGCTACCATAATAACAGTTGTTCTGGTCTACACGCAACATTTGTTGTCCTCATTCATGATGCTTAAATCAGGGACATTTCTGGGGACATTTTCAGGGACAGGTCATTCTGGAAATTGGGTATGTCTGGTCACCTTTGCCTATACACGGTCTATATAGCAAGGAGCATTAATAGCATTAGTAGCATTAATATCAGTGCGCCACTAATAATTTCTACTCGCACTGTGTGAGGGCAACTACACACGACAGTATTTTCGACTCGTTCTGATTTATCAACGAGTGCATCAAATCCTGTCCGACCCTCTTCCTTTATTGTGAATTGTTGAAAATATTCGGGGGGAAACTCTGTAGTTGTACTGGGGTTATGTGGACCAATCAGCATCAAGCATTTTGTTCCATATGTAATCTTCAATCCTGTCTTGTAAGGATGTTTTCATTTGTTATTAAAGGTCATGAGTCATAAATGATAAGAGCAGCCCACCTGTGTACAGCCTCCCTCTCTCTCTCTCTCTCTCTCTCGCTCGCTCTCTCTTTATTAATCCACTTTAAATCCCTCAGCCCAGCAGAGGCCCGGCCCCGCTGGGCTCCCCAGAGCTGATACCACCCCTGAGGATTCCTAACAACCAATTTGCCGGCAGTGATTCAATAAAGAGAGTGCCGACGATGCAATTCTGACGGATAATTTGCTGGGCGATATGCAAACACTGGTGGGAAAGGACAGCAGCGGCAGCAGCGCCGTTAATGACTGCAGTCACAAGGACAAGATGAGAGACGGGGATCTTCATCCAGCCGTGGATCTCTGAGAAGAACTTCAGGAGACGAACTCCTCGGTCGTGTTGGTCAGAGCTGAGCGGGCCTGGGTGTGAGCAGCAGAGGAGTGATTAAACTAAAGTCTGCAGCAGAAACTTTAAACTATCTCAGGGGACGCTAACTCCACAGCCCTGCATCGGTCGTAGCTCCAGAATTTTTACATCCCTCCTTCTGCTGTTGAAGTTTTGCTGTCCAGTGGAAGGTCCCACCCTCTTTTGCCTCTGATTGGCTCCAAGTGCTGGGCTCCGATTGGTTATTCCTTACGGCTGTCGGGTTCGGGTTAGGAGATTCAAAAGCGCGATAATGTTCGATGTGCGGAGCCGACAGCCCGCGTTCGGCTTGAGCGTGTGATGACGTTTCCAGCTTTACTAGCCAATCAGAGGCAAAGGAGGCGGGACTTTCCCCTACCATCCCACAAAAAAAAACAAAATCGCGTCCAGGTTCCTATAACTCAACTCCGGGGTCAAAGTTCGATGATAAAACTACTGAGCATGTGCAGAACACTTCTGAGTTTCAGACGTCCTCTCCTCCACCTCCGGCACCGTTCTGACACCGCCCGCCCTCGCGCCGGCCTCTACCTTTATTGACGACTTGACAGAAGGATTATTTACTTATTTATTAATTTTTGGACTGAGTGCTTCCTGTCAGGAACACGCTGTAATTTCCCCTGAGCTCTGTCTCGTGGGATACTCGGCCGACCCCGACGCAACCTCTCAACCTCGAACGGAGGTCAGATCTGCCGGCGCTGCACTGATCCTGACAGGAGAGCGTGTTGGGTGTGATGGATTTCTCCTCCAGCACCTCCCTCCTCCCCCCTGCTGCGGGGCGGCACAGCGGTGGGAGAGGAGGAAAGGATACTCAGGCTGTGATTTGGGGTTTTGCTGATGCTGCAGAAGCTTTTGTTTGACCGGGATAGTCCTGCTGACCCCTGGATGAGGTGTTGTTGTTGCTGTGTGTTTGTAGTTCTGTGTGTGTGTGTGTGTGTGTGTGTGTGTGTGTGTGTGTGTGTGTGTGTGTGTGTGTGTGTGTGTGTGTGTGGTGGAGGCGTTCAGTTCCCACATCAGGACCGTGACAGCTGACAGCTTAAGTGACATATAAACATGTTGATGTGGCGTCCTGCACGTCAGAGCGTCACGTCATGGTCGCTCTGACATTTTCACACTCATTCAGTTTTATGAAGTGGATTTTAACCTTTCAGGGTTTATAAATTCATCATTTTAAGCCACACTTTTTATTTTTTTCCAGCAGTATGGGTAGGGTTGGGCATCGAGTCTCGAGCAGCGATGGGGACCGGGACTAACATTCCGATTCTCCTGGAACCGTTCAGTTTTAAAAATTCGATTTCGATGCCAGAGTTCGCCGACCGGAAGAAATAGCCACCGAACACCAACGGGAAAGAAACCGCTAAACACCAATGAAGAAGAAGCTTCCGAACATTAACGAGGATGAAGCCACACAGAGAGAGAGAGAGAGTGCATTGCAACCCTCAGCGGCGGCTGCGGTCAAAAGTTTGTCTAACTTTATCAGGAAGAATGAACTCTTATCTCAGAGCAACATTAGCAATACAGTTATATCATGTAAAGGAGGGTGAACGACCAACATGATTAAACCCCTCAGGGTTCATGGAGGAGAAATACACGAGTATCACCGGTCTTCCTCTAACCAACCAAAATCAGAAAAGTGAAACAATTAATTACTTCTGTCTTCTGCGAACATTGAAGCAGCAAACAAATTGTTCTGTGTACAGTGGGTCAACTTCAATATCCAACTAACGTTAGCCCTTGTACTTTTTCATAGACAAACGATCTAACAACAAAAATTAATATTTATATTCTGGTTGAAAATAACCCTGTGAGAAATTCATGGTAAAGTTCTTAAAAAGTTCATATAATATAAAAATCCATGGAGAAGTTCAGAAATTTCATCCAAAAAGAAGAACTCTGGTTAGCGCCCTCATCTAAACTATGCATTTAAATATCCTGCCTTTTAAAAGAATCGGAATAGAGAATCTTTAGAAACTGGAATTGAAACGAGAAATCGGAATCGGAACCGGAACCGTTCAAAATCAAACGATACCCAACCCTAAGTACGGGTAACTATTTACTCAATAGTACCGAGCGCCCTCACGTCGTGGTTACAGCGTGTTAGCGTGTTATTGAAAAGCTCCAGCAAGCAAAAGAATAAAACACTTTTAATTTCTATTATCATCTCAGAATTTCACTAAAAAAATCAAAAATCAAATTCTGACTTTAACTACAGACTCTTAGGGAAAAAGTCAAAATTTTGAGAAAAAAATTTAAAAAATTACTCTGTTTAGGCTTTTTATTGTTTCATCTTTCGCTCATTTCTGTTGCTCCATTTCATCATTACTATTATCTTCAGTATTACCTGTTATCATTTTATCATTGTTGATATTGCCTTTTATATTTACTATCCTGTTTCTGCTTTCGACCCTCTTTTAATTGCATTTCCTATTTTCTTAACTATTTTATTTTTTATGTCGGTCCTCATGGTCTCATTTTATGTTGCACAGTTCTTAAATTGTCTGGGTTCCTTATGACATGAAACTATTATTATTGTTATTATTATTATTATTATTATTATTATTGTTGTTGTTGCTGATGGTCTTGTTTGCTTCTATATACCATAAGACGGCAGCAATGTGAACTCCCTAACTAAGTATAACTGCGATCAGCTGTCCAAGATGGACTTCAGGGGTTGTGTAAAGGTCAACAGGAAAGTGGCTGAATGCTTGAACATAAGCGGTTTAATGTCTGTTGTCACGGTTACAGGAGCCATTAAACAGAGGATGTGTTGAACTTGTTCTGCTTCACTTTCTTGGTGTGTTGACTCACTCCCTGTCTGGTGTTTGAACAGTACATGCGAGGTAATTAGTCAAACTAATCTCGTTCATTAGAGCTAATTACCGACCGTTTGTTGAATCGGCATCACGACACAAAAAGCCGCAGCAGCAAATTCACATCCCGGAGTTTCCTCCCAGAGCAGGATGATGACTCTCTTAAACATCGACCTGCTGGATTGGAGCGTTAAGCTTCCTGTCCTTGTGAACGAGCCAATCAAAACGACCCGTACAGTCCCACCGTGGAGTCATCGGCGGCCCCGCGGCCTCACGGGACAAAACTCAGCGGCTGGGTGGGATCAATGAAGCTCTCTTTTAATCTCTCCTTCTGCGTCTGCTCAATAAAGATTTATGGGAGTTCGGCGCACTCCTCTGTGATGTGAACAAGGACGTCATTCAGCGGTTTGTTTTTAGCAGCAGATTAAAGTTTTCACGCTCCTCTTTTAATGATTTCTGCTTTGAAGAAATGAACCGGGCGGATCTGTAAGGTCACGCAGATTCATAACATCATCCACAGGGAGAGTTTGTATATTCAAGACAAACACTGGAGCTTGTAACAGAGTTTCATCATCAGAGTTCAGCTGGAGTTTCGGTTCACTCTCATCCTCTTAGTTTTTTACTGTCAGATCTTAAAACTCACTTTGAGTGGTCTGAATCCAGTTTGTTTCTATTAGAGTTAAAACTTTCATCTAATTTTCATTTTAAACTCTTCAGAACAGTCCCGGTATGAGAACTCAATGTTTCCCTGTGCCGCTAGAACAGCCGTAAACCTGCAAATGGCCAGTAGGAGGTGCTGCTCTGGTTGCTCGAGGAAAATCTGTCTCTTGTTTTATGATGTTTTTAATGAGTTTATGGACCGAGCCTCAAGTTTGAAGTTTGTTAATTTTGGGTCATTTTAAAGTGGACTGGGTGAAGAAGCCGTTCGCAACACGGATGAACAAGATTCAGGGATTCATCTCAGATTTCTCTCACAAATCGGAGAATTCCTGTGACATCAAGAAAATCAGAATTCTGACATTTTTTTTGGAACCAAAGTTGTTGTTTCTTTCTCAGAATTCTATGATTGAAGTCAGAATTCTGAAAATAGAATATAATCAGATTTAGTTTCTCAGAATTCTTACTTTCAGAAAAAAGGTCGAAATTTTGACTGTAATCTTAGAATTCTGCTGGAAAAATCTCAAAATTCAGATTTAAAACTGAGAATTCTGAGGGGGAAAAAAATGTCAGAATTTTATTATTCTGAGAAAAACAAAAAAAATTCAGAAAAAAATTGTTTTTAAACCCAAAATTCGAAGAACAAAGTCAGAATTTCAATCTATTCTTAAAAAAAATTAAACTAAAGAAATAAATATGACCCTGTTTTATATTTATATGACCTCTAATAATCGTGCATAGCTATCAATATGTATTCATGTAAACAAACGGTATCTTTTTTTCGTAGTATATTATCCTCTCATGTCTCATACTTTCTCATTTCGTTGGCTGTGACCCACTAATATAAATGTAACTTTTTTTGAATCTCATGTTGTGGCTCATTATCACTAAAGTTCATGTTTGGGTCCCGAAATTTCAGATTTTGTCAAATAATTCTTTTTCTCTCATGATTACAGCTCATTTTCTCATAACACAGGTAATAAGAATACCTGGACGATGGTTTGCTCAACATAAAAAGCAGAGACAGCACAACCAAAGACTTCTTTTAAACTCAGAAAAAAACAACTTAAAGCTTTTCGATTAGTGCTGAGGCATTCTGGGAAGTGTAAACAAACTGAAAACACAGAACATCCTGCAGCGGCTCAACTTCCAGGAGGTTTTACAGACTCTTGATTCTGACAGTTTAAGTATATGTGAAGTAAACACCTCGATTGTAAACACTAAAAGAATAATATTTAAAAAAAGAAGATTTTTCCTTCGATAGACTGAAGCGGATGAATCAGCCGTTTCTTCCCTCTGTTTCAGATAAATGTGACTTTTTCCTGCGGTTTCTTTCTGCGGGGGAAGGTGATGCAGTGGGTTGACCTCATCTTCAGAGAGTTAAGGACCGAATCTCAAATCCTGAGTGCTAATTATCTTAGATTTCCTGACCGTATAATTAGGGTCATTTCAAAGGAAATGAGGTCCTGAGACGCCTTTCTGCCCCCTCAGTGATGCGCGGAAAAATGAGTGGAAGACAAATATGGCTGCAACACTCGGACATAACGGCGAGTTTCTGAACTGAGGCCAGATGAGGACACTTAATGTTCAGAGCAGAGAGAAGAAATGGAGGAGTTTCATCCTCGAATTAGATTTAAGTATCGACGGTGGAAAGTCTTAGTTAAAGGAAAACAAAAGTGGATAAAAAAGTGTTTTGAAACTGGACTGTAACGCCGGACGTTTACTTCAGCTTGTGTGTGTTTGAGTCCGTTGTTCCTGGAGGGCGTCACTCTGCCATCAATCAATACCTCTCCAACAACACCGGATCATTCATCACTCAGGCCCTACTGTCACACTCGTGGCCTGTTTTTGATGTTATTAACAGAAAAATGGATTGATGATGAAAAATCACACTATTAGGGATCCTGCGAGGTAGCCGGAGTCTTCCTCCAGAGTTTTTTAATGAGCCGCCGTTAATGTTTGTCTCCCAGAGTCATAAAAACAGACTCATTGACCCAGTTTCAGACATGTGAATGATGGTCCGGGTCCTCGGGGAGCAGGCGTCACTACGAGCAGCTGTCTGTAAGCGGAAGTGAGGGAAATGAGAATAAATGGGAAGTCAATTGGGCCGCAGCATCCCGAAAACATAATGGTAAAATAATGATGGAGGTGATTTCCATGGAAACCGTTTGGCAAATTAAAAAAGATTAAGAAACGACACGTTCCCTTGATGAAAAACACAACTTCAGTCTGATCAATCTAATATCAGATAAAAATAAAAACAAAATCATGACATAAAAGTCAAAATTATGTAATCAAAGTCATAATAATCAGATTAACAGACCAGATTATGAGTCATAATAATGTTCAAAATTTAGAGGAAAAGTCAACATTATAAAAAAGGAGGAAAAATGAGGTGAGATGTTGATTAAAGTATAAATAAAGGGATAATATGTTAAAAATGTTAAATGACAAAAGTCTTATTTATAGGAGAAATGTTGAAATATAAAAAGAATTTGGAATCATAAAAACATCTTCAAAAGTATGAAGTAAAAGTTGAATCTATGAGATGAAAGTCAAATTTATTGAATAAAAGTAAGATTTAACGGGATAATTTGTTGTAATTTGGGGAAGAAAGGTACATTTTTGGACAATTGAGTGAAAAAAATAATAATTTCAGGGAATAAAAAGTCAGATTATGTTATAAATTTAAGAGATTTGGTTCATAAAAAGTAAAATTTTAAGACAAAACTCCAAAATATGAGATTATATTTAAAACTATTGCATTAAAAAGTGAAATTTTATCATAAAAAAGTTGAACTAAAAGTCAGAAAAATGGGTCAAAAATCAAAATAATAAGATGAAAAGACAGAATGATGAAAAACTGAAACTGTGACATTATAAAAAAATCCAAATTTTTAGATGAAAAAGTCACTTTTGTCTCACAAAGTTTTAAACTACAGAGTTTGTCGACAGACTTTAAAGGGGGACAGGAAGATCCAGGTCAGGACTGGAGGCTCGTTTGGGCTGGTGGTTCTGCCTGGTGAGGCTGTACGCTCTACCTCCCCCTGGTGTCCTGGTTTAGTTTGACCCCTTTGTATTCACAGCCACTCTGAGATAAAGCCACCTGAGGTATCAACAGACATCAGAACTACAAACCAAAGGACAGTGAACGCACCGAATAAAAAACAAACCCAAAAATCTGTGATAATAACAGTATGTTAGATATCAATGCGCAGCAGCTGATACTAAGAGGAGGTATAAAGAGGGAAAATATCAGACCTCATGGTGTTTCTGTGTTTAATGTCGTCTAAAAACCTCACTCGTTCACGTCTCATCTGTTAAATATAAACAGCAACAAAAATAACAGAGCCCAGATGGCGCAGGGCTGAGTGTGGAGGAGATATTTCAATCACATCAGCTGTTTTCAGATCCTGTTTAGGACCCATCAGTCAGTGTAACAGCACACTCTTTAGTCCGATAGAAAGCGCAGACACCTCAAGCACTCGGGTCCAGGCGGCCCCTGATGAGCCAGAACTTTGTCTCTGAACACATGTGATCAGCAGAGTGACCGACCGCCTCTCTCAGGGTTTCTGCTGCCAAAGGCTGTAATTTGTCACCTGAGCGCCCTCGAGGCCGGGGAAGCCATTACCGACTTGGCAGGAGGAGGTGTAAGCAATCAGTGTCAGCCGGCCGACAGCGCTGTTCATTTTCACAGATACACCTCAGCCCACTGACTCTGGAACCTGTCTTTTCACTCAGTCTGTCTGGACTGAGGGACTCCTTCTTCTTCAGTCACACTCAGCAGCAGCACACGACTCAACTCGTGGTTTTGGCAGAGCTGTAAAGCCGCTCCGTAACGCACAACCGAGTATTTTATTCAAACCTTTTGATTGGGAATTCGTCTTGGACGTTTTGAGCCCAATAAAAATGAAGCGAGTGGGTGTTAATTTGATTTCCCTGCGCCGAGTATAAATGTCATGTGTGCTTAACTGTATTATACGATTGTATTGAATCCAAACGAGCGCAGATGGAGGTCTGAGGAAAAGGTTTCCACTCTGAAAGACAAACACGGTGAGCGGGGGGGAATGAATCAGGCGTGTTTCTTTTCCAGGAACGCCGGATTAGCTGCAGCAGATGAAGATCTGCTTTCGACTAAATATTGATTCCTCTGGCCTGTAAAGATAAATCAGCGCCTGGTCCGGGTCGCTTTGCTTTGTTAGCCTCTAATCTAACATTCTTGTAAACAAATCATTTATTACCCGTGACCCCGGCTGATGAGAGCCGTGTCGAGTCTCTCTGAGTACAGCCTTTCCTCCAGATTGAAAACCTCATATCCTGAAGTAGGTGCGCTGATACTTGTGTTTTTAAAAAAAATTGTGAAAGTAGAATAGAGTGACCAAACGTCCTCTTTTACCCGGCCATGTCCTCTTTTTTAAGGGCTGTCCAGGTTTGTCCAGAAGTTTGGAGTTTGTGTCATGTGGACTTGACCTGAAAAACTCTCAAAATTAACTTTGTGCGACTTCATGACTCCGCCCCCGTGTAGTTGCGTCGAGTCAGAATATGGTCACCCTGAAGTCGAAGCACTGATCCAGGTTAAAAAGAGGACATAAACCAACACAAAAGCACCGAAGCTGCAGTTCTCCTCACGGCCACTAGAGGCTGCGTCCAAAAGTGACTCAATCCCCATAGAGCCCCATGTTAAAACATCTGACATCGAAGCTGAAGTTAACATGTTTGCATGACCTGGCGAGAACTAAAAAGTACAGTTTGGTCTTGATGGCTAAGTCCTCCGATCAAAACGGCTAAAACCCACAGGATCCAGAACGGCAGGCGGATCAAATACGCAAGCACTATAACCAATGTGAGTGATTCCACATGATCCGTCCGCCATCCGGCTCCGCTGTGGACCGGCTCCAGTGGCCAAAAGAGATGAGCAAGGCTTCAAGGCTTCTATTTTTGCCGGACGCCACAGCACGGGGCATCAATTCAGGAGTAGCAGCGGAAGTTGTACGCGGCTACAGAGTCAAATATTCCAGTAAAGTCATTATGTCGTTCTGTTCTTAACTTGATAATAGGAGAGGCCAGGGTTTTGGGATGTGGGTACTTACACTCGTTCCGGATCCAGTGGGATTCCTGGGTAACACCTGCTAAATACCACCTTGCTAGCATAAGTTCTATCACTTTGGTATAACAAAAAGAAACGCTCAGTACTGATTTATCGTCATTACTATGAGACTGATCCTCCGGTAGTTCTGGCCGCCGTCACTCTCCGACCCTCAGTCTTTCCCCCTGCAGAGCAGAGGCTCATTACGGAGGAAAAGAAGCTTTGTGTCCACCTGACAGCGCAGGAAATAACTGCGCTCTGACCTTGGCCAGTCGAGGTGGTGACGCCTGGAGGCTCGCTCGTTAATCCTGGAACATAGTGGACACGCAGTCTTGTCCTGATGGAGCGCCGAAGAGACGAATGACGCAGGAAGGCGAGGAGTGGAGCTCCAAGCGTGCGATCAGAGAGGATGAAGACTTTTTATGATGTAAAGTGTGGTCATAAAACTCAGAAGAAGCTGATTGGTATGTGCGGCTCGCTCGCCACGAAAACCTCAAAATCATAAATTCATGTTTTATTTGCCCTTTCAGTAAAAGTGCCTGAAAACCGGCGCTGACACATTCATTTCAAAAGCTTAAAAACAGGCGCGCTCAGCAAGTGCAGGTCTGATAAATGAAGGCTGACATCCTCTGTTTTTTAACATGACGGAGTGTGACATTACAGCCCACACATCTTTACAGCCGTCCCACTCTCCGCTCAGAGGTCACGCCGCTCATAAGCGCAGAGGCCATGCAGCGTGCACGCCAAGTTTGTGAACCACTATACTTCCACTGTCACAGAAATAAGCGCGAGGCAAGCAGGAGCTGATTCAAGGAGATACGACGGGGTTTAAATCAGAGACAAACAGGCACAGATGGAGGTCTGAGGATCGAGGGTAAAAACATGAGAGAGCAAACAAAGACAGGAACTACGAGAGCACAAGAGAGTCAGAATATCAGGGTACGACTATTTTATTATGGTGAATATGAGTCTCATTATATTGACTTTATCTAATAAATAAATAAATGAATTTTTTATCTCATCGTCAAGAATCTCTTTTTTTTTTACTTTTTAATCCAAAATTAAAATTATCTCTTTTGAGGACTGATCTTCTCATAATGTAAGCCTGTTTTGTAAAGTTTAACTTTCTTTTATTTGTTGAATTTTTTCTCATATTACAGCTAGATTTCTCATAATTTTAACTTTCTAATTTTTTTTCACTTTTTATATCATGAACAGGACAAAATTTCTCTTCTTTGACTTGTAGTTCAAGCTTGTTTTTCTAGGTTTGAGGATAGATGGTTAAAACCTGGGAAAGCAAACTAAGAGAGGAACTACAGGAGCACATGGGAGTCAGAAAATCAGGGTACGATTATCTCATTATGGTGAGTTTGAGTCTCATTTTACCGACTATTATCCTATAAATAAAGATATCTCAGAATTTTTTATCTCATTGTCAATTATCTCATTTTTTTCAAAATTTTTTATCCCAAAATTAAAAAAAATTATCTCTTTATAGGACTGACCTTCTCATAATTTAAGCCTCTTTTATAAGGGATGACTTAGTCTGTCATAATAATGTTTAACTTTCTTTTATTATTGACTTTTTTTCTCATATAACAGCTAGATTTCTCATAATCTAAACTTTCTCATTTTTCAGACAGGACAAAGTTTATCTTCTTCAACCTGTAGTTTAAGTTTTTTTTTTTCAGCTTAATTTTTTAATTAATCAGGGTAAACTCCTTCAGATCAATAACTTTTTATTTAACTATCTGACTTCTGACCACATGATTACGACCAACTTTCTCATAGTTAACTTTCTCATAGTCATTATCTTTTCTTTCCCTATTACAGTATTTCTTTGATCTCATACTTTTGACATTTTTAAGCCTTAATTATGACTTTTAGGATTACACTTACATTTTAAAATGTTACTAATATGACCTTTTATTCTACAAATATGACATTTTAACCCAAAGTTACGACTTTTATCTCCTGATTAGGACCATCGTCTCTTTCTCATTCTGTCTTTTGTTAAAATAAAGACGTTTTAGACTTTCAGTAAGACTTAAGATCTTATTAGACCCTCTTTGGCCTCGTTCTTGGGACTTCTGTTGTGACTGAGCAGGAACTCTCTCATAAATGTCGTAGAAAACACACATGTATCCTCCTCTTCCTCCTCTTCCTCCTCCTCCTCCTCCTCCTCCTTCAGGTGTGCGCTCCTGTTGTTCTGACTTTGCACGGCAGTCAAACGCAGCACATTAAGATGCTGTATCATTGCACCCCCCCACACACACACACTCACTGAGCATCAGATGACATGCATTGTGAGTCTCCATGGCAACAGCTGCTGCTCATTCCACTCTCACTCTGGAGTATCCCTCATCTCCGAATCACCATGGAGACACCTGTTCGTCAGGGATCACCAGTCGTACCTCGCCTGTGTGGATGCTTCGGCGAGGGGGGGGTGGGTTAGCGGGTTCAGGGCGGGCGGCCACGTGTGGCGTTTTGTGATTGGTGGGTGTTGTTGTGGTGCGGCTGGTCGTCATGGAGTTGTCTCTGTTCACAGCAGAGGATGCACAGAATAAACAGAGAACAGAGCGTCTGCTTCCTACGAGCACATCCAGGGCCGCCGCCAACCCCGCCTGCAGCCGGGGATGTGTTGAAGATGGATCGTTTAGTGATTTTCCTCAACAAATACACAGATATGTGCCATAGAATAGCCCCCATATGAGTGTAATGTGATGTAAAATTATTGTAATTTATAATATTTCATAAATAAACTAGATTTAATGGCTGTAATGTGGATATTTACAAAGGAGTTCAATCTAAAGTCTAGACCGGAAACACTCCCCTCAAAGCCACCAGACTCCATTGATAAAAACAGTCATTTTACATCCCAGAGCTTAGGAGGTGTTTCTCTGCTGCTGCCCAGTTTGGTTTACTTTTCTGTCCAATTGTGTTTTTCACAAATTTAATGTTGGACCCAAACTGACTATCTGAAACAGCAAAGTCACAAAGCAACACAAATAAACTTCAGGAAGGAGCTGCTGTAAAGAAGGGAGTAAACAAAAAGAAATGCTGTTTTTGTGAGTGGACTTTGGTGAATTTAACGAGAGTGAGGAAACAGACACGACTGTCTGTCTGTTTTAAACCAGCCGGCTTTGACATCGAGTTTTATCTCTTAACACTGACTTTTCATCTCATAATCATGACTTTTTTTATTCAAATATATATTTACTTTTTATTCAAATGCTAATATTGAATAAAATTAAATATCGTACATATAACTCACTGTCTTAAAAATGCGATTTTTTATCTCATACTACCGTCTGTCTGTCATAGAATCTCGACTCTTTATTTTATCCTCATATCAAAGGAACAAATAACCTCCTGAAGTGGAGAGCAGAGCTGCTGTTCTGCTGGGAGACCATCATAGAAACAGCTTTTTCAATCAGACCTGAAGTGAGCCGTCGTGCCCCGAGGCCACCGGCAGACAAAGGACCGCAGAAATGATTGGCAGGTTTTGAACCTTTGACTCTGTCAGCAGTCGTCTTTGTTTCTGTCAGGTTGCACCATGTGCTCCATCAAATCCCGGATCCTTTATATCCCTGTCAATCTTTGTCACTTTTCCTGTTTTTATACATCATAGACCGAAAAGACCAAAAGACTAATTCAATACACAATACATGTTTTCAAATTTGCAGGAATAAAGTAAAAATATGGGTTTTGTCGGGTCTATCTTCAACAGAGAGAGATAATCCTCTGTTTCTGGTGAGTCCCAGTTTCACTGTAAATACTAAGCTACACAGAAGCTTCAGTCATGTGAACCTAAAAAAGAAACTTATTTTCTTGTAATTAGCAGGTTTTAAGTTAGCCAAAATGATATCATGATGCAAATAAGTAAAAAGTCAGGCTTTGTCAGGTCTGTCCTCAAGATCAGAGGGAAAACAGCTTCTTTAATCTGTTTCTGTCCAGTCTGGGTTTCACTGTAAATAGTATGCTAAAATAAAAGCATCAAAAGTAAAAACCGGAGCCTTGTCAGGAAAGGAATCAGCTTCTATCGAGTCTCAGTTTCATTGTAGATTGTAAGTTACAGAGAGACTTTACTCCGGCTTACTGAAAAAGTATGAATCTTAAAAAGACACTGATTTTTTTTGTCTTTTTACTGACATTTAATTGGTTTAAAGTTTGCAGAAATAACATCAAAAGTTAAAAGTCAAGCTTTGTCAGGTCCATCTTCAAGTAGCAAAAGGATTTAGCTTCTCGTAGCTTTAAGCGAGTCTCAGTTTTACTGTAGATCTTTAGTTACACAGAGGCTTTAATCTGTCTTACTAAAGAAGTATAAACCTGAAAAGACAGGTTTTCTTACTTTTTACCTACATTTAGTTGGGTTAAAGTTTGCAGAAATAACAACACAAGTCAAAGCATTGTCAGGTCTGTCCTCTTAATGGGAAAGAAAACAACTTCTATCAATTCTTAGTGAGTCTCAGTTTTACTGTAGGTTTTCAGTTACACAGAGGCTTTAACTTAAGCAGTATGAACCTGAAAATGTTCTTGTAATCAACAGAAAGTAAAAAGTCAAGCTTTGTCAGGTCTGATTTTCAAAGGACAAAGAAATTAATGCTCATTTGCGTTTGTCACTCCACAAATAAAGAACAAAAGAACTTAATAATAGAACCGAGAACCCTGCTAACGTGAAATCTCCCCCCCCAGAAAGAAGATATACGCTGAAAGTCGCACTTTTGTTGTTCCTAGATTATAAAATAAACACAGGCTGGTCAAGAGCAGGTGAAATATTGCGTTAATATCCTCTCCTGGTTTATCCTGCAGCCTGTTTAAATGCATCGACGAGCAGGGCCTGAGGTCATCCCAGGATACCTCAGCCATGAAGGAGCCAAATCGCCACCTGAGCTGTCTCATTTTCAAATTAAAAAAAGGACAATCTATCACGGCCGAATCCCCTGGAGAGAGAGAGGATATTAAAACCACTTTTTTTTATCCTCAGGGTGTGATTCTGCGACCAGCAGGAGGCTGCTGTCCTGCAACATGTTTGGCCTGTTTGCATGTAAACACAGAACCCTGTAGCGATTTTAAATTCAAAATAAATGTCGAAAATTAATCAAATTAAATTATGACATTTATGCACTCGTTGAAGGGGCACCACCCACCTTTCTGGTGGGAAAAAGGACGAAACAAAGTTCAATTGAGTAATTAAACGTTGGATCAGTCTTACACAGATTTAAATCAGTCTCTCATCTGAGGCCGGAATTCTTCATTCAGGGACTACTTTCTGAAAGACCACTAAGACGACAACTTAGAATTAAATGGACAATTTATTAACAAGCTATATGATAACAAAACGTCAATAAATGATGATCAAATAATGAGCAAATCAAAGCACATCTAATGAATAAACGAAGGAATGGTTTAAATTAAACCTAAGACTGGAGGTTAATAATAGTGAGTGAATAAAGGGGAAATTTAACCTACGTTAACGGAGTTACGAGGGTAAATAAAAGGAATTTGGAGAACTAAACTATAATTTATAAGAGTAAGCTACTGAACGGTTGACGGCATCACCCAGTTCTCATCACAGCAGTTCAGAGGATTTAGCCTACTTTGGACGTCGGTTCTCAGCGGCACCCTTGGAATGGATCAGCTGAAGTTCTGTGGCTACCGGACCGGATACTGAAGGTTCGGCGGGGAATTCTTCCGCCGTGTCTGGATCTCAGCTTCAGGACCGTGTCAGCGCCGTTAGATTCTTCGGATGTATGGGCCTCTCGGAACCAGCTGGCAAAGCAGCTTGGCAGATGATGCTGGTCGGCGTTCAGGACTTGCTTGGTTGCAGATTAATTCGCGCCAATAACTTAAGAAAATAATTTCGCTGGCCAGCCGATATTATCTTCAGGAGTCACTTTAGCGAACAAAAATAAAAGACTTAGACTGAGGTTCTCTTATGCGCGCAGCTTGTTACTGAGGCTCTAAAGGACTTGGGAATGCTTTCATCCAAGTTTAGAATAAAAATCTGAGCTTAAGGCAATTAATAAAACGCGGGGAAAATTGCGAACGATAGGCGAAGACAAAAGAAAACTAGACGAAGACAAAAACGGAAGAGACAAACTGAAGAGAAGACAAAACTTGAAGAGAAGAAAAAACTGAAGAGAAAAACTGAAGACCGAGCAAAGACTCCCGGGCTCTTTTAAACCATCCCGTGTGGGCGTGAGCCAAGAGGAAAGTTACAGCCAATGCTGTAACCCGATGCAGCACATCGACTGGCAGCGAATTTAACTCAACTTGATATTAAAAGCGAGCTAGATCTAATTTACTCACTCACTATGATTAAACTGTTTATAACATCACATACGATCACATTTCACTTCATTGTTTCTTATGAGCAGACGCATTAAAGCATGACATTGCAAACAGTAAACTTTGATCAGCCGTCTTCTTGACACTAACAGAGGATTAATGACTTTTAAAAGTTAGAGAGGGACAGAAAACAAATTATCTATTCGAACAGAAACACCATCCAGCATAAGAAACACATACGTAATAATATTTGACAACATTATAACCTTGTCAATCAAGCTTCCCAGATGATTAATATATATTTTTGTGTGAGGTAGATAAAACATAGTATGGATACATTCCGAAACTCTTAACTTGAGTCTAAACGAGTTTCACGTTACTACTTCTAAACTACTAGCCTATCTTGGGAATACCATTTACTAAGCTACGAAGTGTATAACAAAAGGAAAGAAATACACGTGATTAGATTCCTGCCATTTGGCTCTGATCAAACCATATTCAGGCATCACCACTAGGAGGAGCTCTTGGTCCATGGAAAACCTGGAATAAATTTGTGAAGTTAACAGTTTGGCTTGTGGATATGTTACAGAATTGGAAAAAAGACCATTTCATTAAGAATGTGGTGTACAGACAGAAAATCCTGGTGAAGTGTCCATTAAACATGAAGTTAAACCATTTTCAGGCATCTTCTTCCTTCTGCTCTGTAAAGAAAGCCAAGGAATTTATGGCAGGCATCTGGTTTTTCAGATTTGGCGCCAACTGGCCTGTTTTCCCCCTAGGTCATTGGGTTAATCCTGAAGTGTCAATTCTGATCTTTCCCAACCAGGGTGAGAGACTCCGTGTTTATGGGTCTGTGTGGTTGATAAGCAACTTGTCCTTTTTGGGAAGCGTTAAAGATTCACTATCACCTCCCAAATGGTTGCCTGGGTCGTAAATGGGAACTTGGTGTGCAAACCGTTACTCCCCCATTTCCTGTCCAAACCAGAGGAGCCTGCATTCCTTTGAGGGGTGAATTCAAGGTGGATAGCAGAAAGCAGTTGTCTCATTACATATCCCCCCTTCGTCTCGATGGCAGCTCCAGGAGCCATTGGGACGACGAGATGAGACGACCAGGTGGAAGCAGCAGTTAGTCCAAGGAGGGTGATGCGTCTCGTTCAGAACTATCTACTTCGTTAGATCTACTGTGTGTGTTAAGCCTACTACATCTATGGGTGCGGGGTTACAGGAAGCTGACTACACCTCGAGCATGTGGCTCACCTTGTCTTCCTCTGGCTGTTCAACTTCCTGTTCCGTTTCAGGTTGTCTACGGAGTCGTAACCTAGTTACACAGTGGTCTATTTTGTACTGTAGGGCTTTACCACGTTTGACGTAGATGAAGGTTAACCCGAAGGTCAGGAGGTACCCTAACACTATGGCGGCTGCTAGTAAGGTGTCTGGGGTGGACCAAACATAGACTATTGGTTGCAGCGGGGACTTCTCTTGGGACCTTATGTCTATAAGGACGTCATCTACAGGCGTTAGGTCAATGATCTGAGTACCTGCATACTGGATTTGAGAAATAGTGTTTGGATCTAACTGCAGCGTATGCTTGCTGAAAAACGCTGGCACTTCAATCTCTGTTTCGAATTGCTCAGGGTTGAGGTAAAAGAGGGCAATGTCATCTATATGGAGAATGGCATTTGGTGGCACCTCAATCCACATGGTCTGATCCAGTAGAGAAATGCGTGTGGCAGTATCGTGCTGGTCGTAATTTACAATGGCAGTCTTGGTGGGGGTGTTAACTAACCAACGGTGACCCACTCTTTCGGCCTGCGTTACAGTCACTTGTGAGCGGTGTCTTGCTGTAGTAGGGCATTTGGTGTCGGCCACCATGGGCGTAAGGCCGCAGAGGCCATTAGTACTGTCCCACACAAATGGTTTACTGGGGCAGAGGTAGTGTATGTCTTTGGTTCGTGTGCACATACGCAGGTTAGGAGCTAGATATAGGTCAGGATTGCTGTCGTGGTAAGCGACCACTGGTGGGGTCTGAATTTGGAGGTGTGCGTCCTCTTTCCAAAACCCGACATTGACTACATCCTTTAGCCTATAGATGCTTCCTGATGCTATAATTGGCAAGTTAATAAGGAAAGCAATTTCTCGATCTTCGGGATTAACGTAGATCGGCACAGCGCTACCTAGGGTATACGCAAGGTGGGCTTGTAAAGGAGTGGTGGCCTCTCTGGTTGCAGTTGATAGTAAATCCTGAACCAATGAGAGAGGTACCAAGTACGGAGGAATCCGGCCTGCAGCCAAACTGTCTATTGAGGATGATATTTCTTGCAACATGTCTGACATGAGCATATTCAATAGCATTGTGTGAGCATAGTCGACCTGGACCACCGACAACAAAGAATTTACAGCACGCAGCGTCTTATTCAGGACTTCTGTGTGGGTGTTAACCACCAGAACGGTGCCCTTGACTGTTTGACCAATAGTCTGCAGTTGTGTCTGCTGTCTGTTTATCTGAGCCCTGATGTCTGGGATTTCGGCTTCTAGCTCACCCACATGGCGTTTGACAGCAGCTAAGCTAATGGCATTAACAGAGGAGAGCCCAACACCAAAAAGAGAGCCAACAACCGAGGCTGCGGTAAGCAATGCTCCGATAAAACGCTTGGACCTCCTGTTGGTACCACTTAACTCTGTTTGAGAGACAGTGAATTTCTGAAGTTGCTCTAACATGTAAGTAATGTCCAACTCGGCGTGATTTACGACCTGTCTGCTCCAATGTGTCCCGGCCCAACTGGTCAGTTGAGCTGTTACCGGAACATTTTTCTTGAGGACTTCCTTAGGGTTGAGCCTGACAAACACCTTCTGTGTGTGCAGGCGACAGTCTGTTATCAGGAGTCCAGGCTGATCCCTTAACACAATTCCAGAGTCCGGTCCTGGCTCTATGATCTCAGGGCTAGCTGGAGCAGCTACCAAGCCGAGAATCAGGAGCGCTATCAGCCAAATCATCCTGAGGAAGAGGGTGGACATAGTTAGGATGAGTTGGTAGAGGACAATCTAGAATTCAAATGTTCCCTGTCACTTTATTTTCTCCTCCCCCTTTGTAACCCAAAGTGTGCCCGAGGGCAACTCAGTGGCAACAATTCAACAATAATACAGACGCACAAATAGGATAAACTTCACGTGGACACAATATCTACGAGGACTAGGGGACCTGACGTCAATCAGGAGAACTTAGGACTGTTCTAGTTTATGACTCAAGGGTGGCGCTGGAGGCCCCGACAAGTCCCATGGGGTTGTGGTGAAGTTTAATCTGGTTGCGGTGGACCCATTTAAGGGTCGGCTCTTTGTTGCCCTTTGCGATCTTAATTTGGTACACAACAGAAGAGAGCTTTTCAGTGATCAGGTACGGGCCTGCCCAGCGGGGCAGGAACTTTCGTGCCAGTCTCCCAGACTTTGGGGCTTTATCTCCAGTGGGCTGGGTGAACAGGTAGTACCATACCTTGTCACCTACTTGGAGTTCCTGTTGGGAGGCTTTTTGGTCATAATAGGACTTACGTCCTTCAGCACTTTTGCTGAGATGCTCTTGGGTGAAGGCAAACGTTGCCTTCAGGTGCTGGTGTAAGTCAGTCATATACTGATGGGTCGTGTAGGCCGTTGCTATACTGGCCTCACCTGGCTGATACAGCAGGTGCAGAGGTAGGGTCATCTGTCTGCCCGTCATCAACTCGAAGGGTGAGAACCCGGTTGACCCATGTGGAGTCGCTCTGATGGCCATCAGGACCAAGGGAAGCTTAACATCCCAGTCCTTGTGGTTGGCTAACACATACTTTTTCAGTATGGTTACCACTGTTCGGTTTGCCCGTTCTACCTGTCCAGACGACTGGGGGTGGTGGCTGATGTGAAAGTTGGCTTTGACGCCCAACAGTTGCCACAGTTGTTGCATTACCTCTGAGGTGAAATGTGTCCCTCTGTCAGAGTCGACACGAGTTGGGAGTCCGAACCGCGAGAAGATGTGGTTCATCAAGAGGTATGCTGTGGTTTGAGCCGTATCATTTGGGGCTGGTAGGCATTCTACCCATTTGGTGAATGCACAGACAACTGTGAGGAAGTATTTGTTTCCTCTTGCTGACTTAGTGAGAGGACCCACCCAATCGATCTGGAGGTCTGACCAAGGAAAGGAGATACCTCTGCGCTGTAGAGGTGCTCGATGGAGTGGGTTTGCCGGTTGAAACTGGCAGCAAACCAGGCACCCTTTTATGTAGTCAGCTACATCTTTCTGCATGTGTGGCCAATAGGCCACCTGTTGGAGAGCATGGAGCGTGGCTTTGTTTCCTCTGTGTCCTGCGCACGGTGTGTCATGGGCGTATGTCAACATCACCCCCCTGTGGCTGCGAGGCACCACGAGGGCAGGCGAAGTGAGTGCATCGGAGACATAAACCAGAAAGCCCTTGACGAGCCGCAGCGAAGAGCGCACGCGGAAAAGATGGCGCAGGCCAGGGATGGAGTCAAGCAAGTCAGGAGGCATGGAGGAGTCAGGAGGCCCTGAAAGGAACTGCGTCATGGCAGCAATGGCTGGGTCCGAAGCTTGGAGCACCAGCAAGTCAGAGTCAGAAAAAGCCGGAGCCACAGTGGCGGAGACCGGGCCCGAGGGAGCCGGTGGAGCTCGAGACTGGGCTCTGGTGACAGCACAAACCAGGGGCACGGGTGGGAGGGGAAAAACAGAGGGCTCAAAGTGCCAGTTTGAGCCAGTTAAGGCCCCCTGCTTGGCCAAGGAGTCAGCCTGGTCATTAAACATCTTGTCTGGACCAGGGATACGAGAGTGCCCCCTGACTTTCTTCCAATAGATCTGGAGATCATGGTTAGAGGTCAAGAAGTCGCACGCCAGGAACAGATCTTTGTGTTTGACCGGCTTTCTGTTCGAGGTCAAGATACCGTTGCGTTTCCACAAAGGCAGATGACATGAGAAGCTGAGTCGCGCATAGTTGGAATCTGTACAAATCGTTAAGGCGTGGATTTTGTGTTCCACCGCAAGTTGCAAAACAATCAGAATGCCTGCCACTTCAGCATACTGGGACGTTTGGGCCCCTAGGTTGAAGCTGAGTGGTTCACACGGTTCATCGTTGACCCAGACAACACCCACGCCTGCTCTAAGAACAGTGTCGTGATGGTATGAACAACCATCAACGTAAGCTGTAATCATGTCTTTGCAGACATTGTCGTCGAAGTACCGGTGGCAAGATAATTCAGGTGGCTCGGGGTCGCAGGTTGGGGACCCTGTGTCCGCGCTGTCTGTCAAGCAGCTTTGGCACGCTGCGAGTTCCATCCCGAGAGGTGTTTTGCGATTTTGGGCGTAGTGGACCTCGATGTCAAAGCTCTGAAGAGCCATAAGCCAAGATGCTACACGAGCGTTGGTTACAACGCCGTCTCTGATTCTTTGGCTGTTAAGGAAGGTCACTGGTTGATGATTGGTTTCCACAATCACCTTTTGGCCTCCAAGATAATTCAAAAAATGCTTCACAGCCCACACAGTGGCGAGAAGCGCCTTTTCGCAGTCGGAGAACTTTAGTTCAGGAGCCAACAAGGTTTTGCTAGCATACGCGACAACTCGTTTATCCGAGTCATGGATCTGGTATAATCCTGCACTAAGGCAGTGACAAGAGAAACCGACCTCCAGATAGAACGGTCTGTTGCAGTCTGGGTAGGCAAGACAAGGAGCTGCACAGAGTTTGTCTTTTAAAGCTTGCATGGCGTGTTGTTGGGACGGTCCCCAAATGAATGGGACGTCCTTTTTCAGTAAGTTGGTGAGGGGTTTTGCTAAGTCTGCATAGTCCTCAATGAACTGTCGGGAGTAATTGCATACTCCCAAAAAGCTGCAAAGCTCTGAGACGTTCGTGGGAGCTTTAAGGTTTGACAGGCCTTGAATTCGACTCAGCTGTGGTTCGACACCTGTTGGACCAACCAGCAAACCGACGTAGTTCACTTTGGTCCTGCACCACTGACATTTCGACAGAGATATCTTTGCCCCGGCGTTCGTGAGCTGGTTCAGGACATGGTCAATCTCAGCGAGATGCATGTCCAGGGTTTGGTTCCTCATTAAGATGTCATCGACATATATGAGGGTGCCTCTCTCACTAGCATCTGGGCAGGCTTTGTTCAGAAAGATGTTGAACTCTGCTGGCGAGTTGGCATAGCCGAAAGGGCATCGGGTGAAGGTGTACTGCCTGTTGGCAAAAGTGAACGCCAGTTTGTGCTGGTCAGCTTCCTGTACTGGTATCGTCCAGAACCCTGATGCCACGTCAAGAGTGGAGAAGTATCTCGCGTCAGTGATCTTTGGCAGATCCTGTTGGAGCTGAGCCATAGGCCACCTGGAAAGGGGAACTTGTTGGTTCAGCTTTCGGTAATCGATGGTCAGTCGCCATTTACCGTTTGGTTTCAGTACAGGCCAGAGTGGGGCTGAGTAGGTACTGTTACATGGCCGAATGATCCCTTTCGCCAAAAGATCGTCTATGATTTCCTGAATAGGTTCATAGGACGCTAAGGGAATTTTGTACTGGCGTACAAAAGTTGGTGGTGCATCCGGTGGTGTCGGAATGCGGATAGAGTGGATAGAGGTTAAGCCACAGTCAAGCGAGTCTTTTGCGAAAGAGGCTCGATATCTGTGCAGAAGTTTGCGAAGCTTTTCACGCTCCTCTTCGCCGTTCAGGGCGTCTGCCTCAGCTACGAGCTGTTCGACTTTGGCATCAAAGTCTGGATCGTGCTCAGGTGTTTGCCCGGTTGGGAAGATAGAGGGTTCTACCCCGGAAAGTGTATGGGCCGATTCTGGCTCCGAACTGACGCTTAGGACTTGCACTGTGTGCAGGATCATCTGTGAGTCCTCAGAGAGGTCGACCTGACAGATGGTGTCGTGGTCCAGCGGTACAGTTGGGAAGAGCGAGATAGCCCTGGAAGGTAGGGTATGAAAGACCTGTTCCGGCGAATGGTCTGACATCAGAGAACGGGGCATTTTTCCTATTACAGGAATCCTCAATTCAAAGTCGTGGAACGACGTGCTGATCAACCAACCCAGCGGGGTGGATTTAGGGATCAGGATATCTTCGGGTGTCGTGTTTTGTACAAGCAAGTGTGTGAATCTCGAGTGAAGCTCAAGAAGAGGAGTTGCCTGAGTAGACAGCCCTAGTTTAAGAAAGAGCAACGACGGCTGGAAGAAAGCTTGAGTGTGCGACAGCTTTTGTCCACGTTGTAGGTTCAAGCGAATGGGAACGTTTGTGGTCATTGCAGGTATGACAATGTCAAATTCATTGGCTACCTGACAGGCTTCAGGGATCGACTGTCCTGATATGATGTTGTCGACATCAGGGGTCAGGGTTTCCTCATTAACACTGGTAAGGGACCACAGTATGTTGTTAATGGTATCGACCTGGACTGCCAACCTGACCAGTATATCACTTCCCATGTAGACCTGATATGGTAGGTCTGGGATGACCAAGAAGTGGTGAGTCATCTCCCTTTTGTTCCATCGCACAGTTAAGGCACAGACGCCTTCAGCAGTCATGGTAGCTTTAGGAAGGGAGTCCAAGGGGAAGCGAAATGCTTTCCGAACACACTGGAGGTTCGGGTCATCCCTAGACAAGGCGTCGTACAGTTCACGGCTGATGGCTGATCTGTCAGCCCAAAGAGCCAAAATCACATCGTTGACGTGATTCTCATTCAAGTTGATGCCTTCAGTGATCAATGGCCCGGGTGTGTCGGGTCCATTAGTGTCATCGAATTTGCACAAAAATGTGTCCCTTTTTATGACTGAGTCATCGAAAGGCCACGAGCAGGGTTGTGGCTCGTCATCAGTCAAGTAGGGTTGTTCCGGTGAGCTTACACTTGTCGGTGTGCTTGTAGCAAGTTCACGCGTCAAGGCGTAACACTGAGCCCGATTCTTGTCGGTTGCTGGTATGGGTAATGGTCTGCGGACCTGTGCCCATATTTTCAGCTGTCGATAGTCGATCAGGGGCTCAAACCGTTTTAAAAGGTCTTGACCGATGAGGAAAGGAATCGACTCAAGGGGCGACACATACACGGGGTGCATGATTTTCATTGGTCCAATGGAGATGTTCAACATCGTCATTGTATTTAAAGTCGTACTGTCTGTAGAGTACGGCCGAATCTCCATGGCGCAGGGCTGCAGCTTGATGTCCCTGTTGGACTGCTGCACCATATTGCGCAAGCGATTAAAGAGCGTGGAGGACATCAGAGTGATGTCAGCAGCAGTGTCCAGGAGTGCTTCGTGTTGAAGTTCATTTTCAAGGACGGTATTAACGTAAAACTTCTGTGCGATGCCTTTCTCAGTGAGGTTGCACAAGAATTGGAGGAAAGGTGGTTCAAGCCGAATAAGTGAGGAGTCTTCTTCGGCTGGCTCCTCTGCGGAGTTCGCCTGTACTACCAAGACGGCGCTGGTAGATGTCGTTTCTTGTGATGTGTTGTCCTGAGGTTCAAGATCGGCAGGAGTGTCAGCTGGTGAGGGTGTCACCGACTCCTGTAAGGACATACACACGTCCTCCTGAAATTCAGTCTGCTGGACAGGCATCATGTTTGGCTCAGAAGTGTCATCCTGGACGGCGGCGACAGCGACAGAGAAGAGATCTGCTTTCTTATCTCCTTTTCTCTGTATTCTACGGATTATTTGTCTAAGGAGTTTACGTTCTTCCTCTGTCAGATCAGAGGACTTTGATTCACCCTTAGCTCCGCCTTTAGATCCACTACCCTTCTGGGGAGGGTCTGATTTGGCCTTTGTACCCATCTCTTCGTCAGAAAATGCTGACTGAGACTGCGGGTAAGGTCGCTCTGAGTTTCGTTCTCGGCGTGGGCCATAACGATCTGACCGATCTCTCCACCCCCTGTTGTCAGGTCGGTAGGGCCGATGGGTGTCATCCCTTCTAGGGTGAGCCCCATCCCTGCGAGAGTACGAGGGTGGACGATCTTCGTCAAATCTGACCTGGTGTTGTTCACTGTCAGACCGAGGCTGCTTCAGGTTTTGACCTTTATCAGCTGGCTGATATCGGGAAGTTTTCAGATTCTGGGTTGGTCGGGCTGTTGCAGTTTGAGGTGCATCTGAATGCGCACCCACGGCACCGCCCTCCAGATCTAGGGGCATGGACCTTGTGTCCACAGCCAAGACAGTACCAGGTTCGGCTTTCTTGGATTGGGTGTGTCGCTGTTTAGCGAAGCCTTTTACAGCCAGTTCGCGGAGCTGTCTGCTGTTTAAGGTTCGGGGACAAGCAGCAACACCAAGATGATGACTCGTGGTCGGATGGAGGTTTTGAACAAACAAAGTCTTAAAGTTTAGATCTTCCTCCATTTCAGGTTCATTTTGACAACCAAAGTAAGCCTGGCGAAGGCGACCGTAGTACAACTGGGGAGATTCCTGTCTCTCCTGTTTGACTAACAGTGCAGCAGCTAAACCAGTGGGTGTAAGGGAGTCAGAAAACTCATCAATTAATGCCTGACACAGCAGGTCATAGTCATTCTTGACCCGACGCGGTTGTCGTTCAATGAAGCTGCTAACCTCTCGATTGGAGGTAGCTTTGATCAAGTAGATTTTGTCATCCACAAGAGCACCTGGAAACTTCCTCAAGTAGAAGTCGATGTCTTTCAAGTAGGTGCTTGGGTCTTCTGAACCTTTTCGACCGGGTTCAAATCGTGTGATGTTACGAGCCATCTTGTCCAGATCCCTGTCTGTGGGATATGCCGCTTGACGAGCAGCAGGCGTGGACTGAGGTTGGTAACTCAGGGAACGATACCCGGAAGGTATTGGTTGGGGAAGGGGCGACAAAGTATGACCCGAGTTCCGTCCGGTGTCATCCGGACTTGATCGACCTGAATGTCCTCTGGGGACACGACTCGGTCGGAAGGTAGGGAATGGAAGCGTCTGTTGACTGCTTGGCGAGCTTCGCCCGCTCTGATCTTGCTGTGGTTGACCCAGACTAAATTTCCTCTGAGTCTCGAGGAGCATTTGCTTTAGATTAGCAGAATGTCTCTCTTCTGCTTCGAGGGCCACCCTTTTACTTTCAAACTGGGCCTTCCAGTCCCTTGCATCAGTTGAGGACTGATCTAGGTTGCTTTTCATTCTTGACAACTCCTGTAATTGTTCATGAATGGTGGACCTAGCGTCCGAAAGCTGAGCTTCCTTTTCCTCAATGGTGTCATGCAACTCTGAGATTTGGGTTACTAAGGAAGGGTTTTGATCATGTTGGGATGGAGGCTCTGCTTGCATCTCATCCAAACTGTCTCGAGCTTGCTGTAGAGCCCTTTCAGTGCCTCCCAGCTCCTTTTTGAGATCATCAATTTCCTTCATTTGTGCCCGTATCTGTTCTTGGGCCCTTCCCATGGCTTCGTCTTGTCTCTTAATTTGGACAGACATCACACAAGCCAAGCGTGCTAAAGCTTTGGGGATCTCTTTCTCTTTAGGTGGGTGTTCTGTGACCCAATCGATCACCTCATTCACCACAGTTTGAAGCCCATTGTTATCAGTGCGGTTCGCTTCGTCTACATAGCCTGGGAGCAGCGGCTGAGTCAGAGTTGTCAGCGCATGCTTTAGCTCCTCACTAAATAGTTGCCAACTTGCCTCCTTACGTTCTGCCATGTTGCTTCAAGTTTAGTAAGGTTGGTAGGTTAATGAGTTTAACAAAATAGCCGTGCCTATAAAGCAAATTGAGAAAAGCTGTGAATTTAGGACCAGAAGATAAGCGCTTTAAGCAAAGTCTGGTTCACGCTAAAATAGCTGGATGTTTATTTCCGGAATGAAACAAACAAAGGAAGCTAAAACAGAATTTGGATTTTAGCTGAAAAAGAATTACGTACAAAAATCAAACCTAATCACAGCCAAATCTCATAGTCCAAACTGGATTTGGTCAAATAAACTTTACAGAAAGGAGTACAGGGAAACCTTAAAAGTAAATAGCGGATTGTCAGCTAAGCGTGGAAGGAAGGTAAAAGCTGAAAGTAATCAGGATCAACAATGCAGTTGTAGATGCAATTAAATCTTTCAAGTCTTCACCAGATAATCAAAGTAAAATTGTCCAAATTCAATTGACCTAAAGGAATAAAACAAAAATTCTGATCGTAGGTTGATTAGGGAATTATTGAATTAATTGATTAATGTTACATTAATGAATTAATTAACTATTGCCCTAAGTCTGTGATCACATTTAAGTGTTTTATAAAGGGTCACAGAAAGATGGAGGCAATGAACAATGATTACAGGATGACAAAGATTTGATTCAGCTATTCTCCTTGATAAGGCAGGTGATCTATCTGTATAAAGTAAAAATAAAAGTTGTTTATCAGGTAAATCAACGTTTTATTTGTAGTACAGAAACTAAAGACTCAATCAACCAACTCAATCTGACTATGTCTGCATGGCATCTGTTTGACAACAGGGAGGCGTGGCAGTCGGCTAGACTGCAGTCTGTTTACAATGAGGTCCAAGCAAAACAAAGGCCACGTGGCTGTGAGCCGGCTTGCAATGCTTGCCGCTCACCACACGAGGGCGATGTTCTAGGGGGCGGTTCAACCGCTCCGTACGTCGCGACGCAACGTTATGACGTAACTATTGGCTCCACCCCTCGGGGTGGCCTGCCTATTCAACACTGGTCGAGTAGTCTCTCCAATGGACACCAAAGGGTTAACACCTCACTGCGGCTGCGCGCGCAGTGGCAATGGGAAGATTCAACGCTGCGTCTCTAACAGCGGATTGCTTCACCAGACTCCTCTGGGAGTAACAAGAGTTTACACAGACAGATCTTACAACAGCAGACAAAACTGCGGACTTAAATTCACGAAATGCGGCGATTTGTGAAAAAGAATCGTGTCTGAAATCACTCTAACAACCTCTCACTGGAAACAGTGATCTCCCGCGACAGGTAGCTAATCTGCCTGGGAATGAGGGATAAACTGAATCCTTTACAGTTACTAGAACTTCGTAGCAGACTATACAGGGTTCAGGGACTCGGAACCACGGCTCGGAGCTTCGCGAACACCGGGTCCGGCCCAAGGCCTTCTAATACAAGCGTACGGCGACGCTGAAAATCGTGCACTCAAAAATTAACAATCTGGGTACGCGCAGCGGCGGCGCGCAGAGCAGAAAGCGCAGCCTCGCTGCAATCCAAAACAATGATCCACGTGGTCTACGCTCACACACAAAAGTATGCAGCAGCAAAAATCAGCGCTATTACACAGAGCTCAATATCATCAGAACATGAAACAGAAAATACATCAAACGCCCAGTTCAGCAATTTCAAAAAGCATCAGACATACATTAAGCAAGCAATCCAGTAATTTCAGCAAGCATAGCATAGATCTTAAGAAGTCTAAGTTGGGAAATTGGGTTTCTCACTAGTTTGGGAATCTAAAATAATCTTAAAGTTGTCTGTTAGTGCCTTACAGAAGTCGTTTGAATGGCCTCGCACGGCCGCACCAAATACTGTAGCGATTTTAAATTCAAAATAAATGTCGAAAATTAATCAAATTAAATTATGACATTTATGCACTCGTTGAAGGGGCACCACCCACCTTTCTGGTGGGAAAAAGGACGAAACAAAGTTCAATTGAGTAATTAAACGTTGGATCAGTCTTACACAGATTTAAATCAGTCTCTCATCTGAGGCCGGAATTCTTCATTCAGGGACTACTTTCTGAAAGACCACTAAGACGACAACTTAGAATTAAATGGACAATTTATTAACAAGCTATATGATAACAAAACGTCAATAAATGATGATCAAATAATGAGCAAATCAAAGCACATCTAATGAATAAACGAAGGAATGGTTTAAATTAAACCTAAGACTGGAGGTTAATAATAGTGAGTGAATAAAGGGGAAATTTAACCTACGTTAACGGAGTTACGAGGGTAAATAAAAGGAATTTGGAGAACTAAACTATAATTTATAAGAGTAAGCTACTGAACGGTTGACGGCATCACCCAGTTCTCATCACAGCAGTTCAGAGGATTTAGCCTACTTTGGACGTCGGTTCTCAGCGGCACCCTTGGAATGGATCAGCTGAAGTTCTGTGGCTACCGGACCGGATACTGAAGGTTCGGCGGGGAATTCTTCCGCCGTGTCTGGATCTCAGCTTCAGGACCGTGTCAGCGCCGTTAGATACTTCGGATCTCTGGGCCTCTCGGAACCAGGTGGCAAAGCAGCTTGGCAGATGATGCTGGTCGGCGTTCAGGACTTGCTTGGTTGCAGATTAATTCGCGCCAATAACTTAAGAAAATAATTTCGCTGGCCAGCCGATATTATCTTCAGGAGTCACTTTAGCGAACAAAAATAAAAGACTTAGACTGAGGTTCTCTTATGCGCGCAGCTTGTTACTGAGGCTCTAAAGGACTTGGGAATGCTTTCATCCAAGTTTAGAATAAAAATCTGAGCTTAAGGCAATTAATAAAACGCGGGGAAAATTGCGAACGATAGGCGAAGACAAAAGAAAACTAGACGAAGACAAAAACGGAAGAGACAAAAACTGAAGAGAAGACAAAACTTGAAGAGAAGAAAAAACTGAAGAGAAAAACTGAAGACCGAGCAAAGACTCCCGGGCTCTTTTAAACCATCCCGTGTGGGCGTGAGCCAAGAGGAAAGTTACAGCCAATGCTGTAACCCGATGCAGCACATCGACTGGCAGCGAATTTAACTCAACTTGATATTAAAAGCGAGCTAGATCTAATTTACTCACTCACTATGATTAAACTGTTTATAACATCACATACGATCACATTTCACTTCATTGTTTCTTATGAGCAGACGCATTAAAGCATGACATTGCAAACAGTAAACTTTGATCAGCCGTCTTCTTGACACTAACAGAGGATTAATGACTTTTAAAAGTTAGAGAGGGACAGAAAACAAATTATCTATTCGAACAGAAACACCATCCAGCATAAGAAACACATACGTAATAATATTTGACAACATTATAACCTTGTCAATCAAGCTTCCCAGATGATTAATATATATTTTTGTGTGAGGTAGATAAAACATAGTATGGATACATTCCGAAACTCTTAACTTGAGTCTAAACGAGTTTCACGTTACTACTTCTAAACTACTAGCCTATCTTGGGAATACCATTTACTAAGCTACGAAGTGTATAACAAAAGGAAAGAAATACACGTGATTAGATTCCTGCCATTTGGCTCTGATCAAACCATATTCAGGCATCACCACTAGGAGGAGCTCTTGGTCCATGGAAAACCTGGAATAAATTTGTGAAGTTAACAGTTTGGCTTGTGGATATGTTACAGAATTGGAAAAAAGACCATTTCATTAAGAATGTGGTGTACAGACAGAAAATCCTGGTGAAGTGTCCATTAAACATGAAGTTAAACCATTTTCAGGCATCTTCTTCCTTCTGCTCTGTAAAGAAAGCCAAGGAATTTATGGCAGGCATCTGGTTTTTCAGATTTGGCGCCAACTGGCCTGTTTTCCCCCCTAGGTCATTGGGTTAATCCTGAAGTGTCAATTCTGATCTTTCCCAACCAGGGTGAGAGACTCCGTGTTTATGGGTCTGTGTGGTTGATAAGCAACTTGTCCTTTTTGGGAAGCGTTAAAGATTCACTATCACCTCCCAAATGGTTGCCTGGGTCGTAAATGGGAACTTGGTGTGCAAACCGTTACTCCCCCATTTCCTGTCCAAACCAGAGGAGCCTGCATTCCTTTGAGGGGTGAATTCAAGGTGGATAGCAGAAAGCAGTTGTCTCATTACAACCCCCCAGAATCAGAGGTGTCCGTGATCCGAGGAGCTGCACTAAACAGGATTTTCAAAATAAAATAAAACGTGAAGCTTTTTTTTTGTTGTTGTTGGTGCAGTGAGACTCCAAAGTGTTCCTCCAATCACCAAGAGAGGAGACCCTGTCAGACCCTGCTATCCAAACACAAACGCTAACACACACACACACACACACACACACACACACAAACGCACGCACCTCCCCGCAGTGCGCCGGCTGTGATATATGCGCCTGGTTATCATGGGAAATAAACTGTTAAAAGCTGCAGAAATAGCTTTTTCACAGTCTGGATGTACAGTCATAAATCTGAGCGAGACGGCGGAGGTGTCTCCGGGTCGTCGGATGAGTTCTCAGCTCGGCGGGAGCAGTCGGGCTTTTATATTTGTGTGATTACACCCAGAATCCATCTGGACCGGCTGGCTCTCAGGGTGAGGACCGGCACGGACACGTGACCTTTGGTAGTTTTATAACAAGAAGAGACGGGACCTTTAAAGACTAAGAGACAAAAGCCGAATACTTAGTGTCGTTTAAAACAAACACAATCATGTTGGCCTGACGCCGTCTCCATGCCAACATACTTTGCACCCTGGTCTGGTTTGTTGGTTAAGTTTGAGCAGAGCTTTGGAGGAGATCTCAGCATCCACAGAAGAGTATTTTCAAGATCCAAGAGAGACACTCCTCCAGCCGCTCTGAGGTTCTCCTAATTCTGGTTCTCGGTAACCCCCAACGCCACTTTTCTACCCTTCCACCGTGAATCCCGGAGCCAAGGTCGGAGCGGTTTATCGGCTGACTTGGCAAACATCCGATCCCAACAGTGTCACCTGTTGATTTTCCAGACGCCAATAAAACACTCGTCCAAACAAAAGCTTTTAAAAGGTTAACAACAGACTGACGTGAAAGCCGTTTGAAACCGCTTTGTCAATTTTCACGACTGGCTGAACAAATGTCGGGTGTGAAGAAGTCCAGAGTGACACAGCGGGGCGGGTGAACGGTTCAGAGTGTTGATGAATCACCTGTACGACGGGCTTCTATCGATCAGCGCTGAAAATAACACCGCAGACGTCGTACAAACACACACACGGCTACAAGGTCACCTGAACTGGATCGGTTTGTTAGTTTGGAGGATTTTGAAGAGTTTGCTCGTGTTTCTGTCGGTCGATGTGTGAAACTTTGAAGCTGCTGACTGCAATGAGGAAAAGAGACCGAGTCTAAACTCTGTGAATATTCCTCAAAAGTTATTGTGCCATGTTTGAATAATGAACTTTTTAATGATGCGGTCGTATCTGTCTTTGTCTTTTATGTGTTTTCATGCTTTTGGTGCAAAATAGGGCTGGGCGATAAACCGAAAACCTAGTGATACTGAAATTTACCACAATAACCGACATCATTTTGCCCGTATCAGTATATTTGGTGTCAAAAACATAAATAAATAAAAGTTTGTTTTGGATGTGTGTAGGTAGGCTACGGTCTCATGTCCCTTTAACTGGCTAAAACCCACAGGATCAGGAACCGCTCCGTTCCACTCCGGACCGACAGGCAGATCAGATCCGCAAGCGTACAATGCCCACTGGATCCAATCTGGCGCCGCCTTCGGAGAAGAAGCGCTCACAAGGTTATCGATATTTCACGCGAGACTTGGTGAGATCTCACGAGATCTTGCGTGTTTCCCCAGGAGCCATAGAATGAGATCCACCGATCCGCGTATATGAACACTCACATCCAACAACCCTGGCCTCTCCTATTATCAAGTTAAGAACAGTTCTACGTATTGACTTTATTTTATTTTGAAAATTTACTGGATATTTTATTCTGTAACCGTGTACAACTTCTGCTGCTGCTTGTGCTGCACTGCACTGAATAGAAGCCCTGCGTATCTGATCTAGCCGCCGGAGTTGATCCGCAGCAGAGCCAGACAAGGGACGGATTTTGTAGAATCACTCACATTGATTTTAATGCTTGCGGAACGCAGGGAAAGACAGGTGAGGAGATGGAGGACGGTTCAAAAGTTGTAGTGGTTGAAGTAGACGAAGTTAATGTGGGAGGGGGTGAGCAGCTTGTGGAGTAGTTATCGTCCACTTATCATTATCGAGGTGAACTGATCAATTTATCGTGATACTGATTTGAGGACATATCGTTCAGCCCTAGTACAAAACTGATTCCCCCAGGATCGCTCAGATTTTTAACTTTAGTTGAAACTAACACGTCAATTATCCATTTTTTGCAACTAAGACTAGCATAAAGTTTGGTCATTTCTATTTTTCCGGCATGCACGCTGCAAGCAATTCATGCCGTTCTGCAGACATCGCACAGAAAACCTGCTTCTAGTCCCGAGTTCAGGTAAGTCCGCGGTACTGAGTTCTTGAAGCAGTCATTTAAATCTGATACCAAACGGTTTTTATCTTCCCCTCATTTACTCTCGTCTCAGTCTCACCCGAGAAGACCTTTTCTTCCTCGGCGTAACCTGCGGAGAACATCTCGTTCCTCATTTCACTAATTCCCTCCCCAGAGGAAACCAGCTCACATTGTTTACGATTTTATAATCTTTCTAAATTCAGACTGTCGGTGTGTGAGATTCAGGCGGAGCGGAGTGGGCTTTTGTTTCGGGAATTCATCGTCTTTACTGTACGGAAAGAAAGGAGAGCAAAGATCTACCTCCACTTACTCTAAAGAGTCTCATATGTGACGAGTTTCAAGGTTGAGAGAGTTTAAATTCAGCCAAAAGCTTCAGGTCCCACTCACTCTGCAGGATCTTACAAACATCTGTTTGAGCTCGACGTGTATCTCTCTGCTGCTCTGGATTGATCTAAATATCTCTGACACACTAAACAGCTAAAAGTGGGTTAATCAGATGCCGTCTTAAATCCTGCAGCATCTGCAAACATCACATCAGAGCGCCTTAAACCACCCGGGCTGAGGAGGCGAATCGATGAGAGAGAAAACCAGCTACAGGTATCAGACCGCGTGGAAGTAATTACTCTGAGAGGAAGCGGCGTCTGAGGTCGTCTCGGCACGTTTCAAACGGAATAGCTAACGAGGAGGATGAGGAGAAGGAGGTGATGACATGACGATCCCTGTGTCTCTGCGGCTTCTGAAAGTGCTTGATTCTGATTGGTCAAAACCCACTTACTGGATGCCAAAAAAAAATAAAGATTTCAGGTTTCTTAAAAAATCCTCAATCTCCGAATTTCACTTAAAAAGCTGCTTTAATTTTAAAAACAGCCTCAGTGATCTCTGCAGAACTCTGTGGTTTGTTTTCGTGCAAAAAACGTTTCAAACTCCCAAAACTACAGATTTTTAAACGAGCAAAGATCGTCAAAAATTCATGACGGGGATATCAGCAGCTTTTTGCAATATTTATTTACTACAACTCCACTCAGACTGCGGCCCAAAAACACTCCTGAACCGCCTCAGATGGAATAAACGTCAGAGTCAGAAAAGCGTTTATAAAAAGTGGACGTGTGGTCCATTAAACACGGCGCTCCCTCGGCCTCGGATCAGACATGTCTGAGTGAACAACACCTTTTAGTGCGCCGGTCTGCCTGTCCACAGAGAGCTCCAGATCCAGACTGAGACCCACATGATGACGAAACTCAAAGTACATCGTGAGTCCAACAAGGACCGAACGAAGAGGACCTGATCTGTGCGGAGGAAAGGCTGAAAGTCAGGGGAAAGTTGCAGACTTGATTCAGCTTAAAGGTGGGGTAGGCAGGAGGCATCTTTTTTTGTGTGGTGTGTTTACAAAAAAGCTTTTAATATCAGTCAATAGATATTAGTTATTGATGACATTTGGGAATATCGCGCCACGTCCAACTAAAGTTAGTGGCTATCGTTCAGTAGAAACCAACCAGAAAGTTCGGAAAATTGTCTGAATCCTCCTTTGGCCACGACTGCCGACACAAGCAAGAAAACAAAGTAAATACCGGAGACTCTGGAGGAATAGCGGGCGCTTAAAACGGAGGTAGACCGGACAAGAGCTAAAAAGCCGGGTCAACATAAACGATGGGGGACGCTTGGGGATCTTGGTGACCCTGTAACCTTTCTGCTGGACAGTTAAACCGCTTTAACAAAGTAAGACAAGTGTCTGTAACAGAAGTGTTTCTTGTCAAACGGACCTGCTGTAGCGTGTTGTAGCGCCATCGCTAAACTGTCCTCCCTCGGGTCCTGGACTATGTCACTTTATCCTCGTTGTAGAAGTCCTGCAAACATTGTGTTTGCTGGTAGTCTGTTGGAATCTACAGTAGCACCAATGCTTTTGACTTTCACCTTGACTGGGCCCCATTTGTAATGATCTGAAGTATTTATCTGCATTATGTCTGAATTTAATTGGAACGATACGAGCGAGCAGGAGCGTCTGTTTGTGGGCGGGGCTTGAGGAGGGGGAGAGGAGGAGCTGAGGGGAAAACTGGTTTGGAGGGGTAGAGTTTACATTCAAGATTTCTCCCAAAAACTGACACTTCCTCAGATCCTGAGTACCCCTAACCTTTAATGAAGAAGGTTCATACCTAACAACAGATTTCAGACACGTACTGACGACTTTTCAGGTCTCTAGTTGGACTGTAATCAGTGCAGAACAAAGTAAACAAAGTCTTGGCTGGGAATCACCACCTGCTGGCTGCACCAGAAAAACAGAGTTATTGGCGTCACTCCTAGAGGCGTACATCATCTCCTGACTGTTGCACGTTTGTTCTGGACTTTTTTCAGGGTTTGTTTTGAACAAGAGACTCAGATTTGTTGACCCTTCTTTGGTGCCAGATCACATAAAACCGAAGCTGCCTGATTTACTTCAGCGGAGTCATCATGACGGCACATTAAGACTCCTTCGTCTCCTATCAGGGACTCTGTGCAGATTATGAATTAGCGGGAATCCCCTCTGAGACCTGCAGGCTCAGCGCTGCACAGACAGGTTGTTCCGGGCGACACCGCCGAGCTAATTCATCATCGCCGCCTCTGAGGGACGGCGTAGATTTTGTATTGTAGTGTGCGTGATGGATGGAGTTTTAGGATGAGGGTACTCTACAACTGTTGGAGCGACACAATCTGAAGGGAAGGAGAGGGGATCATCTGATAAGTGGTGACTCCTGAGGTGAATCCAGGACGAGGCTCGGATAAATAAAGTTCCCATGAAGGCAGAGAGAGAGTTTCAAAGACAGACTTTTACACCCGTTTGAGCTTCCAAATCTTGGAGTTTTCAGGGTCCGTAAAGATCGCCTCAGTCCGTCATACTCGGGCTAAAGTCCTGAGAAGTCATCTGCGTGTCTGGTTCCCTCTTTGCATGCCACTATCTTAACCTGCACTTAAATAATTCTGAGCCCATGTAGAGACTCCCACTACAGAGTCGTGTCTGTTCTTGCACATCCCAACCATCCAGGAGTAGTTTTTAAGATTTGTTCTCAATTTTTTGTTGGTATTTTGTATTTTTTGCAGTTTTACACAAATATTTTTCATAACATAATAAACTTTTCTCAGTTACGACATTGATTCGACGGTCTATGTGCTGTATTTGATTAAATATCGTGTTTCGATGATTTGCGGACAAATGCAACTTGGATTTTAGAGGCAATATCCTACTTTGCTGAGGGCAGATGTATAAAAAAGCCAAACAAACTCTACAGGGTCATGGAGAGGTGAAAGGAAAGATGGGAAAAAAATAACTGCAGGGTTTTTGATATCTGAGGAGGGTGAAAATATTCAGAGGCAGAGGTCTGGTCTCTTAACCTTCACTGAAATGTCGCCATGATGCACACACGGCCTTCGGTATGGAAATACTTTGTTTGCATGTATGAATAAACATGTATGTGAAGTTTTAATACTCTGCTCTGTATGCAGACGTCTTCACATTTCACTTTGACCTCCAGCTTAATGCAGCTTATCCTCTAAATCCACTGCATGCCACTGCATTTCTTACCCGCCGCACTCAGGATGCTTTAAATCCTCGCTGAACAGAACACGCCTTCACGTCTCGTAGATAAGTGTGTGCTTAAAATACATAAATATGACCTACACAGTGGAGCCGCACCTGTCCTGCAATCCGTGTAAAGCTCAAACCGTCAACAGTCAACCAGGAAGCTGCTGCAGTGGCTAATAAGTCGAAAGTCGGATGTTGGAGCTGGGAATGACGCTGCACCTCTGTTGACAGTGTTCCAGTTAACAAGTCGGAAAACCAAGATGGACGCCTACAGTTAGCCGTTGTTAGCTGCTGTTGTTAGCTGCTGTTGTTAGCTATACCAGTTGTAAACAATGCATAACACAATATTTTACTCACCACCATAACATAAACACCATAGCTCCGTGTTCACAGTTTGACGTTGGGCAGCACAACATAAACCACTTATTTAATTTCACAGAAACGAAACAGAAGTGCGAATAAATAATCCGTTATGAGAGCTTTCACTGTTACTCTTTACTGTTGATGCACTGCGCTGCTATCTTGAATCATGAAGTTGTCATCAAGTCGGGGTTGGTGAGGATCGTCTGACTTTCCGAGTCGTTAATCCGACTCCAGGGAGGGTTTCAGATGAATTTCGGACTCGAAGCTTGGAAATTCCGACTTCCGAGTACAACTGGAACGCAGTATAATTCCCCTATAGCACTGCTGTCATGCAGAAACCTCTTATCTCCAAAATCCCTGTGCTTTTGAAACGACTAATGACTGTTTAAAAAAATAATAAAATTATGAAATATGGAGAAATGAGATTTCTGCACAACAGCAGCAATAGTTCAAATAGAAAAAAATCAGACGAGTCTAGTTTTCACGATTCTAGCTTACACTTGCAGAGCTAGCACCACCAGTTTCAGTCCTTCGTTTAGGTTGACGTGCACACGTTTGCCCTCTGAGTGGTGAAGTGGTCATGTGTCCGTTTAACCGAACACAGCAGACGAAAAACTTCCTCAGTTTCTGTTATTTTTTAGATCTAAATATTGACTAATAACTCTGCGCTACAGGACACCGTTGGTTTGTTTGTGCTTGTTTACATCTGGGAAGCAGCCATGAGGACTCTAGCTGATATAGACTAACACTTGGACAGATAACCAACAATTTGGGCATGCAGTAGTACAAATATGAATTACCTGTGTAACCGACAGGTGACTCTGGGCCTGATTCACAAAGAGGACATTGTTTTGGCACTCAGTCAATTACTCATGCATGTGCCAAAAAGTCTAAAGAATGGACTGAATAAACAACTTGGTTCCGCCTTCCTCCAGTTTACGCTGGGACAGTTTGCATAACCACCCTGTCTGTGTAGCTGTCTCTTTGTGACGTGTTGTAGCTCTCCTGCTTTAATGAACAGAATAAGAAACCACTGATCCAACTTCTCCTGTAATCTCGTAAACTCACTTCATACTTGAACAAAACAGTGTAATCCCTTTAATTTACAGGAAAAGTGATGCAATCAGTCTTTAATGACGGCTCACAGCAGCTCGGCATTCAGCGCCGTGCTTCAACATAATGAATGTTTCACACTCTGCTTGTTGGAGACGTTGTTTTCAGACAGATTTAATTAGTTTTTGCTCTAAAGCTCCAGCTGGGTCTGCTTTTTGTTCCTGCAGCCTGAGTCAGGAACGGGAACTACAGCGCGCTCGAACCGCAGATATGTGACTCGTTTCAGGATCAATTAGCTCCTCTGTGAGAGTGCACACGCTCAAAGAGACCCTGCTTCAGTCCACGTCCTTTAATTAGTGTCACAAAAGATCCTTTTTTAACCGAGTTATCAGAAAATCTGCCTGATTGATAAGTCACACAGTTTTCCCTCAGTGAGGTCTGTAAGGCTCAAATCAGGACCAAACTTTACTCCCATATCAACACCTTCCAGGAGATTGTCGCCTGTTGCCATGGTTACACTGCAAATTAGGATGCTAGACACTTTTCTTTTTGTGTGTTTCAACTGCAGACAGGGTAGATTTGTCCACAGGGGGGCGCCAAATCTGATGCAGATGGAAAGTTGCTCACAGGAGCTTTAATATATTCAAGTTGGGGCTGATATATGTTGTGCATCAGCTGATCATGATTCAGCTCGAGAAGAAAAGAGAGGAGGGGTTCGAGTGGACAGCTGAAGACGAGGACGGGAGGGGTCCAGGAAGTGACCCTGCTGGAGTCACATGGGGGGACACTCTCAGTTAGGGCTGTCCCAATAGGATATTGATATCAGAAATTGGATATCGGATATCGATCCAATATCAGCCAAAAAACAAATATCGGATTATATCGGCCTGCATCTAAAATCTTTGATACAAGCAGTCCATTCCAGACTCCACTCTGGGACCTCTATCTAGCAGGGCCTGGATCCAGCATGTAGAGCCCATGTGATCACAACAACAGTGTGTACTAAGGTACGAAGAAAAGTAGAGAGGAGTAGGAGTGACGTCGCCTGTGTGGCTGGATTTTTCATCATTGAGACTGAGTGCAAAACCTGTCATGCACAGGTTAGCGCTAATTTTGTATCAATATCGGTATCGGCTGATGCTGAAGGCGACAAGATCGGTATCATATCAGAAGTGAAAAAACTGTACCGGGACACCATTACTTCCTGTGCAACACTATGATAATAGAGTTGATGTTAAAAAATATTGAAATATCCCTTTAATGCAGTGGTTCTCAAAGTGGGCCGTAAGGACCCCAGGGGGGTTGAGACAAGGCAAAAAAAAAATAATGCACATTGTGTTACACTTGGAAAACGCAAGGGCGACAACGACACAACAACAGAAATACAAAAACAGAGTCAAGACAATGTGATTGTTGCAAATTGTTCATCTTCAGAAATGCAGAAGCTAATGTTGTTATCTCCATAAATATTTAAAGTTTCATTGAGGTAAAATGGAAAAACCAAAGCAGTTCGTTACAGACAGTGTTTTTTACATGTTGATTTGTAGGGGGGCCTAAATCTATTTTTACCTGCCGAAGGGGAACCTGGCAGAAAAAGTTAAAGAACCACTGCTTTAATGAATACATAACAATCCTCAAACTGTGACTATCACTCTGCCTTTAATGGTTAGAAATCTGGAGGTGATGCGTCTCAAACTATGAATCCATGTTTCTTTGCTGACAGACGCCGATTTCACTCAGCGGTTTCACCAACAGTTAAGACTCTCCGTCATCTGCTGGCGTCATTTTCGCTCCACAGTCTGAGACCCAGAATCCTCTGAGACTTCGACTTGAAGACTTCTCCAAAATGTTTGACCTACATAGATTGAAATCCGACGAGCCCCTGAGTGAAACTAAAAATAATACAGACTTATTCTGAGATTTGAATTAAGAGAAAAAACTCCTCCGCAGTGAAACAGAGTTTTAACACGAGGAACAGATTCAAATGTCGGCTGCAGGTGTGAGAAAAGCTTCATCTGCTGCTGTTTGTGGAGTTCAGCCGAAGTTCAGCTCGACAGAAATCCCAAAACCTTTCGTAGAGACGCTCCGATCGGAAACAAAGTTCAAACGGTCGGTCCTCTGCAGGGAAAACAAAACATGAATCACCCTGTAGACGTTACCTCCGATCTTTAACACTCCTCCAGCTCCTGAGAAACGAAAAAAACACTCTGCTGATAAATAAAGAAGCGCAAAATGAGCTAACAAGTTATTTATCATCAGAGCGGGGCGTAACAAACATAAATTCTGCAGCTACAAGCCTACGCTGAGGAAGATGGACTGTGATTCTGGTCAAGGACGCTTCAACATGTGACTGCAGGGACACGTCTCGACTTCAGGACTCTGGTCCAAGTTTGACCCAAATCCTTAAAATTAACTTCTTTCTTTCTTTCTGCAGAGTCACATCGCCGTCTTTCTCCTGAGTTTGCAGAGTGAGGCGGTTTTGATGCCTTCGCCCCTCTGCTGATACGATGTGTGTGATGTTTCTCCAGGAGCGACGTGCTGCTGCGTTTGGCATTTTAGTTTCCATGTCGACTGAAACTCTGCGAGCTGGAGGGAATAAAAACAACGTTTCACCCGTCGTCATCATCCCTCCTCCTCCTCCAGTCATTTTCAGAGCAGACTTCGTCTCCACACGGGGAGCAAATGTGGTAATTAGTTATTTTATTTGAGTGAAGAGCAGACAGGCTGCTGTTGTTTCTCAGAGTTTTGATTCTCTGAAGGAAACTTCAAACATCTACCTGCAACGTCACCGTCAAAACCTGCTTTTATACCCATGAAATGACAGACCGACGGGAGTTCTGCTGGTTGTTTAACCTTTTTGATCACATTAATTCTCACTTTACCTCGTTTTGGATATGAAAAAGCAGCATCTGCACAGACACATGACAGCTCTTCTGGTCTCTGAGAAAAGGGCACGAGGAGCTCCTCGCTTTGCTGCAGAGATGCATCATCTACAAAGAGGAGAGGTTCAGGCCAAGCTCACAGCGAGGACCCGCTGACAGGGAGCTGACACCTGAGCAGATTCAATCCCAGTCAGTGTCGAAGACAAGCTGCTGATCCACAGCTCCAAGTGTGGAGAAGACTGGCAGTGGCGCTTTTTAACAGCTCGGGTCTTTATATCCGCTTCAGTCGAATCGATTCTAGATTCCATGTTTGTTTAGAACAGCAGAGAGAGTGGAGGCGCTGGGTTTTACATGTTTGACTGGTTTACGCTTGGAGAGTTTGGACAGAGAGTAAGCGCAAAATGAAATTCAGTCGGATGCGTCATCACTGATGTCTGCTCTGTTCTGGAGGTCTTACGAATTACGAAATATTCCGAGGCGAATTTTGACGCGCCTGACTACTTTACAGATAAGAAGTTTTTCTACCATCTCTCAAAACAAAACCACTAAAAAGGATGTAGTGCATATGCCAAGCCAGTAAGTGGCGCTGTGACGCTGCACAGGAAATGCACAAAAGACAGAAGAAGAGTACAGAGAGTGTGTATAAAGGATGTTTTGACCGGACACACACAGGCGCCATAAAAGAGTTACGCTGTGTGTCACATGATCGTTTCCAGATGCACGGAGATGAAATGATCGTCGTTTACAGATTTATTTACTCTCTGACCCGTTTTCAAAAAGTACCGTTTACAGTCATCTGAAACGCCGTTTCCATGTGGATGAAACTCTGATACGACAAAAACTTTTGTGTTTCCTCCTGAATTTGTTTCCGTGTGGACGGGTTGATACCGCCTTCAGACAGACTTCACAGCGGGGAGTGGTTTACTCTTCATCTGAAACTGTGAAGCTGTACCAATTCAACACGACTGACTCGCTCTTGTCCTATTTAATCACGAAATTATCGCCTTCTTTTGCAAACGCCATCTTTGTTTACTCTTGTGTGGGGAGCCTACGGTGGCCTGAAGGCTCGAGACATGATCGAGAGGAAAATCAGTATCATGATTTTAATTTTTTAACATCGTCATGATCGAATAATCTGATTACGATATAAAATCGATTCATCGTTCAGCCCTATCTCAGCCCGCCTCAGGGTTTGGAGTTCAGTGTTGGTTTATGGAGGAGCAGGAAGCTCTCAGAACAGAGGCACCAAATCTAACCATCATTTTAAACAAGATCAGTCCTGATTGGCTGTTCTGAATCGTCTCGTATCAGTCCGCTCTGCATGTCTTTTGAGGACGATATTTTGCTGCACAGTTTCAGAAACTGTAAAAGTCACCGAGAGTTTTCCAAACTGACTCCAAAAAAAGAAGGAGAAACTCTTCCTCTGTTGTTTTATGTAACTCCTCCGCACTCGTCTCTGGGTGGCTGTAAACCCCGACGTTTCACTTGATTTACAGAGAGACAGAAAAAGACAGGGAGCGTCTGCTGCTGCTGCTCTCAGGGTCGCTCACAGAGAGCAAATAAAACCGGAGGAGCGAAAAGTTGTCTGCCCGGCTGAGTTTCAGACTGCACAGTCATTGCAGAGGGATTCTGGGACGGCGGTGACAGCAGGAGGCTTTAAACCTGTCAGAGACCGAGTCACTTTTTATTCAGGCTGCTGTCGCTCCGTACGTTCTCTGCTGCGGGCCGTTCTCATGCTGTCAGTCTACCTTTCACATCAGCTCTGAGGGGATAAATCAATCTTTGATCAGTTTGATTTATTTCACTGAGTTATAAACTTCTGCTGTCTGATAATAGAGCTCTGATGACCTACGGTCTGACGCTCACACGTTTGTCTGATGGTCGAGCTTGTTTTATCGACTTCCCGTCTCCTCGCCGTGACCCTGAACTCGGCTCAGCCGCCTGGACCTGGGATCATAGATTTATCGTTCAGGATCTATATGTTCCTGCCAGTCTGATGGATCGATTAGCTTCGTCTGATCCAGTTTGTGTAAACTTCAGACTCCGATCGTGAGCCGACGGGGTCGGGTCACAGACTCTGACAGTCTTCATTCAGACCCGTCAGATATGAGGTTTGTTCAACCAGGAAAAACAACCTCAAAAAAGTCAAAAACGCAGCAGAGATGAAGGTCAAAACTGGACTGTTCGGACATTATCATCATCCATGTAGTCATGAAAATTCATTAAAGCCAAAAACAATGAGGTCAAAGTTTAAAATTATGAGAGAAGTCACCAAAATCACAAATTAAAAAGTCATAACAACACAAAAAAGTTCATTGTTGTGAGAATGTTTGTGAAATTTGTGAGAAAAACATCAAAATAATGTCATAAAGTCATGATTGAGAGACGTTTGGACATGAGTGTGAGATAAAAATTCAGTGAATTGAACTTAAAAAAATGAGATTTTAAATAGTTAAACTTTTTTCTTTAGATCCTGATATTAAAACTCTTTATCGAAGTTAAAAATTACCACAGATTTTAATTTTTTTGTATTTATCCAGAATCGTCACAGTTCGACTTTCTCAATTAAGCGTTTAAGTCAAAATTATGACTTATTTCACCCAAATGTCACAGATTTTCCTTATTTTTGTAGCTCCTGGTCTGATGAGAAAGGTCTTTTTTCACTTAATTCTCTCTCTTATGACTTTTTATAACATAATTTTTACTTTTTTATCGAAGAACTTGGAACATTATCAACTTCCAACAATCCCATATATTTGACTTCTCTGTATTCCTGACCCTCACCTCTTCACTGAGACTTTTTATCATTTAATTATGACTTTATCTCATTTTTCTTTTATCATAATTATGACTTTTCATCTGACTAGACTGTTCATCACTTACTTTTTCCTTTTGATCTCATTATTTTGACTTTTTAACGAAGATTTTTAGATGATTCTTTCCTCTAAATCAGGTTTTTTTTAAACTCAATCTGATCATTTAATCTAATAATCTGAACTTTTGAGTAAATAAGTTGAAAGTCACGGTGAGTTTGAGAAGAAAAGCTGCTCAGATTTTAAAAAAGTCTATAAATTGAAGCTCAACAGTTCGATCTCGTCCTGCAGTCTCCTTTTCTCTGAGTCACTCCGTCTCTCTTCTCGGCTCGGGTTTATTTGATTTCCCACGGTGCAGAAACGCTGCATGTATATGAGGAAGAGGAGGTTATAGAGTCGTCCTGGATCTCTGCGCCCTCCTCCTCCTCTTCCTCCTCCTCCTCCTCCTCCTCTTCTCTCTGTATTTTAATGATGTGGATTTTGGACTCAGCGGTGGGCGGGACAGAAAGCAGGACATGGACGCGGGAGGCTAATACAAAAGTGTCCTGCTGTGGTTTTTACAGACTGTGGTGTTATTTCTCTGGTTTATATCAGGGCTCTGGTCTCACAGCGAGAAACAAACTCTCACCCAGGATGAAAACTCGTAAAATTAGGGATGCAAGGATTGAAAATTCGTCCTTTTCTTTTTAATATCCGACCCAACAATACCGATTTTATTCCTCTCTTCAAAACAGCAGCTCATAATTTACTGAACGGCTGGTTTTTCAGAGGTCCTTCAGTCTAAACTTCCTTATTAAAGAGGATCTGACCTGAAAAACAGAAACAGACTCTGAGTCACGCAGGAAAGTGTCTGTCACAGATCCCAGCGTCTCTCCGAGCCGATGATCGCTTCGTCGTTACGAGAGCAGAGCAGCTCGCAGACGTGAATCACTGCATCTCAGACAGGTGGACACCTGCGTGGGTGAGACGCCGCTGCTGAAGTTCAGACCCCGGGAGGCTCTCTGAAACCACAGACAGAAATAGCAGCTGAAAGGAATTCTGGGATGTCTGCGTTTGTGGAAGTGTGAGGTTCAAGTGTTCAGGACTAGTGATGAGCACGGCAGTTCTTTAAGATGAACTGAATCAATAGAATCAGTTCACTAAAAAGATTCATTCAGAATATTGGTTCATCGAATCACCGAATCATTCAGCACTCAATCCTTTAGATGAAGAGAAGACGTGATCGCAGTTTGAGGCCAAAGCAAACAAAGAGACGACTCTTCATAAACCTGCTGTTCACGTCTCATCAGAAAGTTTCTGCGGGACAGAAAAGTTCGTCTGCTTGAGTATGTAAAACGTCAACCCTCTTCTTTGAGTCGACAGTTTATAAAAATGGCTGACCTGTCAGTATTCAGGCGCTGATGTCTGACCTCTCCGCTGTCGTCAAACATCAAAATTCAGCCCGGAGACATTTTCAAACTAAAAGTGCTTCTTCTGAGGCTGGATCAGCACCAGGACTTCGCTCCGGAGGACCGACGCTGCTCTGAAGCTGCTCTGTTCTCTGTGATGTAATTAACCAAGGTCACTCTCCCCTCACTAATTACTCTTCTTGGCTCGAACCGCAGCGCTCAGACGAACTGCAAAGGTTTCTGGGGCAGAGAGTGACTTGAACTTCTGCCACGGGACTCCAGAGAGTCACGGAGAGACTGCGTTATTTCCAGAAAGTTCAATGTCACATCAGGAGTTCGAGAGTTTCTCTGAAGGGTGTGTGAAGAGAAGAAAGATCGTGTGTGTGCGTGTGTGTGTGTGTGTGTGTGTGTGTGTGTGTGCGGTGAGGACGGTGTAAAATCTGGGTCAGTGTGTGCGCTCACACTGAGCCAACATTCAGATGTCTGCTCCTGCTGCTGGATTTGTACCTGATTATTTCCCCATCTTGTCGGATATAAAAACCAATAACCATGACGACCTGTTCCTCGGCGCTCGCCATAATGTTCCCTCCCGCAGGTATTCCCCCTGGAGCGTCTCTCCGGCTGCAGAATGAAGCTGTGAAACACTCCAAATCCTCCAGCTGAGAGAGCCCGCTGCTGCTCCTGCTGCATACATGCTGTATTTTGGTTATCAAGCGTTTTTTAGACAAGGTTGCCTAGCAACTGGGACTCTTTGTTGTACATGGCTGTGTCATCACGCCGCAGAAGATGCATAGACACACACACATGTAAAGACACGCTTCCTAACGTGAACAGGCTGAAATTAGACGACCGTTGATGGTGTCGGCGCGCTCATGTGGTTTTGGAGAAGACGCAGAGGGATTCTGTTTGCGTTGGACACTTTGTACTCTTCGGGCCAACTGTTAAAAGTGAAATAAGAGTCAAAAGATCATCCCGTAGCAGCGACGGCGGCGCGGCCGTGTGCATCACGGATGCAAATCTCTGCAGAGACTCAGCAACAGATCAGAAACCCTAAACTTCAAACACGAAGACCGAGGCTGACGAAGTGAAACCACCACAGAGAGGAGCCGCACAGACCCCTCCTGCCTGCCCATGCGGCAGGGTTTCCCTGGCAACGAGTCACATGGTTGCCCTTGGTAACAGGTGCAACTGGTCCAGATGCCAACGGGGAGTCATAGAGGGAGGGGGGGGGCAGGCTGGTGAAGAGCAGCGATGGAGGTTAAAGGACATGAACGAGGATAATAAAGTGCTTTCTATCAACCGCTCAGAGCGCCGAGATTTATCTGAGCGCAGAGAGAACAGGCTGAAAAATAAAAAGATCCTCCGGTAACATGTGGGCGGACACTGAATATCACTCCTCCAACTATTATGAGTTACAATCCAGCAAGAAATCAAACAGAATAAAACCTTTAAATTAATGAGAGTCTGGAGAACGTCAGTGAAAACCACTGATCAGACACTTTAACCAAAGGCTGCCGAGTGTATTTTCACCTGATCGAGTTTAATGATGAGCATTTTTAACATTTCTCTTTTTGCACCAGGGCAGGATCATGAACAAACATTAACGCACAAGCTACACTTTATTAATTATTCATCATTTCTGACATGCCATCGGGAGATAACGATGACTAATATCGAAGAAAGTTCGCCTGCTAATCTTCGTTTGTTCATTTATTTATTGTCCACATGTGGAAATTTGTCTTTAGTCTCATCGTGTACAAAAAAAAAGATCAACAGCAGCAAGAGACACGTAAGAAATACACACAAATCATTCAGCGCCCTGATGGCGTTAGGAATGAATGAGTTTTTGAAGAGGTTACGATTTGCTTTAGGTACTTGATAACGTCTGCCTGAACGAAGTATAACGAACTCACTGTACGGTGGCTGAGAAGGATCATTTACTATCTTAACAGCTTTTTTCCTAATCACCTCCTTGTAGATACAACTGAAGTGTTTCTGTGGCTTCCCTGTGATTTTAGAGGCTAATCTTTACTTGGTGTTCTTAGTGCTGAATCCCTTTCCTGTAGTCTATACTGTCTATACTGTGTTTATATAACCTGTACTCTATAGTGAGACCATGTTTGTAGTTTTGTGTGTAACTATAACAGTTTTCTGGTCATGCTGGTGTTCTTGGATCGTTGCAAAGCATTACTCTGTCTGTAATGCTGCGTTCCAGTTGTACTTGGAAGTCAAAATTTCCGAGCTCTGAGTCGGAAATTCATCTGGAAAGTCGGACGATCTTCACCAACCCCGACTTGACGACAACGTCATAATCCAAGATGGCAGCGCAGTTCAGAGTAACATATTTAGCTCTCGTAATGTTTTATTTATTAGCACTTCTGTTTTGTTTTTGTGAAACTAAATAAGTGGTTTATGTTGTACTGCCCAACGTCTAACTGTGAACACGGTGCTACGGTGTTTGTAAGAGTAAAATACTGTGTTATGCATTTTTTACAACTGGTATAGCTAACAACAACTAACAACAACTAGCAACTAACGACAGCTGACAATTGTAAACAACAGCTGACAACGGCTAACAGTAGGCATCCATTTTGGTTTTCCAACTTGTTAACTGGAACGCCGTCAACTCGGGTGTAACGTCATTATCAGTTCCGACATCTGACTTCCGAGGATAATGGAACGAAGCATTAGCCTTGTCTATGTGAGACTCGCCCTTCGGTAAAATGAGAAGATTTCCGAATTATGTGGGTTCAAAACATACTGCTATGAAAAAATTATAAACTGTATAAAAAGCCGTCAGAATTGTGGAGTTGGACTTTTTAACATGGGGCTCTATAGGAATTGATTCATTTTTGGGCTCAGCCCCTAGTGGCCTTTTTGGGAACTGCAGTTTTTTGCACTTTTACTTCCTTTGTTTGCAGCTGACCTTCCTGTAAATCAAAGTTGCATATCTTCCTCTTTGACACCGATAAAGACAGAAAAAGAACCTTTTTCCTGAACTGTTACACATTTGTAGCTTAGAAACTGTCCTGGCGCATACGGCCATGTTGTTGTCCTTTAGTCGTCTTTACAGGCCCAGCTGAGGAAGAGGACGAAGACGATGGTAAAGATAAGCAGAGGAAACAAAGGGAAGACAGGATAGAGTTTATCTCCTGACAGAAAATGATAAGACAACAAAGAAAAGGCAGAAGCAGAGGGGGTCTGGGGATTTTCGAGGGGGGGAGATGAAGGAAAAGATGTCAGAGGATTGAGACGGGAAGACGAACCGAGGGGGGCTGAGCGGCAGGAATGAAAGGCTGGACTGAGAGAAGAGCAGAAGAAGAAACAGGCTGACAGCTGGTGGCAGGAAGTGAGCAAGCAGTGACACAGGCCGATGAAAGAGCCGAGAGGAAGACTGGGAAACTTAGAATCCTCCGACAGCCTGTATTTACCTTCATTTCCGACTGAAAACAGGGCTTCCTAATTCACCCCGTTTCATTTCTGTATTTATTGACATTATTTAACCTCTTTGTTGTTTTTCTGGTCCTGTTACAATTACAGCTACTCCTGTCTAACAGCTGGTGATCAAATAAGTTGATTTTCAGCCTGTGGACACATCGGTCAGCTGATCCAGTCCTCTACACGCTAAAGTTATGTTTATCGTAATGTTTACCTGTGTGAAATTAACTATTAAAGAACTAAAGCGACATTACAAGTTAAAACCAGCAGAAAGACATGATAGTGAAGTGACATGTTGGTTGTTTGGGGTTCCTTAAAAACCAGTTGTGCTGCTGCAAATGATTCAGGCCTGAAAGTGGATTAAATGTGAGTGCAGGAGCGTCTGCCAGTAAGGAGTTGCTGTGGTCGATGTATTTGATTAAGAAAGCCTGTACCAGGACTTAATCCAGATTTAGTTAGCTTGAGTTTGGCTGATCCAGAAGCTAACAGAAATATTCCGCTAAAAGTCCCCACATTAAACCAGTTCACCTCCAGTTGAACCCCAGTTCCCCTGCTTTCTGCATCATGGGCCTGCAGCTGTAAAAATGTTCATAGTTCGTTTATCTGACCTGTAATTCTCTTGCTAATCCTGAATTCATAAATAAACTCTAGATTTCTTTAAAAGTCTGTTCAACAAGTGAAAACCTGAAACTAGCTTTTCGAGCTTTTCTTTTACAGCCTTTTGAAACGTTCTGATCAATCCTGAAAATCAAAGCGAACATGTAGAAACTCCGGAGGATTAAAGTAAACGTGTTGAACACGTGTGTTTTCAGACAGGAGAGTGATCGACAGTGAAGAAGGAGAGCATGTATGGACGACGGGGTGAGTGTTTGAGGGAAACTAACAGAGACTCAAAAAGGTGAAGCCTCTGATCAATTATTTACAAGACTGAGAGGGCTGGAAATGTCAGCGGGCTCTGCACATGCTCAGAGCACACACTCACACACTCACACTCACACACACACACTGCAGGTCTGTGAAGCTGCACATTAAAGCATCGCTCCTCCGAGTTTAGAGAGGAGCTTTCACTGTGATGTGACAGGCGAGGACTGTGGTCTTCTGCAAGTTTGTGCGTCAGATCAACAAACTCAGGAGTGAAATTATTCCCTTTTCATGTGGAGGAATTAATGATCGGGTCACGGAGAAGTGAAATCCGGAACAACAGGAGGCTGAACGGAAAAACTCTAACAAGAAAAAGTGAAGAAAGTCTGTTTCTACTGAGAGCAGGACTAAGACAAAAGTCTCCACAGGGGGCGCCAGAGAGTCAAACAAAGAGTTACTTATGTTTAGATCCAAATTGAAGCAGATTTGTTCCCAAAAAGTGAAACAAAGTCACAGTTTCAGTGGTGTGCAATGGCGGCAATGGTGGTCGCCATATTGGGAACGCCTTTGTAGATTGCGTTGATGACAGACTGTATGGACAACTTGGTTCCGCCTTCCGCTAGTATACGGATTTGAAGCCAAATAAATTTCTAAAGTTTGTCCACAGCCCCATAACCTCTGCTGGCGGAGGCGGGATTTATGACCTATACTGCATCCTGTCACCAGAGGGTGCTGTTCTCAGAGTGGCTTCACCCAGCGAGGAGGCAGACGGAGTCCATTCTATCTACAGTCTGTGGTTGATGACTGTTTAAAAGTGTGACTTCTGATTGGATAAACCCTATGCTTGCAAAAAGTCAAACATGACCGTACAATCGGACCCATAGCAGCCCGGCTACAACTTACAACTGTGGCCCAAATCCACAGGATCTGTGTTGGCCACGTTCCAACAGCATCCCTATGCAGCAAATACTTTCCCGTTCTACTCAATGCTTCATAGCTCACAGGAAGCGTCACAGCTCCGTCTCTGCTCCGTGCCAGAAGCATCTTAACGCACTGCTTTGCTCTGCTAAAGATATGCACCGAGATATCTAACACGCGTCAATCTCAACAGACAGGAAGTCAAGCACAAGCAGGATACACCGAATCTGGTTAATTTCAAAATAAAACACCACATACGGACTCCTTACTGTTTATCAGATCGTGTGGTTAAGAAATACTTCCTTTCGACTTTACTCTTCCTGTTTTTGATGTTTTATGTATTTACATAGATCTCACGCTTTACTTTGACATTGGTCTGGCACAGTTTTTGTTTATGTCCTGCTGAGTTGAATCATAGGCAATAAAGTTAGAAATAAAAACTCTGTATCGTGTGAACTTATAAAAAGATAAGCCATACAGACAAAAACTGTTCTTGTAGCAGGTTTTAAACTTGTTTAATTTCACTTCAAAGATGACTGTTTTAACATGGGTGTTAATGGGGATTCCTTGACTTTTGGAGCCAGCCCCTAGTGGACACTTGAGAAACTGCAGATGATTCTACTTTAGCTTCATTTATCAACACTGTGCTCTATGGTTGAACTCGTTCAGTATCTTTGATGTGGAGGCAGCTGAATATCATATTCACCGTGACCAATTAACCAATCAGAGATCAGCATCATGATGATGCGTTTCCTCATTCTTTACCCTCTCTCTGTGCGTTGTAATTTCATTCATCCGCCCCAGCAGATCCTAACAGAATAAAACAAACAGAAGATAAACGCACGACTTTGTTAAAACAACATCTTTCACCGGAGGTCTTCTTCACGGCGGCGGCGAGGTCTTCCTCTGTCTGAGCGCTCGGCCCATCTGTTCTGCAGATTCCATTATGAGAGTAAGAAAAAGGCTTCTGCACGTCCCAGAGCCCAAATGTTTTCCAGATCTAATTATCCCTTCAACGATCCCTTAAAGGCAACCGAGCACAGGAGTCCACGGCCTCGTCTCCTCCTCAGCTCCTCATCCATCACGGAGGAGACGGCCGCCATCGTCAGCGGACGTCAGGAGGAAGAAGAGGAGGATGAAGAGGAGCAGATAAACACAACAGAGAGGGAGTTTCTCCTCATTTTCTTGTTGCTTTTTTCATCTGACAGGTTGTGCTCTGTCTCATGTCTGCATTAAGAGTCTTTATTGGACAGACGGTTTAGTGTTAAATTCACAAAATCTATAAAAGAAAAAGAAGAGCAGGTTAAAGCATCTGTGAGCTTTTGATAACAGTCAGTTCCTGGTTCCCTGACAGAGAATTAAGGTCCTGACACACCGAGAACGATGCAACTTTAGAAAAATCGACCGTGATACGAAAAAATAAATGCCGCAATATCGCAGGACGGGAAAACGTCGCTGATGTGAACGCTTGTATTGACAGGATACAGGTTCGAAAAAAATATTGACGTTCAAAATAATCGCACGAAAAAAGCGGTCCCTTGATAAAGGACCTTTAAGAGCACTAGAATAACTTTTAAGTAGGACATCTTCTGCGATATTTTTCTAGTCAGACTTTTAGACTTTTCCACAGAAAATCAAAAATATTAATACGATTGAATCTCAGCAGCTGAGTATTGTTTTCAAATCGAATCAGGAGAGAAAGGTCAAAACACAGAGTGAGCCAAACCCACGGTTCGCTGTGAGAAGTCACTGTCCTCTCAAACAGGAGCTGCTGCTGCTGCCCTTTATAAACATTTGGAAAATCCAACTTGTCAAGTCAGCAGTCTCTCTGAATCCCTCTGCCATCGCCCCCCCGCTGTGTCCTCTCCCGCCCTTCAAACACCGCCGTGGCCCAGCATCTCTGCCCGAGATTTGGCTTCAATTTATGTTAAACATACCAGAGACACACCCTCCGTGACTTCTCTGATCACCTTTCCATGCTAACAGGACCCTCCTGTTGTGTTTTCACCTCAGTCCTACAGCTCACCTTGACCCCACGCTCCGAGGTAAAACCAGGCCGGTCTGTGAACACATCCTCACCTCAGGGGGAAACGACGCTATCTCTTCAATGTGAGAAAAATCTCGATCATTCAGTAGAAATATTCATCTGAAAGTTTAGACCTGTAAGTAACCAGGCCGACCGATGATAGTAAGCGAGCTACTGAGAGTCTCCTCACTCTGATGAGTCATTTTATGAAAACTAATGATCATCAATCAGCCAATGGAAAAGGTCACGTCAGCCTTTTGGTTCCCTTAAAGCTCCTTAATATGTTCTTAATGAAAAGATCAGTTTGGAATTTATTACCTGGACTCACGTTACTGGATGAGAAAAGAGGGATTTAGAGTCAGAACAACTCTACTGCCTGTTCAGATTCACGGGTTTCTTCCAGTAAAGCTTCTACTTTCATACCGTGGGAGTGTGGGATCAATCAGGGTAAAATCTGGGAATATTTCAGGAAAAATACAGAGTGGAAGAACACGCTAATTTCAACATTTTTTAGAAATAATTCAAAGTCCTTTTCAGAGGGGCACAATGTTCTCCAATAGACCTTTTTCACAGTACGAGGAAGTTAGCATTCTGCTCACTTCTAGTGTTAGCGTGTGGTGGAGCCACTTAGCATCGCCCATAGACGGCCATTCATTTTTCTTTTTTTTTTTTAACGATATTAACAAGCTCACGACTCGTTTTTTTTTTAAAGGTAAAGTAAAATTTTATGCTTTGTGCTGTTTTACTAACTCCTGTTCTTCATAATACTGTCCGGATTTTGTACTTTACTTTTCGGGAATTATGTTGAATAGGTCATTACCGAAGAGCAATGGTTACCATCATCAGAAAATTTACAGACCTATTAAACATAATAGGTCGATATTATGACATCGTGATGCTCAGAAAGAGTAAAATATGGACAAGTATTAAAAAAATGAGCCATAACTCACAACTGTTCACCATCTTTTGCACCATACCTGTATTTGCAGTATATCTCTCCTGACGTTGGTGTTTCATTATTGGAATTATTATTTCATTATTGCTTTGTGACAGTGACTTTGGGATTTTTTGGTGCAGACTTACTTTCGAAGGCTTTTGATTTCAGTACTTTGCCTTGATATGACATGATTGTGTCAGCTCAGCTAATATTATCTGTACAGAATTTCACTTTGGTTTGCAAACCAAACAGCCGTCAGTATAATCCCTTAGCAAGCCGAGCACCAGCTGCAAATCAGTCCAAAAGTGGATTTCTTGTGTCATGAAATTATTTGACGAACTGGAGATTTCATATCTGACTTTCATACCCGGTTCCACACAAAGTCCTGATACAGCCCTCTGCTGACTTTCAGCTCTCTCTGAAGCTGGAGAGAGATACATCAAAACCTTCTGCAAACACATACAGCTCCAGCCTATCTCCTCTCTGCCAAAACAGACAGTCTCCAAAAAGGGGGAGAGGAAGAAGCGAACCCTGTGGCACAGCCAATCACCCGAGGCTTAATCGTCAGCATTCAAGGAGCAGGAAGCTTTCCGGGGAGGGCGTCGTGTCTCAGGACGAGCCTCCAAGGAATCGGAAACGATGCTCCATTACGGCCCAGTGAGAGCTGAGGGGGCAGAGAGAGGCTGATGGGGGGTAGAAAAGGTAGAACAAATGGTTCCTGGTGCAAAATAAAGCATGAATAAATGATGAGAGCTTGGTTCACACTGGAGCTAAGTGCTCTGTCAGCTGCAGGGAGGGTTAGCCTGAGAGGAGGATCGCAATTTGATGCTTCAGCCACACACTCGCTGTGATTCTGCTGTGAAATCATTGTTTGTGTGAAAATAAAAAACCTGCAAAAGCCAAACTCAATGTAAAAAAACCCCAAATAACAACAACACACACGAACACAGCACTGCTGTCACGGAGCAGAGAAGTGGAAATAATGACGACTGTTTCCAGTGGAGAAGAAATAACCGAGATAATTTCTGAATGACATCAAAAGAAAATGAAAATAGTAAAATGTTCGTCTGGAAATAGTCTAAGAAAGAGGTTGCAGCGTGTGCAGGCTGAAGGAGTCCCCTCTGAATCCTGTGAAGTAGAAAATGGCGTGCCACAAGGCTTTGTCTTGGTCTCACTGTTATTTGCAATCTATCAATGATATTGGTCACAATGTTTCTTATGCAGAGCGACATTCATATGCAGATGACACTCTTATTTACAGCTCTGCCCCAACACAGTCTCAGGCTCTGGGTTACCTACAAGATCATAATAATGCATACCTACATCATCATGGTAAATTTTAATAATGAAGTTATTCTCAATGTGGATTAAAATGAGAATAATGAGAAAGGTGAGGAGGCAAAGGTGGAGCTTCAGGATGGTGTCTGTTCTCAGGATGTTCTCGTTGAGCCCTTCAAAAGTGGACCAATCTGAGCCGAGCTGGTGTGTTGGAGCGTCCTCATCACTGATGGTCTCACTTTAAACAAATATGAAAATAACAAAAACTAGGGCTGGGCAATAAACCGTAAATTTTCTGATACCGAAATTTACTGACGTCGTTTTGCCCGTATCAGTATATTTGGTGTGAAAAAATAAATAAATCAAAGTTGGTTTTGGATGTGTGTAGGTAGGCTATGGTCTCATGTCCCTTTAAGACGCTGTCCTACATCAGAGATGTGACTCCACCCCATCCAGTCTGTAACAAAGAGGTAAAGACAGGTGAGGAGATGGAGGACGGTTCAAAAGTTGTAGCGGCTGAAGTAGAAGAAGTTAATGTGGGAGGGGGTGAGCAGCTTGTAGAGTAGTTATCGTCCATTTATCGTTATCGAGGTGAACTGATCAATATATCATGATATTGATTTGAGGCCATATCACCCAGCCCAAACAAAAACTACCCATGGAGTGCAGAGAATAGGAGAATTGTAGATGATTTGGGGGGTACATCTTGTAATATCTGAGTGTGATAATGAAGCTTGATGTTCCTTTACAGGTTTTGCATGATATTATTGAACTGAAAGGACATCGCAGTAGACTGTAGTCTCTGTTTACAATGACATTATTTAGAGGACATGTCCAGATGAAACCTGCTTCATCTCCTGCTTGTGTTATTAAAGCATGTGGAGACATAGATCATGCATTATATCCGGTTTTGCATGGACCAGTTTCTGCAGAGCATGAAAATAACAGATTAATTTCAACCTCAGTGATTATTTAAGTTTGATCCACCTGGAGAAAGTGCTGCAACCCTTTGGCATTACAGTAACAATGACAGCATACAAGTTTTTAAAGTTTAACACAAACAAATATGTCATCGTGTCTTCTGATGCAGAGTTTCTTTTAAGCCTCATCTGCGCCTCTCTTACATAAAGGTCTGTAAATCAGACGAAAAATTCAAACTACAAGAACATCTGCAGCCATTAAAGCGTTCTGCTTTCTGGGGTCTGAGTGCACTTTGAAATGTAGACCGAGGTGGCAGGTGAACGTTGAAATAAAAATGTCTTAATGCAGCATTAGAGAAAGGATTATCCGTCCAATCAGCCTCATCTACCACAAACAGGAGAGAAAGAGGTGATAATTTTCGCCTGGAGGTCTGCAGAGGAAGCTTTTAGAGCGAGTCTGGGAGCCACAGCCTGGTTAAATACCGTCTGGTTCAAACCGCAGGCTGTCACTTTCCAAAATGGATCCCAGGGAGGGGGAAGGCAGAGTGTAAACAGCACACAAACACACGAGAGGAAGCTGCTGTCTAACGCGCTGGAGGAAGTGGTGTGTGTGTTCACATGAGTGTGAGTTTAGGAGTAATGATTGAGAAGAGCCTGGAGGTGTGTGTGTGTGTGTGTGTGTGTGTGTGTGTGTGTGTGTGTGTGTGTGTGTGTGTGCGTGTGTATGCATCATATGGTGGTAATGGTGGGTAATGTCTTTTGTGTGGTGAGCTAGCAGCTAATGGAGCTTTGTTACAGCTGCAGTCTGTGCATTTAAAGGTGCATTTCGTGATTTTATAAACAGATTTTCGCGTTTTAAAAACAAGTCTGTCGCCTTAACGGACATCCAGAAGTAAAGATGGAGGTGGTAATCAACAGATGATCCTGCAGCGAGTCTTAAACGCTCATTAATTCCTGCACCACTGAGCAACTTCGGCAAGTTTAAGCACCTTTGTTGCCATCTGTGGATGAGGAGAATTAGCGGAGCGGTGTCTGTGATGGAGGGTGGAGCAGACACACACACACACACACACACACACCAGGCAGGCTGGAGCACGACTACAGCTGCAAACAAACTAATTCTGGTTTTTACAATAAAGTCAATGCTAAAGTGTGAAAAACTGCAGTTCTTCAAGTGTCCACTTGGGGCTGGGTCCAAAGGCACTGGAATCCACATACACATCCATTCAAAAATCCTATCTATAGAGCGAAATGTTTACAGTTGTAAGAAACTCAGCCTGACTAAATGTTAGGTCAACATTTCCAACATGGTGGGGCTTCAAAACTTCAAAACTCTGCTGAGGGGTTCAGGTCAGAGAAGGTTAAAATCAGTTAAATTACAAGACAGAGCTGACCTCATCGGCAGCGATTGATGGTCTATAACCTCTGTGCATGTTCGCTAACCAGTTTCTCAACAAGGGAGCCAGGCTGACTGGGGTCTCCTGTTGGTAATACATTTACCATTGACAAGCACCTCATACAGCCACACTTCACACATGTCAAAGTATCCCTTTAAAGGTTTCGGGGAACTTCCATGAGGATTTACGGCAAAGCACGACTCCTGCTATGTGCACAAACACACAAATCGCACAGCAAGAAAAAGCAGCTGCTCCGGCTAATTAAGAGTGACTTCATTGTGAAGGCAAACTGTGTCAAAACCTCATCCAGGACACCATCTCCCCTCCTCTCTCTCTCTCTCTCTCTCTCTCTCTCTCTCTCTCTCTCTCTCACACACACACACACACACACACACACACACACACACACACACACAGGCTCCATGTGGCTGCAGTCAATCTTGCTCTGGAAGATGCTAATGTGGTTAGCATGGAACAGCTCAGCCAAACCAACAGCTCGCTAATGGCTCTAAATCTGCGCTGTAATTGGTGCGAGCTCTGCGATTGGTCCAGACGGTTGTACATCATCATCGGCTGATGAAATGAAAACTCTGAGCTGAACCTGAGGAGACAGAAGGCAGTCCTGACCCAGATGAAAACCAGAGCCACAGGAGATAAGGCTTTAAAGAGGTATCGAGTTAGCTTATTTTATTTTCGTTACATCATAGACAATATTTAGGATTTTAAAAAACAGCAATGCATGCCTGAAGTAGAGCCTGCTGTATCCTCAACCTGTTATATCCTGCAGCCACAGGTGGAGAGAGGAACGCAGTCAGGGCCTCCTCAGAGGTGGAGTCGTTTGTTTACTTCACTAATGTCTCTGATTTAACCTGATCAATGGCGATTTGTCAGAGTGTGAACGTGCTGCACACGGCTCTGAGAGAAGACTCCGCTCCCCGGGCTAAATCTGTCCACCAACCACACACGGAGCCGCTCGCAGATCTGCCGCTCCGCATGACTCGCTGGTTCAAATCCACTAAGGCTCTGACTCATCCCTCAGTGTGTTACGGGAGCTGAGGGGGGTGGGGGTGGAGGACAGGATTGGTAATTGTCAGTTTGTTCAAAATAGCTTGTTTCCATCGTAGCAGGGGAGCGATTTTCAGTCTCTCCACACCTGTTTACAACCAGACAGTAAATGGATGTCTTTGGCTGTTGGGGGAAACATCCTTTTGGCTCCTGGTAGTCACAGGCGTAAAATATTGTTTATGGTGGCCCTAGGAAGTTTGTCATACTGAGATAGTGAGCGATGGTTGGACTAGGACACATCAGATCCCCCCTGAGATGATGATTGCACTAGTCTAGGTTAAGGATTCTGGGACTATATGGGGAGCTGAGAGAGTCAGGGTGGTGGAGTGGGGAGTAGGGATGGAGGGATCTCGGTGACGCTGCAGCCTCCTTGTGGAGAGGAGGCCGCAGACAGAGGGAAGCCCGTGGGTGACATCATCTGAGATCAGAGACCCCCCAAGGAGAGAAAAATCCACCGTGCCTAACCTTACAGAGCATGCAAACCAAATTAGGCCGCCTCCGCTGCAGGCTGTTGAATCAGTCAAGAACCTTTCACAACTTCACATACAGAAACCTTGTTACAGTTTTCAGTATATTTGGATGGTAAAGTTGGTGCTACACCAGAGCCAGGGCCAATCTGAGGACCTAAACAATCCAGTTGGTAGAAATGAGTTTGGTGTGTCCCAAAGAAAATGCACAGTGGCAGATTTAAAGGATTAAATGTCTGAGGTGGGAGCCAAAGTCTGTAGAGTGATTTCGCATCAGTTCTGTAGCCCTCCTACAGGAAAAATAAGTTTCTGTGAGGACTTTTGAGTCAGCTCCTGTAGTGGTGGAACAAATAGCACAAGCATGCATGCAAACCATTCCCACTACCAGCGATTCCACCTCCATCCACACAATTGTGGCTACCCAACTGACATGGCCGACAACATACAGTAACCCCCAATGTCCACTGCATCCGGAACGGCTTCGAAAAGGCCATATCCGCCAATTGTAGCCATTCAAATCAATTTACCAATTTCCACCGGTTTCATTCCGTTCTGCTGCGGATTGTCGGACTCTTATCGCAAGAGTTCTATTTTTTTCCGGACGCCGGAGCATGTTGGATAAATTCAGTACAGATTAACCTGTGCTGGCAGGGAAGTTGGGCACAGACACAAAATAAATTACCTCCGTCCGTAATCCGCCACCAAAATTCGTCTCACAAACGGATCCATGAAAAATTGGCTTACGGCAAAAATCGCTGCCGTTCTGGATTGGAGCCGTTCCAGATGCGGTGTGTCATACAAGTCCAGGTTCTCCTGGGGCACTCGCCATGTTTGTCACAGTGTTTTTCCGCCTCTACATTTGTTTGCACCTTCTCCTCAGGTATTATTCAAACAGCCAATCAGCACAGCTCCTCATCATCGCCCGCTCAGATCACTGCATGGATAATGAGGCTAGAACTCGGGGCTGCGGATCCTCCACTGAGGCTGAATTTGTGATGTTTTTAGGACAAGTAGGACATGTTGTAAACAGCTGAAAATAACATCGTATGGGACTTTTGATCAAGATCCCAGTCCTGATCAATTCAAGCTCATGACCTGCATTCACTAGGACTTCCTCATTCATGGGAAATACTTGCAATCCCCAATCCTCATCACGAGTCAGGGCCGCCCTACATGTGTGCTGGGCTTTTTTGTTTGTTTGTGTTGATGTTGTTTTTGTCATTTAGACGGACCGACAAACATCAGTTTACATGTCAGAGGGGTTATTTTCACCATCGTGTTACAGGAAGTAGAACAGAGAGAGTGGAGGACTGAGGCAGTCAGTGAAAATCACTGACACGGCAGATTCAGCTGGGACTGAAATTACAGACAGTAATGATCCCCTTACCCAGACTCACCCCTAACTCCACCCACCCCCTACCACGGCTCTGATTTCTGCTGCAGGGCGCTAACTCCCCCAAACGCCTCCTTGCTGACAGGCTTAGAGCATGTTTAACACACACACACACACACATGCACACACACACGCACAGGATCTGAGACCTGGCTGAGGTTTGGTGTTGAGCACCAGCAGAGTGGAGAAAGGGATTGTGGGATTGGAGAGAGGGGTTTCCCCTTACAAAAGCCCGATCTCTTTTCTCCTCCTGGTAAGATCATCCTCCTCAGGGTCCGACTGCTCCACCTGCATCCATCGATCCCTGTCTGTGTGTGTGTGTGTGTGTGTGTGTGTGTGTGTGTGTGTGTGTCCTAGATATCACATTAACCCAGCAGCAGTTGCAGCGATGACAGAAAAATGTGTCTGTCTGAGAACTACTACTGACATTTAATACTACTACTACAGTTTTATGACTGCAGCTACTTTAAATACTGCCAGTGCAGGGACATTACTTCATGCAACAGTGTGCAAAATAGACGCTTGGTTACATCAGGCCTCTTCTTTATGTCACTGCTACAGTAAAAGCTCATTTAGACTCTTAAGTCTGACATGCATATGAACACAGACACAGCCCTCTGCTGATCCTCTCTGTCCCTCTGTCTGTATTTCTGCACAACTTCAGGACGTTCATGGATACGAGCCAAACAACCAGACAACACACAACAAAGAAGAATATCTGAACTTTTTAAGGGGAAGTTTGTGCAAATCGGTCAGAAACTAAAGATGCATTACCAACCCAAATTGGACTAATGTCAGATTGCTGTGATGGAAGAAAAGATCTGATGGTTTTGAACAATTTATCAGATCTTCAGACGTTAAAACTGAAACGTTTTTGTGTTTTATTTAAAGTATTTAAAATGTTAAAACAAAACCATATTAAAACTCTGTTGCATCACCTCAACATTTCAAAAATTTAAGAAACCAGAGAGACAAGTTTCTGAAGTTTTACTGGCTTTGAACAGCGTGGTCCCTCTCTTTTTTGAGAGGCGGTTTCCATGGTTTCCACAAAGAACGTAAATAGTTGATTCAGCAGATCCCAGGATGGTTCGACATCTTTGCACAGTTCAGTTTGAAACAGTATTTATGGATGCAGTGATGAGACTAATGTGACTTCCACTGCAGAGTCCTGTGTGCTCTCTGAGGGCCTGAAGATCATGGTGATCCAGTATTGTTTCTCTCCTTGTCCTTTTTTGATCAGCGATTTCTCCAGTTCTCTCTCTATATCCTTGTTTGTGCTGTAGATGATCAAACAACTTTTTCAGAGTTCTGTTTGGAGATCTACTGCTGGCCTCAAAATTAAACTCAGCATGTGTTCAAGCTTGTAATGAGCAGGATCAAGTTTGTGTGAGACTCTTTCCAGAGGAAGCAATGTTTACCACCATCCCGACACAAGAGAATATGTGGGTATGTGACTGTTACACTGATTAAGTTCAACAGAAATGAGCCTTTACTTGTTAATTGAATGATCTAAACATAAAATCTGATAGTTTAAAAGCTCCAGATAAAATTGCAGTCCTGCTATCTGCAGTCGTAGTTTGGTTTTCCCTGCATGTGCCCGTCTGCTCTTCCTCCTGCATGTTCCTGAACACAATCACTTCACTCTCACTGATAGCATTAACATGATTTATGGAGCTGTGTGTTCGCACTGGACTCAGGCCAACGCCGAGGGTCACAGCCCACAAAGAACAACATCCATCCCTGATCGTCTGTTGTTAATTACCAAACGCCTTAAAAGTCTGAGCAGAAGTCAAACCCGGCGAGGATCGTAACAATTAAACGATGAGTAATGTGTGGTAAGCGACGGAGACGGTAAGACTGTGATTCTGTTTCCCGGCATCAGAGACGTGTACGTCATTCACCTCAGAGACAAACAGGTGAAGAAACGCTCATTAAGCAGCTGCTAAACTGGAGCTGAGGGACGTGGTCACAATTCTGATCAGGGCTGGGATCCTGCGCAAACATAATCTCTAATCATAAGGGAACAACTACCTCCATAAAGGGGCACAGTTTGCATGTCAGCTGGGGGATATCAGATGAGCATAAACCCCATTTTCATCAGGGTTATCTGACTTCAATCCTCCAGGAAAATACACAATATCAACATCCAAACTCTGTTCCTGCATTACAGTCAGGGAGCAGGAAGAGGTAGAGCATACAGCTGAAACAGGTGGAGGTGAACCCCAGTCCAAACAGGCGTCTCCCTAACACCCGTCTACAGCCTTTTCTTTCCATCCTCTCTGAACAGGTAGATCAAGCTCACCCGGCTTTACCTTCCTTGTCCTCTTCCTAACGTCTCTTAACGAGCTCTTCCCTCTGTGGTTTCTCTTTTATATTCTGTTCTCATGTGTGGATATGGTGGGAGGTGAGAGCTAGCATGAAGGGGGTGGTTACAGGATACCAGGCCAGCTGCTGAACCTCCCTAAGGTGTCCTAACTAACTGAGTCAACAAGGTAACATCACAGTGAGCCTTGTTGCTACCCGATCTGTCCCGGAAACCCGATTTGTACTGCCCGTGTGCAAAACGTACGTCACTTCCTCTCTCGGCATTTCAATGTATTTTACAGCAGTGAGTCGCTACCTACCTGATCCGTTCTGCGCAAGGGCAAATTTACTTCACCATAAAAACTCAATTCAAACTACAGATTGATTCAGAAACTAGCTGGCGATGTGATACGCTAGCTAGCAGGTGGCTCCAGAGCCAATACCGAGGCCTTCGCCAGAGCTCCTGCCCAGCACAGTGAGACCTTTTGGGCCACAGAGAGCGCCACTACCCGGTCAAATTCATGGTTCTCTGACTTTTCAAACACATTCATTAGAGTCTTTTATAACTATGTTGCCATTTTACAATTTCACTGTAGGAACCTTCAATCGTAAAACTGGGCACCATTCTCTTGACTTTCCGGCGGTGATAAACTGAAGCATCCGTTCTGACTATAGCGAGCTCACTGACGCTGAGGCTGCCGAACAAGTGTTGAAGCTGTCGCAAAGATGGCTAGTAGAGGAAGTGACGTACATTTCACACATGCGTAGTACAAATCGGGTTTCTGGGACTGATCCGATGGCGACAAACCTAAAACCAGATGGGTGTAATCAATGACACTTCAAGGCATTTGGAACTTTGGCATTCCAGAACCTTCCTATAAAAAAAAATAAAGCCTCGTCCCATTGAGAAACAGTTGGGTGACATCACCGGCACTTCAAGGCATTTTAGAACTCCGGCATTCCGGAACCTTCCTCTTTCTAACATCTCTTAACAAGCTCCTCCCTCTGTGGTTTCTCTTTTATATTCTGTTCTGATGTGTGGATATGGTGGGAGGTGAGAGCTAGCATGAAGGGGATGGTTACAGGACGCCAGGCCAGCTGCTGAACCTCCCTAAGGTGTCCGAACTTTGCAAATCAAAGTGATTAGCATGGATGAGTGTCGGTCTATCCTGTCTGTATCCTCATATTTGAGCTGAGGGGGACATAAGCGGACATTGTCTTCATCCACCTTAGCTATGTTGCTTTCTGCACAGCTAATATAGCAGCTGCTGCAACTTCACAATGAGGAGGAGTGAGAAATTCCCTGTTCGAGCTCACTGACATTTTCCCGAAGATTACAGCATTAAACCGCACAACCTGAGGTGATGAAACCCGGATTCACAGCTCTTAAAGAGGGGCGTTGGAGATTAGAGGCACTGGGTATCATGAAGCTCAGGATTGGAGTTATAGCCGTTGATGGTGATAAAAAAAAAGGCATCGTTCTCACTCAGGATCCTTCTTGTGATGTTGTCAGACACCTTGAATAACAATCAGAGCCTCTCAGGGATAATGATAACACTTCAAGCAAGCTTGAAACCGTGGCTCCGGGTTAAGAAGTCCAGGGATCTTCTTTATCACCCTTCGCCTCCCTCTGAATCACACCTGAAGGCTGCATTATGACACTCAGGAACTGCTGCTCCGCCATCATGAGAGGCATTTTTCTGCAGGGGTAAGTGCTTTTTGACAGCTGGTCATATACTGTCCACTCATCAGGACCGTCTAAAGGCTCTAAAGATGGTCCCCGAGGAGCAGAGGGACGCATAAACCTACCTAATCACCTTTATCGATTTAGCAATAAAATACGACTAATCAAACTCGATTTCATTTCAGATATATTCAGTTTCAACAAAAAGACGGCTGTGATCGAGGTTTCTTTGACATTTTTTAATTAAAAGGATGCAAATGTAAAAGAAAAGCTTGTTTTTTGTGGCCGCATGAGGGTTTGGCGGCAGGATTGAACCTCCGAGCACCTCGGCTCAGAGCCAGAGTCAGTGGGAGAGATTCCTGAATGAACATGCAGGCTCTGCTCTCTGACACTAACAGGAAAAACAAGAGTCACACCTGACTTATCATTCTCCGAACTTCATCGGTTTCTCTCTGAGTAGATTATCTGCACACAACGTTCTAGTCTGCAGGCTACAGTGGCATCAAGCTGATTATATATGCAAAGCAGTCTGAGAGACACACTCCTTTGCGGTCCACAGCTTTCCTCATGTTGTTACAACCGTCTCTTAAAATGACATGCACTTTAGTCTTCTGAGTCACTGCTGCGTGTTTCTTTAAAGTTTGTAGCTTGTAACTCGTGTCCAACATGACAACAGCAAACATCAGAGCTCAGTGCACATTAAACTCTGCTGATAAATGTTCATGAGTTCAGAGTCTGTAAGCAGTGAGAGCAGCTTTGCAGAAACACTCAGGGTCTGATTCACAAAGAAATGATTCGGCTTTTACGCCCACGACACCTGTGCAGAGGAGACAAAAGACAGTGACATATGCATCATTTCTGTCATGACTGTACTTCATAATAAAGTGGTTAGGACTGCACCAAAATTCAGCTTGTTATTTGTATGTTAACACAATAGAGCTCTGTCAGGATGAGAGTGCCCAGCACACCGCAGCGCAGCAGAGAGTGAAGATGCTAAAGGTCTGTTTTAATCGTCAGATCCAAATAACAGCAAACTTCTGCTTGTTTTTGTACTTGTGGACTATTAACCCCCAATTTCCACCGTACCCCGAACAGCTACAAAAAGGCAAATTGGCGAATTCCTACTCAAATGCACGTTTTAGTTTCGTTTACGATTTTTTGGACTTGGCAGTTGTAACGTCCTTTTCCCCTTGACAAGCCTGAACACAAAATTTGTGAATTGGACCTTTAGATGAAGCAAAACGAGTCACATTTTTGATCCTATTAGCAGCTCAATCTAGTCGTAGTTGATACTTTTGTTTGAAATCATTTTAAGTCACAAAGTTTCCAAGTCAGGCAACTTAAGAAAAACTGGAAGCTGATAAACTGGGTTTGGTCCAGATTGATGCCTTATCCCTGCTGTAAATAATGAAAAATAGGCTCTTAAAGTCGATCCAAATATCACACCCAAATCATTTTGGAGACTCGGCAGAAATTGGTTAATTGAGCTCAGATCTCACATTTCTCCATCTCTGCACTGACTGGTTCTCCCACTGGAGCATCATTTGTTGAACATTAACGTCGTTACGCTAAATGACCACACGACCACAGAGTCCATTAACAACCCCGAGCTGAACCCACCCCCAGTTAACATCAACACGGTGTTACGGTCGAAATCTCCAGAGAGGATGGTGCAAATGAAATTGTTTGGATCTTATTCCAAACAGAAACTCTCGGTTTATCTCCAATTAATCTGCCTCATGTCCCGCTTCTTACTATAATACACGTGTGGAGTGATTGAACCTTCATCAGTGACATCCACAGTCACGCTGAGGCGGCGTCGACTGAATGAAAAGACTCCAGAGTCTTATTCAAGCAGATCCTTCAGGAAACAAAAGACGCCGCAGTCTGAGGGCTTCACTCGATCAAAACTCAATAAACTAAAAGAGTGTTTTTGTTGTCGAGTGGAAACGATGAGTCCACAGAAATCTCCGTTTGCAGGAACACAGCTTTCTCTGCACTTTTTTGGCATCAAGGATCAAAGAGTCAGCTCCTGAACAACAAGCTGAGACATGAAACTGTCAAAAGTGCTCGACGGATAGACTGACGGACAGTTTTTAAGTCTAAAAAGTGGATAAAAATCTCATTTCAAATCTCTAAACTGCAATCATGTTGTTCGTCCCTGAAGCAGAGGAGATTAGAGCTTCAGAAAATAAAATTGATTCATTTTCAGTCGTCTGCTTTAAAGATCAATTACCTCCTCACGCTCAGATGATCTGCAGTTTTCTCTGCCGTCGTGCTCACCGCGACCAAAATGACTCTCGCCCTGTGAAATCTGCAGCTGAATGCTATTTAGAGTGACTAATTGCTAATGAGTGCTCACTGCCTCTAATGAGCTGCACACAGCGCCTCCGGTCTCTAACGCTGCTGTGTCTGTTTTATACTGCTATACTCTGTTTGATCAGGTCACTTTAACCCTGAGCGTCGACTTCCATCAGAGTATAAAACTTTTATAAAGTTCTGTGTCAAGATATTAAAGTCTGCCGTCGTCAATCAAAGAGAGTCATGGATGAGGAAACCATGTGGAGGTGACTTCCCTGGACCTGAGGAAACTGGGGAGGACTGGGACATTGTACCAAGGTCAGTTAAATCCAACTTTGACATTCTTTTGGAAACCATGGATGATGCTTCTTCTGCTAGAATAGAGATGCTAGCTTGTTAGCACGGTTCAAAAACAAGCATCCCTGATGGTACGGTGTGGATGTATGCTCCATCTCAGAAGGCTGCATCAATGCTGAGCAATATATACAGGTTTTTAAGCAACATATGTCCATCTATTGCTGCGTTCGAGTTACCTCAGAGGTTAGATGTCAGAGCTGAAAATGACGTCACATCCGAGTTCCCGGTGTTTTAGTTACCAAGTCGGAAAAAGCAAAATCGGAGGCTTGAAACAAGATGGCTACATCTAATACAGTTATTTTAGCGCTTTCCTTATATTCGGACAAGGCAATTAATAATAATAATAGATTTTATTTGTAACTTCACTTTACATTTGAAAACAAATCTCAAAGTGCACAGGCAACAATAACAAATAAAAAGCAACAATAACAGTAAAATCAAGCAACAGGACAAAACAATAAAAACAGTCAGCAGATAAAATCAGTCCAGAGAAGCTTTCAGAAAAAGGAAGGTTTTAAGTCCTTTTTTAAAAGCATCCACCGACTGTGGAGCCCTGAGGTGATCGGGGAGGGCGTTCCACAGACGGGGAGCAGCAGCCTCGAAGGCCCTGTCGCCCGTGGTCTTGAGCCGAGTCCTGGGAGGGCGCAGACGGTGCAGTTGGCCTGACCCGGTTCTGACTGAGGTATGTGGGGTGAGGAGTTCGGTGAGGTAGGTGGGTAGGTAGGCAAGAGCTAAAATAGCTTTCGTAGATGTAGCCATCTTGTTTCCACCTCCGATTTCGCTTTTTTCTGACTTGTAACTGAAACGCCGGGAACTTGGGTGTGACATAATTTTCAGCTCGGACTTCTAAATTCCGAGGTAATTCGAACGCAGCATGAGACAATTCTGCAGGTATTGCACCACCGTGGTCACCTGGCTGCCCTCCTGCCTTACCGCCAAAACCATGACAAAGGGGACCTGAACTATTGCGCTGCTGAAATCCTTCACCAGGCTAAAACAAGAACTGGTCTCCCTGTTTTCTGTCTGTTTACAGAGTCGTAACAAAAGAAGTACTGATGCAATACGGCAGTAAACATGTCCTTGGCCTTGTTCTTTCTCTTATACAAGCTACAGCATACAGTTGTCATTAAACTAGTGGATTCACAGCTTCAACATATAGGCTTTGAGTGGCTTTGCAAACCATCAAATTCTGTTTTAATCAACATTCTGCAGCATCTTAAATTGTCAGGATTAGGGGCTTGAGTACATTTAACCAAATTTCTAAAAGGCAGGCACCACACGCCACCAGAGCGTCAAACTGTTATTGTTTTCAGAGCGGAGAAGAAACCAACAATTACACCTGCTGAGTCAACGTGGAGGCAGCAAACGAAGACAATAATTACAAATATGTGGGCCTGTTAAGTAACCATGGGCATGCACAGCAAAAAATGGATAGCCAGGACATTCCTCCTCTTTACAAGAAGTTTCATGCTGAATTATTATCGAGTCCATTACGATCAAATTTACTCTAAACAGACGTAATAATTCAAAACAAGGGCAGAAAAGGACATGTCAGCAAAGGGAGCACATTCCCGTGCTCACAGAGCTGAGGCGATCATTTCCACAGAAGGAGCAACATGATCACCCTCCCTGTGGATAACCACTGAATGCATAATGTGTTGTTGAAAAGGGGGAGAGGAAGCAGTTATGGCTGCATCTGGAGAGACAGATGTGACATTAACGTGTGGCATTAATCTCATTCAGCCCGGATTCAGACCCCGACTTGCTGAGGTTTGAGGTATTTATGCAAACAGCCGTTTTCCATGAAGCAAAGGAGGAATCTTTCTGCAGGCTCAGCAAAATCTGAAACTCATCAGCCTCCTTTTGTTTCAGTTCGACACCAATCACAAAGATTTCAATTCAGCTCTGCTCTGAAAGAGGAGACGGAGAAGAAGAAGAAGGAGCGAAGATGGTGAACCTGAGAGCAGAATTTCCATCAGGGTTTTATTTACATCTTCAGCTGCATTTCCCTTAAATTACCTCCTTGTAACGAGCTTTTCTGTATCAGAGGATACCCGCGGCTCGCACACAGCTGCAGTCCGCATCACTCACTCCATTTTCAGTCGTTGATCCTTGTAGTGAATGTAAGTTCTGTAGGTGTTTTTTAAGGTTACAGTCAATTTGCTTCATTTTAATGAAATTATCCCTGAGTTTGAGTCCAAAAGACTGAAATTAAGGGCACTGATGTATAGAGGCGGTCGCTCTTATCACGTAAGTCGCTGGTCCGATTCCTGGCCAGAACTCTTTGCTGAGTTTTCTTAGCTTCACTATCTAATACAGACAAAAAATTGACAAAAATATACCGTATTTTTGGGACTATAAGGCGCACCTTAAATCCTTGAATTTTCTCACAAATTGACAGCGCGCCTTATAATCCAGCGCGCCTTGTGTATTATTACTTATTGTGCTTACTGATGTGGTTCAAAATGCACTCAAAAATCTGTCGAAATGTGTAAGTACGACTTTGGTGGTACTTAACCGTGTCTGTGCAGAGACTGATCGCCTTGATTGTGTTCAGGTTTCTTAGCAAACGGTTCGAGCTGACCAGGATCCCTTTAGAAGGATAATCTCAGTTTGTGTTTGTTTAATATTTTAAAATTCAACATCATTTCAGCTGTAGGAGTCGTGTTAAATCGCACAGTCTGTCAAACATCTTCATGGATCTTAATCTCTGTAGTGTCTCTGTCCATGGTGCTGAAATCTCTGCACAGACTCGGATGATCTCTGAAGTTCCCAGTATATCTTTAGTTTACAGGTTAAAAAAAACAGCATTTTTGCCACAGTGTCAACAGGGAGAAGTGGGATGTGCTGGATTTCTAATCTATACTCTTATTGATCTGATATGTGTGTGATCAGGTTGTTCTTGGTGTCCCTTTACCGTTAACGTAATCCAATCAGAATCAAGTATTTATCAAAGCGAGGTAACAATAATACGCTGTGACCTTTCAGTCCGTTACTAAGACAGCCTGTTAAATGGACCACAAAAAGACAAACTTTCCTAATCCTCTTATCCAAATTTTCTGTTAATCAGAGTCGATGTGAAATCCCAGAGGCTCCCTTGTTTTTCGAGGAATGATGATGCATATGAGCCGTTAATCCAGCCGGCCTGCGAGTCAGGAGAGCGGCCTCCACCTGCACAGGAGCGTGTAATCCCTCACACTGATCTGAAAGCACAAAACCCTGACAATACAAGGTTTCTCCTGACAGCCCTGATTTGTGCCCAGAGAGCCACGGTGGCTGTTGTTTCCAGGTAAAGGGAACAACATCAACATGCTGGAGGAGTGCAGGGTGAGAGAGCGCCACTCGAAATAGAGAGAGACAGATATGGGAATTACACAGCCGTGCATTCTGGGAAAGAGGCGTCCTGTCAGGCTTGTCTGGATGCCAGGACGGGGGCCAAGGTTCACCACTGATCTGCCACTGAAACTGCTGATGTCGGACCTCTCCTGTTTCCCTTCGCTCGCCCTCCACATCTTTATCTGTCTCTGTTTATCTCTCGCTCTCTCTCTCTCTCCCCCTGCTTTCACACATGCTCGCTCTACCTGACTCTCAGCCTCCACTGCAGATCTGATTTCACTCTCGCCACAGTTGTTGTTATGGTAACTGAAATTTTGGTACCACGGATCTCGAGTCCTGTAAGAGAAGCTTAAATTTGATTCCATCGCAACCTTAAATTTCCTTACAGCGCTTCCTCCAGGGGGCGCACACGGGGGCTCGGAACATACCGTCAAACTGTGTCCACCTCATAACAGACTGGAAAGGTTTGTTCGCCATATAGAAAACAGGAAGTGAGTTTACCAGAGAGTAGATGCCTGAGGGTTCTTTTAAACTGATCTTACCGTGTTCATCCACTGGGTTCAATGAAACAAACGCCAAAGAGAATCTCAAAACAAACTGCATCGAAAATTGATGCTCAAGAGCACCCGGCAAGAGATGCTAGAATATATCCTCAAAATAGAAATATACACAGACAGAACAGACCTTTAAATGGTGGAGTTACAGGTACCTTAGAACAGGAACTTGAGTTTAATTAACAGACTCTGAACCCTTTTCAAAAAAGGGACAAACATGTTCCTTAAAACAGACTGGAGGAAAAATGAGCAGACCTCGAATAGCTAACAGTCGGTGCAGGCTAGGGCTGGGCGATACAGGAAAAAGTTTCTCACAATATATTATCTGTTTTATATTAAAATGAAATTTAACAGTGTTTATTGGCAGCATGTCTTTTGCAGTACAATAATCTCTTGCATCTGTGAGGTTCTTTGTGTCTCCTCGACGTTTTGTCGTAAGGCGTTGCGCGAGAGAAAGCAGACTGAATGGTCGGCTGTTTTGGCTGCACAGGCGCCATGGGCTTCTTGCTTCGCTCGGGGTTTGTAACCTTTTGCATTGCGCGTGGTTGGCCGTGTGACGCTGCTTCAGGTGGTGAAAAAGATTTGAGGTATTCCCCGACTTTGTGAGAACATGTACTCGACGAAATTTGAAATTCAGCACGATCGGTTCAGCGCGAAGCAGACCTAGAGAAACTCCCCTTTTCATTGGCTATTCGTATATTCTACCAAAACACCGACTATTAAAAAGCATATCGACCATGTTTTATATTGATATTGAGAGGAATTAACTTTTGATATTTACCATTATCGTTTATCGCCCAGCTCTAGTACTGGCTACTTAATAGACACCAGGATGTATCTTAAACCACGTCTTAACAAGGATGAAAACAAACTACAGAATATATATGACTAAGAAGTCAGAACTAGAGGAAGCAAAAGAAAAACACACCACGAGACTAAAACTCACAGATCTCTTGAAACCTACTCTAAAACAGCTTCTAACTCTTGTTAAACAAGAAGAGAGAATAGGCCTTTGAGAGATGTTAAAGAGGGCCCTGAAACAGATGCTAAAGGTTATCTCAAACAGACCTGTTCTTGTGAAGGCAGGAAAAAACACCATTTCCCGAGCAATCACAGAGGGTATTGGTGTAAAAACCCTGTATCAGCCTCTCTCTCTCTCTCTCTCTCTCTCTCTCTCTCTGGCCTCAGTTCATGTTATTGAAATTAAACCATAAACCTCATTCTGCCGGGGACGCTCTGAAATCTCCTCTGGGGCCGCGGGAGTTTCCTTCGAATCCCTGCAGGGAATTGAAGTGATCCAAAGTCAGTCGGCTAATATCAGAAACCCCTGAGGAGTAAACGGGACCGCCAGCTTACATTCAATTATTACAGATATCAGTCAAGCTGCCAGTCTGTCAGAGGAAATGTTTAACAGACATTTTCACCTGCTGAATCAGATCTGCTTCACAAAGTCTGAATGAGGAATCACCTGTCAGAAAACCGGGCTCATTTGGGAGTCATTGGTGCCTGATGGCAACTGTTTTGGCAAGGACTTTCCTTAGCTTTATCCTGGGAGAACTACCTGTCGAAACGGCCCCAAAAAGACACAAAAAATGAAGATTTTGGTTCAATTAAAACTAACCATTTTGCCGACAGCGCCACGTCTTCCTACATCTTCACATACCTGTTTTTTCCTCTATGTCTCTACACCCATCTGTTTCTACTCTTTAATCCCCTTCCCACTTCCCTCTTCTTCCTATACTAGTGTCACGTTGAAGTGCTGCCTATGCATCATAGTCTGTGGGTGAAGAGCGTGTGTAACGCTTCCCCTGCTGTCAACACAAGTCACTGAAGTGCCCTTGAGCAGGACACTTCACACCCAGAGCCGCAGCAGGGCTGAGTGCTGGATTAAAGCTGCAGCGGATGTGTAAATGTGGGTCAGAAAGTGTCGTGAATTCAATGAATTTTTCATTCATTGTTTTTTAGTAGCTAATGAGGTGCTAACGTCATTTCTTTAGTTTAATTAGTATGTTGTAGAGACAACTTCACAGGTGACGGTAAGATTTGTTGTGTTCTTCACGTCTCTGAAGAATTGTGTACACACTGAGGCGAAAAAGCCCAATTTTAGAGGAAAAATAACCACATTTACAGCCTGGTTCTAAATAGCTTGGGGGTCCCTCGTGGTAGAGGGGGGGATTTTTGTTGCCTTCATTTCACAGTTATTTAGGTTAGAGGATTGGTAAATCAGGGTCCCTGCTGACTCAGATGATAGAAGGGCACACTGTCCCCATTTGTGAGGAGGCTAAAAGCCTGACTCTGGTGGGTTGACCAAAGTTGGGTTGAGTAAACAAGGTAACATCACCATGAGCCTAAAAACTCTGCTTTAAAAACAGATGAGTAACATCGATGACACTTCAAGGCATTTCGGAACCCCGGCATTCTAGAACCTTCCTCATAAAAAGCTTATTCCACTTAAGACACAGATTGGTGACATCAATGACACTTCAAGGCATTCCGGAACCCCTGCATTCTAGAACCATCCTTGGAAAAAAAAAAGCCTTGTCCAATTGAGAAATAGATGGGTGACATCACTGGCTGTGTCCAAAATGGATCCCTAACCCCTATAAAGGCGACTATATGGGGGTTAGCGCCATTTTGAGGGGTGTCCGAAACCTGAGTGATCAATTCCAGTGCCCCATATAGACATCCGATGGTCACTCACCAGTGGTGGGCATCCCATCATGCATTGCGTCTTGCCATCTTGCGTCCGAAACCTCCAGTGATTGAGCTCACTACATAGTCAACTATACGTGAAACCCCATATGGGGTTAGGGGTTAGGGATTGAGTGATTCATTTCGGACACCGCCACTGGAACTTCAAGGCATTTTGGAACCCACCATCATATGTTTTAATCAAGTTGTTCCCAAAACGGGCTGTGCGCCCCCCAGGGGGGTGCAGCATAATTGCAAGGGGGGCGTGACCAGGCTAAATAAACATAATGCACATTATGTTGCTCTGCTAACCATGGCAAATGTCAGCGGACCTTCAGGAAAATCCAAGGGCGACAACAACACTACAACAGAAATACTAAAACAAAGGTAAGACAATATGATGATTCATATCTCGCCTTCGGCTTCACCTATAAAACGTTGGGTGACGAAGAGAGACCACAGTGTGCGCTGTGCCTGAAAGTGCTAATTTCTGACAGCATGAAGCCAAACAAGCTAAAACGCCACTTAGAGACGCTAAATCCTTCACAGACAGACAAACCTGTGGAGTTCTTCAGAAAAAACTTCTCAACTGTCATGCACAACAGAGAACATTTACAAACGCAATTTATTTCTACAACAAATGTGCAACTTGCTTTCTATAAAGTAGCCGACAGAGTTACCAAATCTAAGAAACCACACACCATCGCTGAGGAATTAATATTGCCTGCAGCTATTGATATGGTTTCAACCATTATTGATGAAGCCACTTCAAACAAACTAAAGACTACCCCTCTATCAAGTAATACCATTGCGAGGAGCATTTATGACATGACATAGGGGGGCCTGAAACCATTTTTATCTGCCAAAGGAGGGCCCGGCAGAACATGTTTGGGAACCACTGTTTTAATCTATTCAATTTAGGATTCCAGTACGGTCAGACAACAAAGTTAATGGAGAAATGTGATGTTTCTAAGTCAGTGTTTCTGTTGGAAATAATTCAGTGCTAAATGATGTCATACATGTGCTCCATCAACCAAGGTGCAGGAAATATCAGTTTACACACACACACACACAGTATCTGATGGATGCTGCAGCAGTCCACAAATCCCCTCGCTTTACCTCGACCCCTTGTTATCCTGTTCTGACCTCTCTCCTTGATGGCATCAGACATTCTCTGTATTCTGATTGGTCACTTCTGATCTACTGAAGAGTCTCCTATCCTTACAGTAGATTAACTAAGACAGGTTTCTCTTCTCTAATGAAGTCATACGAACTGTAAAAGGCTGAATTTCCTCATGAGGGTGTATGCTCAGCACAGCTCTGGCACCAGCCCCACATACAGGGAGGCCATATTGGACTTTCATATGTTGCGTTGCAGAGAAACACACGTGGCGACAGGCTCGTGTGTGACACGCGACCAGCTGAGGGTGAGTCAGGAGGATGCTCGAATTTGAGTTCATGAAATAAGCGGATCGGGAAGAAACTGTGCAGGTCAGACAGATTTACAACAAAGCGCTGACGTTTTATTCCCTGAGTAAAGACTCACAGGCCAAACTTTCCTATGGGCTGAAAATAACCAGACTAGATCAGAGGTTGTTTTGTGTTCGATCAGCTGTACTCAGAGTCAAAACAGTTTGGAGATACAAGAGAGATCATATTCAGCCCCTTCCCTTGGCTGTGGTTTCACCAGATAGTAGGGTGGCACAGTGGGAGTCTCATCATCCATTCATGCACACCACTAATTAGGTGATGAGGTATTTGGCATTTGTCATAGTAACAGTAAATCAACTCCAGTGTGCCTGTCCAGCGGCGGGTCTTAGACGGATGGACATTGGGGGCTTAAGACTCAAACTTCCATGTTTATCACTGTCAACCAGTGTGGTCTAGATCAGTGGTTCTCAACTGGTGGGTCCCGATCCAAAAGCGTGTCGCGGACACGTTCTGGATGGGTCACAAACAGCTGGTCAAAAAAGTAAATAATTAATTTGATATTTATTAGATATTCAACATTTTCTGTATATGGAACTTCAGTAGTTGCCGTCCTCATGTTGTCCCCTTCATGTGCTCGGAAATGCACTTTACTCAATAAAACAAGTGGATTTATGTTACAGATTAGAGTCTTTCAAAGTTTTTTTTATATAAAAAAATAATTTGCTTGGTTGGAATTTTATAAAAGTGGGTCGCGACTTAAGGACCATGGGAAAATGTCCCAAAGTAAGACAAGTTGAGAACCACTGGTCCAGAGTAAGACCAGTTAGTTGGCTGACTGATTAATTGTCTTTTCTGATTATAACACCAATATTTACCCTATATTTTCATTCTTTCTTGATATTTACAGCGTTATTGTGACTCTGCCTAATTTTTCAAAATCTGAAACCATATAGTTGACACTTTATAAAGACTCTAGTCATGGTTCTTCTTTTTGATAGTTTACTGGGAGACTTTTTATCAGTTGGAATGGAAAGAAATCAAAGACTTCCAACTAAAATAACAAACATGTAGCTTAAAACACAATAAAAGAACAGTATTACCATAGCCCGATAATACTGGTTGGTTCCAATCCAAACTTTTTGCACATATTAGTCGTTCAAGTCACCAAATTTTTGCTCCCTCTGGAGGAGACTGAGGCTAACCTGACCAAAATAAAGGATAACAGGGATGTCAATGAGAGCTAGAGTCAGCAAACGGCTAACAATAAACACCACAACCAACCAGCTGAGAGTTAAGTAACCCTACTTCAGCAAACACTGACCATGCTCCACATTCACCATCCATCTGGCACCGCTCCTCTTATGTAAGTTTGGTGGGCTGAAGTGGACTCAAACTTTTGGAAATCAAAGCAAATCAGCTGTCCAGTCCAGGACCCGAAACCTCCACAGCCCAAACTTTAAATCAGACCCTCAGAGGAGAGATCTGAAGCTGCAGCGACAAACGGACCAGAAGGAAACTTTTCAGCTCCCGCATGAATACCGGGTCACAACCTCCACACCAGAGCAGAGCCAGGCTCCGTTAATGGACTCAACATCACATTTTCCAGCGGCTCTGTGACTCCCAGCAGGCTGAGGGGGCTCTCAGTCCTCCTCAGCTGCTGCTTTCCTCGGAATAAACCGTTCAAAGTTGTGGAAACGCTTTCAGTACTCACACGAACGCGTGGTAGAGCAGCGCCCATCCTCTCGGCCTCTCCAGCGCGTCGTACAGCAGGTTCTGGATCCTCCTTTTGCGGATGTTATTCCTCTTGGTCGGCCGGGTGTAGTTGAGGGGGGTCTTGGCCAGCAGCCCGATGGCGATACCCTGAGAGCCCCGCTTGTAGTCATCCCGACCTGACGCCACCAGCAGCAGGGCGCCATCCTTGTCCGCTCCCCCGGTGCCTTGGTCCAATAAGTCCCCGGGAGCAGCGCCGGAGCTCTTCTTCTGCTCCTCCGAGCCGCTAGCGACGGTCCTGGACCGGAGCCCCATGGTCAACGCTGGTTGCCCGGTGTGGGCAGCATGCCATGATCCGGGCGCTGGATCCGGAGACACCCCCTCCTCAGCCGCGGGTCATTTAAGGATGTGGTCCCCGGCGTGAAGGGAGGCGCTCAGCAGTCTGACTGGGAGGTAGAGGAAAGAGGGAGGGATGATGGGAGAGAGAGAGAGAGAGAGAGAGAGAGAGAGAGAGAGAGAGAGAGAGAGAGAGTATGTTAGTGGGTGTGTGTGCGTGTGTGCGTGTGTGTTACATCCTTTATTTTTGGAAAGCATCGGCATCTGGCGCATTACACGGTGCGCAGCGCAGAAATTAGACCAGAACATCGGAGGAATTGTGCGTAAAATCGCGAAAACAAACCCCCAAACAAGCAGAAACCCCACGCCCTCGTGAAAAAAAGCACGACGTGAATGTAACAGTGGTTCCACGCAGAAGGTGCAATCATCACAAAGTGGCATAAACTCCGTACAGAGCGGCTCGGACGCGGTTTTAGACCGCTTCACGAGGATTACTACAGAGATTTTACGCGACAGGAGGCGAGAAAACACCGGGTTCTTGACGGGTTAGAAGCCTGTCAATCATCCAGTTCTTTAAAAAAAACAATCAAATGGGCTTTAAGCAACAAATGCCCAGTTACCCAACACTCTTCCTGTCCCCGAACAAACACACAGACACGCCGAGGAGAGACAAAGACCTGGCATTGCACTCCATCCACACACACACAGACTCCAAAGGGTGGAAACCCCCCAAAGACCTGAAAAAAACACCCCCGAGTCCTACCAGCAGCCGTGGCCGTGCATCTTGGGTCGTGTCTCCGGGGCTTCCAGCCTCCATCCACCTGCAGAAGGAGCGGCGCTGAGGCGGCGGCGGCGGCGACAGCGGAGGAGGAGGAGGAGGAGGTGGAGGGTGGAGACGGAGGATGGAGAGCGGAGATGCTGCGTGGAGAAGGTCGATACTAAAACTGAATCTGAGGAGAAGCAGGAGAGAGAGAGAGAGAGAAAGAGAGAAAGAGAGAGAGAGAGAGAGAGAGAGAGAGAGGGGCTTTCATAAGCAGCTACGCGAAAGCGACGTGCGCGTGCTCTTATACACGCGCGCAGACAGACACGCTACACCTTGATGCGTTCAGGAAGAAAACATGCAACGACACGTATAGACAGACACGCGCGCGAGCACCTCGGTATGCATAGTCATGCGCACGCGCTTGTCGGCTCGTGTAGCAGCACACACACACACACACACACACACACACACACACACACACACACACACACAGAGAGAAACACACGACTGAATACACACTTTAAGAATGCTGGAGTCATGTACTCACTGACTCAGAGTAGATGGTGATTGGTTCATTAATGTCATACAGGTGTTTTTAAGTATTTACAAAATAATGCAGCTTTAATTAATAAAAAAAAAAAAAAATCAAATTAAAGGGATATTCAGGCGTAAAATTAATTTAGGGTCAAACACACATAACACCGAGTTAGACACCCCCTCCAGAGATGAATGTTGCTGGAGGCCTGAAACACGGTGGCTGCATCTACGAAAGTTAATTTAGCGCTTGTCTTGTCCAAATATAAGGCAAGTGTAGATATAGCTATCATGTTTTTAGGCCTCCGATTTTGCTTTTTTCCTGACTTTGTAACTGAAACGCAGAGTTTACTTTGGGTCTTGGCGTCTCTGACTATCTTTCACACACAACAGCGCCGACATTTAAAACCCACTCGACGTAATGCAAAATTGACTGATTAACGGATTTTGTCAAAATTCTCATTACAGTTTTCAGGACACCACCTCTGATAGGAGAGAGGAGGAACATTCTGTCCTGCATTCCATGTACCAGCAGTGTAACTGACGACAGCAGCTTTGAATTACTGATCTGTTCAAACTTAAACCCACAGATTATATAATAACTCGATGTAGCATCAGTTACTTCACCAAAGAAGTGGAGTTTGGAGACTCTTGACAGTGGTCACCATATTGGTAATGCTAACTCTTGTAGCCTCTTTGCATAGATGCCTCGTGTGTAATTTGGGTGCACACAGCTCAGTGAACAGTCTGTCTAACTGTTTAATTCATCATGGATTAGAATGTGTTTTTATGGTTTCATTTTAAAGGAATACTTACTCATATTTGGGTGTTTCAGGTTTATGGAGCTCCCCTGACAAAAAGTTGTCTGTCAGTTCAAGATGGCCTCTTGAGCCCTGCCCACAGGAAGTGGGAGAGACCATGAGTGGGGGTGGAAGGAGAGACCTGGACTTTTTACCGACGAGAAAATCTTTAGTGTTTACTTTTGTTTTAGTCATCCAAATCTATATGTATATTTTTGTAGAGATAATCATTTCAATGGGTTGTTTGTGTCGGTTTATTTTAAGTTTATTAGATTTTTAGTTTTTTGTAACTTTATTTTCCCCCTTTTGTTTTTGTTGGACTCATCCTTTCTCTTTATAATCCCCCTCATGTCTCACTTCAGTTGGGTTTGATTGTGTTTTGTAAGTTTGTAGCTTTAGCCTTTTTTTTTTTTTGCAAGTCGAACTCTTGAGATTTTGCCAATTTTTCTTTTTCTTGTATAAAGATAAATTTTGTTGGAAACTTGATCATTTTTCCAAACCTTTGCCCGGTTGCTCCGCCCCTTAAAGGGAGGACAGTCCTGCTTTCCTTGTCAGGAGTCTCATTTAAATGCAGAACCATCCGGTCACTAGAATGAATAAATTCTTACAGATCTACAACCGTTCACTGAAACAAGCCGTCAACCCCTGCACCAAAAATAATCACTCAGAACTTTATGGTTCCTTTACTCTTAGTTTTGGCTCGTCAGTCTTGATATACGACATAAAAGTCAAGAACATTAAAACTCGCTTGAATCGAGATTTGGGTTAAAAAGTTAAAACCCTGTGTGAAGCTCTGCTCTGGTTTTGTGTTGGTTTTATAGTAAGTCAACAGTTGTGCTGTCAAACTTGTTCACCACCTGTTGTAAGATGTTAGAGAAAGTTGACAGCCAGAACAAGAGGCACTAAAACGCTGAAAGAGAAGGTTAAATATCACCTATTATCCAGCACAAAGCAGCTCTGAATAAAAGAGAGTTTAAAGACGACGTTGAACGTTTGATCAGCTGCAGAAGGACAGATCTCTGCAGGCGGCTGATATCAAAAGAGTCTGCTATTTTTAAAAGTCTGCCGGTCCGCTCTTCCTTCTATTTCATTTCTTTCTCTTGCAAAGTTAAAGTCACAATCTCAGCTGTTTGTTCTGAAGTTCAACTCAAATCAAGGACAAACTCTGGATTCAAAGGACCTTAACACACACAGATACAGACCCTGCTCTGATTTCACTTGAATTTCCGCATGTTTTCCACAAGCTCATAAATACAGATCACCTTTAAGTGTCTCGCCATTCCTGCTGACTTTTGGTTTATGAGCTTTCAACAACGAAAGAAACAAACACAAGCCTGGCTCTTCTTCGCTGAGAAACATCGGTGTCTCTGGAGCTTATTTGAGAGTAATGCAGGAGTCAGCACAGACTATCAATGAGGTCAAAGCCCACAGGTAACACAGCGGACTCAACTCGCATGAACCCAGAGGACGAACAGAAACTTATACTTGGAGAAGGAAGAAGAAGAGTTTTAACAGAGTTTGATTCAAGTAAAGAGCGATGGTCCTGGAGAAATACCAAAAATTTATTCACATGTGGATTGTTCAACCTTTGCACCTGCTAAACCTGAGCAAATGAGACAAAAAGACGTCGATTAATACTTGAAGCTAATGCAAATATTTTAATGCTAAGAACTGTACTGCAGAGCAAATAATAAAAATACTGTTTGCATATTTTAAATGTGTCTGAAAGGGCTGTTACGCTCAAACCTATCAGTTATGGTCACAACAGTTTCCCTCCTGTAAACCAAACATGATATTTCTGAACCTTCAATGAAATATTTGAAGATAGAGGTTATTTTGGTAGTTTTGTTTTGAAAAGCCGTTCACTCACTTTGTTATAAACTTAGAAATCTGTGTCCCATCTGTCATAAATCAACTTCACGATAAACAAGTAAGAGGCTCCCCAGTTCAGTTCAGTTCATCACTCATGCACAGCTTTATCGGACGAAGCTCATAGTTTGTTTTTTTGGTCCACGCAGACGTGCGGCTGAGAAAATCGAATTGATATGGTTTTTTTTCAACAACAACAGCAGGTCCGTGTCAGACGTCAGAAGTGTCTACAACTGCTGCTGGGCATTTTCGAGCGAGAAGATGGAGCATCGTACAGCGTTGTTTTTGTCCTACATGATGTATGCGCTACTTCTCTGGTGTTGTTGTTCTGGGGTTACAGGGGCGTGGCGCATACGCACATGCATTGTCCGATCATATTCCGACTATGCTGGTTACATGGTAGAAAAAATCGAATTCCAATCACATCATCTGGTTTTCTTAATCGGAGTTCTCAAACTCAGATTATAGTCGGACTACGGTGTTTACATGAACTTCAGTTGTCTGGTCTTAAACGGATTAAGGCGATATTTCAGTTTTCTCGAGCGTCGTGTAAAAACACTGCCTGGAAAATTTCTGAGTCCTGTCAGGATTAGAGTGCACGGCACAGCTTAATGCAGCAGAGAGCGAGGATGCTGACAGCTCGTCTTCACAGTCAGACACAAAACAAGAGCAAAATACACTGAACTGCAGAACTGAACACTTTGTTTTTGTTGAAGGTTTTCTTTCCAATTCAAGAAATTTTCCTCCAATATTTTTGATATAAAGAGTTTAAAGACAACCAAGATTAAGATGAGGAAGGTGTGAAATACCACGGCTTAACCACAAAAACTGGAAAACATTTTAATCTTGTTCATTTGTACGAAAAAGCATTCAGACAGTGGGCAGGGTGTAAATTTTCACGTTTAGTTTGAAACAACGCACACAGAAAACCCTGATTCACTCAGTTCTCTCCAGGAACACAGTATGTACACACACACACACACACACACACACACAGAGCCTAACAGGATTTGTCCTGCAGAACAGAACAGAACAATCTTAAAATAGATTGATTGCGTGTCTTGGTGGCCTTTAGTATTTCTCCTTAATCGTTGGCGGTCGGAGGATTTGACTAATTATGTGGAAGAAAAACGGCAGGAGGAGTCTGTAATTGAAAAAGCAATAATTTGACTCGGGCTGTCTGCTCCTCGACAGGACCGTCCTCCGGTTCACAGCAGCTCTGACACGGTCCACATGAACGCGCTGTACCGGGCTCCTTGTTAAGATGGTCTGATAAAATGGATCTTCCTGCTGACGCTGCCTCTTCTTGACACCATTAAATCCTCTCGTGAAGTGAGTCGGGCTGCGAACAGAAAACACTGATTAATGCGCCAAGACGTGCAAAACATTGAGTCATGTGAGGAGTGGGCCGAAGTATAAATTATCAGTTAGAAAGAATTCACAAATTTGTCAACTAATAAAACTAAATAAAACAGCGTGACACGTTTACACATAATTAAATCAGAACAATCGAAAAGGAAAAGGTCACAGCGAGCAAACAGGTGACGCTAACCAGACTGATATCAGACACCGGACGTCCTCAGGTTGTATGCTGGGAAAAAATTGACCATCCTTGGAAAAAAACATGTCATACAAAGTGGAACTCCTGAAAAGTGGGAATGCCGTTACCAAATCAGATTTCTCTCCATGCCCGCATAAAAATGCAGCTGAGAAAATTGAAGTATTGATGTGAGAGTGTCCTCCTTCCAAAAACTAGGGGGCGATATGGGTCTTTTCAGCGACGCTGTTTCCGACCCCATACAATCGCCAACAACAACAGCAGGTCCGTGTCAGACGTCAGAAGTGTTACAACTGCTGCTGGGCAATTTGGAGCGAGAAGATGGAGCATCGTACAGCGTTGTTATTGCCATACATGATGTACGCACTACTTTTCTGCAGATGAGGCGCACACTACTTTTCTTCTCTTGTGTTTTTTTTCCGGGGTTACATAGAAAAACGGAATTCCAATCGTATTATCTGGGTGTCATTACCGACTCCAAACGTAGTTCTCAAACTCCGATTATAGTCGGACCAAGGTGTTTACATGCACTTCAGTTTAGCGGTCTTAATCGGAGTAAGGCAATAATTCAGTTTTCTTTAGTGTCGTGTAAAAATACTGACTGATCAATAACTGCACACCACGTTAAGACTGACTGGACGTTACACTCCATAAAAACAGGCGAGGAGGTTGTAATTACGACTGCATGAAATCCTATACTACAGCTGCTTGAGGCCATCTTATTGTGGTAAAGGTCATGAGGGTTCGTCCTCTAGGGATCATCAACATTTGTGCAGAATTTCATTGCACCTTTCAGATATTGAGGGTTGATTCACAACTCTTGATCGACCTGTGCATGTATCAACGACCATATGAATACTTAACTGACTCTTTATAGTTTTAACCTCCTTCTTCTTCTTCTTCTGATGTTTTAGTCAGAGGTCCTCAGGATGACCACCATCTCCCTCTAAAAAAACAAAAGGCGACTCTGATCGAGCTGAGCAAACTAAGACGTATCGACTTTGTTTTTTGGATCCAGCCAACTGAAATAAAACACAACTTGAAACTGATCCAGCTGAAACCTATCCCCACTGCAGCTGAGTCCACAGTTTCAAACCTGTGATCTCCAGGTCCAGGTCCCGGTCCGGCCTCTCTGACACACAGCAGCAGCAGCAGCAGCAGCATGAGGTATTAAGGCAGCAGTAGATTAATAGAGCTCGGCAGGACACTCCAAAGCGCTCTGTGTGTCAATATGTGGGTGTAAAGTGATTGGTGATGGACGAGGCTCCGATCAATACTCGTGTCCATGAATGGAACCAAATTCATCATCCGTGTAATTTTACTGGCCGAGAGGAACATGACCTCCCCCGGCAGAGGCCGTCGCTCTCGGGACACGTGGCGCCTCGGTCGCTGGTTTAACTCCTTCAGAGGTGAAATCCTGCTGATGTTTGCTTTTTGTTTGGTTTTAGAGAAAAATGTGATGAATCAGGACAGCAGCTTAAAACCATTCTCAGTCAGTCTGTTAAAAACACTTCAAATGCGTTCCTTTTATAGCCAGTTGTGTTTGGCATTTTTCTAGGTCTATCTAAAGAATTTAATGTTGCAAACTATTTTATTTTACTTGCTCAATTACACGGATATTAATCTTAAAGTAATATATTAAGATTATGTATGAAATAGACAACAGTAAGCCATCACATCTGGTGTAGAGTCTGACTGAGCGATAATACAGAGTGGAGTACCACAGGGTTCCATATTAGGACCATTTAAATTTCCTATTTACATCGACAATCTTGCAACAATATCAAACACATCATGTCTTATATTATTTGTGGATGACACTCATTTACATTGATCCAATAAACTTTTGTCAAAACTCATGAAATTTATTTAATTTTTCTGTAAAAAAAAAAAAAAAAAAAAAAATAACACATTTTATGACATTTCCCCCCAAAAATGCAGGTCAAAAATGTGTCTTTCATTACATTATTTTTGTATTTTGATGTTATACTGTTGTCTTATATATCCATATTTCTACTACTCAGGTATTGTATGAGCCACCACTTTTCACATATATCTTTATTAAGTGTATTACTGCAGAAAAGCTGTGTCAAAAATGGTAACGTTGTCCAAATTCTACAAAACATCTCCACTTTTCTTGAATTACTAAATAAATTTTCTTCAAATAAGTACTTTTATTTTTAACGTACATGAGCAGAAAGTTTTGAGTCAAATTTTTACTATCAATTCTCAGATTAACTAGCATTAAACTATGATACTTGTATTGGTTCTATATTCGTTTTTGTTTACATTTATATGATGCATGTCTTTTGTTGTTGCTGTTCGCTGTTGTATAACTTGCTTTTATTGCTACTGCTTCGTTATTTTAAAGCACTTTGGTAGGCCACTGGCTGTTTTAAATGTGCTATACAAATAAACTTGACATTGACATTGACATAGACATATCAATAACCTGTAGCTACCTAAGTATAGTAAACCCCAAGGACAGTTTTCAGTAAGACGAGGCATCAAATTACTGAATACCAATTTGTACTTACCAATGGACAGTCACTCTTTAGTCCAGTTTTGTTCAGAGGTGTTGAGTCTGGGCTGAGATTCAGGTCGAGTAGTTTTTGTGTGCACTCTGTTTTGGATTACAGGTGTTCGGGTGTTTCCTGTTTATTCCGACCCACTGAGCAGTCTGGTGTCCTGTGGAGTAGAGAGGTCTTTGTTGGGGTTCCAGCTGGTGAATAATTGAAGGCGTTACAGGCGATGTGTTATAGCTGTATGATGTGGCCCACATGTTTTATTCACCTGCTTCATCCAACTTTCATAAAACACAGGGAAACAACACAGAGAGGCTACTATAACAGAGGAGAGGGACTGGTGGTAATGTAGTAAATAAGGGAAAAAACTACATTTTCATTCATTGAATGAAGAACAGATGCTCTTCTTTTCACCTTTACTGTTAAATATATTATCACAGCTGGGAAACCTCCAGTTTAACTCACTGAGTGACGAATGGTGACGACTGGGAGGACTACAGAAGAAGCTAACATCCTCAACCTCGTGAAAAAGGGAAATGAGTCAAATATCTCCTCTTTTCCCCGTGATCTCCTGCTCTCATGTTTGAATATCATGTTGATCAGGATTCATGTCAGGAGAAGCGCTGAGTCGGCGTCATGTAAGAGGAACCACGCCTGTTTGAAGACGCGTTCGCCCAAATTAAAAGCTGAGGTCAGGGATTCTTTTTCCTGATCGCTTGTTTTTGTTGAAACTGAATCTCCATTTCTCGAGGTCTGAGAGCACCCAGAGTCCGTAACAGAAGACCGAAAAAATCTGTAGGGTTGGGTCAGGTGGACAGAATTGACTTTTACTTTAAATTATTTATGTCATTGTGTCCTAACACATAAAAAGCCTAATACTCTTGGGTATCTTCTGCTTATCCTATCAGGCAAAACAACATCAAACTGAATATCCCTGTACACAGTCGAGTCATTCTGCGTATTTGTTTGGACATTTCAGCCTTTTCTAGTCAAATCTGGTGTTCCACAAGGTTCTTTCCTGGGGCCTCTTCTGTTTTCATCCATCTACTTCACCTTGGCCATATTTTCCACAAATTTAACATCCGTTTTCACCGCTATGCAGATGACACCCAGCTCTACCTATCCACCAAACCTACCTTATCCCTTCTGCCCTCTTCCGGGGAATTAAATCCTGGTTCTCCTGCAACTTTCTCAAATCAAACAGTAATACCAGGATGGCTGAAGCGATCTTCTGGAGATTGTACAATCATTTTTATTCTTATCAACCATTTGAAAACATGCCAGAAAAAAAGAGCCAAGGTTAAATGCTGCCAGAATTCTCCTGTAACCTTCACGAGGAGAACACGTGAGGCCGTTCTGTGTTTCAGCCTCTGGAGACGCTCGCTGACTTAAAGCCGTCGTGAATCAAGCTGCCGGTGTCTCCGGCTGAATGAAAAATGACTCCAGCTGTCGACTCCCCGAGGATGGAGCTGCTGCTGGAGTGACACTCACAGTTTACCAGATACAACGATTCAGCATAAATGCTAAAATAAACATATCAATCCCACCTATGGGCATTAATCATCAGTTGACCTCTGAGTAAAGGCAGGTAGCCGATGTGTCAGAACCGCCTGGTTGAAGACCCCTACAACCTGCAAGAGGATGAACCCAGGAAATATATAGCACCCATAAGGAAGTCAGTGAGTATCTGCTCATCATTCCCAGTGTTTTTACAACAGAGCTTCAGTTTTGAGGATATGGATTTGAGTAAAGTGGGCGGCTGATGGTTTTGATGGGTAGTTTATACATTATCTGACCTGCAGAGCTCATCATAACATCTCTGGAGGGGTGTCTAACTCGGTGTTACGGTGTCTTTGACCCTAAATTAATTTTACGCCGGAATATCCCTTTAAAACCCAGTGTTGTCCAACTTTTCTGATCAGCTTGTTTGGAGACATGGCTATAACTTGACGTCAGGATCTGCCATCCAATCAAATCAATGCTAAAGCATGAGTCCCACCAGATGCTGGAAAGTCAGTTTCATGACTTGCCCTTTTTCTCTGCTCTGCACTTTGACAGGCACCAGGAAACATAAGTGCTCAGAACCACAAACTGTAGCTAACAGTTTAACAGCAGCTAATGTAACAATAGCAAACATATGCTAACACAACCAAAAGGAGAGCTAAGTAGATGCTAATGTCTGGCATCAGACTTTTGCTGCAACACCATAAATTTCAGCTTGTTTTCCTAGAAAAAGCAGCCAGAATGAAGCGCTCCAAGCAGAGGCTGAATAGCGCTGAGTCAAGAGCTCTTATTCGCCACAGAAGAAGAAAATCAAAGTGTTTGTTGAGCTGCAAATCATGGAAAAGTACTCTAGGTCAGTCCAGGCGTTCCAGACTAACAAAACGAAAGGTTCAAATGAGTTCAATCACCATTATTCAACGTTTATGGGTCATAAAGAGGGACAGGTGTGCTCCAAGATTGGAGGAAACGCTCTATAAACAAATATCTTCTATCGAATAATGCTCCCAGTGCAGAACCCGTTTATATAACACTTCTCACTTCATTTGCATCATCAGAGTAATTGGAGTACGCTTTAGTATTCCACAACAAAATATTCCAAGAAGATTTCAAGAGATGCACAACTTGAAAGTCTGATATCATCCATCAAAAATAGAGACATTTGGAGAGAGTTAACCTGTTCCTTGCATCACCAAAGTCAAACTCAAAATTGAGCTATAAACTGTTAGTGATCCAGTACTTAAGAAAGGTTTCGAGTCGGGGGGCTTCCTAACACGTCCAAAAGGCACCTTTAGATAATATTTAAGACGAACAGCAGCTTCAACATTCACAGAGATAAGCTGTTTTTTATTGTCTCTTCCTGCCGCAGATCAAACCGCCCATCACAGCTCTACATCTGTCCTTGGCTGCAGCACAGGATGCCTGATTCACCAGCAGAGATGCAGAGAGAGATGGAGAGGGGAGGGGGTTACTCTGAGGAGACAGTTAAATAATTCATCCCGAAGAGGAAAGGAGGGAGGAAGAGAAGGTGGAGAGACCGGAGAAGAAAAGGAAAGACCACCAATGAACCGCAACGTCTTTGGATTTCCTCCCCATGAATAAAGTGTCCCTTTGATTCTGTCCGGTGTGAGGATCAGAAGTCCAATCTGAATTTCCATCCCCCAGCAGGGATCCACCTCCTCGACATAATTTCTGAGCTCTGTGTGCAGCCACGCCACCTGCTCGGAGGACGTAACCCCGCTGAGTGTTGGTATGGCGTTAATTAAACCGTGCTGCACCATCCTCAGATTTAAAGCCGGCAGGACTCGCAGGTTTGACTGTTCTTCATTTGCCTGAGCAGCACAACACATGCTGACATTGATACCAGGCCAGAGAGGCTTGAACAACTCCCATCAGCCCCGGGGACAAAGCCACATGTAGAGGAATCACAAAGCAGCAGTCCTATTCATCACACAGACAGTCCTGCTAACGCCACAGTGGAGGTCACGCAAACCAGATCCCAGTGAATCCTTGAGACACGTGTGAGGACACGACCCAACAAACACACTTTGCTGCATGTTCATTTCACGTTGTGCCAAATGTTTTTCATGGGTAGCAAGTCAGGACTGCAGGATTCATGCTGTTGTACTATGTTGACAATGTCGTCTGGCATTGTCTTGCAAAAAATAAGAAGGTATTTCCTGAGAAGTCCTTGTCTGGATATCTGCAGATGTTGCTCCAAAATCTGTGTATACTGCCATCCATGCTGTAGACACTTCTGCATCACTATATGATCAGGGATAATGGCTTTTGAACTGTGTGCTCATACCAGGCACGGTGGTCGGCTTCCTCTTTAGGGTTAGGGTTATGATATGATGTTTAGGATATCGGAGGACTCATTATTTGTTTAATCAACCAAAAGGTACAAAATTATTTTATGCATATCTTTACTGATGGTTTTCTTTGCTTTATTCGTTCATCCATCTGTAGTTGGGCTGAAGTGGAAGCAGGCTGCGCGGGTAGACCCTGACATTCCTCTACTGAGCCATGTTTGCAAATCCCTCCTGGGGGATTCCAAGGTGTCCCCGTGCCAAATGAGATGATTAATCCCTAAAGGGAGCTCTGGGTCTACCTCTGGCTCTACTCCCAGTTGAAGGTGCCCGGTAAACCTGCAAATGAAGGTATGAGGGGGGCATCCTCGACGCCCGACACCCATTTTGGTGTGAAGGACTATTGTCTCAACTCAGAGCTTCCTGTTCATATCTGAGCTTTTGGAGTCATTTGTACCTGCAATCTCTTTCTTGAGTCTCTTCCCCTGACTTAAGACAGAAGGTGAAGGCTAAAAAAGAGACTGAGTGGATGACCAATAGCTAATCTTCAGGCTTGGCTCCCTCTTCACAACAATTGTCCAGTAAAACACCCACAACACTGTCAATGCTGCATGAACCTTTCTGTCACAAAATGGACTTTACCCTGACACAAGACCCCAAGGAACTTGGACTTGTTCCCTAACTGGAAGGGGGAATTCTTTGTAGTCTAGCAGAGAACCATGGGCTACATCATCTCCAAAAGTAAAGATGATATTCTAAGGCCTCACATGTAGACACCCTCCTCCTCTTCCACCTGTGCCTTAAGATCTTGTACATGAAGATCACAAACTGAAGGTCCACATGCACCTGGAACATGGCGCACTTTGTTCAGAGTATGTAGACACAGGCCTCAGTTTTGTTATAGAGCGGCTAGATGGCTCAGCAATGGCTGCCAAAGCCTGTATTCCTGCTGGACCCCCCACAAGACCCCCAAGTGACATAGTGAAGGCCTCCAAGTCCACAAAGCACATGCTAACTGGAAAAACAAACTCTCAAGTCTCCTTCAGAAGCCCTGCAAGAGTGAGGAGTTGGTCCTCTACTCCACAGCCATCCACATTGTTACGTCTGCAGGTTCAACAGGTAGTACTTTATTTATTCAGCCATTGTCTTAAAGGTACAGCGTGTAGAAATGGAAGTATTTAACATTATCTAGATGTTTTCAGATTGAAACACTCCCTTGTTCCAATCAACCCTCCCATCGGTGAAGTGACGGTGGCCGAGCTCATCTTTCAGTCTTTAAAAAAGCAGCTCTGTAAAGTTGACTCTCTCCTCTTATTACGAAACAGAATCTGAACTATTGTAGTGTTGAACAGTCGCAGCGTTTGAGATTCTCAACTTGAGAAATGAATAAATAAAAATGGCTGCTGGCAATGAAGTGAACTCTGATACTGAGCCATGACTACATCATGCTTAATAAAACTCAGGTAGAGATATTTGATGTATGCTCTCCTCAGACTGTTATCTAAAAGAGCAGATCTGGAGCAGGTTTCTCATGCAACAACCAGCTGAACACATCAAAACCCTCCTGGACTAAGAGAGCCAGGAGGTCCAAATATAGCACTCCAGGATGATGAGAGACGAGTGGAGCTGTCAGGAGGAAAGATGGTCCGAAGCCAAAATGTTCCCTCAAGGCGATGCGGCTGTGACGGCACTCAGAGCAGCTCCAGGGACGACAGAAGAGGGGATGGAGTCGTGACCTCCAAGCTTTTCGGGTGACAACTCAGAGGGAAGCAAAGAGCGGAGAGACTACAGCCAAGTTTCAAGGAGAGATGAGCCAGCTTCAAAATAAGTTTTTCTCCTCCTCCTCAGGGCAAAAGGAGAGCCTCTGATCAAACTCTGGCAAGGTATCGGCTCCTGAGCTCTGGGGAGGAGAATCACAAGAAAAGAGAGAACACACAAAGCAAAGAGCAACGGCTTCTGAAGCGCACAAAGAGCCACAGGCAACGCAGAGCGCACTGGGGTGATTGATTTTTCGCTGCGTTGTCCTTCCAGCTGCAGTTTACAGGACAAACCAAACATCTGCAAAAAAAAATAAAAACAATGAGGGAAAAATAACTTCAATACTTTCCTTGGAGCTTTTTATTCTTCTTTCCTTATAAGAAACTCAGAGTGAAGGGAAGTCAAAGGTTCAGAGGCCTCACCGGAATAAAAAAAATAAAAAATTCAGCTCAATGAGAAAAAGAAGGATTTGGGTTTCCAGCAGCAGTTTTATACCTGAGGAGTCCTGAATATCTCACAGAGCTTCAGTCTAGCTTTGGTATGACTATCTGATCTCTGCAAGAACAACGGCTGCAAGTTAGGATTCAATAATGTAGGGTTTAAAGAGATCAAATGATCTTTATTTTCTATAATATGGACATATAAAAAGGTTGGATGTCCATAAATATACTGCAAAGATTCACAATGTGAGAAGATACACAAATTTTGACAAAACCACAAACTTCATGAGACTTGGCCGACACTTGATGTCACAGTCTGCCGTCCAATGACAACAATGATTACTCAGAAGCTGGAGAGTCCGTGTCACCACTTTTTTCCCTGGGAGTTGCTTCTTCGCCTCCATTTCACCAATGACTCCTTTGTCAACGAAGGCCAATACGAGCTACATTCATCCACCCAATGAGGATTTTCACAGATGCCGGCATGACAGGATTTTGGAGCTTCTTGAGCTAAAATCATGCAAAGTTACACCATCGATGTCTCAGACTGACAAAACGTCTCCTTTTATAGCATTCAATTACAAACATTACTGCACTGGTTTAATTTGAGGATATGTCTCAAAAAAAAGCGATCTGCTCCATGCAAAGTGATTTCATAGCCGTCTGCCAAGTTATCCGTATAGTTTTTTAAGATCTTAGAGACAGTTGAGTCTCTCCTCAGCAGTTTTTGGTCATTTTTAGATCTCACATCAGCGGGGGAACATCAGGGTCGTCCACAAACCCTGCAGAGAAGCTGCCTGGACCTGTGGTGGGCGGTGAGGCTGTGCTGAATGTTTCCAGCGGACCTTGTTTGGTGTTTTGATGTTTTGGAACAATGTTGGCGAGGTCGACGGCGGCGCGCATGCTTGGATCCACCTCCAGCCTCTGAGGGACATTGTTGTTTCTGTGGAGAAAAACACAAAAAAGAACATGAGAAAGAGTGAACAGACACCAAACGAAATTTAAAATAGAAACAATAAATCACACCTCATTTGTCTTGGTTATTCTAATGCAGAGACGCCGAAGTCCAAGATTTACGCCATCGTACAAAGTCAATATTGGACCCGACATCTATCTGTGATGTATGGCGCACAGGCTCAGTGAGAGGAACATAGATAAACCCCCAGACTGTAAATATCACCGTGCATATTCTCAATGTCTTCCACTGGAGGTTGATGTTAAATAAATCCTCATACCTGCTTCAGTGGAGCTGTGAAACAACATTCCCACACCTCAAACAAGTTTTTTAATACTCCAGGAAGGCATCAAATCTTTGCAGACGATGAAACGTCATAAATATCTAATGAAAGCAAAAAAATGAGAACAATTTTAGTTTTTTTGGGAGGAAATCTCTTAAATGCAGCCGAGCTCCTAAACTCTGGACTGAGATGGTGTGTAGTGAGCAGGTGATGAAGTGTAGCCTCGGTCTGTGACTAACATTAACGCAGCTCTGAATTGTCGTGTAATGACTCAAGAGTGATGTTTGTGAGTCTGCTTCCTCTGCCGCTAACAAACCAATTAAATAGAAACGATCAATACCCATCAAAAGGTCATTTGTTTTCTCTCTACCTCGATTCACTCAGTTTATACAACCAGAAACTGAGAGAAACAAGTCAAAATATCTGGATTTATCTGTTTTATTATTATTATGAGTGTGAACAAAGTAATTTTGTGATATTAGAGGAATACACACTCACGTATTTCTTCAGCATGACCTGTTCCCCAGGAAAGAAATGTCCATAAAATCATCTCCGGGGGGAAGAAGCTCCATTTTACCAGACAATCTGTTACCATTACACTAAATTGATCGCGCTCTGTACTCATCACTTCCATCCCTCAACAATGAAGTCATTTCATTTACCGATTAATCAATCTGAAATGTTTCAGCCCCGGGCCCGCAGCGTCTGATGAGCTGTGAATGATTTTAAAACCATCTCTGGGGATCAAACGTGTGGAGCTACATGTGAGTGTTTGTGCGGACTGAGATAACGTTTATGGTTTAGGCGGCGGTCAATCATCTGCACCAGTCTGAATGATCTTTGTGAGGAGAAATGCGACTTTCAAAGCACATGCACAAGTCCAGAATGGATGAAATATAAACATGGATGCATATTTAAATATAGATACAATAAGCTTAAAAAACGAGGACAAAGAGAATTGAAACTAAACTCCTCTTCAATAATTCTGTGCAGCTTCAGTCTGCACCTTAAAGCTCTGAGCTCTTTGCTGCTGATATGAAAATAATTTGCATGTGAATGACACAAACGGACAAAAATACGCTGATACGGTTTCTATTACACCTAATGGAGACGTCTGAGCGCTTCATTATTTAACGGTGTTATAATAACGGCCCGCAGCGGTTAAAGTCGCTGCAGAAACACGGTGAAATCTGCAGCTTGAGAACAGGATTTCAGCTTCTTCGTGGATTTATAAACTGCTGTCTCACTTTCGAGGAAGTTTCTCTGACAAACAAACAATAAGACAAGTCAGTGAAGCGGAGAGGAGCTGATGTTGAAACCAGCCCGAGCCCACAGACTGTGGAGTGGAAACCAAAGGTGAGGCGATAATAATAAAAAGTGCTGATTTTCCTGGAAGAGCAGAGCAATTATAATTCAATCTCCTGCACAGCAGCTGACAATAAACATCAGCAGGACGCAGGAGGAGGAGCCACTTCATTACTCTGTGCATTCTGCTGCTTGTTTATTGAGAGGGGAATAAAGCTGCCAGAGGACATACATATATACAGTATATACTGTTCTGTGAGCACACAGCTACGTTCACATCTCAGCGTCACTCTGCTGCAGGAAACTTACCAGCTCTGCCAGAGAAAATGGGAAAGTAATTTATCACATTTTGCTGCTGATGGAGAAGGAGCAGGCGGCTATTTTTAGACTGGACAAGTTAAGAGGAACAGATAGGATGTCGAAAACCAAACAGCAGCCTACAGAGCTGGAAAATAGAGCTAAAACTGCAGTTCAGCATGTGTCCACAAGAAGCAGTCTCCTCAAGTGGGTCAATCGAACTTTACAGCAGAATTAAAATACGACTTTAAAGACCCACTCTGACAAAAATCATGTTTTTCTTGTTGTAGACATGTTCATATGACATGGCAGGATCAGATACTGTGAGATTTCTTACATCACAAATCCAAGCTCCGCCCCCTGAGCCCCACTATGTAGGCCAGACTCAGAAAAGTAGAGAGGAAAATCGTGGAACAAGCGTCTGCGTTTGCGGATTGCAATGCTAGTAAAAAAGCTAATTATGATGTTAGCTTTCATCCATAGACTGTATATACTATGGACAACTTGGTTCCACCTTCTTCCTGTTTATGGATTCAATACCAAAAAGCTCTCGGTAATTCCGCGTTTTTTTCTCCACTTTCTGAAACCAACATTGCGCAGTAGCGTTGCACGCATTCGGTGGGAGAGTCGCCGAGAGTCGCCGTGATAAGGCTCGGCTCAAACAGTGTATCCCCCAGGTGAGCTACACAATCTTCGTACACCCATAGGCTGTATCAGGTGTCAATCATAGAAAACTTGAACCCCCTGATAACCTTTAAAAACTGAGCTGTACAGAAAAAACGAGGACTTGAGCACAAACCAGTCTGACAGTAACTACATGTCAACACTAATGAGCTACTGCAGAAGAAAAGCCTTTAAAAATAACACAGGTAAAGTAATTTTGTCTAAAACCTCTTAATCACAACTTAAAGACCAATGAGAACACTTTAAGTAGTAATAAAAATGATCAGAGTGGGAGTTTAATGACAGGTCTAGACCTGGACTTCATGAAGGCTGAAGTCAGTCTGTGTCTAACGTCCATCTACAGGAGGATAACTAAGCTCTCATAAGGTTATCATCGACAAAGAGCATCAGAAACGAGTTGTAATCGGCTGCAGTAACAACATCAGCAGGTTCTGTTCAGCGTCTGACCCGTAGAGGATTAGGTTTAGAGTGGAAGTGATTTTACAATCAGATAAGACCCGGACTAAACAGGTCACATGTCGAGCTCTGCGTGACCTAATGGGAAGATAAAATCTCCTGATGAGCTTTAAAGACAAGATATAAACCTACAAAAATTAGAGATTGGAATAAAAGCATCAATTCTAATAAGAGATGTGAAATGACAGTCGGGGTAAACTGGGAGTTATGGATCCTGCAGCCTTGTCTAAGTTTAGCTCCAACACTTATCTTAGCAGCAGATAGTAAACCCAATCGTCAGCACTCCTCTACATGAGATGGATGAAGTCATTAGTCCTGGACTCCTTGACTAATGCCCTCCCTGGTTAAGAAGTCCAAAATGGCTCCCTGTAATAGGTCACCCAAGGCAAAGGCCCACTGGTCGTCATATCTCACAGGTAATGAGGTCTATGGGCAGTCAGCAGAGGAGCAAGGTTCCTGCCATTTACACCTGAGTATCCGACTGTTATAATGAGAGGGCTGCAGACTAATAACTGCAGATGGAGCAATATCAATAGGCTCATTTGTAGAGAGGTTTGCAGCCTGGCCAGTGAGGGGGTCAGGAGGAGGGGTGGTGGGGGTGCTGAGAGGATGTTGGAGGGTGAACATGAAGGTTGTTATTTTGTACACACATAATCTAAATAGTTTGCCTTCAGGCCAGGCTTCCTCTTCATCCAAATACCCTGAAACATTAACAAACCATGAAGGACAACCTTGGCTGAGGACAGCATGAACCAGGAGGGGGGTCTGACTTTGTGAAAGGACAGGATCTCAACAACGGACGGCCCCAGTACCGCAAAACCTTCACCAAGACCTACCAAATGACCCAACGGCTGGCCTTCCTCAAGTCTTCCTCAAGTTGGAAGCAAACTCCTGAAACCGAAGAGTCCAGAGTCGGCTCATTGGATGAAAATTGCATTGTCTCAAGGCTGGACGATCTACTGAAGTACTTTTTCCTTTTGATAAGACCAACCCGAGGACCCAACGGCAGGTCTTCCCAAAGTATCCCTCAAGTTGGAAGCAAATTTCTGCAACCCAAGAGTTCAAAGTCAGCCCATTAGACGAAAACCGCATTGTCTCAAGGCTGGACGATCTACTGAAGTCCTCTTTCCAGGACCAAGGAGCAAACATTCCCCTTGGAGGTGTAGTACGGTGATATTGTCAGAGTACGGTGATATTGTCAGACCCTGTTTGGTTCTTCCAGGCAGAGCTGAAAGCAGTCACCAGGTATCGTACGATCTTGTAAGTCGAGGAGTCAGAGCGGTTCAATCTGCAATCGCCCGGTTCCTCCGAATACAATAACACAAAAGTGGCTTTGCAGTTGACCCTGACCCCTGACCCCTGACCTAAAGACCCCTTTGGGACATCATCTCAGCTCAATTTGAAATTGAGTTTCATGATACCACTCACACATTTGCCCCGCCTTGTGTCACCGTGGCAAAATCCAATTCAAGCCCTATCACAGCCCTGGGGTCCATTTCCCTCCATGCCAGAGGTTGAATATAGAATCTGTTTGTAAGCTTGGGGTCGAAGGTCACCCCTAATCATGTTCGGATGATGCAGTAACTCAGCAGCCGCACTGCACTGCTCTGTCACTTTGCTGCGGTGCGGGAGCAGCTTGGGGGTTTTATCGAATGCTTAATTTGAGGGTTGAGGATTCGGGGGGGCTCTTTACGGCGCTTGATGGGGCCAGCTGAAGGACAAGAGAGAGAGCGGCAGTCATAAAATCATAATGATGATGATGGTGCGGCGGCGATGCACCTCCAGGGAAGGAGAGGGAAGAGAGCGCGTTGAATCTGCACAGGAGAGGTGAAGCTGCCTCCGTCTAAACTTCACCTCTCGGAGACAGCTGGGTTAACTCTGCTGCACAGAGGGAGAGGCGGGGTGTAATGTTACGGACCTCCGTGGACTCAAATCCTCCTCAACAATCAGAAATACCGTGCAACAACATCTAGAGCGCCTGGAGCCAGGACTAAACACCGTTAAAGGCCTGTTGGGTCGAGTATGTGAGATACTGTGTGAAAGAGTATCCCCTCAGGTGTGATGCTGCAGCGCTGGTCAAGGTTATCAGTATCCAGTATGCGGTCATTAGCATCAGGAGCGCTGTCTTCAACACCGCTGATAAAATGAATCATGCAGAGCGTTTAATATACAACAAGCAACAGTAATTAGGACAACAGAGGCCTGGTAAGCTAGAGGCATTTGAATATGAGCGTCTTCAACTCAAGGCCGAGGAAAGACTAACACCGAGACCGACGCTTGACTCAGATAAATTTAAACAAACAGAAAAGCTGCCTGAGGACACGGCTCGGCTCTTTGTGCCTCGTTTTACAGGAAAACCTGACGTTTTCTGCTGCTTTGTCTTCTCCTACAACCAAAAACAGCCTTGAAAGAGAGAAAGTACAAATGTCACAAACTCTCCTCTCTGTGAAGAGGTGGAGGTAGAGCGTACGGCCTCACCTGCTAGTCTAAGCAGGACTCTCACCATCCTTACCTTTTCTCATCCTCAGGTGAGCTGGTTTGAGTTTTCCTGGGTGGACGTGGGACCGCCTTCGTCACTTTAATTTCACCTTCAGCCTGTAAAAAAACATCACAGGAATCATATACCAAAACGTCTCCCACACTTTTGCTTCTGAACTTTTCACAGGCGCTCTGGAGCTGGATGTTTGAAACACCATATGGAGGGTAAGTAGCAGCAGCTCTGACTCTGCAGTATCAGCACCTGTCTCTCTTTATGGACACCATAAAGAATTCCCTCATTACACCGCGCAGATCAAAATGCCAGATCCCCGTCGGCGAGAACAAAATAATCACAGACAGCAGAAGTTCATCTGGAAATGCTCGGATTTAACACCGATCACAAAAGAGAAAAGTTCGTCTACACGCCAGATTTTTAGAGACTAAAATATTTCTATGTATAGATGTTTCTTCTCTAGTGATTTACAGCATTAACAAGAATAGACTAATCCACATAGATCTATCTATCTATCTATCTATCTTTATCTCTATGTTTATATCGATCTCAATCTATCTATATATCAATCTATCTATATCTGTCTATATTATCTATCTATCTGTAGCTACATCTATCTAAACTTATCTATCAATATCAATCTATCTCTTTATCTATCTATTTAAATCTATTTGTGTCTATATATCTCTCTATCTATATTAATTCATCTCTAGCTGTCTATCTATATCTATCTATCTATCTATCTATCTATTTATCTATCTATCTCTACGTTTATATTAATCTCAATCTATCTATAACATCTATCTAGATCCATCTAGCTACCTATACCTGTCCATCGCAATCTATCTATCTATCTATCTATCTATCTATCTATCTATCTATCTATCTATCTCTATATCTATTTATCAATCTATCTATCTAAATCTATCTTTATCTATATTTATTAATGTCAATCTATCATTGTCTATTCATACCTGTCTACATCTATCTATCTATCTATCTATCTATCTATCTAAACTTGACAGATTTTAAAAGTTCGCCATAGTAACTTTTTTAACCCCGCCCTCCTGTCTCAGTGCGTCCTCTCATTTCCTGTACCTGCTCAGGTGTGTGTGTGTGTGTGTGTGTGTGTGTGTGTGTGTGTGTGTGTGTGTGTGTGTGTGTGTGTGTGTGTGTGTGTGTGTGTCACTGTACGTACCCGCGGCATGGTCAGGACCAGATGTCCGGTGGTTTGGGACCTCTGAGCTGTGGAGCTGTCCGGCCTCACTTCAGCGGGGAGAACTATCTGAAATATCTGCAGAGTAAATTATTCACAACTTTAATTAACAGGATTAATGCCGCAGCCGCCGCCGTCCCAGTGTGTCAAATGACTTTAATCATCAGTGGGCCTTTTTATAGGTCCACTTTCTACAGAGTGACCAGAATAGTTCTGAATGGGAGCAGTGGGGATCAATCACTGCAGAGAACTCCTGTGGAAACCGAAATGATCCAAAAATGAGACGTTTTTTCTTCCACGCAGGGGGGATTCAGGGGGAAACGGAAAACTCCAACTCTTCCTGAGCCGTCACATGACACTGATATGATATACACACCTGAGGGATGACTCCTGCTCTCAATTCCCCCTGCTCCCCTCAACCAGATCATATTAAGGACAGAATTTAGACGCCCCAGTTGATGTACGGCGGCGTAAATCACACCACATGTCCAATTAGGCTGACCCCGGCATAAAACAACCGTCATAAATATGTTAAGAGCTTCACGCAGAGTCATGACATTCAGGACTTTGCATCTCTGGCTTCAGTCGTTCAGTAAACAAAGAATACCTGACAACAAAATGTGATCCCAGATGACTTTTCGTGTTTTATTGACTCTGACATTTGGCTGATCAGTTTACAATTTACTCAAAAAAAAGAGTCCGTTGGTATTTTGAGCAGAGTTCAGAGCGGGGATATGATTTCATAGCCGGTGTAATAAACCCTCGGCATAAACGCACCAAAACCTCAGAGTCAGAAACACATCTGATGACTCAGCAGCTTCTGGCAAGCCTTTTATTTGCTCTAAATCGGACTTTCCATCCATCACACTCCGACTGTCTGCTTCGACTCAGCAAAAGGGATAATCGCTATGAATTCATAGCGGCCCGTGTCCATGTGAATCACTCCATAATGTGGGCGAGAACGTGTATGAGGAGGCGGTGTGTCAAAAACAGGAGGGGACAGTCGAGGGAGAAGACAGTGGAGTTTAAAAACGATGACAGCTTAAGTCTGGGGGTTAAGTCAGACTGAAGTGGGCATGATGGAGAGCTAACAGGTGGAGTATTCAGTCCGTGTGAGGCTGAGGTTAGTAGGGATGTCCTGATACCATCCGATATCAGCAAAAAAACAAACACTGGATTATATCGGCCTGCATCCAAAATCCAAAAAAGTAGCATGGAGTAGGAGTGATGTGGCAGTATTTTTCATCAAAGTACGAAAAAGTTGTGCAAAACATGCCATACACAAGTTTGTGCCAATATCGGATAAATATCACTATCGGCCAATACTAAAGGCTACAATATCGGTATCATATCGGAAGTAAAAAAGTTGTATCAGGACACTTCTAGAGGTTACACTGGTTCAAGATAAGCAAAATTGAAGCCCCTCTCTGCTCACCATGTACACAGATCAGACATGAAAATAATGTAGAAGGACACTCGAGGTTTGTCTGATTTTCTTTGGAGTCTTTTCTCCAGGACGCAGATTCTTAAACTAAATTTACACTTCCTCATATCATAGCAGGGCTCAACAGTGCGACCGTTTCACTCACATTTGCCACTAAAAATAGATGTGTGCGAAAAATAAGATGTATTTAGGAGCTACCGCTGTCAACGTCGGGTGTTGAATAAGGGACCGTCAATAAATTACCTGTTGATGTTCTCAAAAGGGCTGTTTTCCTTCAATAGCTTCCATGTCATGTGACCAATTGACCTAAAATTGATTTTCAATAATCGTACTCATGTTGACCAATAAGACAAACATTATTAGATCGATTTTCATTGTGTCCCTAAAGTTATTTATGTGCTCCAACTTTTCTAATTTAGAGGCACATGTGCTCCTTGTGAGAAAATTAGTGTCAAGCTCTGTTTAGAGGGAAACACTTCAGCATGAATCAGCAAAATCTGACTGTAAATACGTCTCTGATAGGAAAAGTTGCTGCACTGTGATCTGACCTATAAACTTTCAGTATGAGAAGTGAAGAGAGATTCAAGGGCCTGTGTCTAAATGTCTGCTGCTGCCCTTTAGCAAGTTAAAAATCCTGAATTAATGCATCTGTTGGAAAGTTCAGACGGAGCAGCTGAAAACAGAGCGGAGGGAAAACTTGTTTTGTCTTAGCCTAAAGGTTACCGACTGTTCTTATAAAATCTCAGCGACAGCGCACCTTTCCTTTGACGGTGACTCTGGCGTACGAGGGCTGAACATCCACGTCCATCAGGGAGGTGTCCATGTGTCTAAGGGGTCCAGAAACACGGGGTGAAGTATCAGACATGGATCGAAAAACACTCTTACACAAACTTAACGGTTGTTTTTACGGCAGCAACACAGCTTTTTATCAAAGTTAAATTAGTCAGGGATGAAGTGAATTTGATAACTGCTCAGAAAACTAGAAACTCTGAGGGAAAACATTTAAAATCAAGCTCAACAAAGACGCTACAGAAACAAAGTTCAACAAGTCTAAGTGAAAAGTTTTTTGGTATTGGCAAAACTTGTTATTTCTCGACTGCGAACTGTGACCAAAGATGTTTTTAAGAAGTTCCAGCAAGAAAACCTTCACTAGATCAGGTCCTCTGAGATAAAACAACTAGACAAGGTTGAGATGCATCAATTAAAACCTCTAATAAATGATATAATCCTCATACAAGAGGAGACCTTTGAAGGTTTGAGCTCAGCGTCCTTACCTGTAGACTGCAAGGTCTAAGACAACAGTGTTGTTTTCTTCATCTTCAGTCAGAGAAAAGTCCAGCCTGTGAATAAAAACAGAGTCAAAGACTAAATTCAGCTGTGGTTCACATTTACACCTTTTTATTTTTTATAGCTGAGAGTTAAAACACACAAGAAAACATCGGTGCCCTTCAGTATCCAGATACTCATTTAGTTTTTTCAATATTTTATTCATTAAATAGTTTTAAAGTAGTCAGAGAACCAACCACTAGATGGCAGTGTTGTTGTCTATCAGTTATCTGACTTCACATGATCACAGAGATATAAAGCAGGTATTTCAAGATTAGTTACCAGCGCTCCAGTAAAACTCAAATTAAACGGTTAAACATGTTGCAACGTAACCCCGAAAAAGTTCCGGATAAAAACAGTTTCCGAGCGTTTTAACTGGATCACACTTTAAATAATAAATACTGCATATTTCTACACACTGACATGGTCCAGCTTCTCCTAAATCTCAAATATGAACTGAAAAATGAAAACATTAATTGTTAAAAAGTTGGGACACACAGAAGACAGTCCCTTGGTGGTCTTAGCGGTCCCTTTAAACTTGCTAAGGGTGTCCCGACTCGTCCCTCTGCTGATGCAAACTGATAAATCATAAAAACCTGAGTGAGTCCCCAACTCGGATTGCAAATGAAATCATGTGTGTTTAGAGGTCTCGACCTCTGTGGCCTTGCTCTGGATATAAACCCCCGGCTAATGGAGGAAGACCCGGGTGGCCCTAAGCCATCAGGGTGTCCCACGACACACTAATCGAGCACAGGACATCCAAACTCCAAGGCCACTAATAAAGCAATCACAGCAGCTGGTGGCTCAACACCTGCCTGACTGTCTGAGATCTTTGTGCGCAGGAAGAAGTCATCGAGGAAACAATCATAACAGTCATGATGAACCGTAGAGAGGTGGTGTGTTCTTCTAACACAGAACTGAAGCACGTGATTGGATGTATTTTGTTGCTCTGAGCTGTTGTGATCATCTAAGTTCATCACAGCAGATTGGAGGATTGGTCAGTTCTTTATTTTTGCTTTATTTGCTTTTTTTAAAACTCAACCTCGGATTAAAAGTTCAAATCTTGCACGAAAATACTGAAACACTTTCACGATTTCAGAGAAGACGTTATTTACTTTGGCTCGTTGACGTTCATGACTCGTCCATCAGCTGTGATCAGCGTCCTCGGGGTCTTCGGCTTCTTCTCATTCACCCTGCGGATAAACTTAAAAGCATTAGAGAGCTCAGCGTAGTGTATGTGTGTGTGTGTGTGTGTGTGCGCGTGTGTGCGTGTGTGTGCCCGAAGTGGCAGATGACAGGAGAGTTATGAAGTCTTCGGGGTGAAGGAGAGAGCGGCCTCTCCTCATTGTGAGAGAGATAAAGCAGATATTGTCTCAGCACACAGATATCACTCCATCACAGTCTGACTCCAGTGAGCTCGGCCTCTCCTCTGCTCTCAGTCTCAAACACTCAGAGGGAAGTTTGAACAAAGTCGCTCCATAAACTCTCTGTATGATGAAACTATATATACTTCGGACGATCCTTGCCAACCCGACTCGACTCTCGTAATGTATTATTTTTTAGCGTTTCTGTTTTGTTTTTGTGAAATTAAATAAGTGGTTTATGTGTACTAACAACAGCTGACAACAGCTAACAACAACTAACAACAGCTAACAACTAACAACGGCTAACAACAGCTGACAACAGCTAACAACCGCTAACGTCTAACAGCTGACAACAGCTAACAATGGCTAATAACAGCTGACAATTGCTAACAACAACTAATAACAGCTAACAACGGCTAACAATGGCTAACAACAGCTAGAAATAGCTAACGACAGCTGACAACCGCTAATAACAACTGACAACAGCTAACAACAGCTAACAACGGCTAACAACAGCTAACAACTGTAAACAACAGCTAATAACGGCTAACAGTGGGCGTCCATCTCGGTTTTCCAACTTGTTAACTGAAACGTCGTCAACTCAGGTGTCACATCATTCTCAGCTCTGAAATCTGACTTCCAGGTAACTGTAACACAGCAAAAGTCCTCCTCGTTACGCTTTAAGGATCTACTACCAGGATGTAAACAACCTCAGACAACAGCGGGCATTTCAGAGCCTGAAAATAGAGACGGAGATATGGATACTGGTAAAAGTCAGGAATAATCTGCTCTGGTTATAACTTGCTGAAGCACCATTTATTTTGTAGATGGGACTGTAACAGGGTAGGATCAGGGAGGAGGGGATGTCCGTCCATCTTCTTCCTCATGGTGTGACTCTTTATATCCACGGCCATTGTAGCTAATAGAGCGATTAACCAAAGAAGAGTCGCCGTCTTCCTTAACGGCTCAGCTCCACAGCGTCACTTAAAGTCATTACGGGTGTCTCTGCGGCCCGCGGCTCTAATAAAAACATGAACCTCACATCCTTGAGTCCAGCAGATTGAAGGCTCTCTCCGAACACGCTGTCACACGACTCCTCTCTGTGGCAGATTTACAGCTGCAGAGGTCGTGATGGCTGACCCTCCGCAGAGCGCTAAACGCTTGCCACCTTGCCCGCCAACTCGTTCATCTGCTGCTCAGCGGGCTTAATCGACGGATGCATGTGAAGTGTGTGTGTTTCCCTGCCTGTGTCTCTGTCACGGCCTGAAACGTGAGCCAATGAAAACAAAGTCATTTCACTGTCTCACTGAATGTCTTCATTTCTAAAATAAAATCCACTTTTTTTCCGATTTTTTGCATAAAAACCACAAAAGACAACCGAATAATTGGTTTCAAATATTATCTTTATTTGTGAAAAAAACCTTTACGATCTCCTAAACCTTAATAAACAAAGAGGAAGTTGACTTATTTGGGAATAAATTGACAATGTCACTGAACTTCACTTTAAAATATTAAAGTTTTTTCTATCATCTCTCAACACGAAACCACTGAAAACGACTTAAACAATGTAGTACGTATGCCAGGCCAGTAAGTGGCGCTCTAACCCTGCCCAGGAAACACACAAAAGACACAAGAAGAGTACAGAGTGTGTGCTTTAAGGTTGTGTTAACCGGACACGCACAGGCGCCATAAAAGAGTTACACTGTGTGTCACATAATCGTTTCGTGAAGGACGCAGTTAGGCATTCAAACGGAGATGAAAAAAGTATCGTTTACAGTCACACGACAGAAAACTTTGCGTTAAGTCATGAATTTGTTTCCATATGGATAAGTCAATACCGCCTTCAAACGGATTTTGCCCGTCATCCGAAATTGCGAAGCTGTACCAATTCCACACGACTGACTTGCTCTCGCACTTTTTAGCCACAAAATTATCGCCTTCTTTTGCAAACGCCATGTTTGTTTACACTGGTTTTTGTGGGAACTGGGGAGCGCTCTCGCAGGAAGGGGGAGTCTACGGTAGCCTGGAGGCGCGAGACATGATTGAGCGGAATATTAATTTGACGAATTTAGTTTTTTTAACACGACTAATTATCATCGACTTATTGTGCAGTCCGATTTCATCGCCTAAACAAGTGAAAAGGTTCGTCTGCTTTGGACGATATCTGTGATTTCAAGTAAACAACCAGTCTTGAGCAGCTGATCTGGCCTTTATCGGCTCTGCTGAGTTTTAACCAAACTTATAAATCAATCATGTGCTTCAAAGCTGTGATTGAAAGTCTATTTGTAGATTAAACCAATCTCTGCTCTCTACGGTCACCCTGTTCACCTCTCCTTCTACTCATATTGCTGTTTTCCAGCAAGAAGGTTTATTTTGGTATCTTCAAACATTCAGAGAGATTTCTCGGAGAAAAGGCTCTTCATGTTTGTGCTTCCTGTGATTTACTTTTCCAACAGCTGAACGGCATAAATGAAGTGTGACGCCAAATGATCGGAGTCCATTTCCACCCAGAGATTGTGACCATAAGGCTGATAACTTGTTTTTTATATTCTGGATGCGCGGTGAGAAAGAGACTGCGGGTTGTAATGTGTTGTTATTGTGTTTGTGAGGGTGAGACAGAGGGCAGGTTTCATCTTCAGGAGAGGCGTCTCCATCACACAGCCTGTCCCTGCCTCCGTCTTATTTCAAGGTCACCATGTGGCGCACTGCGTGATCAAATCTTCGTCTGTTGCTGTTTTCTTCAAAGGGAGTGTAATGAGGCGTCTATCAAATCACTGAGTCGCGGAGACATCGGCGATGACGGCTCCTCCGCCGAGAGTTTGAGAGGAGCAGGGGACAGTATGTTCAGACAGCTTTCAGTTCGCCCAACGTGCAGAAGGTCCTCTACCTGCAGATTCAGATTCATCGAGAAGACTACAAACATGGCGGAGAGCAGACTTTTTTTTCCATCGTTACTCGACTTCATGTTTCAGTCACTCAGGATCAGCAGGACAAAGTGTTCAGGCTGTTCAGAAACAATCGTAACTTTAGCAGCGATGCATAACAGTCTCATGAGTCACCAATAACGTCTTTTTTCCACTATGGAGGAGCCCAATTTTGAATCATCATAAATTCCAAGATATCAACCATGTGTTAATGGATTTAAGTCCTTATCTGAATACATAAACCCCAACATGAGCTCCTCTCATCCCCGCGCATCACATAACCACGTCCATCCATCAGCCTGTCAGCTCTCCTCCACTGTATTTTTAGTTTCAGACTCACAGACCTGCAGGTTGGCTCTGTGTTAACCTCCTTTAAAAAAAAAAAAACGCAGCGACTATTAAACACAGCAGCATCTCCCGGTTGACCTTATCACAAAAATCCACCTCAGGAGCAGGAAATTCATCTTTCCTGACAATCCGGTGACTGCACGACTGCATGCATCAAGTCAGCGCGCCCTGACAGCCGCGCGCAGAGAGGCGATAAAAACGGCAACACCACGGTATCAGCCTGATTTTCTGCTTGGACAGCATGCAGGCCTGCGATGCTTTTGTGATATGGATTAGGAAGCAGACTGTCACCGGTTGGCTTCAAATAGGGCTTATCCTGACGTCTTATCAATGAGAAGAGGTTTCGTTGTGCTCCTTAGGGAGGTTTTCCAGAGTAAAAGGCTCTGGGTGAATAAAATACAAACAAGCATTGGTCTGAAAAGATCATGAAAGTGTCGACAAAAGACATCTGACAAACACGGTATGATGGAGGGAGTTTCTCACTGGCGGGAGATGAAGCAGCGGCGGGGGAGCGCTCTCACAGCAGGACGCTTGTTCAGGATTCGTCATGTTTACGCCGCTCAGCTTTTGTGGCCCGAGGATGTATGAAAACTAAACGCGGTGAGTCAGCGATGTGTTCACGGGTCAGCGAGGTGACAGGAGGGGGTGAGGAACAAACATAAAAAAGGTTTTTCCCATGAGAGAAAAGTGAGCGAGAAAAAACGATCTGTGACACCTGACTTCACCGAGAAACAAACAATGAATCAGGAGAAATTCAGCATCATTGATTTCAGACCCGGTGTATCATACGCCCTGATTTAGAGCCAGTCCACATTGTAACCCTTAGCCCTGGATTTTGTGTGATCATAAAAAGAGGACAAACCAGGACCTCAATTAAAAGCATGGGGTAAGATTTTGATATGATTTTTCTAGTCGTGACACTCGTGTTTTTTATCAGATATTCATCCTTTGTTTCTCCACGTAAATATTAGCGAGGGTGACCATACTCTAACTTCCCAAAAAGAGGACACAACTACACAGGGGCGGAGTTTCCGAGACGCAAAAAGTTGAGTTTGAGAGGCTTTCAAGTCGGATTGAGTGTCTTTTACACACTTCCAACTCAGTAAAATCATGTGACACAAAACTGAAACGTACGTACAAAACCGCAGACATTTAAAGGATCTTATAAACAAACCCGGACAAACCCGGACAGTCCCCCCAAAAAAGGGCATGTCCGGGTATGTTGGGATTGACCCTGAATATATTCACCATCTTTACACAGTAACTGCTCAGTCTTCTGTCACAAATTTTAAACCCCTTCACTCTTGAATTTGTCAACTTTAAAAGTTCACAACTGAGTGCAAAAGTGCTAAAAGAAAAAAGAAGTGCAGTTCCTCCAGTATCCACTAGAGGCTGTCTCCAAAAGTGAGTCACTCCCCATAGAGTCTCATGTTTAACTGTTCCGCTTCAGAGCAGAAATGAACATGTTTCCGTCTCAGTGGCCTTCTTCAGTTCATCTCATCGGCTAAAACAGACACTTAAAAAACTTTTTAAACCTGTTCGTCTTTTTTAAAACATTAATTCTCCTGAGCTCCGGTATTTACAGATCCTGTTTACGTGTTTTCTCATTTTTCACTGATGGTTCAATAATCAGACCCAGCAGGAGGGTCTATCCTCCAGTGAACTGACGACTGGATCCTGGCACCGCAGAGCCCACCTCCCCCGTCAGAGTGCCCTTGGACAGAGTTGAACCCCCCTCCTCTCTGACCCTGAAGTCTCAGCAGATCTGGATGAGCCTGGGAGGCAGCATGTATTATTTACTGTAGATGTATTACATGTCAGATTTATTTGTGCGGTCTTTAATCACTGTTCCTGAGCCGGCCTCACGACGCCCACATCACAGAAAAGAGAAGAAACCGCGGTCAGAAAACATCAGACCTTTAACAGGCTTCAGCTCAGCAGGGAGGAGGTCTGAGAACGATTGATAAGTCCAGAGAGTCATGACCAAAACCCACCGAGAAAACACAAGTACACCATCCACAGATCAACCCTTAAATAAACAGTTTTTGACATTTCATACAAGAGTTTCCCTCCGACCACCATCTGAAATCAGCACCCACCACAGCCACTCAGTCAGCGTCGTTCAGATGTTCCTGCCAGCTGATACCGCTGCGCTGACAGACTGCGTGTGTCACTGTGTCAGAGGAGGACGTGCAACAAACACACACTCAATTAACGCGGGTCAGCTTAAGGGTGAGCGCTAATTAGCAGCGTGGCGGGAAAATTAATGAGACTTAAACAAATGCTTTGCAGACTCACTCCCGACCGGCCTGACGTCAGTGAGTGAGTCACACTCTAGCTTCATTATTCGATATCGAAACACTGACGACCCCCGTCATGCTCTGAGGTCTGTCATCTGCGCTTGTTTACATCCAGGTAGAGGAGGTGGATTCTTGTGTTTTTACCCACATACAGTCATAAAACTGACAGCTTTGAAGAACTCATGCATCATTCAGGGTGCATCGGCGTCCCCCGTGGATTCATTCGTCACAAATGTTTAAATAAAATCCTCGGAGAGGCTCTGGACCCGCTCACGTCTCCTCCCCTAACGGTCCGGCTTCTTCTCCGCCCTGACAGCGTCTCATTAACCCGACGGATGAAGCACCTGTGAGGGCAGCTTCATCCGTCCCGCTAATTGTTGTGTCAAAACGTGATATTCATGTGGGCTTGTTGCTGTTTGGACTGATGTTTCCTCACAGTCTTTAACTGGAAACAAATCACTCTGACGTGGAGTCAATAAAGGCGCTCAGTGACTGATTCACTCCTCGGCTGATTGGAGGTGAAGGCAGCGCAGGTTTCCTTAAATTACCTGTAGAATCAGCGCATTTCAGCGCCGAGAGTCGTGAAAAATGATGTAAACACACACACACTGTAGAAGTAAAAGATTTGGCCACTTTGGTGTCTCCATTGTTTGCCGCCATGTTGGTTCTGTGGCCATATTTGGTAAAGAAGGCGGAGCTGGAGAGGAGTGAGAGGTTTGTAAATGTAAGGTGGTCAAAGCTTCACAGTCAGAGCCCAGAGCTAACTCATTAGCCCGTAAAAACCCAAGTTGACCCTAAATTGCAAAATCTTGGACGAGAGAGCAGCTGGGGGATGGCAGGAGCTGTTTATCTTAAATGATAACTGCGATCACGACACAGATTTCCCGTTCAGTCACTTCAAGGCTGCACAAAAATTGGTAAAAACATTTCAATTATGAGGATGGACCATGTTATATACTGGAAATTAGAAAAAAGAAGACTTTATCTTACATAAATGTAATTAACTCCCTTTTTGATGTAAATATCAGACCTATAAGACATTTCATGTGATTGCTTTCTCTGTTTTGTTGGTTTAAGGTGATCAGAAAACTTGTTTTTTTTTTCTCATCTTGACTTCCAGAAATGACCAAAAATGTTTCATATCATCAGGACTCTTCAGTTTTCATTCAGTCAAACTATCTAGTTTATGTCCCTGTGACAGATTACTCTCTCATCTGTGGGTAATCAAATCCAGGGAGCTGATAAATTTACTAATAAACAGTTACGACAAGAGTTCTTGGATTCACCGTCGCCTGTCTTTGGTTATTTATGAGAGCTGAGGACATCTCAGATGTTTAAAAAACTATTTATTCCTGAAGAAGTTGGCAAAAACACCAACATCCCATTTATCTTCAGTGTAAAATGAGCTGGCTCTGACTCAAACTTCCACTCACAGGACTTCAGTCTGGTCATGATAGAAGAGAGACATCTGGTGGCTGTATGAGTAAACTGCACCCAAAGAGTCACAGTGTGAAGTGTTTTCAGAACTGCAGTATGTTTGTGATGGCTGGAGTGGAAACTTCATGGCATTTTTTCTATCTTTCAACATGCAGGAGTTTCTTTTTAGAGTCCAGGATTCAAAAATCAGACTCTTGAATAAGTAAAAGTCAGATGTACTTACTTCTCCTTTGCTTTCCTCTTCTCCTCCAGGTGGCGATGAGCCTCCAGGCGAGATTCGGGAGTGAATGAACACGGCGTGTGCCAGAACTCGCTCTCCTGCTGCTCCTCATCCAGCTCTGGGTTCTCGGTCCCCTCCTTTCTTTCCTGGTTCTCTTTATTCTCCTCTGACCCTGGACTACAAAGACAGAACAGACCATTTTAAAATCACTCTAATACTTCAGGACAGAGTTTCGTTGAAATGTCCCTCCAGGGTTTTTATCATTTTTTTAATTTATATCTTCACTTTCACTCTGGATCCTGATCACCAGAGGAACTCACTCTGTGTTGTTGATGTCAGTGTACCAGCGCCCATCACTGCCTGGTTTCCTCTCCTTATTTCCTTTCTCGTCTCTTGCCTCCTCTTTCTCTCTCGCTCTCCTCTTCAGGTATTCCCTCTCCTGCTCCCGGACGTTCCTCTTCACTTCTTTGAGTCCCTGAGCAGCTCGAATCCGCTCTGACCGGCTGATCTCAGTCCCGTCCAGGAACTAAAGCAGAAAGAAGAGACCAAAAGTCTGATCGGGATCCAGATTTTCTTCAGTGCTCTGGATCGGTTCCCCGGTTTGTGTTTTTAAAGTTACCTTAAGTTGAGGCAGAGAGGCCACCACGTACTGCCTGTAGCCCTCAAACTCAGTGCAGGGGTTCCCCACTAGGAACAGCTCCGTGAGGTGGATGTTGGACTGCAGGGACTCCACGCTGCTCAGACGACCCACGAAATTCACAGTCAGATCCAACTTCTGGAGACTCTCACAGCCTGAAGACGTGCAGATACACACAAGTGTTTATTTGCACATCAAATAAAGCTTGTTTTTAAAAGGACATGTTCAAACTAAACAAAAATATGTTCACTGAAATGCTAAATTTAGGGTTTTAAAAAATATATGTTGGCCGAGAATCGCCACTGCTGTAAATAAAAAATAATGCAAAAAAAATAAGTCACAACGGAAGTTACCGATGCAAAAAAAGAAACCGAAGCCCGCTGCAAGTATCCTGCAGACTGACCTTCAAGGTTTTCAATGACTTCAATGTTGTTCAGAGCCAGATTCAAATACTGCAGCTTCTTCAGGCGACCCACATTCTCTGGATTTTGAAAAATGTACAAAAAACAAACATAAGTGGAAACTCTGGGAAAAAAAATCACAAAGTCCTGCCCTAACAATGTTTTCAGAACGACTCAAATGTAAGCGAATGAACGGTAAGACTAATGTTAAGTGAGAAAAGAAAGAAAACCACTCTGCTGATGGACGTCTCACCTATCTTGGGTATGAGGTTGTTTTGAAGGTAGAGGATCCTCAGGTCACGGCACCACTTGTCGATGTGTTCAATCTTCTCGATGTCCTGCTGATGCAGAGACACTTCCTCCAGCGTGGAGATCTGGCACTCGTTGTGTTCAGCCCGTCTGCGGACCATGTCCTCTGTGACTGGACAGAAACAAAGCTCCAACATGTCATGTGTTCAAGCAGTGAGATGAACCTGATCGGGGGAAGACTTCCAGTTGGATCTTTATCCCACAGAGTAGATGTTCTGCGGTAAATAAGTATTTCAATATTGGATAAAGGCACAGTTACGCTGCTTAGTCCTAAGGTTTTGACCTCATGTTGTAGCTCATAGATACCACAATTGATGTATAAAACACATTTTAAATGATCTTTTTTGGTCTGAACACAATTCTAATAAAACTTGTGACAGACTAAATTCACTTTCAAGAGTGAAACATTTATTTTTTTTGTAAATAAATGTCTAACTCCTTTACCCACGTGCTTCTAACCTTCACAGACTCCATAAATTGATGTCCATCTCCTCAATATTTGGTCACATGATCAATTTCTTTACCATTTCCAAGCAACAGGAGGGGTGGCTCGACTTACCCTTTGGCTCAACTTACCCCACTCTCCCCTACTGTTAACCTTGCAAAGCTTTCAGTTAGCTCAAATGGATAAACAGTGACAGTTACTTTGAACAATTTTAGACTATATTGTTGGAAAAACACGAGATGCAGCATTAATTTAGTTTGTTAGCCCTGTCGACTAGTTAAGCTGGTTAAAATCCTTCAAATTAGAGGGCAAAATTGCGAACCAACTTGCAGGTGTTTCAACTAGCTTTGTGTCGTTCACGAACGATTCGTTCAAAAGAACCGAATCTTTTAAGTGAAGTACTGAGCCGAATCACTCGTTCGTTTCTGACTTCAGCTGAACTGCTATAGCACGTAGCATTGCCAGTCAAGCAGCCAGCAAACAAGGGACCACATGCACCGACATCTGAATCACCTGGTGAACTAATCAGGCATTGACCTACACTCTCCAGGATCGTTTTTGTCAGACAAAACTACATTCTTTTTTTTATTCCTGCTAATTTGCCACTGCAACTTGCATACAATAGGACACAGCATGTAACAAGTAGTGCAGTAAACCTGCAGCATCCTATCATTGCAGCGGTTTGCAGGGAACGGTGCGTGTTCAGTGTGAATTCTTGAATCACTCACTGAGCCCAATTTACCGAGCAGACCTGATAAATAGCATACCATAGGACAGTACACTTTAAACATCATGACTTATAAACAAGATCAGTTTTACAAACCTGTTTGCCAAAGCAACACAGCCAAACATTTGTGTCTCCTGGTCCCAGAAGCTATGAACTGAACTGAATCCTGAACCGTTCAGCTGTGTATCAGTTCAGGAGGTCAGAGTCACAGTTTTCTCCTGCCAAGTACTAAATGATTCGGCGATTTGGTGAACGAATCTTTTGAGTGAACTGATTCTAGTGATTCAGTTCATCTAAAAGAACTGTCGTGCACATCACTACCACATACTGCATATACGGTAGACGAGATGGCCCCGCCTCCTATCATTCTACAGGAGAGTCGCTGTGGTGACCCTCGGCTTAAACAGCGAATCCCCTGAATGGGCTACGCAATCTTCGTACGCCTATTGGCTGTTTCAAGTATCAATCATAGAAAACATGAACCCCTAAAAAAAGAGGACTTTAGCACAAACCAGTTTAACAGTAACTACATGTCAACATCTCAACTGGGAGGCACAAGCATTTGTATTCTGTTTCATTAATCTTCAAAGTTTGTCTTTCCCGGGGGAGGTCGTCCATTTTATAAACAGCCTATGACTATAACGGAAAAAGTTACCCATCGATGAGCGTCAGCAGCTCTGAATGCACATGCGCAGAACTACAGGCCCGGAAACTTCATGACCTGAGCGCTCCCAGAAATGATTAAATTTCTCTTCAAAACAAACTCCCCCACCTCGGGCAAGCAAAGTGGGACAGTAGTGGTAAGATAAAACGTAGATACAGACTGGAAGCATTATCTGTCGGGGGGTTCCAGGGGTTTAGATTCTCCGCTGTAGATTCACGCAGCGGTAGCATTTTCAACAAAGTAAGCAGAACTCGTCAGAACACCGGTGTTGTGCCGTAGAATGCACCCCTGATAGGAGCGCGGTTGAACGTACATAACAAGGCGAAATAATCCAAGTTTTCCTTCTTATTGGATTGATTAAAAAGCGTGTGTCTTTAATGATTTTATTCAGGCTATTCAGATAAGCCAGAAACAATAGGCCTGTGATTCGGAATATTTGCTGTCCCGAAAATATAATGTTGTCTACCTCGACAGCTAACTGTATGGTTTACATACCCAAGTATACCTCTACGTGTGCATTTTCTGAGACAGAAAAACAGAACGAAAGTTTGCTGCTCCATTTGACATGTTTTCGTGAACAAATACTCTTGTTTTTTTAAAATACGAGGCCTTTTTCTTCCACTGAAGCTAATGAGGGAATAGGATGCAGGGGGTGCATTCTACGGCACAACACCAGCAGGGACGACCGTAAGCTAGTCTGTTGCATTAACTTCTTAAACGACACGGGCGTCTCTCTTAAACACAATATTAAACATGAAACTGATGTAAAATGGTTAAATAACAGCTTTCATTTTTCAAAAACCCTCTGAAATTAGCTGTTTTTTGTTTGTTTGGGAATTTAGTTTGTCTACTCACTGTAAACCATCTTCCTCTGCGTTGTCAGCCGTTACCACGGAAACCGTCCTGTTGCTGCGTTCAAGTGTTGTGGGAAACGACGTAACAATACAATAAATACTTTCATTTCACTACTTTAATGTTGGGAACCGGTTTGTTGAGGATTCAGTGCTGTCGTCGTCCAACTTTGGCTTCGAGAGAGGAAATAAAAAGATGAAAAGAAAACGCATTTTAGTAAACTTCACAACATCGTAAGTACAGGGCTTTCAAGTTTTGAACTAAGCTTGGAGTGAGATTTTCTTTTTTTTTTCTTTGGGGGGGAAATATGCAAATAGAATTTGCATAGGGCTTTAGTTCATCATATGAGTCTATTTGCCACCCGGATACAGCAATGCTACTTTCTGGCACGCAGCCTCTTTACTCTCAGGGGAACTGACTTGATTTCTGACTGAATGTGTGAGACTTGAGAGCCCTGGTAAGTAGTTGTATAATATCGTTAAAATGAATCAGGACACAGGGTGTTTTTGGACTCAGATTAAACAAAGGGAAACACATAACAAATACTTGATTTGATTTAAAACATACGGGTTTAGATACGAAGTAGTTTACAGTGATTTGACAACAGCCGTTGTCAACCGTTACCACAAAATCCAACCTGTTGCTGCGTTTGAGTGCGGTAGGAAATCCTAAATTTTTCTGGAACTCCGGGTATTGTTACTTTTTTTTTTAACATAAAACTAATGACAGCCCCTCGAATGAAGGTCTGAAACACCATGGGGTACACCTGTTTGTCTTTTTGATAAATAAAATTTTGGCATTGTGAAGTAATTCTCTCCATATGTCTACCTGAACCCTAATCAAAGCATGTTTGGTACTTTATTACTATCTTGACCAACCATGCAGTTTTGACACCAGACTTTTCCAGTAATCGATTTACCCACATACAGAGTTATGAAACAGTGTGATTATTTTATTGCCATATAAGTAGAGAGATTTGGTTTTTATGACACCCATTGCCTTGTGTTATTAATTTTGGGGCAAGAGTCAGAGCAGCAAATAACAGACATATAGGCTTCACAAACAGACGATACTGGATTGTGCATTTCAAACTACTAAACACTGATGTGTGTTTCTTCTTGATAAGGTAACTGCAACATGTGAAAGTAAGAATAAAGATAAGAGGGCGTGCCTGATTTGTCAAAGCGAAACTTAATCTCCATACTTTTATTGCCTACTGTGCGTGACAGATAACACACCCTGCCTTCTTCCTCTCTCTATTTCCTCAGTCGCTCAGAGCTTACAAGAACAAGGAACTATTTGACCACCACTATCGCCGTCCCAGAGAGGGGAAATGGCTCAGACAGGAGCCAGCTGCTCCATCTGTCACAATCCACCAAAGGATCAGGTGATCACCTCGTGTGGACACAGCTACTGCAGGACCTGTATTAAACGCCACTGGGATGGAGAGCACGTGGAGAGAACCTACAGCTGCCCTCAGTGTGGACACATTTTCAGACCGAGGCCTGACCTGAGGACAAACAGCAAGTTAGCACAGTTAGTGGTGGAGGTGATAGACACTGCAATCGAAGCTGCTCCTGTTGCTCTTTACTCTGGTGTAACTGAGAATGTGAGCTGTGATGTCGGCGGAGGCGTGGACTGTGACGCTGGCGGTGACGTGTGCTGTGATGGGGACTGTGATGGGGACTGCTGTGACGGGGACTGCTGTGATGGGGACTGCTGTGACGGGGACTGCTGCGATGGGGACTGTGTGTCTTGTTTGCTTGAATTGTTGTGTTGCTGCTTTGACCCTAAGTGTTCAGACGAACAGCAGCAGATCTTCACAAATGAAACCAAAACTAATCAAACAGCCAAACTACAAAAAGAGCAATTAAACAGTATGAACATTACTGTGACTGAAAATGTACAATGTCACTGTAACCAGCAGTTCAGAGTAACCCCCTGACCCTGTGTTGGGATTTGTTGTGCTTGGGTTGCTGTGGCGCTAACAAAGTTGTCACACATGGCACTGGCTGGGAACTGGTGGTTTTTGAAAACATACTGACTTGAGAGGAAACCTGTGCTACAGGCAACGTCCCAGTGTACTCAAGTTTACATCCTGAATAAAGCAACAGGAACAAAGTCTTGTCTTCATTTCAGGGTTTCACACAAAGATAAACCCAGATAGAGCTGTTCGTCTTTCCGAGAAATAAAAGTCTGCAATTGTGAAATAAATCTCTCCATATATCCGCCTCCGCCCATCTGTGTTATTCACCAGTATTATATAAGCCTGCTCATACTTTGATATGGGCTACTTTAGGGCGAGATTGTTGCAAATAATTAATAATCAGTGTGTAATCACAAAGTATGCTTAGGACTTTATTACTGTCTTGACCGATCATGCACTTTTGACACCAGATTTTCTCGTGAATGATTTACCTACAAGAGGAAATACATAATGGTGTCATTATTTTTATTGCCATGTCAGTGGAGATTTGTGGTTTTATGATACTTATTGCTTTTCACTGTAATTAATTTTGACCTCCAAAGGTTAAACTAGGGGCAAGAGTCACAGCAGGGATTCTTTAACATACCACGGATCACAGTTGTCGCACAACCCCGTAAATGATGGTCTGAAGCATGGTCAAGTACACCTGTTAGTCTTTCCGCGAATTCACCACTATTATATAGACCTGCTTAATGTGAGATTGCTGCAAATAATTAAGCCGTGTGTAAACACGAAGTATTTTTGGTTCCTCATAATCAACTTCACTAATCATGCAGTTTTTACATTTTTACAGTGAGGGGTTTACCTGTGATTCTTTAACCTTTAGCCTTGGCACACAATAATTAAGATTATCTTGGATTATGTATTTCCAAATATTAAAGATTGATGCTTTCCTCTTTGATACGCAACTGTAAAATGTAAAAGTAAGAATTACATTAAAAGGACATGCTTGATTGATGGGAACAAAGCTCCTCCTTCTAGTTTTATTGCACACGGTTAGTGGTACAAAAACACACCGTTTTCCGCTTCTCCCAATATCTTCCTACATTCAGAGCTCAGAAGAACATCAGAACACCATCACAGACAGGAGTAATGGCCCAGAAAGGAAACCAAAGAGTCAGCTGCTCCATCTGTCATGGTCCACCAAAGGACCCGGTGACCAAATCCTGTGGACACAGCTACTGCACGATCTGTATCAAAAGCCACTGGGATAGAAAGGACAAGAAGGGAACCTACAGCTGCCCTCAGTGTGAAAAGACCATCCGACCAAGACCTGACCTGAAGAAAATAAACAGGCTAGCAAAGCCAGCGGTGAAGAAGATTCAGACTGAAGCAACTGAGGATGTGGACAGTGACGTTGGTGGTGGCGTTGACTGTGATGCTGTGGGCGATGTGGACTGTGATGTTGCGGGCGATGTGGACTGTGATGTTGGGGGCGATGTGGACTGTGATGTTGGAGGCGATGTGGACTGCGATGCTGTGGGCGATGTGGACTGTGATGTTGGGGGCAATGTGGACAGTGAACACAATGAAGGCTGTATGTCTCGTTTGATTGAAATGTTTTCTTGTTGCTTTGACAACAAGTCCGAGTGAGTCTTTAGAGGAACAGCAGCAGATCTTCTTCATGGGTAAAGCTAAAATAATCAAATGTACAGACTACAGCAAGATTTGTATTTGTACTTCATTGCACTTGTTTGTATTTTAAATCAAACTTGAAGTTAAAATTACTTCAGCTACTGCCTTCATTAATCAGATTCAGTTTGTTCTCACCATTTCAGATCAAGAAATCTCAAATTACATTTGTCTTGATTTGTTTGCAGATCAAATGTTGTTTTATTGAAGAGATGATTGGTGTTTGCTTTGACATTGGGGAGTTTGTGGTCCAATAAATGGACTGACTGACTTCATGAACAGAATGTGTGAATAAAACAACAGAAACAGTCTCATCTTCATTTCATGGTTTCATACAAAGATAAAAGACTGATCCTTCATCAGACTTACCGTAGACTTACTTGACCCCTGCACATCACCAACACACCTCAATCAACTGAAATCATTCCTTCATTTGTTTGTCTGCAAATTGAAGACACCAAACACCAAAATGTCAACTCACTAAAACTGAGACAGGACTGAGATATTTCATTGAAAAGAGGGCAAGATGACGTTTTGCAGTCATTTTTAAAGGAGAGGATATATAACAGCTTGGCAAACCTAAAAAAAAAATTGTCCCAATTTTTTCTAAATGTGATTCTGCCATCGAATTTCACCAGATATTTTTCATAAAAATGATCAAATTTACATTTTCAGCATTTAATATTCTAGCTTTGTTTTTTAAAAGTTAGATATAGGCTCTAAATACATTTTTATAAACCATCTGAATTATATTTTTGACTTAATTCATTGATATATTTATTGTCGCGGTATTGAGCGGTAAGACTTTGTAGAAGCAGCAAAACGAGTGAAGAGAACTGACAAAGTGTAATACATCTGTGCAGGTTGGGGTTGGAAATATAAATAACAACCCAATTCCATGAAGAAAACACTTTGACTAAAAGCACAAAAAGGTGCATGATGTGTACAAATGATGGCTCCTTCATATTTCTGATTGCCCCCTCATAAATGCCTGCCTACAACAGGCCCTGAGTGACAACCCCATAAATGATGGTCTGAAGCACGGTCAGGTACACCTGTTAGTCTTTCCGAGAAATAAGTCTGCAATTGTGAAACAAATCTCTTCATAAATCCACAGTATTATATAAGCCTGCTCATACTTTGATATGGGCTACTTTAGAGCGAGATTGCTGCAAATAATTAATAATCAGTGCGTAATCACAAAGTATGTTAGGGACTTTATTACTGTCTTGACCAACCATGAAGTTATGACACAAGACTTTTCTCATGAATGATTTACCCACATAAGGAAATGTGAAATGGTATAAATTTTTGTTGCCACGTCAGTGGCGAAACTTGGTTTTATGATACTTATTGCTTTACACTGTTTTAAATTTTGAACTATATGCATGACTGATGAATGAGAGCAAAGTGTAATCGATTTTTACTTTTATTGTATTCTGTACGTGACAGATAACACACCCTGACATTCCCTTCTCTATATATTCTCACACACTCAGAGCTCAGACACTCTTCGAAGATAGAGGTACTACTTGTCCACCACCAGCACCATCACAGACAGGAGTAATGGCCCAGAAAGGAAACCAAAGAGTCAGCTGCTCCATCTGTCATGGTCCACCAAAGGACCCAGTGACCAAATCCTGTGGACACAGCTACTGCACGATCTGTATCAAAAGCCACTGGGATAGAAAGGACAAGAAGGGAACCTACAGCTGCCCTCAGTGTGAAAAGACCATCAGACCAAGACCTGACCTGAAGAAAATAAACAGGCTAGCAAAGTCAGCGGTGAAGAAGATTCAGACTAAAGCAACTGAGGATGTGGACAGTGATGATGGTGGTGGCGAGGACTGTGATGATGGGGGCGATGAGGACTGTGACGTTGGGGACGATGTGGACTGTGATGATGGGGGCGATGAGGACTGTGACGTTGGGGACGATGTGGACTGTGATGATGGGGGCGATGAGGACTGTGACGTTGGGGACGATGAGGACTGTGATGATGGGGGCGATGAGGACTGTGACGTTGGGGACGATGAGGACTGTGATGATGGGGGCGATGAGGACTGTGACGTTGGGGACGATGAGGACTGTGAACACAATGAAGACTTTGTGTCTCGTTTGATTGAAATGTTTTCTTGTTGCTTTAACAACAAGTCCGAGTGAGTCTTTAGAGGAACAGCAGCAGATCTTCTTCATGGGTAAAGCTAAAATAATCAAATGTACAGACTACAGCAAGATTTGTATTTGTACTTCATTGCACTTATTTGTATTTTAAATCAAACTTGAAGTTAAAATTACTTCAGCTACTGCCTTCATTAATCAGATTAAGTTTGTTCTCACCATTTCAGATCAAGAAATCTCAAATTACATTTGTCTTGATTTGTCTGCACATCAAATGTTGTTTTATTGAAGAGATGATTGGTGATTTGCTTTGACATTGGGGAGTTTGTGGTCCAACAAATGGACTGACTGACTTCACGAACAGAATGTGTGAATAAAACAACAGAAACAGTCTCATCTTCATTTCAGGGTTTCTCTCAAAGAGAAAAGACTAAATGTCAAGTATGATAACTTGCAGTAATCCCTCATCAGACTTACAGTAGACTTACTTGACCCCTGCACATCACCAACACACCTCAATCAACTGAAATCATTCCTTCATTTGTTTGTCTGCAAATTGAAGACACCAAACGCCAAAATGTCAACTCACTAAAACTGAGACAGGACTGAGATATTTCATTGAAAAGAGGGCAAGATGACGTTTTGCAGTCATTTTTAAAGGAGAGGATATATAACAGCTTGGCAAACCTAAAAAAAATTGTCCCAATATTTTCTAAATGTGTTGCTGCCATCGAATTTGACCAGATATTTTTCATAAAAATGATCAAATTTACATTTTCAGCATTTTATAATCTATCTTTGTTTTTTAAAAGTTAGATATAGGCTCTAAATACATTTTTATAAACCATCTGAATTTATTTTTGATTTAATTCATTGATATATTTATTGTCGCGGTATTGAGCGGTAAGACTTTGTAGAAGCAGCAAATCGAGTGAAGAGAACTGACAAAGTGTAATCCACCTGTGCAGGTTGGGGTTGGACATATAACTAACAACCCAATTCCATGAAGAAAAAACTGTCACTATAAGCACAGAAAAAAAAGTGCTGGAGCATGATGTGTACAAATGATGGCTCCTTCATATTTCTGATTGCCCCCTCATAAATGCCTGCCTACAACAGGCCCTGAATGACAACCCCATAAATGACGGTCTGAAGCACGGTCAGGTACACCTGTTAGTTTTTACGAGAAATAAAAGTCTGCAACTGTGAAACAAATCTCTACATATATCCACAGTATTATATAAGCCTGCTCATACTTTGATATGGGCTACTTTAGCGTGAGATTGCTGCAAATAATTAATAATCAATGCGTAATCACAAAGTATGTTAGGGACTTTATTACTGTCTTGACCGATCATGAAGTTATGACACAAGACTTTTCTCATGAATGATTTACCCACATGAGGAAATATGAAATGGTATCGTTATTTTTATTGCCACGTCAGTGGAGAAACTTGGTTTTATGATACTTATTGCTTTGTACTGTTATTGATTTTGACCTCGATTCATGACTGATTAATGAGAGCAAACTGTAATCGATTTTTACTTCTATTGTATTCTGTACATGACAGATAACAAACCCTGACTTTCACTTCTCAATATATTCTCACACACTCAGAGCTCAGACACTCTTCGAAGATTGAGGCACTACTTGTCCGCCACTATCACCGTGACTGAGAGAAGAAATGGCTCTGAGAGGAAACCAAGACTTCAGATGTTTAATCTGTCAAAAACAACTGCAGAATCCAGTGACCATCTCCTGTGGACACAACTACTGCATGCTGTGTATTCGGAACCACTGGAATAGAGAGGACACGAAGGGAATCTACAGCTGCCCTGAATGTGATCAGACCTTCAGTTCGAGGCCTAGCCCGCAGATAAACTACGAGTTAGCGGAATTAGTGCTGAGCGTGATTGATACTACAGCTAATGTTGCCGATATTGCAACTGAGAATGAGGAGTGTTTGCCCTGTCTGTGTTCATTGTTGTGTTGCTGCTGCTGCTGCTGCTGTGAAGAGGAATGAGTGTTTAGAGGAACAGCAGCAGATCTTCACAGATGAAACCCAACTAATCAAACATCCAAAGGAGAAGACTCAGTCTGTGACTCAAAATATCCACGATCACTGTAACCAGCGATTCAAGGTAAACCCCTGACCCTTGGGATTTATTTGCTTGGGTTCCTGTGGCCCTAACATAGTTGTCACACATGGTACTGGCTGGAAACTGGTGGTTCTTGAAAACATACTGACTTGAGAGGAAACCTGTGCTACAGGCAACGTCCCAGTGTACTCAGGACTTCTACAGGATTGACAGCTTCTTCCAGCTCTGACTCGTGCTCACGGGAACAACTGACAAAACTTCAGTATCTCAGAAAAGTAATGTGGAAGTATGTCAAGTGACCTCATGAGCATTATGACCCATTGAGAGTGTTTTTAACCGGCCAGAGCCAGCCAGAAATCATTCACATACACCTGTTAGTCTTTCCGAGAAATAAGTCTGCAATTGTGAAACAAATCTCTCCAAAAATCTGCCTACACCCATCTGTGTTTTCACCGGTATTATAAAAGCCTGCTCATACTTTGATATGGGCTACTTTAGGGCGAGATTGCTGCAAATAATTAATAATCAGTGCGTAATCACAAAGTTTGTTAGGGACTTTATTACTGTCTTGACCAACCATGAAGTTATGACACAAGACTTTTCTCGTCAATGATTTGCCCATATAAGGAAATATAAAACGGTATCGTTATTTTTTTGCCACGTCAGTGGCGAAACTTGGTTTTATGATACTTATTGCTTTTTACTGTCATTGATTTTGACTTCGATTCATGACTGATTAATGAGAGCAAAGTGTAATAGATTTTTACTTTTATTGTATTCTGTACGCGACAGATCACACACCCTGTCTCTATATATTCTCACACTTGAAGTGTGAAGGCACTATTGAGGCACTATTTGTCCGCCACTATCACTGTGAATGAGAGAAGAAATGGCTCAAAGAGGAAACCAAGACTTCAAATGTTTACTCTGTCAAAATCAACTGCACAATCCAGTGACCATCTCCTGTGGACACAACTACTGCATGCTGTGTATTCGGAACCACTGGAATAGAGAGGACACGAGGGGAATCTACAGCTGCCCTCAATGTGATCAGACCTTCATTTCGAGGCCTAACCCGCAGATAAACCAAGAGTTAGTAGGTTTAATGCGGAGCGCGATTGGTGCTGCAGCTAATGTTGCCGCTAATGCAGCTGAGAATGAGGAATGTTGGTCCTGGCTGTGTTCGTTGTTCTCTCACTGTTTCTGTTGCTCTGAAGAGGAATGAGTGTTTGGAGGAACAGCAGCAGATCTTCACAGATGAAACCCAACCTAATCAAACGTCCAAAGGAGAAGAGTGATTAAATGGTGTGAACATTACTGTGACTGAAAATATCGATGATCATTGTAACCAGTGGTTCAGGGTAGGCCCCTGACCCTGTGTTGGGATTTTATTTGCTTGGGTTGCTGTGGCACTAACATAGTTGTCACACACGACACTGGCTGGGAACTGGTGGTTCTTGAAAACATACCATATTGAGAGGAAACCTGTGCTACAGGCAACATCCCAGTGTACTCAGGACTTCTACAGGATTGACAGCTTCTTCCAGCTCTGGAATATGCTCACGGGAACAACTGACAAAACTTTGGTATCTCAGAAAAGTAATGTAAAAGTATGTCAAGTTACTTCATGAGCATTATGACCCATTGAGAGTGTTTTTTAACCGGCCAGAGCCAGCCAGATAAACCTTCAATCTGCCAATCAGTTAACCCAAATATCATTGTATTTTCTCTTCATTTAATTTCTAATGTGATTTATTGTACTTTAAATCAAACTTGAAGTTAAAACTACTTCATCTACTGCCTTCAATAATCAGATTCAGTTTGTTCTCACCATTTCAGATCAAGAAATCTCAAATTACATTTGTCTTGATTTGTTTGCAGATCAAATGTTTTTTATTGAGGAGATGATTGGTGATTTGCTTTGACATTGGGGAGTTTGTGGTCCAACAAATGGACTGACTGACTTCATGAACAGAATGTGTGAATAAAACAACAGAAACAGTCTCGTCTTCATTTCATGGTTTCATACAAAGATAAAGGACTGATCCTTCATCAGACTTACAGTAGACTTACTTGACCCCTGCACATCACCAACACACCTCAATCACCTAAAATCTTTGCTTCATTTGTTTGTCTGCAAATTAAAGACACCAAACACCAAAATGTCAACTCACTAAAACTGAGACAGGACTGAGATATTTAATTGAAAATAGGGCAAACGTAGCCTGACTGTAGTGCCAGGTTTCAGCTTGCAGTGATAAGACTCTGAAGAAGCAGCAAAACGACTGGAGAAAGAAAGGAGAGTGGAGTGATAGAAATGAAAGAGGATTGAGAGAAAGAAGATTTCTGAGCTGTTTAAATACGTAAAAAAAGCCAAAAGAAGAAAGAAAACGATTTTTTTTTTAAATTTCCACTCTATATCTGATGTGTTTTGTAAATAAGATTGAGACCTGGTTTTTAAAAATAATTTTAAGACTCCCTTTTAGTTTTGTAGATATTGATTAACATGTGTGAAGTCTTATTTTAGGTTTAAATTTATTGGAGAATTAGACTGATATATGTTATGTTGTTAAAATATAGGTATTTCATACTTTATTTTCTAATTTTATTTTTCAGTTCCCCTCCTGAGGGATTGACACCTAACTGGGGTCAGGGGGGTTGTGAGCCTCAGTGACCTTTAAAGCTATACCAGCAGCAGCTATAAGTCTTCAGGTGAGACACCCAAGTTGGACGGGTCTGAACTGGTAGAGGTCTGACAAAGTGTAATCCACCTGTGCAGGTTGGGGTTGGACATATAACTAACAACCCAATTCCATGAAGAAAAAACTGTCACTATAAGCACAGAAAAAAATGTGCTGGAGCATGATGTGTACAAATGATGGCTCCTTCATATTTCTGATTGCCCCCTCATAAATGCCTGCCTACAACGGGCCCTGAATGAC